GCTTTGGGTTCCTTTCGACCTGCTCTTTGGGGCTGGCGGGGGGGGGAAGCGCTGCTCAAAGACTGCCAGCCTCAAAGACCAGGTCTGGGAGCAGCGCAAAGGCTGCGCACCACCTTCCCGCTTCCCCCCCGAGCTTGTGGGGCTGGCAGTGGGGGGAAGCGCTGCTTTGCCCCACCGCCAGCCTCAAAGATCCCTGAAGCCTTCTTCTTGTTCTTTTCTTTTATATTTTACCTTTCATTTCTTTTCTTTATTGTGAATATTGTTTTGTAGAGGTGCAAATAATTGTAAATATGAGAAGAGGTAAAATGTTTTCTAATATTTTATTGGTTACATGTATTTTCCTTTTTTGTATATTTGCATTTTTTTCTCATTTGTACTCAATAAAATTAATAATAAATAAATAAAGCTCATCACATGTCCATCTCCTCGTCCCACTTGGCGGCGTCAGGCAACTTCATGTTTTGTCACATAAAATCAAGGAACATGGAGGCCTGCAGTAACCAGCCCAGCCTCTGGAAGTGCCGTGTATGGTAGGAGAGACTCCACAGCTGCTTTGATCCCTTCGTATTGCAGGAGGCTCTCTGGCGCCTCATGCTTGAGGAGGGTTTCCACCACTGCCTGAGCCTCGAGGTAGTTCCGCGAGTTTGTGTTCCACGTGATGGAAAACTTCAACACAGCCTCTGGAAGAAGGGGTTTGGGGAAGACACGTCAGGAAGGAGTGCAAGTTGCAGGCAGTGTAGCCGCCTTGAACCAACGCACCTCTCTTGCGAGTTTATTCCAGACTACATGGCTTGCAGGAATGGGTTTTATAATATTTATAAAAGTACAACAACAACAATATGCATTATAATCTTTGCTCTAGTATTACAGAGCTGGTGGAGCTAATTTGAGGCTGTGTACACACCATACATTAAAAGCATTATCGCTTCTCCCCTGTAAGAATCCTGGGAACTGTAGATTACCCTTATACCGCATAGCTACAATTTGTAGCACCCTTTACAAACTGCAATTCCCAGGATTCTTTGGGAGAAATGTGCTTTTAATGCCTGTTTTTCCTGCAGCAGGCATGCTCAGCTACCCCTCTGGAAGCTCAATCCCACAGAAAGCTGGGACGGCAGATACATGCTCATAGTAAACTCATTATTCAAGTATGGATCATTATGTAGCCAAAATGCTACCATCAATACACAAAAGAGAAGTATCATCAGGCTTGAAGAGCCCCAAGATATGAAGTTGAAAAAACAAAACTGCAGAAAATAATAAATAAGAGAGGAACCCCTTCTGAAACAGTCAGATGAGGAGTGAGCATGCACAATGCCTGTTTGTGGGTAGGGAATGGGGAAATGGGGTGGAATTAGAGGGGAGAGAACAAAGCATTTTGGGAGACAGGATGGCTGGAACTTTTAACAGGAGCACTCCACACTTCAAAATTTCATCGCACTTATCACTGCATTGAAGATGCAAGAAAACAAATTGAGAGATATTCAAAATTGGGGCTTCATATTGCAAACAGATCCGTCAGATATTATGAGCGAGTTATTGGCAGCAGTGCCGCAACACTTATTAGATTTTCCTGTGGGAAAAGATTACATGGTGGCTGTAGGGAATATGCGCTGGCATTCTGATCGCTAAGGGATGGTTTGAAAAACTTGCATGTATGAAGAACACAGATCCCACAGTAAACACTCACAGAGAAGCAGCCAAGAGAGTTCACAGTTGAGACTTCCCATATAGCACTGTCCCAACCATGTTTCAATGGGACATACTCCCATGTCCATGTGCTTGATGTCGCAACCATGCAGCAGAAATCTAACCATGTCTGCTCAGAAGTACGTAAGTTGCATTGAAATCAGTGAGGCTTCCTCCCACAATTACAACTGAGGTCAGGATTGAGGCACCATGATTCTGAACCAGTTTTTGCCTGGTAATATTTTTGCCTAAGGGAAAGAATTCAAAATAAAACAAACTGATAAATATGTTCTTTGTTCATAGTATATAATGCATTTCTTTTTGTAAAGGATGGTGCCATCATTTTTTGGAGGGATAGGTTGGCTGTCCGTGTTCCTTCCCGAAGTACTTCCTAGTTGAAAAGAATCAAGCTGCCACATTCTTCTTTATTCCACCTGTTTGTCCATTTTCTCATCTATTTGAGAAACAGAGCTCTCTAAACAACAAAGGTTAACATTATGCATAGCAGAAAGATGTACAGAGGAATGTATGTGCTGCAGGGGGGAGCAATCATGACAATGGGAGGGGGGAAAGAGTAAAAAAGGGCGCTATGAAGAAGGAAGGAGAAAATGTTAAGTTAGTGACTCATAACTCTGTGTGACTAATAACCTAGAACAGCTTGTTTCAAGGGTGGGATCTGTAGAAAATATCTTGCTGAAGAAGCTGAGAGGTTATAGGAACTGATGTGTGGGTTCAGCTTGGGCAAAGAGTCCCCATGTGCCATTGACCGTGAAGGACGCTGCTTCCTTTTCTATGCCAGAGTCCTCCTGGGTTCATTTGAGCAGATTTTTCAGTAATGACATCACACACACAAAATCTTTGGGGGATGCAGTTTTCCAGCCAGAAGGGAAACAAAGAAATGCTTAGATTAATGTTGCTAAATTGATGTGCAGTTCCATCCTGTTCATGTTTAGTTGGAGGTGAGACCCATTGTGTTTAGTGGGAGTTTACTTCCTAGTAGGTTACATGTTTAGGACTCAGGTAGGTAGCCATGTTAGTCTGACGCAGTCAAAATTAAAAAAAAAAATTTTTTTAATGTCCAGTAGCACGTTATAGACCAACTAAGTTTGTTCTGGTATAAGCTTTCGTGTGCATGCACACTTCTTCAGATAGTCTGAAACAGAAGTCACCAGAGACCATTATGTAAAGTGGGAGGGTGATATGCTAAAGCTATATTTGCTCATCTGCATATTATCCCTTGCTTTTTCCTGTTGGACTAATTGCAGTCGTTAACAGTCATCAACAGGTTTACCATACCCATTGAGCCAATCACCCATCTCCTACTACCCTTCTGAGAAATACCCCACCCCACCCTCCCACTATATATAAGGGTCTGGTGACTTCTGTTTCAGTGTATCTGAAGAAGTGTGCATGCACACGAAAGCTTATACCAGAACAAACTTAGTTGGTCTATAAAGTCTACTGGAAAATTTTTAATTTTTAAAAATGTTTAGGACTGCAACCCAAGAATGCAATCTTTAGGTCTCCTGCCCAGTTCAGGTGTGTGGCTTACAAGGGAAAGGATACACTGATTATGAATTACTTTCCTGTGGGATAGTCACCTACCTTGATGTGATTTCAATGACAGGAGACATTTTTATTATTATTTCCCATTGTGATGCTGAAACATTTCCGTTTTGATTTGTTTTATTGGTCATTTCTGCCCTGGGAACCTCTTGAGGAAGTAAGATATAAATCCTCTACAGAACTAACCTAGGCAGGCCTACTCAGAAGTAACTGCTACTAAGTTAGTTTTAGTTAGCTGATTAGTTACCTAATTTATATACTGCTTAGTGCCATAGTTTCAAAGCAGTGTACAATGGGGGGGGGTCGCAATAGTGGAACACCATAAAATGAAGCAGAAAGGCTCACTTGAAATTCTTGCTGATATAATTATGATGAAGCTAATGATAATATAGTCTTCACCAAGAGCTGTAAGTTCAACCAGGGATAAGGCCTATTTGACCTCAGTAAGGAGTCTTGCTCCCAAGTTAAGTGTGGACAGAATTGCAGCCTTAAATAAATAATAAAATAGATAAAACCACACAACTAACCTCTGTTTGAACTCTCCTAGCTCTCATAAGGGTTTTGTTGTTGTTTTTAAAACAAGGCCTTAATAGTGGGATATTGGGTCCTCCCTTAAAGAGGGCACGTATTGCGGTGAGACCTGGAAAACTGACTCCCTGTGTTGTGGGTGGGTACAATTGGTCAGCCACAACACCCGATTGGTAGGTCCCTCGGAGCTAGATGCAATCTGGCCAATGGGACGGAGTCCAAACAGTTCGAGGGACCTATTTATACCCATGCACGTGACCCAGAGCTTCCTCTTTTGGCGCGTGCATTTGGAACACCAACAGCATGCCCTCTGCGAGCCGAGAGAGCAAGAGCGATTTACCTTTGACGGACCGTCCTGGTGATAGCTTTCCATTATCCCTTCTTTTAATTCCTTTCACCCTCTTCCTTTCCCCTTATTTTGATTTTGATTTAATCTTCCCCATCCTTGCCCTTCCCTTACTAAGAGGGGCTTGCAGCCCCTTAGCGCTCCGTTTCAGAGCTTTTCGTTCCTTTAATTTCTCTACGTTTGTCTTTAGGGTGTCCCCTGAGCACTCCCTTTTCCAATTCTGTATTTGTGGCTTGTGTAGCGATTGCTATTCCCTTAAAGGGCTTTATCTCTCGAGCTTGTTGATCCAGGGACTCCCAGTGTGCGGTGTTGCTGCAGTGTGGAAAAAACCTCTGCTCAGTAGCACCTCTTATTTGTTTTCAGAGGAGATTTTGCCCACAGGGTTTTGGCCTTTAGCGTTTCTGGCTGTGGAGTTTCCTCCATTTCCCTGGGCTGGGAGCAGCAATTTTGAGCAGTTATAGCCGCGTCTTTATTTTAAAGAGCCTTGACTTCAGTTTTAGTGGGGCAAAGATTTTGAGTTATAGTGATTGCTTTGTTTGCTGTTTTGGCTTTTGAGAGTTCTCTCTCTGTAAGCTTGGTGAATTCTGTACCCCCCTCCCAACTGGCTTAAGGTTGGTTGGGGAAATTCCTGGGGCTGGCAAGCATTTTCCCCAGCTTATTTTGGCGGGAGCGCCATCTTGTGCTGCCATCTTGTTTTGGCGGGAGCGCCATTTTAACGGCTTAAGAGTTTATTTATATATTTTGTATTTTGGGAGAGCTTATTGAGACGCCTGTTAAAAGGAACCCTAGTCCTGTTCTCCCTTCGAAAAGGGTAATTAGAGGCCTGTCTCAGTCGCTGCGTTCAGTGCAAGCCCCAGCAGTGCCTCAGCAAATGCTGGATCGTCTGTGTGCTATTGTGGCCAATATGGGCTCAGACCCTGCGGCCTTGACAAGGTTTAATTCGGAGCTTGAGTCATTGGCTCAGCAGTTTGGGAGGCAGCCTGATCCCCAGCCTGACCCCTCCTCATCTTCTACTGGTTATGAAGCTCATGGTCCCTCTGATGCGAGTGAAGGGAGAGAAGCTTTTGATTCTTCTGGGGCTTTGTTTTCCCAATTGCAGTTTTCCAGGATTCCAGTCCCAGCTAGTCCCAGGGGTCGTCCCAGGAGTATGGGTGCCATGGTTCAGCAGGCCTTTCGGTCTGGACTGCCACATTCACAGTCGGCACCCCTAGGTTCTGAGAGTCCAGGGCTTCCAGCAGCGCAGCTTATGGGGAGAGGAACTTCTTCTCAGCCAAGCACCACACATGTTTTTACTTCTGTTCAGGTGTAGCCGGTTCATTCGAGGGAGGCGCTCAACTCGAATTTTGAGAGCAAGTCCACTGAGCAATCAAAATCCAAGCAAGAGGTTAAGAAGCCAGGAAGGCGCCTTATTTGTTGGGAATATAACAAAGGATCCTGCTAGCGTCAAGGTTGCAGGTTTTCCCACATTTGTGATAAATGTTTTGGGAGCCATTCTGCCGCTTCCTGTGGAGTCAAGCGGCCCTTTCGTGGGGCAAGGAGAGGTTCTCAGTGGGATCAGAAAGGATACTCTCCTCCAGCAGTCCACGATGTTAAGTGAGGTCTTATTGACCCTAGCTCATACTCCCATTAAGTTGCCCACCTTATGGGCGCAGGCACCCTGATACAGCTGCTGCTTCCTATTTGTGGCTTGGATTTTCTCAAGGCTTTCATATCCTAGTGGTGTTCCCGCCTAGGGCTACCAAAGCTGAAAATCAAAAATCTGTCACAGAGTTGCCTGTTGTCGCTAGGAGAAATATCAGGAAAGAACTGGCTTTGGGTAGGATGGCTGGCCCATTTGCACGCCCTCCCTACCCAGATTTGCATCTTTCTCCTTTGGGTGTGGTACCTGAAAAGGCCCCAGGTGAATTTCACTTAATTCACAACTTATCTTACCAGCAGGGTTCATCAGTAAATGATGCTATCCCTCCTGAGCTGTGTTCTGTTAAGTCTGCCACCATTAACCAAGTGGTCAAGTTGATCAGGAGTTTCGGGAAGGGTGCACTTCTGGCAAAGTGCGATGTAGAAGTTGCCTTCTGCTTACTTCCTGTTCATCCACGACTTTAAGTTGCTGGGGTTCCAATTGGATGGAGCTTATTATGTGGGTAAAGCTATGCCTATGGGCTGCTCTATATCCTGTGCAGCTTTTGAGGCCTTCAGTACATTTTTGGGACTGGGCTTTGCGTACCAAAACAGGTTTTAGGGGCGTGACCCATTACCTTGATGATTTTTTATTAAATTCTGCAGCCAATTTGGAGGAATGCTTGCTTCTTTTGCATTCTTCTGTTTCCGGATTTCCGCTTATCCAGGTGTTCACCCTTGGCTGACCTATGCTGGTGCCCTGGGTCAGCGCTACCTGCATGGCAGGGAGCTAGTTGAACCAGAGTCTATGCAACCATTCACTTTGTGTAATCAATAAAGTTGTGGCCTAAATTCTGCCAAAAACAAACCAAAAATTTGAGTCATGTGTGAATTCATTTAGGGGGGAGGTTTCTGGGTCTGAACACACAAAACACTGATCTTAGAGCATAGATGACAGACATAAAATGCTGTTTCTTGGGTGACTTCCTCCACATTCAGTAAGAGCACACCTCTTTCTGTCTTGGTTCAAACTCTGAAATACCAGTTCTGCTAGTTTTCAGAGTGGCTCAGTTTGAATCTGAGGGAAAGCACCTATTGGCCTGCACCTGTGCCATCCCAATACACCTCCCTCTCCCTCCTCAAAGTTTTGGTGAAAAATAAAGTTATTATATAGCCTTGGCAGAATACCGAATGATGCCTCAGTTTCAGAGGGAAACCACTTTAAATGTTTTTTTTTTATGACCTCCCTAGGGAAGCCTACCTGGTTCCACCTTACCTCACTTTTCTGCTAATTGTTAAAGCATAGCTATTTCAAGCTCTCTCTTTTTCCCCAAGGCTTCATTCTAATCGTTTTTGAAGTTATGTGCTGATGTAGCTTCTCAATTACGGCATTCTTTGGTTGCATTGTTTAATGTGTTGTTGTATTATTAATAATACAAATCAAACGGGTTATTAGCTGCCTTGTATACTAATTTTTTAATTTCCCTTGTATACTAGAAATATTTTAAATAAATAAATAAATCATACTTACTGACCTTCAGGGTTTGTTGTACAGTATAGATTATAATGGAGTGTATTTGAAATGGTTTGAACACCTTGAACGAGTTAATTACGATTAGTTACCATGCCTACACGCAGAGCAATACCTCACTGGTCAAATTTCTTTCTGTTGGGAGTTTTAAAGCCAGTGCTAGAAAGAAAAATAAATTAAGGTGGCATCCCTAGCAATGAAGGAAAGGGGAAATTGCTGTCTCTGACTGTTCACAAAAATAGATGGGGCTTAACTCAGTCTTTCCCTGCTCTGGAATATTTTTTTCCTGTGAAAGAGGGACTTTTTGTTAAGAGAAATGGCACTTTCCATCCACTGCAGGGCATTCCTCCTCCCGCCCCCCCCCCGCCCCCGCCAGGCCAGTTCTTGTATCGTGTTCCAGGTTTGAGAAGCAGCATTAACAACTTATCCTAATATTTACCTTTTAACAATATTTAAGTTCGAAAAGATTTCATGTGATTGTGTCTGCTAGGCTAATATATGCAAAGTACTGGAAATGAGCAAACAACTTCAAAGAAAAAGTAATCCAGCATTAAAGGAGTGGGTCACAAAACTGGAACATGTCTGAATGAAACTGAAAATGATTTACATCTTACTGGAATGTCAAGACGAAAAAATACTGTTGTTGTTTTTTCCCCTTGCTTAGAATGGGAGTGTTAAACCACTCCCTCAGTAAAACGGTGTGTGCCTCTGCTTAAGTTATTTGCTTATTTTTGTGATATTATTCTCCTATTTTATTATTTTGCTCATTCACCCATTTCAGTGCTTTAATGTTTGCAAGTTGCTTTTAAAAAGAAAAGATGCAAATTATATATATTATGTATATATAATTGTATTACATATATACAAGTGAAGCCTGGGCACACTTTGTACATGCTTGGAGGAACTGTTAGCCCAGCAAGGTTGTGGAGCTGTGCAGTTTGAAGGGAAGGCTTCGTAGCTCAGTGGCGAAGCACCTGCTTGGCATGCAGAAGGCCTCAGGTTCAATCCTTGGCATCTGCTTAGTTGGGGCTCAGTATATTAAGCTGAATAAAATCAGTTTTCCCTCCTCCTGGGTGTGCCAAAAAGCAAGAGAATGAGAAACAAATTCTGTGTGGGTTCTAATGAAGCCATCACAAATACACACACACACAGATTCAAAACGGCGGGAAAGGAGCAGCCCGTTTGTTCGCCTCGTTCGCGCGCGCGCGCCCTTCCCTAGCGGCCCTGGAGCGCTTGGGCTCTCTCTTCCTCTCTGCCTATGTAGCTGTTGCCACCGACGCTCAGCTCTCGGGCTGACCTACTTTCCACGCCAGATTCCCAGCGTGCCAACCTGGGGAGCGCGCAGCACAGGAGCGCGCAGGAGCGCGACAGAGAGAGCACTGGGAGCCCTTGCTTGTCAACTCTCCGTGGCTCATCCTCGGATGGGACGCCTCGCTACGCTGCGCTGCCTGCTTGATGCTGCCGCCGCCGCCACCGCCGCTCCTCGGTCCTTTGGAGTTTGGCTGCCATCACCACTTCAGGAGGGATGTTTCTGAAATGTGTTCTCCCTCCTCCTTGGCTGTGCCAAGCGAGACAGATAAATAAATAGCGCGCGTGCACCCACACTTATACCAAGGCTCTCTTTCAGCGTGGGTGGCACTCTCTAGCCACCTCCGCCTGGCTGGGCATGATTGGGATGGGTTCAGTTGAACCCTTCCCCGCCTCCACCCCCCCCCCCATAGCAACCCGGCTTCCATTACTATCCAATATCTGGACGGGGTGGTGGGGTGGTGGTCCGGCTCTCTTCTGTCAGAGATTCCCATTAAGGCGCGCTCCGTGGGAACATTTCCCCCTCATGCCCAGCGAGTTCCTTCTGCCGGTGCTTGAGGATGCGCTCCTCCTCTCCTTCACGTGCACGAGTAGGTCTCTCAGCCTATCTACCTAAATCTCCCCTCCTCTAAAGTAAGGGAGCTCTTCGTTATGCGCGTCCCACAGCACAGCAGAGGTTCGCTTCCCCGAAGCGCGCCGCCGCCGCCGCCCTACTCAGCGCTTCTCGCTTTTGACACAGCTCTTGGCAAAGCGCGCTCTCTCTCTGTGTGTCTCTTCCTTCCTTTCCTCCAGTCCCGTCCTCCGCCTCGGCCCTCCCTTCAAAAGATGTGGCTGGCTGACTAAACTGACTGGACTTCTCCGCGAGCTAGAGGCGCGCGTACGCGCTCCCGGGTCCTACTGACCCAGGAGGAGCGGCGGGAGCGCGCCCGCAGCACGGGCGATGATGCCAAGGGAGGACGGGCTAACCCCAGCAAGCCGTGCATGTATGTGTGTGTGTGAGTGTGTTGGGGAGTTACACAACCAGTCAGGGCAGATTGCGTGCTGCAAATGTGAGTTTTCCCCAAGTAAGCCAAAGCTCCCGTCTATCTTTCTCCACCTCTTACTTGGACCAACCCCGTCTTCTTATTTTTATTTTTAATTTTTTTGGGCGCCCCTTCAAGTGCCCTCATTGTTACCACTTTCTAGAGACGTTTCCATCCGCCCTTCCTTAAACAGTTTTCGGTTTTATTACGACTGTTGTTGTTATTCTGCTTTGGAAGGCGAGAATCGAAAAGATGATATGTGGTTCCTTCTCCTGGAGGCTGGCACCAGAACTGAGGACCCTCGCTGCTGTTGGTCGGGCATCTTCTTAGAAGAGAAGCTGGGTAAGTTCTTGCACTGGGGGCAGTTCGACTTTCTTTCAAACCGGGGTTCTCCCCCCCCCCCCCACAGCGCGGTATGTTTGTTTTGCATATTTGCCTGGCATGTGCAGGCAGTCTAGGTGCCCGATGTGGGTGGTAACTTACTCTGTGCGGCATAAAAGTTTTGGGTTCTGGGGGTTGTCGGGGTTTATTTGCTCCCCTTGGTTGCAAGGCAATTGTTTTGTTTTGCAACTGCCTTTCCCTTTAATGAAGATGCCTGCAAGGTGAAGGAAATGGATGTGTTGGAAGATTCCCGGTCCGTCCTCGTTTCCTGATCTCCCAAATCGCGCTAAAGTCCTGTTGGTAGGACCTTTTCAAAACTCGCAGCAATGTATTTCAGCCTGAAAAGTAATTTTCTTTCTTTCTTTCTGTCTTTCTTTCTTTCTTTCTTTCACAAACCAGTGGAATGTGACAGGTTTTGACATCCAGGGAATCTTTAGCTAGACCAGGGCAGATTGAAATGGTCTTGCTAGGTGTATATTATAACTTTGAATCAAATCAGAACCATGGAAACAAATGGAGAAGCATCTTTTATTTAAAGTCATCAAGGCTTACCTGTGTCTGAGTAGATTTCGGTGAACAAATAGCATAATTAATTCGAAATACTATGCATAGTTTGAGTTTCAAAGGTATCATATAAGGAATCATATAAGGAAGAAGGCTGTTCCATAGTGTGCCCAGTTTGCTGTAAAAGAGAGTGATTTATCTTAGGTACAGATGAATGTGGTTGTGATGGATGTTGCCAGCTTTCTCAGTCTTTCATTGCAGAAGTCTATTAGAATGGTCCAACAGCAAAGGGGGGAAGCTAAGTCATATTCTGATATATAGATGTTTGATGCGAGGTCAAAAAGTTACTCCCTGTCTGACTTTGCAGACTGCTTATAAACAGGGAATTGTGGAAAACTGCTTATCAGCCTACAAAAACTGTAAATTGATTGCTCTTGTGAGTGGTTTGTATTAGAAATGTACAGCTAAGCCGTGCCCAGGTGACTCAGGCAGTGTCATAACCATCTTACAGAATGCCTGGCCTTTGTAAAATTACACAATCCCAAATGTCAGATCTGAGCCACCAGATATCCCGTTTTACCAGTCTACCTTAGATCCACCGTAAGTAGATTTAGAGAAGCAGCCCTGCAATGAATTGGAGAAGGAGGAGGAGAAGGAGGAGAAGAGGGGCAGTTGAGATGACATGATAATTAGTTGGGCTGTGATCTTCAAAACATACTTGGGAATAGTGCCATGAGCTTTAGTGGGAATAGTCAAGAACAAGTGGACTGAAAACTACAACTTTAAACAATTGAACAAACATCCTCCTGTTTCAGGAGAGATTTTAGGGGGATGGGGTTGGTATTAGCAAACCTTTTTAGCAAGGTGCACTTGAAAACAGACATCATTATCCTCAGGCATCCTTAAAAAGGGTGCAGTAGGAATATGCTAAGAGGGAAGAGATTTATTACAGGGAGATTATTTTACCTTGCCCAGTAAAAGCAGTGTTGATCTAATTAGTGAGACAAAATGTTCCATTTGTTCAGACTCTGAAATGTCAGGAGTCATTCTGTTTCTTAATAACAACAAAAACCCATACTGCTAATTCACCTGTAGTTGCCTACCCTAATTTATGGGATTCTTTTCTGCTAATACCTGGGGCTTTGGATAGGTCCATCACCTGATGAAATATATCTTAGCTGATTGGTTGTATGAATTTTAATTGATTCACCAATTAATTAAAGGCAGATGAATCTGCAAAAATGCACATGCAAGGAAATCAATACCGCTGCAAAGAAAGTAAGTAAAACGAGTTACTTAAAAAGAGGGATTAGCTCCTGTGTGAGGCAGAATAATGTGGTATCTAATAGCAGATTTTTTAAAAAATAGATATTTTAATACAAAAACTGTGCATAGAGTGTTTTGCAATACATAGTTTTTGTAAGCCCTTGTAACACTTCCCCCCCCCCCAAAAAAAGTCTGCTGTTAGTTAATCAGCGTTAACATATTTTTAGTAAATCAAGTTTTTTTTAAGAAAAAAGAAAAAACACTGATTAATGTTAAACCATTTAATGGCCTAATAGTGCACATCTATGCTCAAAATAAAGGCATGCTGTGTGCCTTGAAAGTAAAGCCCATTGAACTCAGTGTAATTTACTTACAAATGTTACAGCTCTAGTTTTGGACTAGTAAGCAGCTTTTAAGATCCAATATCAAAATTGGTATGGACAAGTTGCAAACAGTGTACCATCTTATGGGGGGGGGGAGGAAAAGTACTTGTACAGTATAATAGGTGTGGGGAAATCTGAGGCGCCAAATGGAGCCCCCCAAAGTCACTCTATTTGGCCCTTGAGATTTGCTCCAGGCCACACCCTTTTACAAGGTCATGCCCTTGTCATGTCAGGCCACATCCCTCTCTCAACCAGCCCCACCCTACACTCTCAAGTCGTTTTGACTGACTGGAGCAGGCTTCCTCAACCTCGGCCCTCCAGATGTTTTGAGACTACAATTCCCATCACCCCTGACCACTGGTCTTGCTAGCTAGGGATCATGGGAGTTGTAGGCCAAAAACATCTGGAGGGCTGAGGTTGAGGAAGCCTGGTCTGGAGTGTATCAGTGAAATGTAATAATGCCTCTTGCTTGCCTAGATAGAAAAGCAGTGTGACCCTAAGGGAGAACATGAAAAGATGTGTGTGGTGTAAAAAAAACAACCCTCTGACTATACAGCCCATGAGCTATGAACATCCTTGTTTCCTTAGATTCTCAACCTGTGCACAGCAGCGGAGGAAGCTGCTCAGGCGCCTGGGGTGAGCTGCCCATAGGGGTAGGGTGAGCGATCCATAGGGGCAGGACGAGTTGCCCATAGGGGTGAAGAAGTTGGCATGTTCAGACGCTTGGACACGGGTGCAGGATGGTCCCAGAGACCCATAGCTATCAGGATTTGATCTATTATGTTCATCAGAGGCTGTGGCCTGTGTGGGGTAGTGGTTAGAGTGTTGGATTAGTGCTTCAAGTTCAGAAGGGGACTTTGGACTAGTCAATACCTCCCAGCCTAACTTACCTCCCATGGTTGTTGTGGGAATCAAATGAGGAGGTGAATCATGTCCATCACATTGGGCTCCTTGGAGAGAAAAAAGTGGGATACAGTGGTACATCGGGTTACATATGCTTCAGGTTACATACACTTCAGGTTACAGACTCCGCTAACCCAGAAATAGTACCTTGCGTTAAGAACTTTGCTTCAGGATGAGAACAGAAATCGTGCTCCGGCGGCGCGGCGGCAGCGGGAGGCCCCATTAGCTAAAGTGGTGCTTCAGGTTAAGAACAGTTTCCGGTTAAGAACGGACCTGCGGAACGAATTAAGTACGTAACCAGAGGTCCCACTGTATAAAAAATAAATATAAAAAAGCACAGGTGGGCAACTTTGTCAGCCAAAGGCTGCATGCATCCCTGATGTCATTTTATGTGGTCTTCTTAGGATCATAGAAGGCTTGTCATATACCAAGTTAGAACATTCGTCCACAGATGGTATTTAACATCCACCAGATTGGCAAAAATGTCTTTAAAAAGTAAAAAAAAAAAAAGGTATTATTTTGGAAGTGTGAAGAAGATGAGGGATCCTTTTGCCACATTTGGTGGTCCTGTAAAGTAATTAAGGAATATTGGAAAACTATATATAATGAATTTAAAAATATATTTTAAAAAAAATCTTTCCCCAAAGACACCCGAGATTTTCCACTTGGGGGTGGTAACAACAGATGTCTCCCCTCCACACAAAAAACCGAGTCTATTACTATACGCCATTGCCACAGATAGAACCTTATTGGCACAAAGGTGGAGAACAAGTCTAGTACCCACTAGGGAAGCTTTAATGTTTGATGTATCACAGTATTTTAATATTCTTTTGGAAGCCGCCCAGAGTGGCTGGGGAAGCCCAGCCAGATGGGCGGGGTATAAATAATAAATTATTATTATTATTATTATTACATAAGGAAGAATGGCAGTGTAAAATGCTCTAGTATGCTGAACTGTCTGGTCTGATGAACAGGATAAGAGAAAATGAAGATAGCGAATACAAGGAGGAATAGATAATGTTTATTGACTATTTCAAGAACCAGTACAGACAAATACACAGCTTAGCAGGTCTCGAGTAAATCCAGCAGAGTTGAAATATATATTTTTAACAAATTGGATGATTAAAAAGGTGTGGATTACACGGAGTAGCAGAAAAGCAAAGGAACCAGGAAAAGTGTGGAAGGGAAGTCATACGGTATATGTATACATACTGTATTTGGTACGAAGATGTAAGTGGGACAGGGGGAGAGGAGGGGACTTAAAGATGCTCTTTGTTCCTGTTTTGGAAAATGCAAATTAAAAAAATGGAAAAAAGAACATTCGTCTTTATGCACTGTAGACTGACTGGCTCTCCAGGGTTTTAGGCAGGAGGCATTCCCAGCTATACCTGAAGATGCCAGGGACTGAACTTTGTACCTTTTGCAGGAATAGTAGATGTTCTGCTACTTAGCCGTGATCTTTTCCTATTCCTACATCCCATCAGGGCAGCTTCCTTCCCGTTTGCATCCTTATTTTCCTGGACTTTTAAAAGCTTTCCCTCACTTTCTGTGCAGTTTTAGATCAGTTGGAAGGGGCAGTTTTTCGCATCATGGAAATAGACGGTTTTTGATTAAATCATTGCTTGTGTGGCTTGTATATGTTTTATTCACCAGCTGTCTGAGAAAAAAAGTGCATAGGCTTCTACCATACATGTGTGAGATACTACTTTCACTTGAAAAGCAATATACATATTTGAGAGTAACTGCTTCAACCCCAGTGGGGCTTACCTCTGAGTAGAACTTCGTAGGATTGAGATTCTCAGTTACGTATTGGTAAAGGCCTTTGAATCAAAATAAGCTATGTTGGTGATACTCATATGTGCCTTCCCTGCTCCTGCCAACCTAGCAGTTCGAAAGCACGTCAAAGTGCAAGTAGATAAATAGGTACTGCTCTGGCAGGATGGTAAACGGCGTTTCCGTGCGCTGCTCTGGTTCGCCAGAAGCGGCTTAGTCATGCTGGTCACATGACCCGGAAGCTGTACGCCGGCTCTCTTGGCCAATAAAGCGAGATGAGCGCCGCAGCCCCAGAGTCAGTCACAATTGGACCTAATGGTCAGGGGTCCCTTTACCTTTTAAACCTGGAATATTGCACCACTTGGAGATTGCGGTGGTATGCAACACTATTTTAGCTTTCTCTTTAACTAGCCAGTTTTCTGCCTTGGAGGCCTTTCCATCCTTCCATGCAGGAGCATTTGGGCATCTTGGTTCTAGTTGCAGTCGGAAGTTGCACAGTGATTTTTTTCCTTCCCCTACTGCGTAGTAATAACAATCTACGGTTTTCAGTGGTAGCTTTCTACTTTAAGCCCCCCCCCCCCCTTTTTCACCTGACAACTGCCAGCAAATATTGAAGTGTTATTGAACCAAATATCTTCTCCCCATATGCACTGCTCTTAATTTACTGCCCTTATATGTATTTATGGTGGTGTAAACGCCAGCAGGATCTGCCCCAATGGATTTCGGTTTGCCAGTAACATCCAGGCTTGTACCATCGATGCTGGAGAAGACTCACCATTCTGTATCACAGCTGTACTGCCAGCCTCTGAGACAGAAGCATGCTGTTACAAGTATTGCTTTTTGCAAAAGCACTTTAAGGAGGAAATGAAAGTTCATTGAATTTAACAAAGTTTTCTTGTTTACTTCAGTGACTAATAATGTCCTGAACCGTATCCTAAACCCATCAGCTCTCTTACAACGGTCGATATGTTCAGGATGCTGTTAGGGACATGGAACTAGAGAACATTTACCTCTGTTCTATTGCTATAGCTGTGTTTCCTCCCCTATGTTTTTTACACTCAGTGGGTTGTAGTCTAGTCAAGAGTAAAACCCACTGAAACTAATGAACATAATTTACATGGGCATATCAGTTTCAAGGGGTCTACTCTAATTTAGTTAAGCACAACCCCAAATCTAATGCCAAATGAATTCTGATCATGTTTAAGTAAGCGTCTGCAGCCAAGATTACAATCTGAATCACTGGGACTTACTTCTTCTTAGATGTGCATAATTTTGTACTTTTAAGAACATGGAGAGTGACCTTTTATCTGATCAGACTGTGTCTGCTCTGCTGGGTTTCAGAAAGAGATCTTCCCCATCATGTGCTAACCCAGTGGATGCCTTGAATGATGGTCAGGGGTGCCGCAGGAAACACTGGCCTCTGTCCCTCTTTCCTTCCCTCCCTCCTCTGATGCCCTCTTGCGTCTCTGCCTCCCAAAGACTTGCACAGTTGTTTGTTGCAGCAGCCCTCGTTACAAGTGAATGGTGCCTCTGGGGATGACCAGGGGGTTCTTCCCAAGCCCCTGTGGGGCAGTGTGAGGAGACACCTCTCTTTGGGGCTGGGCTGGGGCCAGCTTAGAGACCAGGGGCGGCAGCAGCGACTGCCCAGAGGACTCCCAAGGAGAGGAGAGAGGAGAGAAGGCTGAGGGAACACTCCACAAGGGAGGGTGCTCAAAAAGGGGTAAGGGGTTGCCAGCTCTGCAGGCAAGGGGTGACTTAGCTGGGCTCCTGAACCCCAAAGGGGTGCCGTAGAAAGAATGCAGTTGGTCAAGGGGGCCATGGACTCAAAAAGGTTGACAATCTCTGAGATGCTTGGGGTTAAATATAGAACTTTCTGCATGCAAGCGAACCTTTTCATACCACTGATCTACTACTTTGTCTTATTGGTTGGCTGCCCCCCTGCTCACCACCACCTTTGCCACTCATTTCCAGTTCCGTATGGGACTGGACTTGGATTCAGGTGGCTCTACTATTCTTTTTTTAATTTAGTGCTGTGGCCAATCATTGTGTGTGCATGTGTATATATATGCATGTGTGTCTTAAGGATCTGAATAGTAAGGCTATTGTACACATTAAAATGCAGTGGGGTTGTTTCCTCCCACTGTGTTTCAAGACACATTTTTATGTTTTTGCACATACCAGAGAGGGGGCAGGGAAGTCTTCAACAGACGCACATTACTTCTTTGGTTTTCCCATGCTTGCAGCCCTCCTGAACTCCTTTTCATAGAAGCTGCTATCTGCACATGTGCAAAGGCTGTCTCAAATGTACACACCTCAGCCTAACCACAGCTTACATTAAGCTGGTTTGAGGGAAAGCATAGCAAACAAGAGGGTTTCTCAAGAAATTGCATATGGATTGTAGCTAACATCATGCATACTCGAAGTCACCAGCAGTAGCAGCACACTGGAGCCAAAGTTAATGATAATGTGTACACAGCCTATATCCTTGTCAATGTGTATACATAAATTACTAATCATGAAAATCTACAGCCCCCTTTTCTCATTTGCATGCCCACATGTGTCATTGTAGCACATCAGTGGCCTGGAACCAACTCTGTTCTGGTTTAGATAAGCTTCATTGCTTTCATTTGCTGAAGAAGAAGGCTTATTCACCGTAAGCGATCACTTGAGCGCTCATTCATTCATTTCACGCATTTCTAGCCTTCCTATCAGTTTTAAGCTGTTCAAGTTACCTTCCAACATTAAAACCACACATAGATTGCAATTAAAAACACAGGAAAGAATGTTGTGAAAATACAGTCCATAAAATAGCATTGGCGGTAATAAAAAATGCAGAAATCACCGTTCATTAAAGGCAAATGAAATTGTTTTGCATTGGTGTCTAAAACCCAAAGGATCTGGAGCCAGGATGCATATCCTGGAAGCCAGTTCTGTAGACTTGGTGGGAGTAAATTAAAAAATGTAATTTGCAGTTGCCACCCCAGTTTTTGTAGTCCCATCAGCACCCCCCCTTCCCTTAAAGCAAATTCCATCTTCAAGAGAGGGGTTTCAACAGGACCTCAACCATAAATCACCACACACATACTCAGCTGATGCAATTTCTTCTTTTTTGTTTTAAAGAAAACCCTGCATGTTAGACACATTTAATGGTTGGTTCTTCCTGCCCTCTGCAACTCGTGTGCAGTTTGCCCAGAGATGGCTCTCGTCCACTTATTTCTGATCATGAACCAGCTGCACAGACTTGTTATTTCCATTTGCATAAGGGAGGTGTTTAATACACCCCCTCACCCCCTCCATCGCAGTCCACCATGTACTGATGCATCTTCTGATCCCATAACAAGGCTGTAAATATCTGCAGAAAGTAAAGGTGGGGGTGCATGTTAATTGTTTGGGCTTGTTTTGCCTGTGTGAGAGATGCTTCTGTCAGACCAGAGGTGAATGTGTTACTCCTCTTCTAGTGCACATCAGGTCCTTTAAAAAATGGGCAAAGGGAAGCACACAGCACATAAAACTGCACTAGGGTGTGAAGTCTTGGATGTTCTCCCTGCAGAGGAACAACTGTTTTTTCAAAGGAATTGTGGATGTAAAATATACACCGCCTCCTCTTTCTGCTAGGAACTGAAAACAATTTAAGATTCTTAGCCTGGAGCATAGATTTGACAGCTGATAAGCTGTCCTCTTCCTAGAATTTGAAATAGCAGTGCACTCTCAGAAAGTAATAAAAGAGGAAGTCTGATTTACCTCCCTCTGGTAAGTTATCTGATCTTATTTTGCTTCTCTTACTCTTGAAGTCAGGGGCAAGGCTTCCAAGTTTACATTTTTACCAAGTGCCTCTCTCAGCAGATGCAACACGTGTTATTAACTCTTCAGTTACCACGACGACTTGCATGAGTCAGCATTTTTTTTAAAAACAGTAAATCTGATCTTCTCTTTTGCAGCGGACAGCAGTTTAGAGACTGCGGTAGATATTTCCTGTTTTCTATATTAATTTAATGACAGGGAGTCAATGGGCAAAGAGAGTTGCCAAAAATAGTAATTTATGGCTGCTGTCTGCTGATTGATGTTTGTATTGAACAAGTCACATTTGTTAATACTGGAAGATTGCCGGACATCTTAATTTAGGAGTTCTCTACTAACTGAATAATGAGGCACTTAATTTTGCAAAAACCACAAGGCTATTATTATTACAAGTGATTGTTTTGATACAGTAATCTCTCTTCTTCAGCAGGGGTCTTGTTCCAAGAGTTCCACATACAGTATACACAAAAATCATGTATAGTATACTGAAACTTTTGGAGCTGCCCCATGGCTAGCTGTTGAGGGGAAGAAACAGAACATCTTTAACACTCCCCAGCCAGTGTGCTGAGCCAGCCTTGGCCAGCAAGCAAGGTGGAGAGCTTAAAAGTTCTTGCTTGGTGTTACCCAGTGCAAAAAGAGCTTTTAAACTATTTGCCTCGTCCGCACAGCATGCTGGCTCTTGGAAGGCTAGGGATGCTCATGAGAGGTCTCCCCTGGCTTGCCCTGCAAAATCTCATGAGAGCATCCCAGAGCCAGTACACCGAGGGGGGGCTTGCATTTGTGCTGGGTAACCCAAGTGGACCCCATGAAAATAGCCTTTAAGCTCTCTGCCTTGCTTGGCATATGACTTGCACAGATTCAACCAGCCCATCCTTAACCGCATATTAGAGGCAGCGCGACTGGTTCCCCCGCAGTGGGTGCCTCGCTGAGGGGGGTGCTGCAGGGCTTTGCAACTATGATGTAGTATTAAGTGCAGAATGGAAGGCAGTGGTGGGGAGCACCAAATTTTGGCCTTGCACAGGGTGCTGCTGAAATCTGGAAAACCAAATGGTTGAAATTGTGCAAGACAAAGGGTTGGACTAGATGACCCTCAGCGTCCCTTCCAACTCTACACATCTATGATTCTATGAAATTTAAATTGAATTTTAAATTGTGCTTTGTTTTTTAATTAATCTGTTATAGTTCTTATTTGCTTATATTACATTTTTCTGATGTGCGTGTGTGTCTTGACATTGATTTGATTTTGCTTTGTGAACTGTCCCTGACCAAGGGATTTCTGCTATGGGATAGGCAAATATATATGCAACGGGATCTTTGAATTCAAGCCTGTGGTATAAGCTTGCCAACTTAACTTTGTACAGTACTTCAGGAATGTAGTTGATTGCAATTAATAAACAGGATCATATGACTGAAGGTGGTTCTTTAGCTAGTTGGGTCAAAAATATTTAGTGCATCTTCTAGAATTCTCAGTAGAGCTCAAGTTGGTGCCATCACTTAGTGGACAAAATAGCACACCTATGGAGGGCGGATATACTTTCTTCTTTGGTCACCTGACTACACCTTGTGTTTGCATTTATTTATCTCCTTCACAGCTCTTTCTCTGTGTTCTTGCCAGGTTCCCCCATCTGTTTTGTTTTGTTTGTGTTTTTACCATGTGTCCAATTCCTTAAGGCAAGAACAGGGAACCCCTGTCATTCTGAGAGCTGCATTCTTTTATGGACAAGTTCAACCTTTTGGAGGCTGCATGCCAGTGGTGGGCAGAGGCAGAAACTGGGTTTAGCCAGAGGCAAAAAGTTTGTGAGTGAGTGAGCGCAATGCTTCAGGACCAGTTTTTAGACTGAATTGTCCTTGGTCCTCACGATAGATGACTCTTCAGGAGAGGGACATGGGGAGTGCAATCCTGTTGCTCTTGCTTTACATCTCAGTGACTTTCAGTACTGTTGACCATGGTATCCTCTTGAGTTGGTGGCACTGTTTTCAGTGGCTTCACCTCTACTTAAGGGGCTGACTCAGAAAATAGTGATGGGCGATTATTGGTTTGCCCCCTGGCAGTTGTGCTGTGGGATGTAGCAGGGCATTATTTTGTACCCAATATAAAATAAATAAAGCTGGTGACAATGGCCATTATGAGATTTGGGGCATGGTGTCATCAGTATGCTGATGACACCCAACTCTGTTTCTCTGTTAGATCTCATTCAGGAGACGCTGCAACTTTTCTGAGCTGGTACCTGGATGCAGTGGTGACTGGATGAGAACCAATAAACTGAGACTGAATCCTGGTAAGACTTCATGTGTGAGCAGTTCTCAGGACCAAAAGTTGGGGAGTTTTTCAGTTCTGGAGCACTCCCTCTGAAAGAACAGATAGGTAGTTTGGGAGTAGTCCTAGATCTGCCTTCATCACTGGATGCTCATTAACCTCAATGGTGAGGAATGCCAATTATCAATATAAGTCTGTGATTTCTTCCTGGACAGGAATAGCTTGACCACTGTGATTTATGCATTTGTAACCTTGCAATTAGTCTGCAGTAAAGCACTCTGTGGGTCTTCCCTGCACCCTGAAAGCTGGTGCAGAATACTTCAGCCAGGTTATTCAGTGGTGAACCTGGAGTGCCACCTTTTTCATCTGTGCTAAGAGAACTGTGTTGGCAGCCAATTAGCTACCCAGCAATGCTCAAGAACTTGTTATTAACATACAAAGCTCTGAACAACAATAATGTTGCCTGAAGGACCGGCTGCCCCTGTACAAACCTGCAAAATTGCTAGAGATCTTATTTGGGGGAGATTTTACTTGTGGTACTACACCAGTGACCTGATACTGTATAACATAGCTTTCTATTTTTGTATGTACAATGTCCCTTTAAAAGCAACCCCTATTCCCCACTTATTTTTCTTCCCTTAGAAAGCTGCCTTACAACAAGTCACACAAATGGTCCAAATAGCAATGCACTGCCTACAGCATTGGTTCTCAGACTCCCCCCCCCCCCCCGGCTCACATTTTCAGAATAAAAATTTGCTCATGCGACACTGCATTTCTTATTGATAAGAAGTACATTGGAAAGCAAAAAAAGAAACAACTTCTAGCAGTGCTTGATTTTGAAAAGGTATCTATCCATATTATGCAAATAAAATAACATTTTGATGCGATACCATATTATACTGAAATGTTTCTTTGTTTGTCCCTGAATCTTCCTGCCACACTTGCAATCCCCTCCTGCCAACCAATGTGGCATGCCACAACCTTTGAGAGCCATGGGTCTATGGTGCCTGAAAGTAGCTCTCCTAGGTTTCAGACAGCCCTACCTGGAGATGCTAGGAATTGAATGTGGGTCTTTCTGAACACCAAGCAGGTGCTCTAGCACTGAGCTACATTCTGTTGATTCGAATAAACCCTGCTTCAGACCTGCCAGGGAACTGCGCATAACCCTTTAAATAAACCCATTATATTTACTTAATGGGGAACAACAGACAACAAAGGTGCCACCTTGTCCGAACCGTGACAACTCAGAGAAGGAGGAGGTGGTGGTTAAGAATTCTTTGGCCAACAACCCGTTAGCCCCTTCATAAAGTGGCCAGTTGTCAAAATCCTTGTTGTGCTATGTGGCTTAGCAGCCTTTTGCCAGATGTAATGTCGTTAGGGGGTGCGGGTGGCGCTGTGGTCTAAACCACTGAGCCTAGGGCTTTCCGATCAGAAGGTCAGAGGTTCGAATCCCTGTGACGGGGTGAGCTCCCGTTGCTCGGCCCCAGCTCCTGCCAACCCAGCAGTTCGAAAGCACGTCAAAGTGCAAGTAGATAAATAGGTACCGCTCTGGCAGAAAGGTAAACGGTGTTTCTGTGCGCTGCTCTGGTTTCACCAGAAGTGGCTTAGTCATGCTGGCATATGAGCTGGAAAAACTGTCTGAGGACAAACGTTGGCTCCCTCGGCCATTAAAGCAAGATGAGCGTTGCAACCCCCGAGTTGTTTGCGACTGGACTTAACTGTCAGGGGTCCTTTACCTTTTTAAAGTTGTTAGCAAAGACAAGAGGCCCCAGAGCCACTACCAAAATTGATGCTTTAGTCCACATATTTTCTTTCCATTCAGATGTTGCTAACTGTTAAGAAGACCTTCTAGTTTTGTCTTAGTGATTCTGGGGATTGGCTTGCTGCCCAGCTCTGTTTGAATAGCGAATATCTAACCAAATTCCACTTTCTGCAATTAAGCAGAGAGAAAGGTGCAAAGCCCTTGCAAAATAAACATTCAAAACATGGGTGTCATTCAGATATACTGATCTCTGTGCAAATCTTTTTATTTTTATTTTTACTGCCAAGTCTTAATGTAATGCAAGGAGATAACATAAATGCGATGCAAGTGCTAATGCAAGGAGATAACATAAATAAAGTACCTGTTTCATTACTGTTTTCCAATTTCACATGTAAAACGCTGGGAATGATGTTCCACAATAATGGAGTGTGGCTGGAGTTTATTTATGACTACATAGGGCAGGCTTCCTTACCACCCGAGGAGACAATTCTTGCTTCTTCTGAAGCTGAAAAGACACATGTGCATTCTTTGAAGTCAGTCTGCTTTTCTTTAACTGTGTGTGCGCATGCGCAAGCACTGTAAGCCCTGCGAGTAAGCTCCTTGAGGATGGCAGATTTCAAGCTTGTTTCATCACCATGGGGCTCCATTCAAGCTATTAGAAAAGCTCTGCTCAACTTCCAGAGTCACAATTTACATACAGTGGTTTGCCAGGCACCATGTCTTAATGCATTTTTTTCCAGCAGCTGTAGTATGTTATTAGAGCATAATGGTTGATGCTGTCGGTATCGGGTTCAGGCAGTTTTGCGGCACTATGATTTATATATATTGCTACCAGGCAGTTGTCAATGCCAGTATCTTCGCCATCTCAGGGACACGTAAGATTTGTCCAAAGACAAGTTGGAATGTGGTTAAGTACTTTAATTAGCTGATTGTATCACTCTTCAGTTTTGCCGTCGATTTTCCAGACACTTTGTAACAACAAATTGTTCTTCGTTACGCACCAGGGTGTTCAGATTATTTTGCTGTTCTCAAAACACTGCCAGGAACCCGAGAACCTTCCTAGCTTTCCACTTGCAGGCAGGAAGGAAATAGGAAAGCTTTGTTGAATGTCTTCTGGGCCTTCATGCAAGGCAAGTAGGTTTGTGTGTTTGCTTCTTCTTCTTTTTTAAAAAATAATGTTCCCAAAGATGGGAAGAACATGCAATGAACCATACACTTGTAAGGGCATGCAGAGAACATTTTGTGAGCTCCACCCTGGTGCAAGAATTCTCATTTCACGTCAGAAGTTGGCAACCCTATTTAGGTAATGTACCTGTACCAGGATGGCACTGTGGTGTGACATATGACTTGTATTTTATGCTGCTTTATTTCAGTGTATGCCTTTTACTGTACAGCGGTGTAACACTTTGGGATTTTTAGCTGTTTGTAAATGCTTTTAATCATCCATTCATCTTTATTTAGTTAGCTTAGTTCAATTCTATTCCATTTTACACTTTTGGGGAGGTACCCTGTAAGCAGCTTATAACATGTCTTAAAACACAACAAATAGAACATTGTAAAATATCAGAACATGACAAAGCGTGTTCTCCTTCATGGAGAGCACGTGTTGCAGTGGGGGCCGCCAGGACACTCCAAAGTTGTGGGGCGGGCTGATTGACCGTTGGCCATTGATGTGATTGGGGCTTCCCTTGTCGTTGGGAAGAAGTTAATGTTGCCATTTGTTGATTGACAGCCAGAAATGCTAAAACTTCTTGCACGAGGCTAGGGCTTCCTCTTTTCGCCCATGCATCGGATTGCCCGTCCCTCCCTCCCTAGAATAGGGTTGTTCGCTTTGACCTTGCTATGCCTGTCATGGGGGTCGTCTGCTTTGGGGCAGGGGCCCGGTAGGAATTTTGTCCATCTGGCTGATTGGCTGGGGCCATTTGGTTTTTGCCTACTGCGTAGCAAATCGTCACAACTTGTAAGGTTACGGTTAGGCATTGGTTTATGGTTTGGTTGGTTGAGGGGCATGGATTGGCTGTGCCTGCCCCTCTAATGCTGCTGCTGCAAGGGATTCCGTTAAAGGAATCGGGGGGCTAACTATTGCTTGTCCACCCTGTCAAGGGGGCTCGGGCCACTGCAAGAGCTCCTGGCTGCATTTGGGGTGGGCTGAGGGCAGGTTCCCTGCTCCGTCGCTAGCCCCAAGTATATTCCCCTTTTCTGACTTTCGCAGGCATAGGGAATGTTAGACTGTCCCCCATGGTGGGGGCAGATAGTCGCAACCAATGCCTAAGCAACCACTCACATGTTTGTATTTTAATAAAGTTGTGGCCAAAATTATGCCAAAAACCTTAAACAAAAATATTGGTGTGATGTGTGAGTTATTGGGGTGGCCCTGGGGACCTCAACACGCAAATGAAAATCAAGTGCAAAACCCCACCATCACATTTAATGCAGCATAATTAGCAGCAAAATAGAATACCCCCTTAAACATCAAAAACACTGCAAGTAGAAATCAAATACAATATTTTAAAAAATATCACGTGTTAAAGCAGGAGTAGACAATAGGCTAACTTCCAAATGTTGTTTGAAGTCCCATGTCCAATTGTCCATTCTCTGTTGCTTGCTTCCTGCATCCACATAAGCCTTGCTGTCAGTTTTAGATCATCCACCCATCACATATGTCTCCACCCCCTTAGTCTTTTGCAATTTTAGGGTCTCCATACTGACACTGCTTTATTCTATTGGTCTCAACTGTCTCTTGTCACATGTTCTTCATACAGCAGCGTAGCGTTGGTTGCAAGTGCCCGGGACAGGTGGGCATGTGCTGGGTGGGGTGTGTGAGAGCCCAACCCTCACCATCAATGCTGCCAAAGCGACCTCACCCCCACTAGAGCAAAACAGGGCCACGATGAGCTTGCCTGCCCACCCGTGCAGAGGGGAGCTCAACTTTGCCAAAATGGCCCTTGACGGACGAAGAGGAGCACCGGGCCAGGCTGTGCCGGGGGTGCAGTGCCATGCCCCTCCCAGCACCCCCATGCTATGCCCCTGTCTTCATATGTCCATTTTAACTTTTCATGGCCTTTCCCACTGTATCCGTAACTTTCAATCTCTGTCATATCCAATTATTATTTTTTTCTGTCCTTTAATGTTATTCCTAACATTGCATGTCCTATGGCATATGGTGGTACTCTGTCGTGTTTCTGTGCATTGTGATCTTGTTTTCTGCTCCATAATGCATCACAGGTAATGCACACGTATTGACCACTTTAGCTTTCAAGTCTAATGAAACATTTTTAGTTTTCATTATAAAGCTGAGTTTTCCAAAGGCTGCCCAGGATTGTTTTATTTCCACTGTTTGATTTTCTGTGCCCATTATGACTTTTTATCCTAAATCCTCAGCTGCAGGGCCATCTAATCTTTTGCCATGATAGCTGCGCTGTACCTGCATTGCTGGGGGGCAATGCACCTCTGAATGACAGTTGCTAGGAACTGCAAACGATTATAGATATATTTTCCTGCCATGCATTTAACAAATTGAAATGCTGTTCACATGCTGGCCAATATTTTTTTGTTTCGCTTCACACTTCATGGGTGGTTTAATGTTGTTGTTTCATTTATCTCGTTATAATTCATATGGCTTTCTTCTTGGTTTAACAATCAGCTTGCTATAAATGAATAATTGTAATGAATCACACCATCATCTCTATAAATTTTGCTCTGCTCTGTTGAGATGAATCGGATAATCTTTTTATGTTCTGAGTCCTGCCCCATCCCAGAAGTTACTTGAGGATTAGTGTACGGGAAACATTTCAGGGCCAGACAAGAAGAATGCTTTTTGGGCATTGAGATGATGATGATATTTATACCACACCCATCGGACTGGGTTTCCCCAGCCACGCTGTGCAGCTCCCAACAAAACACTAAAAACAGAATAAAACTTCAAACATTAAAAACTTCCCGAAACAGGGCTGTTTACACCTCCCTCACAATAAACCTCTTCTTTGGCATCACTGAAAGGTCAGGATCTAGGTGTGATTTTGAAGTAAAAGGTAAAGGGACCCCTGACCATTAGGTCGTCATGACTGACTCTGGGGTTGCGGTGCTCATCTCGCTTTATTGGTCGAGGGAGCCGGTGTACAGCTTCTGGGTCATGTGGCCAGCATGACTAAGCCACTTCAGGCGAACCAGAGTAGCGCATAAAAATGCCGTTTACCTTCCTGCCAGAGCGGTACCTATTTATCTACTTGCACTTTGACGTGCTTTCGAATTGCTAGGTGGGCAGGAGCTGGGACCGAGCAACGGGAGCTCACCCTGTTGCTGGGATTCGAACCACCGACCTTCTGATCGGCAAGTCTTAGGCTCTGTGGTTTAACCCACAGCGCCACCCGCATCCCGATTTTGAAGTAATGTAGTACTATTGAAATGGTTTGGTTGAAATGGAGTATAATGGTTCACTTTCAACAAAGGTGTGCACTTTCTGTTATTTCATTTCATATCTGGCTATCAGGACATATATTTATGGACTTAAGATGGATGGAGGAAGCTCTCACTCAATATAATGCCATCCTATGTTCCTAAAGACTAGGGAGGGACTTCAGCTTAGAGGTAGAGCTCATGTTCTGCTCATAGAAAGTCCCAGATTCTATCCTATGCATCGCCTGGCAGGAAAAAAACCTCCGTCAGATGTTTGGAGGATTGCTGCCAATCAATGCAGACAATACTAAGCCAAATGCACTAATGATCCAAACTTGTGCAAGGAAGCTTCCTATGAGTTATTGACTCCCAACTTGTGATCATGATGAACGGGGTTCACTCAGCCAACCTGCCAATTTCTGTCTGGTCCCTAAAGATCCACAGCAAACTATGTGGCCACATTGGTCAGTGATGTGAACTGGATCTTCAGGAATTTGTGACTGCACACTGACAAATTCATACTCTCTGGACATTTAAACTGTTCCTTCTCCTCTAGCTAGGTTTCAAGGGCTATGCATCTTTTGAGAGCAATGTGCAAGTCTCCTAGGTTTCTTTGGTAAAGGCAGTACATAAATGCTTAATAGTAAATATTTTAAAGGAGGACTTGAAGGAGCTGGGTGTGTTTAGCCTGGAAAAGAGGAGACGGAGAGGAGATATGATAGCCATTTTCAAATATCTTAAGGGCTGTCACATGGAAGAGGCAGCACACTTGTTTTCTCCTGTTCTGGTGGGCGGGACTCGAACCAGTTGCAAGAAAGAAGATTTCAACTAAACATTCGGAAAAACTTTCTGACAGTCAGAGCTGTTTGGCAGTTGAACAGATTCCCACAAGAGGTGGTGGGCTCTCCTTCCTTGGAGGTTTGTAAGCAGAGGTTAAATGGCCATCTGTCATGGGTGCTTTAGCTGAGATTCCTGCATTGCAGGGGGTTGGACTAGATGACTCTCGGGGTCCCATCCAATTCTAAGATTCTATGATTCTATTTATACTCTGAACTTTGCACAGGTTTATTTTATTTTTCTTTGCAAAGGCGATAAACACATATAATTTAGAGAGAGATGATTAAAAAAAATAGAGAGAGTTAAAGGGGTGGAGGGGAAGGTTCTAAGTTACATTCTCTTCCCTGGCACTGTGGAATCTTGTAGAAACCAGGACACTTTAGTTAAAGGTCACAGACATTTTAAACTACTGCTTCTGGCTCCTTGCTATGCATATGATTGTCCACTATCTCATTGACCTTGACAGTGCTATGCAGTTATATTTTCACACAAATGAACTCTTTCTGAACCGTTTCTCAAGCCGCATGCATTCATTGCATGAAAAAGGGCCTTAGCTCAGTCGCAAGAGCATGCTCAGCATGCAGAAGATCCCAGGTTCAACCTCTTGGGGAGCAGGGCTGGGGAACACCCTGCCCTAAGACCTTGGAGAAATACTCCTGAATTAGACACTGGTTGTGTTTGCACGGAACACTAGGTGGGCTACATGCACAAGCAGTGTGCTATGGCACTCAGGGCTTTTGTAGCTGCTATGTGCCTCCAATATTTTAGTGGCTAATAAGCTGAGATCCTAGGGTCCCATCTTCTGGGAACCCAGAAACCATGGTCAATGGCTTCAAAGCAAGTGAGGGTATGAAGCCATGGTTTAGAGATGACCTACTATCCTACGTTGTTTTCAGTCTCTAACTATAGTTCCTGGGCTCACACATAATGGCTGCATTTGCAGATCCCAAGAATATGTGGATGGCTCTCTCCCAAGCAGGAGCAGGAGCAACAGGCCACGACCCCTGACTTAGCATGATTTCCAAAATGGAGATCAATGTTTGTTTTGCTCTAAAATGAACCATGATGTGAAGCCAAGGTTTACCAAACATGGTTTGCTTGAGTGAAGCTAAGCAGGAATCCCAACTTGGAGATATAACTTTGAGCCAGGGATTGTGGTTTCATGCTTGTTCATGAAGGGAAGAACGAAGCAGGAGCAATCTCTGCATTGAGTGTAAACCATTAATTATGGTTAATCATGACATGCAAACGGGAACACTGGGAAGCTATGGTTAAGTACTGATTTCTGGCTTGTTCAGCCACTCATGCAAAGGAAGCAGTCAAGTGGCTGTGAAGGAGTTCTTGAGTATCTGAACACAGCTTGTGTATATTTTCCTGCTTATTTTTGACTTAGCTTTGGATGCAAATAGAGGGAGTGATGGACTAGAGAAGTTTAATCAGTAAAAGGCACTTTCACAAAAAAAAGTATATTCATTTAAGGAGGAGGACCTGGTAAACTTTTGCATGGCACAAGCTAGGGTTTGGTCATATCATTAATTGTAGCTGACACAATTCTTACCTCCCCAAGCATTTTCTAAGTCCTAACGAAGGGAACACTGGGTTATAAAACATGAGTTGTGCTTTACAAAACATGTGCTTAATTTACATCATTATTTTTTAAAACTTCCAGCTTGAAATTTGAAATGTTTTTCAATGAACAAATGTAATGGCAAGATATGCGTGTTAACTTTGGAGCCACCCATGATGAGGGAAAACTTTGGAGCCATCTATGATTATGGTACCCTATTTCTTTCTTCTCCCTTTATGGGCTCCTTGCTAAAAGCTGCAGTTTTGTACTTTGGGGGATATGGTTATAAACCATAAATGCATGCCAATTATTGTTAACAACAACAACAACAACATTATTTATACCCTGCCTATCTGGCTGGGTTGCCCCAGCCACTTTGGGTGGCTTCCAGCACATATAAAAACATAATAAAACATCAAACATTAAAAACATTTTTAAAATAGTCTTTTAAAAAAATTAATAAATCAGAAGTTCTCCTTGATGCTGCTCCCATGCTGAGTCATACATTTTGTTAGTTCAATGGTGTGATTAACCACCCAGCCATGCAAAAGAGCTGTAGGAAGAAAGACATGTATAATTTAAATAAGACTCATCAAAGCCCAAGGTCTTTCTTATATAGTATTTATGATAACAATTAGCCATAATGAGTGGTCATTATTCCAAAAGGTTAGCTCAAGTTGAGTTTACAGATGCTTTTAAGTCAATGCAGCTTTTCAATATAGATGTTTTTGGGATTTTTTACAAACTTTGAGATAAAACTGTTCTGCCTTTGATCAGACATGCGTTAATCATACGGGCAGGTGGAGCTTAGAACTCCCATATTATTTAAACTGGTTATTGATTCATTTCCAAGCCTAATTCAAAATTCAGGTTCTTACCTTTAAAATTCTAAATAGCTTTTGTGTGTGTGTGTGTGTGTGTGCGCGCGCGCGCGCGCCAACCCCCTACCATGAAGGAATCTTTCATCCAACATGGGACTCAAACCCATGCCCCGAAGATTCAAAGTCTAATGCTTGACCAACTGAGCTATTACCTGCATGCACCTTTCAGCTCTGGAGGCCCAGTTTCCTTTTGCAATATGAGATTCAGCACATAAGACAAGGCTATCTCAATTGCTACACCTCAGCTGCAAATGCACTCTCCACTCCCAAGTTGGCCGAATTGTTTAGAAGCACAGTAAACTGCCATACAGCTCAGCACTGCATAATCTGACAGGCAGCAACACAGGCAGAGATTTAATTTGGCATGGAAAACAGTAACTTTACTGCTAAGCTAGTACGGCTGCTCCACCCACTATCTCTATATTTTGCGTGTCGAGGTCCCCAAGCCACCCCTAAATAAATTCACACTTCACACCATAATTTTGTTTAAGGTTTTTGGCATAATTTTTGGCCAAAACTTTATTAAAATGCAAACAATGTGAGTGGTTGCTTAGGCATTTGTTACGACTATTTGTCCCCGCCCAGGGACAGAACTGACATCCGCAAGCCTGTGAAGTCAGTATGGGGAAACATTTTATGGGGAGTAAATGGAGCTGGGTACCAGACCCTCACCTCTCCCCAAATGCTCCCAGGGGCTCTTGCGTGGCCCTTTCCCCCTTTACAGAGGTGCGGACAAAAGCATGGTGAGCCCCTGGATTCCTTTAACGGAAGTCCCTTGCGGTAGCAGCATTGGAGGGGCAGGCACAGCCAATCCTTACTCCTCCACCAACCAATTTTCTAAAACCAATGCCTAACCGCAACATTACAAGTTGTGATGATTGCTACGCAGTAGGAAAGAACCAAATGGCACCAGCCAATCAGCCAAATGGACAAAATTCCTACCAGGCCCCAAAAGCAGACGACCCCATGACAGGCATAGCAAGGTCAAATGTGACAAACGCCCTAAAATTAGGGAGGGTGGGCGGGTGATCCAATGCACGTAGCGAAAAGAGGAAGCTCAACGCTGCGTGTAGGAAATATATTCAACCAAGGCTGTCAATCAAAATTGGCAACATCACCCCCCCCAGCAACCTGAGGAGTCCAATCACATTGTGGGCCAACCAAACCAACTTGCCCAGCAAAAGGGGGGGGGGTGTCTGGTTAACCCCGCCGCAACCCGGGCTCTCCATGAAGGAGAAGAGGCTTTGTAAGGGATGCTGCATTTTGATTGCTGTTGGGGACAGGACTGGTCCAAAACATTTTGACACCTGAGGCAAACCACAAAATGGCGCCTCGCTTCCCTGCCAGGAAGAAGGGGTGATTGAAGATCTATGTCAGGAACCAGGTGGGTATAAAGATCTACATCGGGCTCTGCTGCCCCTGTGGAGGCTGTCGCATTGCCTTGCCTCTTAAGTAAAGGTAAAAGTTAAGGGACCCCTGACCATTAGGTCCAGTCCTGACCAACTCTGGGGTTGCGGCGCTCATCTTGCTTTATTGGCTGAGGGAGCCGGTGTACAGCTTCCGGGTCATGTGGCCAGCATGACTAAGCCGCTTCTGGCAAACCAGAGCAGCACACAGAAACCCCGTTTACCTTCCTGCCGGAGCGGTACCTATTGATCTCGCACTTTGACATGCTTTCGAATTGCTAGGTTGGCAGGAGCAGGGACCGAACAATGGGAGCTCACCCCGTCACGGGGATTCGAACCGCCAACCTTCTGATCGGCAAGCCCTAGGCTCTGTGGTTTAACCCACAGCGCCACCCGCCTCTTAGGTAGACAAGCCTTATTTGGGGATATGATTGAAACGCTTCCAGAATCTCCATTTATATCTCATGTTTTCTTTCATATATGGTACTTGTTTTATCTTTTGTTTTGTTTGATTATCTAAAGAGATGATAATATTTACCACCTTGAATATCAAGACATATAGAAGGGTGGGGAATCTTTGTAATAAATAAGTTTAAATTTTTTTTATCTGTATAGCTCTATATAGGTAGAGACAGGCATTGTTAATAATGCAAATACTTTATATATAATTGAATAGCCTACCCACAGGAGTTTTTGAAGTAACTTCAAATAAATCCACCTCATGAGCAGAGATTAATGGGTGCATGATCTCAGAGGAGGGGAATTCTTTTATTTCTCACACACTTTTAACCATGCAGTCCTGCGCATGTTTACTCAGAAGCAAATCCCTCTGGCTTCAGTGGGACTTTATAGTTATCCTTAAGACTGCAGCCTAAAACTTAATTACTGTAAACGTGTGTGTGTGTGTGTGTGTGTGTGTGTGTGCCTCTGAATTTAATTGGGTTACAATTAAAGCTAGAGGCATCAGGGGACAAGTAAATCAGTGGTCTTTGTGTCTTTGAAGCCCCGAACGCTTACCCCATGTAAGACATGACGGCTGGTTGTCATTAATCAGCGGTGAGCAAAAAGCATTATTTGCTTTTGCAAAACATTATCCTTTGCAGAATTATTTGAATTGTGTTTGAAAAGTGAGGCAGGGGTGCCTATTGAGACACCATAGTGAACATGCATGTCATGCATGAGTTATCCTTCTCCTTACATTCATTGCCATGGAATCTTATTTTTGAAATACTATTAAAAATTCAGGCAACTTCTTTCTTTCTTTCTTTCCAGTGCTTTTTTTCTAAAATAAATAAATGTTTAGGGGTACTTTCATTTTCCTACTCATATTGAGATACTGCCCCTCAATGAGGCCAAACTTAGATTCACAAAATGTTTAGGGATATGCGTACTCCTGCGTCCCCCCAGAAAAAAGCACTCTATCTGTTTGTCTATCATCTGCATTTAAATCCCATTTAATATTTCAAAAAGTAAGCAGTGTATCAAAAAGCAAATGTATATGCATTAAAACAAAAACACAACCTGACTTACGATCAAACCTAATTAATCAGCAAATGCAATAAGTAAAAAAATCAACACATACACACATATATGCACTGTGGTTTCTGTTTATTTCCTGTATGGAGGCCAATTGAGCTTCCAATCAAATTCTAATCAAGTACAGTTACCTATATATTTTTCTGAGTTTGTGGCATATGTCATCTGTAATTTATATATGGCCTAGTCAGTAAACTTGTTGTACCGCAAGCATGGTATATTAAGGATTGTCATACAGTGGTACCTCGGTTTATGAACAGCCCTGTTTATGAACTATTTGGGTTACGAACTTCCGCAAAACCAGAAGTCTATGAACTTTACCTCGGTCTAGGAATGGAATCCGAACAGTGGAAGGGCACCAACGATGGGAGACCTCACTAGGGAAAACGAGCCTCGGTTGAAGAATGGCTTCAGTTTCAACCTCTTTCACCACCAAAGGAACACAAATGAACAGCAGAGAACCTGCACGAGCAACACTGACACCAAACCCTACATACATTAAGCAAAATAGAAACATCGCCACCTGACCCCCCCCCCCCCATCTCCACCCCTCCACGTCTCAACAAATGAAACTGATTTGTAAAAATGTTGTATGGAAAAAATATGAGAGACATTACATATACTTCTGTAAAACAAGAAAATATTTAATAAAAGAAAAGAAAAGAACGGACTTCCGGAACGGATTAAGTTTGTAAACCGAGGTACCTCTGTATTTACTCCTTTAGTGACTTTATTGTATTGCTCTCTGCGTGCCTGAATCTTTAATTCTACTTCAAAATAAAATCGCACCATTAAAAATTTAAAAAATAATATTATAAGAACAAACAAGAAGAATGCTGCATGACAATACAGCAAGATCGCTAATTAAGGGGAAAGGTAAAATCACTATATCCTTTGTAGGCTTGTGGGACAAAAAGGCTTAATTATTAACTATTACTTAATATTTTTTTAGGGCTGGTTGAGCTAAAGCTCAGTTCTTGGATTAAGCCCTGGGCTAATGTCTTATTCAGCTTTTTGAGGCTGCACCACTTATTCGACCCACATATTACAGATAAGGTTTATTTTGACTGTGACGTTTTCATTTGCTATGTTTGTCACATGCATTTGTCAAGTCTTGTTCCTGGTAAATAAGAAAATGAATCTTCCAGGACCTACTAGCCACAGGAAAATCAATGGGGGAAAAACACCATTTCTTATTGTAGATCAAGGGTAGGAAATCTGTGGTCGTCCAAGTGTGATTGAATAGCAGCTCCCATGTTCCCTAACTATTGGCCATGCTGGCTGGGGCTGATGAAAGCTGGAGTCCAGAAACTCACAGAGATCATGATAAAGTTGATTTACGACTTACGTGTGTTTAACATATGTGATATCAACATTACCTGGTTGAAGGCTGGCCAGTTGAAACTCCGCAAATTAAAAGCTGAGAAAGCGGAGAGCTTAAAAGTTTTCCGAACACAGAAAGAGCTTCTAAGCTCCCTTGCTTACTGGGCTCTGAAAGGCTCTTGTGAGATACTGGCTAGGTCTGTGAGATCTGGCAAGAATATCCCAGTGCCTGGTAAGAAAGGCGGAGAGTTGAAAAAGTTTCTGCCTTGCTTGGAAGGTAAGATCCATTTGGTGTACCGGCTCCGGAAGGTAAAGATTGCTTATGTGGGGGGTGGTTCCAAGGGGTTGTCTTGACTTTTTAATATTTCAGCTTTACGTGCTCTCCCTGGGACCCAACACCATGCAGAAGGTGAGAGTCAACTGCAACTCTGGGTTTATGATGCGTGCATAATTGCAAGTGTGGAAGTTTATCCACGTGTGTCATTGACATTTTACATTTCCAAGCTTATACTTGAAACACCGAGGGGAGACAACGTGTGCCTCACCACTTAGGAAAGTTGGTTCACAACATATGAAGCTGTGTTATGCCTTGTCAGAACATTGGTTCACCTCCCTTGATGATGCCTGCACTGGCTGGCAGTGGTTCTCCAGGGTTTCAGGCAGGAGTCTTCCCCACCTATACCTGGACATGCCAGAGACTGAACATGGCACCTTTTGCACACAAGACCACATGCTCTGCCACTAAGCTATGGCCTTGCCCCTTGAGGCATCACTTGACATTTCATCACCAAAGGACTTAGGGTATATCCACACTTAATAATAATTTTATTATTTACACTAGGATTACCAGTTTTTTTTTCAATGAATCCAGGGACACTTTTCAACTTCAATTGATTTTGTATGGGGACTGATTTGTAAATCCAGGGACTGCCCCGGGAAACGGGGACGTCTGGTAACCTTAATTTACACCCCACCCATCTGGCTGGGTTGACCCAGTCACCTGGGGTGGCTTCCAACACATATAGAAATATAATAACACATTAAACATTAAAAGCTTCCTGAAACAAGCCTGCCTTCAGATGTCTCTGAAAGGTCATATAATTGTTTAACCCTTTGGCATCTGATGGGAGGGCGTTCCAGAGGGAGGGTGCCACTGCTAAGAATGCCCTCTGCTCCTCTCTTTCCAGGCATAGATTCATACTTAAAAGCTCTGTGTCTGCCTCCATGAAAAGCTGCTCTTTAGCGCTCAATTGGAGTTTTCCGCTTATGTGATTGAGCACTAAAGGGCAGGTTTTCACGAGGAGCAAAAAAGAAAAGAAAATACACTTGGACCCACAGCTTTAAAGCACGAACCAAGCCTGGAAAGAGCAGAAGAAAGGTTAAGCGTGGCTATGCCCATTCTGATGAACATTTGAGCTGGCCACACGCGCATACTTTCTTTCAAAACACTCAGTATAGTTCTTACATTTATCTAAATGTTTACAGTTAAAAAGGCATGATACAAAAGCAGAGGAAAGGCAGTGCGGAATGGAATTGCATTCTGCCATGTAATCCAGTTGCAAAATGTCCAGGTGGAATGGACAGGAGTCTTGAAGAATTCACAGCCCACCCCACCCCGTTTCCCCTCAGTGCTTAATTTTTCTGCAGGAAAACTTCTGTCTCACAAATTCATTAGCGAGAACAATTCAATGCCAATCGCAAATAAGTATTAGGCAAGCGTGGCTGTTGCAACGCTTTTACCTTTGTTTGATCAAAGCAAGTAAAATAAACATTCTACATTAGATCACTCTCTAGAGCATTAGAAACATTCCTGACGCAATCTGATTTTTTTTTTGTGATGCATGTGCACAGCTAGTTTGCATAGGGTAATGCGAATCACAATATTATCAGTTTGCATCTGAAGTGGCATGGCCTAGTTTTCATAGTACAATTTTCCAAATCAAAAATTTCTGCAAAATCCACACCACTGATAAGCAGTGCAGGGGATGTTTTCAGGAGAGGGGAACTCAAATAGCAACTGGTTCTAGCCAAGCCAAGGGAGTGGGCCTTGCTATCACCTCTCTGAGGCACCCAGGTGGAAATGACAGCTGATGAGAGCTAGTTTTAGGAGGGGAGGAGCCAAATAGCTCATGGTCCCAGGTGGAAAAGTGCCAATGGAAGGAGATTTGGGAGGGGAGGAGCCAAAGGACAGCAGTTTCTCCCACCAGGCTGATATGAGGGGTCTTGCTGTCATCCAAGATGTGTATTCGATTGCTGAAACAATTCTGAGCAATGAGCTTCCTAATAATAGTGTTAGCCGCCAGCACTCAATTATTACACTTCAAATAAGTGGGCCCAAAATGTCGAGGGGGGGAGTGAAATTACTTATTGAGATTTAAATCGTAAGCCAAGAAGAGGCTTGATCAGATTAGTTAGGGCTGAATAAAAATAGCACTAAGTAGAATCAAGTAAATGTGTTCAATATATTCCAGACTAGGAGGACTGACAGCTACAGGGTTTGGATCTTTGATGGTGTAGCAGAGGGCCTGTCTCTCAAAACAGTCCAGCTATGGTTGGGATTTGTTCTTCAGCCCTGCACTACCTGGGAACCAAGGCCAGATGATTTTTCTGCTATCATTTCAACTTCTCAGCAGCCTTTGTAAAAGGAGGCAAGAAGAGGCTCTGGGCCTCTTGCACTTTTAATAGTTACACAGTAGAGAGAATTTCAACATGTGTAGCTTGCATAGCAATCAACACCTACTGAAATTATCCCTTTTGCAACAACTATTAAAGGAGTATAAACTCTGTCCATTTTTTTGCATCTGGCCGCAGCTGCGATAGACAACCAGAGATGTCCTCAGGCTTCCAATAAGCACAGACATAAAACAAGAACAACACATCCTTTTATCTGGATATCAATCAGTCAAGGCCTAGAGCCTCTAACCGTGAGACTTGAAGCCCAGAACCTCTAACAGCAGCCAGCCATATTATCAAATGAACATCCAGCATTTCCCATGCTACCTCTGAAACAACCAGCCCCTTGTACGGTTATTAACTATGGTGCATTCCTGTTTGCACAACCAACAGCTGATAAGAGTTGCTGATGGTTTGGCCTCCTTATACCCTCAACACTTCTCTGGAAACTGCTTTGGCTGTTTACTGATCCCATGCCAATATTTCTGATCCAGCTTTGGTGGGCCACCTTGTGGCTTCTCTCCCACCAGAATGTACCTTCCCCTTTCCCACCGTGGCAGAGCAAATGTGGCAAGAGAACAGCGGTTGGGAACAAGTTCTTGCATGCAAGCGTGCCTGAGGAATACAGCGTCGAATCCTCCAGGCAAATTGCTGCATGCATCCCCGCAGAACCCAAAGCAACATACGTGGGTGAGTTTCTTCTCGATGCGAGTGTTTTGATTTCCTTCTAGGATGTGTGTATGTGTTTTCGAAGCTTGTGAGTGACGGAGCGCATTAATGCCATGGCCTCCACTCCCCTGGGGAAGGGGAAAACCTTTCCATCTTGAGGGCCACATTGCTTCATGGGCAGCTTTTCAGGGGCCACATTTGCCAGAGGCAAATGGAGCTGGCTCTTACTTTTTGTGGAGTAGGCTGCATTCCAGCCACACACAAGTCAGGTGTCCCTACATGCGTGCATACGCACGCACACACATCTCTCCATGGTCCTCCAGGCAAGCAAGGGGCATTGTCGCCGTCCAAGACACATTCCAGGCAGGCAAAAATACAGAGCAAGGCTGGCGAGGGATGTGGCTTAGTAAGAGTGGTTGTGGCCAGGGAGAGATGCTTGGGGTGCCACATTTAACCCTTGCTGTAGAGGAGCCTCTAACAGAGAACACTTGGCACCTCATCACAGTACACTTACCACATTTGTAAACCGCTTTGAGGTTTACAATCAATCAGCGGCAGAAATAAATAAAATAAACAAATGATTCTTTGGAGGATCCATGACAGTTAAACATGTCCAGCTGCACACTTGCATTGTTGATTCTTCGCTTGTGGTTATCTGCTGGGATTCTTATAGCTTGGAAAGTGATAGGATGAAACCAATTAAGATATACCCTCCAACATCTCCAACATTTCTCTAGTGAAAATAGAGATGTCTGTTATTATTATTATTATTATTATTATTATTATTATTATTATTATTTAATTAATACCTCATCCAGCTAACTTGGTTGCCCCAGCCACTCTGGGTGACTTCCAACAAATAAAAAATAATAATTTAAAATTAAAACTTCTCTATTCAGGGCTGCCTTCAGATGTCTTCTAAAGGTTGCATAGTTACTTATCTCCTTGGCTCGGTGTTCACATGACATTTCTCTGATGAAAATCAGGGCATCCTAAGGAAAAGTGGGACATTTCAGGATCAAATCAGAAACCAGGACAGCTTCTGTAAATCCAAGACTGTCGCTGGAAAATAGGGACACTTGGAGGGTCTGATAAAAGTTTGTAGCGAAGGCATAATACTAGTTTTCCTCTGTGTTTATAATATCTTGGATCTGCTACGTTGGCTTTTTCACCACTCAGGGCTGCATGTGTCCCTTTCTCTCTCTCATCCCCTTTCCATGCTAAATACTTTCAGGAGTATCATGGAATGACTCTGCAAGGTAAGAATGGCACGCCTATAGAAAGGATGGCATGGCAGTGTCCTTAAGCTATCCATTTCCTTCCTCTGCCTTCTGACACTCCATCCCTGCCATCTCACCATCAGCTTTAAGATTATTTCTGTGGCATCAGTAAGGTCGCTGGGCCATGAATGGGGAGCTCAGCTGCAGAACAGATGTGAACCGGATCATTTCAGGATCTCTGAGCCAAATGAGGTTAACAAAGAATTGTGAGCTGTAAGGCTTTATATTCTTTCGGGCTTCTGCGCTCATTTGTTGTACCTGGGTCAGGATAATGCAGTGCTATGTGTGCTTTTATTTGGCTTGAATTAATATGCACGGAGCTTAAAAATAGAAGATGAAGCCAGTTAATTCATCCCTGCTGTGACTTCTTTTGATACTCATTTCAACAGGCAAGCTGATAAAAATCTGTGGGGAGTATCTAAACTTTAATCCTTTGAGTTTTTATGGTTTTGTGGCGGCTCCTTCTGATCATCTCCTTCTGCTTGCTTTGCTAGTGTAAGGATCCAGATGCATGTTTGCACTAAGTTCATTCTCTCCCCCCCGCCCGCTTTCTCTTTATGGCTACTTGCCAGGCTTTAAATATTATTTAAGATAAGCTTTGAAATCAGTGAATGACTTCCTGGTTGTCAAGAGTTCTAGGCATTCCACCGCTAATACATGCACATGAAGATCAGATAGCAAAAAAGGAATTGTTGAGTAAGTTGTTCAGCTTTTGGGAATTACTAAGGCGTTAGAATTGTTTCCCTCTTCCCCAAGTATTTTATTCTGTCCAAAATCAAAATATATTTATTGTACTGACCATAGGACAAAAAACCAGTTACATATAAACAGTGTATACACAATCATTTTAGTCTGGCTCTCTGTTGGTTAATATTACTACGGGCCACCACAATCTTTGATGAGCAGTGCAAGATCCTAGGCCTCTTGGTGCATATTTCCTTTGGGATGAGGCATGACAGAGACTGCATACCCTCCAACAGTTATCCAGTGAAAACGGGGACATCCTATTCCATAATAATGATAATTTTATTATTTGTACACCATCCATCTGACTTCCCCAGCCACTGCGGGCAGCTACCAACATATAGAAAAACATAATAAAACATTAAACCATTTACAGGACTGCCTTCAGGTGTCTTCTGAACATTGTATAGTTATCTCCTTGGCTTCAGGTTCCTCCTTGGCAGGATCTTAGCACCCAGCGCTCTCTGCTCCTGTGGTTTCCAGCAACTGGCGTATGGGCTTTAAATGTACTTTTATTGTGTGGTACATATGCAGTCAATGTTTCTTGTATCTGTTTTATTCAGTAGACTATTCTGAATTCTGGAGGGATGGAGAGCAGTAATAAAGTGAAACTGCTTTAAATTAAAACAAATAGAATAATAATACTGACCTACCTACAGGTTTGAAAAGATTGCTGAAACAAGGCATATGAAGTGCTTTGAAACTCCGAGAGCCGAGCATTTGTTCAGAGAGGGCATGCCATATTGGAACGCAAACAAAATGCTTTGCATCTGTAAGTGGAAAGGAAACCCCACTGCAAGGAATAGCAGGGTATTGGAAGAGACAGACTAGATCTGCTCAGTACCAGCTTATACAGTGGTACCTCGGGATACGAACGGGATCTGTTCCGGAGCCCCGTTCGCATCCTGAACAGAACGTAAGACACGTCTGCACATCGCGTTTCGCCGCTTCCGCGTATAATGTCATTTTGAGCATCTGCGCATGTACAAGTGGCAAAACCCAAAAGCATAGCTGTCAACCTTCCCCTTTTTTGCGGGAAATTCCCTTATTCCATCACCGTTTCCCGCTGCTTCCCGCTGCTATCCCGGATTGTTAGATATCCCGTAGACTGTCCCCGAGACAGGTGAGGCTGCTGATCCCTTATTTTCGAGGCTGCTGATCCTTTATTTTCAAATATGAAAGTTGACAGCTATGCCCAGAAGTAACATGCTCTGTTATTTCCGGGTCGCCACGGAGCGCAACCCGAAAATACTTATCCTGAAGCGTATTTATCCCGAGGTGTGACTGTACTGAGTTTTCCTCAGGAGGGACAGTTAGAATTGGGACTTCCAAGGATGCATTTCCTATCTCTAAACCACTTTCTAGGTATTAAACAGTCTGATACAGGAGTCCAGTAGTGGAGACAGCACTGCAGGGGGAGTAGGCCTCAGGGGACAGCGGGGAGGAAATTATGTCCGTCACTCTTTCTCTGGTGTCTGAACAATAGCACTCTTAAGATTCCTATTCCAGTTTATCATTTCTTCATGTCTGGAGCTAGGAACAGTGTTGTGAGATGGAAAATATTTCCAAGGAAGCACTTTTTCCCCATTCCATAAGTTCATTAAGTAGCAATGAATGTATGCTATTTGCAAATAGAATTGCTGTATTACGCAAGCTTGGCAGTTTCAGAGTTTTTAGCTCTGTTTACTAAATACAGGATAAGTAAACATGCTAAATTAGATCACTTTCTAGGGCATCAGAACATTTTCTGATGCAAATTCCCCTGTGAAAACAAGTCTAATTTGCACAGCGACATTTTCTGGAAATCACTCACTCCGGGGTGGGACAATACTGCAACATTTTGCTGCGGGTACTATTTATATTTATATATAATGCAAAGCATTATTAGTCCAGTTCTAATTCCCGACCCCCACCCTTATCGTGTGAAAATACCCAAGCAAAAGAACAACCCTGAAATTACTACTGCTCCTTTTGGATCGGTTAATAATCTTGACGTCTTCATTTTTGTTGCACCCCCAGAATTCTATCAAAACAAATCAGCGGAAGAATTAATTTCATAAATATTTCTTCTGTTATGTAATTCCAGAAACCTTCTTCATAAAGAATTGCTTCAACATTGGTGTGGCAAGAATTCTCCAGCCTGCTTGATGAGGATATGGCAGGCATATCCAAGCTTTCCATTATTTGCAATACCCATGACACTGTCTCTGTGTGAGTGATTGATCATGTGCTTGTGTTGATGGAGAAATGGGGAAAAAACAAGGTCCGGCTGAGCCCCATAGGACTCATTAGCACATGGGCACTGCAACTGCCTTTGAATGGACAGAGCCCATTATGGGGATGGGTGAATCTGTCCATTTCAGTTTTATTCAGTTTCCCATTTTTACAATCTTAAGTTCAGCTCTCCATGTTTCCATATGAGTTTGCATTATTGCATGGCAAGACCCCCAAGCCGTCCCCCCATTAGAATAAAGAAATTCACACAGACACGGATATTTTGTTTAAGGTTTTGGGGCAAAATATTGGCCATAACCTTATTGATTACAGGAATGGGAGCGGTATTGGCTTAACCATTGGCAAGACTATATCTGACTCCTGCCCGCTTTGCAGGAAGTCTGTACGGGTAAACCACCCAAAGGGAAATTGCCGCTTAAAGTGACAGCAGCGTTCCCCACCAGGCACCTCCACTGCCCTCTCACTTGGATCAAATATTGTCTGCACAGGCAAGCAGACGCCGGTGTCCATTCCCATGGCAGTATGCACCCAGGAGTGATGTTGCAGCAAACAAAGCACTTTACCATACTGGATAAATTGTAAATATAGAACATATATAAGGGATTAGAAGGAGATAGAACCACTCCTTCCAATAGACTGGAGTAAAGCTCCAAAGCGATTCCCTTAAAGCCTGACAGATGAAAACACGTGTGCGTGTGCGAGTGATAGTGTGTATGTACAAACTATTATTCACCTGTTGAGTTATTTTCATGAATATATGTATCAAACCTATTATCAGTACTAATTATTATTATTATTATTATTATTATTATTTAAAATCCATGCAATGGAAGCAACCCAAATTGATTATGCTAAACATGCCTGGTCAGGCCAATGCAATTAAACCAGGAGCTGATTGCTATAAATTTACTCATTAATTTGACCCAAAGTGTGCGCTTGCAGCGGGCAGTACAAAAAGGAAAATAGATCCCAATAAATAATGCTATGTCAATTTCCAGAAAACCAAACAAGTTGCAGTACTTGAAAGGTTGCAGTTATAAGAAGGACTAGTTGAAAATAAACAACTCCTTTCTACACAGACAGCAGGATCAATAAATTATAATTGCAATTATAGCCTGCGGGGTAATAAAAATTTTAGAGCAGCACTTCTACTGAAAGGCCAGTTGTAGCATTGACCCCCAAGAAAATATAAGTATATATATAATTGTGCATAAATTTATATAAACTATTTATTTAGTTAGTTTGATTAATTGATTCTAGGCTGACGGAAGGGAGAACCAGAGTGGGCAAGCTAAAGCCACAAGATCACCCAAATGGTGGCTATTATTCATCTATTTGTTTACACCAAACATTTATTATGTGATAAATTCTGCACTTAAAGCTCATTGGCACAGCCTCTGCCGTGCCTACAGAACCTCAGAACTATAGCATTGCGACTCTGTGGATCAAATGACCCATATAGGAGTGAAACCTTCAACCTCGGCATCATCGACACCACTCCAACCCGCTGAGTAGGGGTGGGAAATAACCCAAACGGCCCTTCAGAGTAGCGCTGAACAACCAGCGCCAGTGAAAGAAAACAACAGAACAATTAAAGGAGCCTGCAGGCCGAGAAATGTCAAATAAAAGCAATCAGTAAAAGTAAGCCCTTAAATTAAGTTACTTGTATTCGGTACATATGTACAGCTGTCAGCGCAGAATTATTTTTCTACGCAATTTCACCCAATGTACACTTTTTTTGGAGAGAAAATTTTCCCTAGTACAATGCATTTTTGTATGTTGTTTTTACCATCATATGTTTTACTACACACACTTTACCCAGGTTTGTGCATTTTTGTGCATTTGGCTGGAGAACTGTACTGCAGATTTTGCAGCTGTGTGAGTTTTGAAAGATGGCTGTGTTCAGTTTGCATATTGTTGTGGAATACTGTACTGTATTGCGTTCTTTTGAGTTTACCTAGCAAATACTGATCCAACGCATACCCTTACCTATTGCTCTGGTTGCCTGAGATATATATTTTAAGTCCTTATACTACGTACAGTCAGGAAATGTAGTATGTTCCAATCCAGTAATGTAGTAGTTCTTACATGGTTATGTTTCTGCAAAGTCTTCCGAGTTTTCTACAGCAAGGAAGAGAGGACTGAACTGCAGCAGACTCTCTTGAAGATTCTTTACTCTGCTGCTGCTTGTATCTAGGTTAATGAAACAGGCTTGTGCATGCAATAAGTTAAGGAAATGTGTTACTGGGGCAGGAGAATTCCTGTCTACCTCTCCATCCCAGAAGAGAAGAGGCAAAACTGTACATCTTCATTCCTCTTTGACATGGAGACATGGCAACTCTGGCCACCCTCCAAAAGTGTCTGTGAGTGTGCATGCTTTACTTTGGCTAGCTAAATGTCATTCTGAGTTTGCAACAGTCTGCCAACAGCAGGAGGCAAATTTTAATGCTGCATGTATAGACTCCTTAATTACCGCATTCTCAGTGCTTAAACCAGCCATAAGGAATATGAAAGCCCTGCCTGCTGTCGAAATGTCATCTATAAAAATGAGGCATAATTGAATCAGTAACACTTTACTGGAAAGGTTAAACTCACACTTTTCTTTTAAAGTCATTGTGCATTCAGATGTCAGACGCAAGCTGTTTCTTTCTGCCTATAGTTGAGCTTGAATGGCAGACCCTGATTGATACTATAGATGTGTGCAGCCATAGCGGTTCAGAGAGCTGTCCTCCCTCCCCAAATGTAGTTATAACGGTATGCTTATTGTAAGGGAATTGTGGCAATCCCGTATGTGCTCTGTTGCATAAGCTCGTACTCGGCTTTATGGTTCCATCATTGGAAGCCACCCAAAGACCAGGAAACCTCAAATTGCTTTGAAAGAAAGTCATGAAAATGGGTTTTTGTTAAGGACCCATCAGAATGAGAGTTAAGCTTTGCCTAAAATTCTGTCGATTGGAAAGAGCTATCTGGGAAAAATATAGTACTTTGCTCAGGAAATAACCTTCATTCAGAGGTCTCCTCCTAGCTGTTACTAAGGTATGAGCACTTTCCTGAGTATTCATGCCCTCCCCTCTCTGCTTGTGTATGTTTTTATAGGGCTAGGATGAGTACCTTCTTCCTCTGTGGACATCGCTTTGATGGATGGTGTGAATTAGATTGAGAAGCAAACATTGCTACTACTATTTAGCGCATACATGCTGCTGACAATTTACAAAGTGCATCACAATCTTTTTATCATACATTTGCCATCACAGTAACCCTCTAATCTGGTTGATGCTACTTCTACTTTGCAGTCAGGAGGCAAAAGGTCAAGGGCTAATGATATATAGGACTGAGTCAGATTTTTGTCGAATGTTGCATTTAGCCATGAAACATTGTTTTGGGGGAAGCATGAGGTTTTCTCAGGTTCATCCAAAGGGCACAAAGATCAGCTTTTGCTGTGAAATTAGAACATCCCGCCCTCGTTGGCAGAGCCTTGCCAAGAGGAAGGAAGCTATGCCACTGAGCTTAGCTGTTGGCATAGTTCGACACTCCTAAGTTAGTTTATACAGCAACTTTAAAGGGAGGCAGTTCACAGAAATATTCAGAACCCTACCCACTTCTCTTGGTAAGAGGGAAATTATATTACTGCACTTTGCTTCTGTTAAAATGTCTGTTGCAGTTGCTCCCTTTGGCAAGTTTGGAAAAGTTAGGGGACAGCAAAGGGAGGGCATTAGTCTCTCTTGTGCCCATCATGACATCATCAGTGGTGCAAGTTGTGGCTGATTCAGCAGAAGTCCAGTTTTGAAATCAGCGGCATTTAAGTTATCCAGACGATGCCATCCAAATTGTTTTCCATTTAAACAGCCCCATTCCAAACTGGATGTGGGTGGGTCTTTCATTACTAATTGCAGCATGTTGCAATTCTGCAAGCGTGCTAATGGTTGCCAAAGTAGCTTCTCATTTTGCACATAGTAAACTTTTGTTACACCTGCAATCTGCAGTTTACAAACAGAGAGGCTATCACCCTATGACCTATGTGCACGGAACATGTTAATTCCCCTGGAACTAGGTAAAAATTCTAATACCTACATAGAAATGCTTCTCTGAATAATTTGGTAATTAGTATTCTTTTTTATTATGAATTTGTATACCACCCTTCGTCTGAAAATCCCAGGGCGGTTCACAACAGAAAAATACAAAATTAAAATACAAAATACATAATAAAACCAAACCAAAACAATAACCTCCCAAACACATTTGAAAAGCCATAGAATGTTAATCAGCCAAACTCTAAGCAGTCATTAGTAAGCCTGTGACTTTAGGACAAAATGCAGGAAATGCATATTACAGATCTTACACTGCAATATTTTGCTCCATATTGCAATTTTTTCTTTTGGGAGAATTACAGTACAGTAGCCAGTCAACATGCTCTTATTTATTAATTTGCAGAATTTGTGTACTGCTTTATATCCAGAAGTTGCAACAATGGGGTTTACAATATAGTTTTAATTAATTAGTTAATTTATGAAGCATCCTGATCAGCACAGCAAGATGGAAGCAATCCCAACAAAAGCCAGTATCAACAAGAATGGAAAAATAAGGCTGGGAGGACCAAAAGCTTTCCTAAATTAAAGCGCCTTTTCCCACTTTCTGAAAAGCAAGCAGGAAGGAGCATTGAAAAGCCTCTCTGTAGGAAGGGCACTCCAGAGAATCGTAGCCACAACTATGAAGACACTTCCTTTTCAAGGGCTTAATTTTGACTGGGTTGTTGATTGTTTGACTTCTGTTGATTATGCATAGCAATAAAAGCAGCACTATTTTTCTAGAAAAAGAGGTCCCTTGTTTTCTTATACAGTCATACCTCATGTTACCTTTGCTTCAGGTTGCCCCTTTTCAGTTTGCATCCCATGGCAACCCGGAAGTACCGGAAAGGGTTACTTCCGGGTTTCGCCGCTCGCGCATGCGCAGATGTGCAAAAAGACATGCGCAGAAGTGGTGAATCGTGACTCGTGCATGCGCAGGCACAGGTTGCGTTCTCTTCAGGTTGCGAATGGGCCTCCGGAACGGATCCCATTCACAACCAGAGGTACCACTGTAATGGCAATGGTGCCCACCTGAGAGGTTATCCCTGTTTTCCAGGGGCAGTCCCAGATTTACAGAAACTACTGGTTTCTAATTTGATCCTGGAATGTCCTGCTTTTCCTTCGGATGTCCCTGTTTTCACCTGAGAAATGCTGGAGGGTATGCAGTTATATGACCCCCCAAACCAAGGAGATGAGTAACGATACAACCTATAGAAGACCAGAAGGCAGCCCTGTATCAGAAAGTATTTTTTAATGTTTAATGTTTTATTGTGTTTTTATATTTGTTGTAAGCCACCTAGAATGGCTGGGGCAACCTGGTCAGATGGAGAGGGGTGTTAATAACAAAAGTGTTGTTGTTGTTTGTTGTTGTACAGGACATCCCTATTTTCATTGGAGAAATATTGGAGGGTTAGGGTGCATGTTTCGGGGAGCCCTGGGACACTGGGAATCTGTGGGTGCCTTTGCCCCCTCTTCTTTCTCAACCATTCCTCTCCTGCCTATTGGCCTCAGCCCTTTCAAGTAAAACCAAGTACAGTATTGACCTATATGTCAGCCCATTGTCAAAAACCTGCTCAAATCTGCTGCTTTTAATGGTAGTTCAAATTTAAAATATACAGTCGTACCTCGGTTTAAGAACAGTCCGGTTTAAGAACAGTCCAGTTTACAAGCTCTGCAAAACTGGATATAGTATCCCGGTTTGAGAACTTTACCTCGCCTCGGTCTACGAACGGAATCCGAACAGTGAAAGGGCACCGGCGGCGGGAGGCCTCATTAGGGAAAGTGAGCCTTGGTTTAGGAACGGTTTCGGTTTAAGAATGGACTTCCAGAACGGATTACGTTTGTAAACCAAGGTACCACTGTATATGTTTTTAATTGCCTATTATTTTACATTTTAGATGTTTGTTTCATATCTGTTATTCAGTTAGAGGTTCTAATTACAGTCAAGCCATAAAGAAATTATGGCCAAGATAGGTAATACGAAAAGAAAACTAATCATTTGAATTTCACTGATTGCTTTTAAAAATAATAATTAGCAAACAGTATAGCTCGTGGTGCTTTTTCTCTAAAAAAATGTTTAGGGGTACAGTGGGAACTCGGGTTGCGAACGTGATCCGTGCAGGAGGCACATTCGCAACCCGCAGCCCTGCGTCTGTGCATGCACAAAGCACGATTTAGCGCTTCTATGCATGCACAAGCATCGAAACCCGGAAGTAACCCGTTCCGGTACTTCCGGGTTCGTTGCGGTGTGCGACCTGAAAACACGTAACCTGAAGTGTCTGTAACCCGAGGTACCACTGTACTCCTATTTTCCTACACATATTGAAATACTGCCCCTCAATGAGGCCAAACTTAGATTCACAAAATGTATAGGTATATGCATCCCCCTGCATCCCCCCAGAAAAAAGCACTGCTTAGAGGTATAACTTAACGTGCAATTTTAGGCACAGTCACAGTCACTTAACGTGCAATTTTAGGCACAGTCACCCAAGAGTAAAGTCAATGGGAGGACAGACATGTCATTCATTGAGATTACCCCCCCCCCATGGCAAGGGTAGCTTATCTTTGATCTAATCCTTTCACCTGGACTTTAAATGGGCACAGCACAAGTAGATGGGCAGGTGGATAGAATCACACAGTTACAAGTTTGACCACATCTTATGAAACTTTTCTGACGTATCTTGAATCGATTCTATTTAAAGATCCAGCTTAAAACAAGACGGCGAACACTTTGCACTCAATGTAGCCCTAAACTGTTTAATCCAGTTAAGAATATTTTGACCTTATTTGTACCATCTAGGCCGATTCTTTTTACAGCTCAACATTCTGCTGCATCATGGCAGAAAAGGCTGTGTGTGTTTTGGCAAACATTTTTACATGCAAAGCTATTCCCCCCAACTTGTGCTTCTAGCCAAGTAAATGTTAACTCCAGCTTTCTCGTTTATTTAGCTGTTCTGCTCTGGCACTCACGACAGTGCAAAGTAATTTTAACACTTGAAATGAGCTCTAATATATATATATATATATATATATATATATATATATATATATATGCTGATTATTATTGTTAGCACTGAAGCCTTAAAAATTAAGGATGCAGTCCTAACTCCCTGGTGCTGATGGACTCAAGGAGCATTGCTTTGCCATAAAAAGCCTCTATCAACCTGTAGCCCTCAAGTTTGGAATTGGTGCCCCACACTTGGAGAGCCATGGTTTCCCTATCCTTTCACTGGGGCCTGCTCCCAGACGTTCTCAAATTCTGTGCCCTCCAGATGTTTTAGACTACAACTGCCATAATTGGGCATCATCTGAGGTGCACAAGGTTGAGGGAGGCTGTGCTGGAGCTCACATAGGGCATACCCAGAGATCCAGTGTTTTATAAAAAAAGTGTCAGTGTGGTCAAAGCGTCAAACTTACTTAAACCTCCCCTACTGCAGCAAAACTTACTATAGGTCCTTGGGACACTTACACTCTCTCAGCCTAGCCTACCTCATGGGGATGTTGTGAAGAGAAAGTGGATTGGAGGTGGGGGGACGACGACGATGACCACAAACACTTCCATGAGTTCTTTGGATGAAAAGCAATAAATACATGCAATAAATATATATATATATATTCATTCAGCTTTTTTGATATGCTATTTTAGTCTTGCATTTCTTGCTTTAGTGTCTTCCCCACTTTCTGTTATGTGTAAAAGTACCTCTGCAAACATGTAAAAATTGCAGTTAGCCATCGGCTAATTAAATGATCTATGGCCTTGTAAGGGACGCTGGTGGCGCTGTGGTCTAAACCACAGAGCATAGGGCTTGCCGATCAGAAGGTTGGCGGTTCTAATCCCTGCAATGGGGTGAGCTCCCATTGTATAGTCCCAGCTCCTACACACCAAGCAGTTCAAAAGCATGTCAAAGTGCAAGTAGATAAATAGGTACCACTCTGGCAGGAAGGTAAATGGCGTTTCTGTGCGCTGCTCTGGTTTGCCAGAAGCGGCTTAGTCATGCTGGCCACATGACCTGGAAAAACTGTTTGCGGACAAACGTCAGCTCCCTCGGCCCATAGAGCGAGATGAGTGCGCAACCCCAGAATCATCCGTGACTGTCAGGGGTACCTTTACCTTTACCTTTTATGGCCTTTTAAACTGGGGTGTGTGTGTATGTGATAATTCTATGTATTTTTGTGCTTTTAAATTGTAAACTGCCCTGTGACCCTGGAATGAAGGGTGGTACAGAAACATATAACATATGTGGCTTTTTATTTTAGATTAAAGATGACATCACAGGCATGTATAAAATCATACATTGTGTGGAGCATAAACATAGAATTGTAGAGTTGGATGGGACACTGAGGGACATCTAGTCCAACCCCCTGCAATTTAGGAATCTCAACTAAAACATCCAGCGAAGGAGGGTCCACAATTTCCTGAGGGAGTCCATTCCATTGCCGAACAGCTCTTACTGTCAGAAAGTTCTTCCTGATGTTGAGTCGGAATCTCCTTTCTTGTGACTTGAAGCCACTGGTTCAGGTCCTACCCTCTGCGGTCTACTACGACCTCTAGATCCTTGTCACATGTACTACTAGCAAGCTAAGTATCCCCCAACTTATATTTGTGCAGCTGGTTCTTCCAGCCAAAGGGGACGCAGGTGGCGCTGAGGTCTAAACCACTGAGCCTCTTGGGCTTGCTGATCATCAGGTCAGCAGTGTGAATCCCCGTGATGGAGTGAGCTCCCGTTGCTCTGTCCCAGCTCTTGCCCATCTAGCAGTTTGAAAGCATGCCAGTGCAAGTAGATAAATAGGTACCGCTGCAGTGGGAAGGTAAATGGCACTTCCATGCTCTCTGGTTTCCGTCATGGTGTTCTGTTGTGCCAGAAGTGGTTTAGTCCTGCTGGCCACATGAACCAGAAGAAGAAGAAGAAGAAGAAGAAGAAGAAGAAGAAGAAGAAGAAGAAGAAGAAGAATTTGGATTTGATATCCCGCTTTATCACTACCCTAAGGAGTCTCAAAGCGGCTAACATTCTCCTTTCCCTTCCTCCCCAACAACAAACACTCTGTGAGGTGAGTGAGGCTGAGAGACTTCAAAGATGTGTGACTAGCCCAAGGTCACCCAGCAGCTGCATGGAGACTCGAACCCGGTTCACCAGATTACAAGACTACTGCTCTTAACCACTACACCACACTGGCTCTCCAGAAAGCTGTCTGTGGACAAATGCCATCTCCCTCGGCCTGAAAGTGAGATGAGTGCCGCAACCCCATGGTCGCCTTTGACTGGACTTAACCGTCCAGGGGTCCTTTACCTTTACCTATTACCTCCAGCCTAAGTGTACACAAGTAGATAGAGAACAATTTATCTCCCTTATATCGCAGTGCCATTAAATTATGGAATTTGCTCCCTCCACAATCTGCTCAATGGGTCAGAGAGGACGTTCCTCTCAGGAGCATGCAATTCCTAATTATTTTCACGGCGATCAAGATTGTCACTGACCTCAGTGATACCTAGCTAAATCATTGAGACTCCAGATGTGCCTATATGTCCCTGTCCTCTGCTTTTCCTGCAACTCTCCCCCAAAAAAACCCCACAAACGTGTGGGCGTTTTCAACATGAGTAGAGGATGCAACAAAATTGGATAATTAAGCAACTGCTTCAGAGAAATGATACGTCTTACAGATAGACAATAAAATGATTCGGGGCAAAGAAAGGTCCTGGCAAATTAAAGCAATTAAAGATTTGATGTAACATGGAGAATCTTATAGATCAGTGGGTGGTACTGCCTCCTGGGGGGCAGTGGGATTAGCTGGGGGGCAAGGAGGCGGTGGGAGGTGGGGACTGGGGGTGTAAGTGACTACCAGGCTTTGAAAAACTGGTGACACTGAAACAAGTTAATCAGTTTTGTCGACTTAATTCAGCTAAATAGTTTTAATTGGACATTGAATACATGTGCAATTAGTTGTTACGGTTTTGAATTCTACTGTGCTGTTATTTTCCTTAGAGGGTTGTACAAACCGCTATTCTGAATAATGCTTTTTTATGGCTGCAACCTAGCAGTCGGGGGGGGGGCAGCAAAAGTAGCATTGTAGCAGCACTGAATGGCAGAGTATAGCTGCCATAGTGCCTGAGAGGAACATTACATCATAGAAGTGGGGGGAACCAGGGCGGATTTGATTTAAATCAAATCAATTTAAATTCCCTTTTTTACAGAAAGGTTCAACCTTGCTGGCGTCCTCTTAGTATTGACAATCAGAGGAAGGTTTCATTTTTGGAATAATAAATTTTCAGAGTAGTTTTTACAGTTCTATCAAAAATTACTGATTTGGTTCTACTATTAGAAATACATAGACAGATAATTATGAAATTATTGTGAGGTTTAATAAGTTAACTCTTTATATTTGGACAAATTTTCTGCTGTACGTTATTGGAAGGAGAAAAATAACCATTTCCTTAATAACAATTTAAACAATTTATTTAACTAAAACAGTAACAATATAGCACATGCAGTGCTTTTTTCCTGGGGGTATGCATACTCTTAAACATTTTGTGAATCCAAGTTTGGCTTCATTAAGGGGGGCGGTATTTCAATATGAGTAGGAAAATGAGAGTACCCCTAAATATTTTTTAGAAAAAAAGCACTGAGCATATGTATCCATGTTTGTTAACTGATGTGGTTAAACAAATTTTATTTTATTTTTAAACTTAGACTGAGTTTGGAGAGGCTGGCCTTTCTTTTTCTAGCGGGGAGGAGAGATACAGTTGGTAGGCTAGGCTGCAACAGGCTTGCAGAAAGAACAAGGAGGAGGAGAAACAGGCTGGTGGAAGGCTGGAAAAGGGGAACCAGGGACTGGAGCAGAGAACTTCAGGGATTCCTGCTGCAGGACTGAAGTTCCGGGTAGAGACTTTATTGTTTGGACAATGCCAGGCGAGCCCTGGGAAGAAGGGCCTGGAAGCAGTGAACTCTTTTATTAGTTGACTGGCAAGCACTTCAAGGTCTTGCCAAGGCAAGGACTTACAGATCCCAGTTACCATTTCCACCCCCCTCTTTGGATTTGCTTCTACATTCAGGTGCCTATTCTGTACAGTTAAGTGTTAGTGCAGTTGTTGGAACCCAGTGGGATTGGGAAAAGGTTGCACTTGCCTCAAGTCTGAGTTGCACAGACATTCAACTGACTTGCACAATTATTACACAAAGATCCCAAGACTTGTGGAGTATTCTGCTCACAAGGCTGCACTTTCATTTTTACTGCTTCTCACTTCGCTACTTGCGCAGATCTATTCCACTCCAAACAATCTATTCATTGAACCTCTTGGAATTTAGCCTTTAAGAGGTCGATTCTGTGTACATAAATTTGCAAAGGAACAAAATGGAATTGAGGTTTCCCCCCTCAACTCTGTATGTTTATTTTATAACATTTTTCCTGTGAAGAAAAGGCATGTTACTTCTGCGGACACTGTTTCACACTTTTGAGAACTGCAAAAACAAGTATCTGTGAAATATCTTCTTGTTAGAAAAGCTGCCTCAAATAATCTTAACAGAAACCTCTGGAAGACCATGACATTGTGAATGGATTAATGGAATTCATTTACCAAAAAATTTAAACATGGCATATAAAGCCTCATGCTACATAATTAAAAACAAATCCTTATTGCCTTTGGACTATGTCGTTGTTTAGTCGTTTAGTCGTGTCCAACTCTTTGTGACCCCATGGAGCACCCCAGGCATTCCTGTCTTTCACTGCCTCCCGCAGTTTGGTCAAACTCATGCTGGTAGCTTCGAGAACACTGTCCAACCATCTCATCCTCTGCCGTCCCTTCTCCTTGTGTCCTCCATCTTTCCCAACATCAGGGTCTTTTCCAGGGAGTCTTCTCTCCTCATGAGGTGGCCAAAGTATTGGAGCCTCAGCTTCAGGATCTGTCCTTCCAGTGAGCACTCGGGGCTGATTTCCTTCAGAATAGATAGGTTTGATTTTCTTGCAGTCCATGGGACTCTCAAGAGTCTCCTCCAGCACCATAATTCAAAAGCATCAATTCTTTGGCGATCAGCCTTCTTTATGGATTATATTGTAACCTTATAGCCTTTGGTCTATAATGTAACTTAAATAGAAAACTATCTTTAGAAATATTTTTTTCCTCCAAAAGCATTCTATTTTTAAAAAGCCAATTGAAATAACTTTTTTTTATTTAAATCAAAAAATCCAATTTTAAAATTAAAAATCCATAATTTATTTATTTTTTTAAAAAAATCATTGATTTTTATCCTCCCTGAGGGGAACTGAAATGGAGGCTACTTGCCTGAGCTTCTTGCTAGAACCCTGGAAGTTGCTTAAGAATGCCAGGTACTAATGTCAGCCCTGTCTATGCTAACCTAATCTAATTCAGCGTTTGCATGCAATTTTTTTAAAAAAATAATTATTTTCAAATAGGTTGAGATTTCTTACTGTCAGCCAAATTCTCAAATATTTGCCTATTTTTAAACCAGACATCCTTTCTAAAAAAAAATTTGACTGCTTATCCATGTTTTTAACCAACATCTTGGTTTTATCTGAATTTATTTTGAAACCTGCCACTTCTCCAAACCTTTTAATTTCTTCTCATGCTTTGGGAACACTCTCCAAGGGTTGTTCTAGAGTCAACAGCACATCGTCAGCAAATGCCCTTAATTTATAGACTCTAGGTCTCAATACCTTTAATTTTCCTGTTTTCCCTTATATTCTGAAGCAGTATTTCTAAGGTCATAATAAACAACAGCGGAGCCTTTTCTTCACTGCTATTTTTCTTTTTTTAAAAAAAGGAATGCTGGAACTCACCATGTTCTCTTAAAATGGCAACAATGCCCACCTCAGAGGTGCCGGAACTGAGTTCTGGCTGGAAAAAAAGAGAAACCTGCTTTTCTTCCATATTGTTCTTGTGAAGTTTTAAAACTTAGGTAGCTGTTAAATCACTTCAGGTGGCGGTTGCCATGCAGCAAAAAATATTTTGTTGCACCCACCTAAAAAATTTCCTGGGGCGCTAGGTGTGGTCCTCTGGACGCACTGCTGAAAGTGGCTTGTGAGTTCCTGGGGTTGTGATTGATTCATTAGTCACTGATGGAGGACGATTCTGATGGCATGGCTGTGATTAGTTCTGGTTGGGATTTTTTCAAAAAGGAGGATCATTCCCAGCAGTGTAAACGCTGGTGAAATCAAAAGGGTGTGGAGACAGATTGTGGCTTGGTTTGCCTGCCACAGCCCATCTGTCAAAACTGGGATGTGATTTCTCATAATCACTCTGAACCGATGGATTTAATGCAAGTCGTCAGCCGAGAAACAATTTCCATAGCTGTTTTCAGTGAGTTCCATTGTGTTCAAGATGTGATTTCATACCCATTTTTTTCTGTGGTTTTGAACATGTAAACCATGTTTGAGATTTGCACACAGATTTAGCTTTCTGATATAGAAAAGCAAACTTCTCTCTATCTGACATGGGTTGCACTCACCCGCCATACTAAACCAAACCAATGACTAGTGTAAATGTACCAGCTGCTGAGTAAGAGATCTCATCTGCTTTGCTCTCCCCTGTGCTTTAAATCAATGTGGTACCAGAATAAGCAAAGTTGTGAACCCTGGATCTTGGCTAACCATGATCTGTAGCCAAGGCTTGTTGTATGGCTAACCGGTACCCCCGGTTCATATGACATGTTCAGTCAGACCTTGGTTCAGCAGCTGTGCAATGCTAACATAAAAATCGCAGAGGGCAATGCACTTGCAAGCTCAGGCCTATCATGAACCAGGTTGTTTTGTTTTCCTTTAGGAGAGGCATTTTTAATGGTTCCCTATACACCTGAGGTGTGGGTGGCGCTGTGGGTTAAACCACAGAGCCTAGGACTTGCCGATCAGAAGGTCGGCGGTTCAAATCCCTGTGATGGGGTGAGCTCCCGTTGCTCGGTCCCTGCTCCTGCCAACCTAGCGGTTCGAAAGCACGTCAAAGTGCAAGTAGATAAATAGGTACTGCTCCGGCGGGAAGGTAAATGGCGTTTCTGTGTGCTGCTCTGGTTCGCCAGAAGCGGCTTAGTCATGCTGGCCACATGACCCAGAAGCTATACACCTGCTCCCTTGGCCAATAAAGCGAGATGAGCGCCGCAACCCCAGAGTTGGCCACGACTGGACCTAATGGTCAGGGGTCCCTTTACCTTTTATACACCTGAAGATGGGCCGTGGGTGGGGCTGTGGTCTAAACCACTGAGCCTAGGGCTTGCCTACCTTAACTGTCAGGGGTCCTTTACCTTTACGTTTTTATACACCTGAGGGCCATCTTATGATCTCTGTAATCCTCATCAGCTGTCCAGAGTTTTCAACACTGAAGTGAAACTTCTTTGTTTTCAAAGGCTTCATTGAAAGGTGACCCAACCATTCTGAGGTAGTTTTATTATATGTTTGTTATTTTATGATTTACGGTGTCATATTGTTTACTGCTTTGGTATTTTAAAATGTAAGTTATATGCAGATGTTTATATGTAGATAAAATATTGAAAATGGTGTAGTTGGGTGTTTTGTTTTGTTTTTATCTATCCTGAGCTTGGGTCAGACAGGTTATTTATCTAAATGAATCAGCCAACAAATACAGCAGCAGCAGCAATTATTGGTTGATGAAGCTGCCACCTTCATAGCATTGGGCAATGTTTCTCATGCCTCTCGTATTCTCCTTGTGTTCCAGAACTCTGTATTGTGTAAACGAGCTGATGGACGAAGATGAGAAGGACAGGGCAAAGAGGTATGGATATTGGGGCATGTCATTCTCCAAGCTCACCTGTCCTTATCTGAAAATTCAACAACAGTTAACTATACCACTTCTGATAACAATGACTCAAAGCCCAAAGACCCAAAATGGAGGGTGGTTTCTCACTCTTGTTTCTTATTCTGTAGTGGTACAGATTTGTGTACCGTGCAAGATGGCATCCGTTTTCATCATGACTAACAAGGGTGAAATTATCAAAATTATCAAAGCTTATTAAAGGATAAAACTATCAAAGTTCATTAGCCCCAAAAATTGCTACATGCATCTTTTTGATGTTTTAGAAACTGTGGGTGAATAACTGAAATGTGGATCCATGTCATAATTATTCCACCCACACTTTCCCCTAGAATTTGGTTCTGCTGGAGTCAGGACACTGGGCTAGAAATAACTGGAAATAACTCTTTCCTAAGGATGTAAGATCTTCACAATCCTGTTGGGTTCATGCAAGCACAATTGGCCAACATTGTGTTTCCAATAGGGGCAAAGCCAAATGACTGCAGTAGGCTTCCCCCTAACATTTAATATCCAGCTGTGCAGTGCCTAAGGTCAAGTGTAGTATCTGTTCTTATCAGTTTAAAAAAGCACTTATTTCATATTAGGTTTCCTGGAGATTGCACCTGTAGACTTCCTCCCAAATTCAGGGAGTTGCCTCCCAAAGTGGTTTACAAACCATACACCAACACATACACAATGAAGTATAATATTAAAACCATTTCAAACATCAAAACAGTGTTAAAAGCCAACATAAACCATACAATAATACTTACCAGCATAGATCTAATATTCCAGAGCCAGAGAACAGTATCGTATATATGTAACCCAATCACAGGTTGCTTCCAGATGGCCTGTTTCTTGAGCACTTACCCTGATTTGTTTTCGCAAAGTTTGCAGAGAGGTTAGATGACACTGACTACTTATTCTTACTTATTTTAAGGGAGGTCATATCATGTTACATCAAGCAATTGTTACTTCATTTTCCCATCTGTTTCCTTATTGCAAGAAACTCACTTTTGTGGGGGGTGGGAGTGGATTTGTGCAGAAGAATGCTGAATCAACTTTAATTGAAGCACCTGAATATGCCAGTATCTAATTGAATCCCACCTAAAAATAACCATAGTCTGGAATCTAGCTGTGAAAGGCTATGGTAAGAAAACAGGTTTTTATGGCTGTTTTTAAAATGTTGAAATGATCACGACCTAAACCTCGTTTTCACAGTTCTTTCATTATCCCTTCATTATTTTCAATGCACTTTTGTGTTTTGATTGACTAGGGCATCACGCAACAAGTCAGAAAAGAAAAGAAGAGACCAATTCAACATCCTTATTAAGGAACTATGTACCATGCTGCAAGGCCATGGGCATCCACTCAAGATGGACAAATCCACAATACTGCAGAGGACCATCGACTTCTTACAGAAACAGAAAGGTACCTGAACTGCCTGCAGGCTCCTTTTCTCTGCCTCCCTTCTTAGTAGTGCCATTGCTATTTTTACTGTTACTGAAGTATATTGCACTACAGACATCTTAAAATGCATATCACAAGCTTTAAAAGGTGTGCAATGCCTTGCGATAACCCACCCCAGCCAGTTAGCCTCTTTTTAAAGAGCACAAACAAACAGGATATATAATCTCTAGTTTGGGGAAAGAGGGAAGAGGGCATGTATTCCCAAGGCAAATATATTTTATAATAAGCTTTTGAAATGACAAGGATGTGGCTCTTAACATGGTAAGGCATAAAAAAAGGGAGAGCCTTGAGCTTTTAAAATAAATACTTTAAAAAGAGCTGCATGAGTACTTATGCAAATTAACACTCAACCTTTGCATTTTTTCCCCTTACAAACTTTGTAAAACCCTTGTATGAACACATGGAACTGCCTTATGCTGATTCCTAGCCCTTTGTGCCTATTCTGTTTGGCAAAGACGGAACTGTAGTACTCCAAAACATGTTGCCCTCCATATGTTTGGACTTCCACTCCCATCATTCCTGACAATTGGCTATGCTGTCTGCGGCTGATAGGAGCTGTAGTCCAAAGCATTTGGCAGGCTTCAGATTGGGGAAGCCTCAGACAGAGCTTACAGAGCCTCAGTCAGAGGTCTTACAGAACATCTGTTACGTGGTCTTTCTTAACTGGAAATGTCCAGGACTTCTGCATGCAACTCCTTAGAAACTCTTCCAAAACTATAAGGGCGTTGAAGAGAGGGAGATTATTTCATTGTCAAAAATGTCATGCAACCAGTGCTTTTCTTCTTGAAAAAATGTTTAGGGGTAATCTCATTTTCCTACTCATCTTGAAATACTGCCCCTCAATGAGGCCAAACTTAGATTCACAAAATGTTTAGGGGTATGCGTACCCCTGTGTACTCCCCAGAAAAAAAAGCACTGCATGCAACTAAAGAGGTTTCTGGATTGGGAATCATGGACACCAGTAAGACATGAACATGATTAAGGATTGAGTATATTTATGGGATGTGTGTTCAAAGGCATGTTTGCCTCAGCGGTCTTATGCATTTGGTCCCATGCCAACTAAAACTGGATTTGAGCCGTGGCATTATCTGCATTCTCCTGTTTCCTAGTGGGATCAATAATTATTTCTAGTCATTAGAGATGATTGTCAGGTTTTTCATCACTGTTTTGTCTATAGTTAGATTATCTTCTAGTACAGGGCTGAAGGGGTGATATATAATATGTCTAATTTTCTGACATTGCTCCCTTTAAATGGGCTTCCTATTTCACAGTGTTTGATACTCCTGTGCTGCTGAAAATCATAACTTGCCTGCCCTCTTTGTTTTTTCTTTTAGAAATCACAGCACAGACTGAGGCCTGTGAGATTAGGCAAGACTGGAAACCTTCATTTCTTAGCAACGAGGAGTTCACTCAGTTGATGTTAGAGGTAGGATAGAATTCAAATCGTACAGAATATGGGGGTGGGGGTGCTGATGTTCAGTTCTCTTTGTCACCAGGTCATTAACCTGCTGTCCTTCTGAAAGGTGCTAGAAAAACCACACCCAGCGTAATACAGAATGCCATCTGCCAACAGCTTTAAACGTGTGACAGTCTGGCTGTGAATTTCACTTTTCACAAACAACTTGGCTGGCGATATGAAGAATTAAGATTTGAAGCATCTTTCTGGTTTCCAAAGCCTGACATCCAGTTGTTTTGGCAGTGAATAAAATGCCTAACAGCCCTTCTGCAGTTTGTTTAATCATATATTCCCAACTATTTCCCATGTTTAATGTGGGAATTGGGAAGTTCATAAACCGTACACTTGAAGCACCCTAACTACAGATATATTTGGACATTCGCCAAATGATTTTTTTACATGTTCTGTGAATCATCCTATTTGGGTTTCCATTCTCAATCAGGCTTAGTGGGAAATAAGCATTCTGCATATTTTTATATATAAAAGAGTCCATCTATCTGCCTACTAACTTACCAACCCGTCTTGCTTTTAATTGTTTGTTAAAGCAAGGTTTCCCATGGTTTTCAGACAGTTCTCTGCTTTTGTTTCCCCTGCCAATGTTTAAGGGTGTGCACTGCCCTAGAATTGCAGTCTCTTGATTATTTCCTTCTCATAGAGATGTGATGACTCACCTTCTTTGGAAAAGAAGGTATGTTTATCTCCATCTGCAAATGCCTCTTGATGAACGAGTCAGTCCATTGCAGTTCAATCAAAACAGGCTCCTGCCTGAGACGAGACAAGCTCTTTGCAGGCTTCATTTCCAGATAGAGGACTATTTAATGAACCTTCTCTGTGCTGAAGGTTCTTTATTTTTGACATTATTTTAATGATTTCCCCGTGAATGTGGGGGAGCAGAATAAGTTGGGGAGTGGGAAGGAAGGGTACTGGATCCCCCCCCCCCCGTCCAAGCTGCTCGTCTTGGCTCCCTGCTGACCTGACAACAACCACACTTGATCTCAAGAACATGTTGCCATGTGTGCAGCACTCATCAAAACTCCAAGCCTTTTACCGCACTGACATAAATAAGAAACATTGACTAGGGAGAGAAATAATGAAATGGAACGAATTAAGTCAGAATAAAGGGAACAGAAAACTTTTGCTGCTGTGGACTCCCAGGTCTCTGTGTTGCTGTTTCAAATAATATGGCTGGGACTTTTCCACATGGCTTGTGAAAACCTGGAGTTTTTTAATTTTTAAAATACAGTGATGTTCTGGGGGAAACAGATACATGGATGAAGGTAAAAAGGAGCAAAGGTTATTGAGGTCACTAAAGTTCTCACCAAATATCCTCTGAAGTAGTTCAGGAATAAACTGCTGAAAGGTAGTTATTATCCCACCTGAACTCTTTATTCGCCTTCATGGCTTTGATTCTAAAATGACAAGTGGCACTGAAGAATCCTTCTTAATGGCAAGACTTACCTGAGAGCAACCCCTGAGCTCAATGGGACTTGCTTCGAAATATGCCAAAGCCTTCTGAGTTTGGAGTTTGTACTGCCCTCCCTAATGATTGTTCAAAAATGGCATTGCATAACCAGTCTCCCTCAACCTGGTGCTCTCTAGATGTTGCTGAACTACAACTCCCATCACCCCTGCCCATTGACCATGCCGGATGGGACTATAAAGGGAGTTACAGTCCAAAACGTCTGGAGGGCAGCTATTGGGGAATGTTAGCATAGACTGTAATGTTATGTACACAGTGTATGTTTCTCAAAAAATCTAATTATACTCATTTCCCTAAGGTGTGGGGGATACATGATGTCATGCAGTGTATAGGTGTGCATTATGTTGGGTAATTATTGTGGGACGCTGAGTTAGGGAAACCTAACAATAATTTATTACTTCGTATTACAGAAGTTCACTCAGTGTTATAATTATCCTAACGTTACCTGGAATTAAAAAAAAATTACTTAAAAGCTCAGAATTTGGTGTCATTTAAGGAAATTGTTTATTTTAATTTTTAACCGTATATTTTTTTTAATTAGATATGCAGTCAACTAAGCCCCATAGATTTCATTGGGGATTATGTCTGAATACATCTGTTTAGGATTGTACTCTTAAGTGTGCTTGAAATAATATGTACTCTAACTGTGCAGTTGTTTACACATCCCTATGCACACAATGAGGGAGTGATCTAAACCACTCTTGGGCTTGCCGATCAGAAGATCGGCGATTCGAATCCCCGCGATTGGGTGAGCTCCCATTGCTCGGTCCCAGCTTCTACGAACCTAGCAGTTTGAAAGCACGCCAAAAGTGCAAGTAGATAAATAGGTACCGCTCCAGCGGGAAGGGAAACGGCGTTTCCATGCACTGCTCTGGTTCACCAGAAGCAGCTTAGTCATGCTGGCCACATGACCCGGAAGCTGGACGCCGGCTCCCTCAGCCAATAAAGCGTGATGAGCGCCACAACCCCAGAGTTGGTCACGACTGGACATAATGGTCAGGGGTCCCTTTATATTTAATGACATTTATCTATAAGCATATATAAATGGTATTCTAAATTACAGTTTATTGAACTAGCAGAAAAGGTAACACAAAAACTAGTTAGATAAAGGACAAACAAGACATCCTTTCTGAAGTATGGTATAACTATTATTTTTAATGGAATAAGGCAGAAACCAGAAGAACACTGACAGTATGTATATGTAGAAATGACTGAAATCCCAACAATCTCACAATAAATCAAAAATAGCTTTTGAAAAAGATCTTGAAGTACTTAGAAGACCCTGGGGGGGAATCAATGAATAAAGCAACATATATAAAAATAGAAAATGTTCGTGGCAGCAGCAGACAACTTGGGAAAAGAATTGCAGAATAAAAATAACAATTGCATTTGTTTCTAATTTATATATTTTGATTATTATATTATTATTTTAAAAATCCATACCCAAATAAATCATATTCAGAGTAGACCCATTTAAATAAATGGATTTAAATTGCTTATGTTCATTGATTCCAATTAGTCTACTTTGAATAAAACTAACGTTGAATGTCACCCAATAATATTATTTCTCTGTCACACAGGATGGAAGCAGGGTTTTTATCTAAATTATTTCTTTTTTTTCCATATAGGCATTAGATGGTTTTCTCATTGCACTTACCACTGATGGGATTATTATTTATGTATCTGATAGTGTCTCTTCTCTTCTTGGGCATTTACCGGTAAGTTCTCACAACATAATGTCTGAAAATCTTACTATTTTCCTTAGGAATGTCAGTATGGATGAAATGCGACAACCATGCATGCAAAGTAATTTTTCAGAGACTTGGATTTAGTTTAATACAACTGTTGTTGTCCCTAAGTAGATATATTTGGATGTTGCTGTCTTTTCTAACCCATGGCTTTCTAGAAGCATGACAAAAACTTGCAGACAAAAACTTGTTTGGTCAGATATTGCAGGGGATAATAATGGGTTCTTACCCCATGCTGTCTTTAAGTCTGTAGAAAAACTGTCATCCTCATCCCAATACGTACAGTGATGTTCTGAGATTCTGCACGTAGAACTGCCATAGTGTAGTCTAGGGAATAGACAAATCGATTAATTTTGGTCTCTCTTGGTCTCTCATTTTCCCATTCTTAAGTACACTTTGCCTGAATTCCTCATGAGGAGTGTGCATTGCTTTTTCTTAAAAGTCCACATGACAGTTTGTGTGCATTTTCAGGTACATTCCCTCATATGGGTACATTAGGCAAAATTGGTATCTTTTAGGACATATGGTTTATTACCCATATATACAACCTGACCCTATGGTAGAAGAGTTCATAGCATTGACGCCCCAAGATGGTCTCGTTTCTCCCATAGCCAGCAGAAATCAGCCATGGCTCTGACCCTCTCTCCAGCTTGCCGCCTTTTCCAAACTGCAACCTTTTCACTCCAGGTCACATCCCAGCCAACTGACTTTTTCCTTCTCAGAGCCAGAGGGGGGCCCCTACCCACTTGCCATTAGGCACAGAGCCCATCTCCAGGGCTTTCTTGATAAGCCATTGCCTTTCCTTTATTTTCTTAATGGTTTATTTCCCAGGCGATTAACCCCTCAGGAAACTGGCCTGGCTTATATTTTGCCTTGACTAAAACCTGACTCCCACTGGATCCAGGAATTTAGGGGAGTCTGGTACCCACAAGCTCATAAAGTGGGTTGTAATACATAAATGATATAAAATATCTGGAACATGTAAACTATGCCTATAATAAGAAATACAACATGATACTTTAAAATGTGGAAGTTAAGAGGGAGTTGAAGAAAAATAACCAGATTAAGAATTGTAATATATGAGAGAACAGCAGCTAGACAGGGTAGGTTTAACCAGGAGAGGCTACCTTTTGTGTTTTTGCTGCCAGAAAGAGAAATCTAGCTACAGTCTCTGTTAATTGTTTGAACCTGCCAAAAAGTACCGTAGTCCAGATACCAGATGTTAGTTTCTAAAATGCCCACCAGATAGTAATGCAAGATACTCCTTAGAGAGAGTCCTCATGTGCTTGACGCCACCTCTCTTAAGTAGGCCTTTTGTTTGTTTCTCTTTCCCTGAGTGTATGGGAGACATTTCTCTAATTAATGTGCTGTAGACTATTCTCTTTTCCATAAGGAGTGCAGATGGCTTGGCTATCTTTTGCAGCTTTGGGCACAACTGTCTGTTTTCTATGGGTGCACAACTGTCTGTTTTCTATGGGTGCTTTTTAAGGCCATCACATTAACACCATCATCATCATTATCATTAACGTTGTGCAGCCGAAGGCCCACCTTTTTTTTTTTTTTTGCTGGTGATATTCAGTTGGGTTCTTCTTTGCCTCCTTATTCTCTTTGCTTTAGAACCGCTTTCCCTCACTATTGGCAGAGACCCAGGGTAAAAGCAGAGTCAAAATGCAGTCGGCACATTCCTTTTCACCTCTGGCCTACCAACTTCCACACTTCTTGTGTTCTGTTCTGCCCTGTGCTGAAGCGTTTTCTACCGTGGTTCAGTTGACAGCACATTGGGTTGAAATAGATCTGGGTTCTTGGCTGAGAGACGCAGTTTTTTCAAGGGTGTTTCCCCCCCCCCCCCCCATTTAAAGCGTTATCACTTCACTCTTTAGTCAAATAAGGCTCCAAGAGAGGATTATAGATCAGTAAAAACAAGACAGACCCTCTTCTCTGGCTTAACAGTCTAAAATTCACAACACCAAAGGGAAAAAAGGGATGCAGAGGCACTACTTGAACTTGCAGCTATTATACAGCCATTTGGGATGGAATCTGGTCTGGCAGCCTGATGGAATAGCTGCTGCTAGGTGACACCTGAGGAGCAGCCAAAGAAACCTGGTCTCTCAACAGAGTGGGTAGCATTTCCTCTGCTTTATTTCTCCCCTTCCGCTTTGCAGTAGTGCCTCTGCATCCCTTTTTTCCCTTTGGTATTGAGTGAGAGCCAAAGGCACCTGGTCTCTCAAGAGCCAGTTGAATAGTTCTGCTTCCTTTTTCTCCAGCCTTTTCCTAGATATTCTTGGGCAGGTTACTCTTTCCCAAGGTTATAATTAACAGGTCATAAGCCTTGCATGGAAGGATGATGGTACTGACTGTGTCTCAAGGGACTGAATGCTGCTCCATACAAACAATTCCCCTAAGAACGAAAGATAGAAATCGGGATGTATTGCGTAGCCTTCTCCCTGACATCTTGTTTTCTAAATGTTTGAATGTTTCACCCCGCCCCAATGGGAGAGACATTTCATCATGCACTTTGTTGGCATTGGTCTGTCTCTAGAAAAATGGAGTGTACCTCTGGGGGCAAAGTCAAACTGCTGGAGAATCACAGCACCCCCTGTGGCTGAGAGACCAGTTAACTCATAACCGCTGCCTCTGATGCTCTTTTCGCTGTGTTAGCAGCACTAACGTGACCTCCCTGGGGCACAAGCCTGGGCCATGCTCATGGAGGTCCTAGTCTGCCTTGATGACAGACTTGGCCTCCTTAGACCACTTGATGTGGTCCAAAGGAAATCAGAGCAATATATTTGGCACCAGCTTGGTTGCAGGAGTTGCTGGAAGGAGGCGTGCAAGATGGCATCAAATAATATCACCTGGACAATGGTTTACCACCTCAGGTGCTGTTCATGAGCATTTGGCCTCAATTTTCCATATGCAATTCGGCAATAGTAGTACCCTGAGTAAATTGTTGTGAGGATGATAGGGGAAAAAAGAATGCAATATGGTTGTTGGCACATTATTAGGGTTAAAACCCTTTCCCTACATACTCACTACGTACGTAAACAAGATTTATTGGCACAGAGGTTATAGCATCCCAAAACTGTTATTGTAGTAATTAATAAACATCCTCTGTCTTCCAAATCTTTTTTCAAAAGACTCGTGTGTACATGTCTGCCTCTGAACCAGCTCATGTGTGTGTGTGTGTGTGTGTGTGTGTGTGTGCCCATCATCTTCCTGCATCATCATTGGATGGCTTGCATATGTGAACACACACACCAGAGATCTAACAACACCAGCAAATCATTTATGTCACTTAATGTCAACATAAATCCGAATTCCTTACAACAGAAGCAGTTCCCATATTTGGCTGAGGGTCTTCAAGTGTTGAGTGACTATTCAGTGCTGTTTTTAAGTGTGAATCAGCCCTTTCATGTGTTGTGATCATTTAAACACTCTGCCATCGAACATGACAAAGTGTTCTTTTGTATCAGTCAGATTTGGTGGACCAAAATATATTAAACTTTCTGCCTGAACGTGAACAGAGTGATGTGTACAAGCTGCTTTCTCCACACATGCTCATGACGAACGCTGTGGCGACAGATTTCCTGAATGGTAAGTAGCATTTTGGTTATTTTCTCTTTGATAGGAAAGAGAAGACCTCCACAGCAAGGGCACATCCACAGCATAAATGTTAAGCACTGTGATACCACTTTAACAGCCAGCCTCTGAAATTCACAGGTCTCTGAATTTTGCAGTGCAGTTCTTGCAGTGCAAGAAAAGAATACAAAACTGCAGAGATAATGGTGTAAAATTTGCATACAAATACACATAAGAGCGAAAACAACATACAAAAACCCATTCTTTTAGGGAAATTTGCTTTGCAAAAATGCATACATTGGGCAAAATTTCCCACAAATGTATGTATGTTAGGATGAATGTATACTAAAATCCTGTTGAATTTTCATGATGACTATTTCTCTTTTTAAAAAAGAAATATCACAAATTGATGTGGAAATGGGAAGAACTGAATTTAAAATGGGGACAACGGGAAACTGAAATAAAATAAAATGGACAGATCATATCTGCAAGTTCAGTAGTTTTCATCTGCCATGAATTTGTCTAATCCTCTTTTAAAGCCATCCAAGTTTGTGGCCATCACTTCTTGTGTTACCCTAGCCCCGTAAGTAGGACAGAACACTATGCAATGGCTTTAATTCTGCCAGGGCAATGTAAGAACCTCTATTAGGTTTTCCTATCCTTGCTGAAAGAACCGAATCTCTGTCCAGTGATTCTACAGACAGCTTAATTGTCATGTAAGTACTGATTAAGCTGGCAAAATAAGCCTTCACTGGGACTTAAGAGGCACACAGGGCTTCTTATATCTTGTGCCCTCTGCCCTATTTCAGCCTTGAAGAAGGTTGCATGATTGAATGATTCAGGTGCAGGGTTAATCTAGAAGTCTTATTTAATTATTGCAGCCTGCTGTTATTAATGTGAATGTGCTTTGGACAAAGGTGTGGTCAAGTGCAGATCAGTAAGCTTTGTTATCAACATAACTTTTAGTCCTATGGCAATCAAAGGAAGAAGCAAAATGATCAGATTTTAAACTTGTGGAGATGTGTCACTTAACCATGGTTTGTTTTTGTTGACCGTTATTAAGCATTGCATCCAATTGTCAGAAGTCACAGTTCAGGATGGGCTCTAAACCTGAAGGCAAAAGCACGGTTGAAGTTTTTTCCATAGTACATCTGAATAGAACAAACTGGTTGTAGTGACTGGAGGGCATTTGGGTTCTAGTTTGTACAGTGCCAAGCTACATTAATTGCTGCTGTTGTTATTAATGCTAATAGGCTATTTATTGTAATTTTTTTTTACTTAAAACGTTTCTGCAATGCTCTTTCTTAAAATTGGTTCAAGAGCAGTTTACAGAATTAAAATTTGTTGCAAAGAAGTGGCTTTTTCTTGCCATAGAGTGCTGTCATTTTGTGCCCATGTCATTACCTTTCTTCTAAAATATTTTATTTTGGGGTTGGATATCCAGAGTTTTCTGAAGGGATGAGGTTACTATTGACATTTTAAAAACATTTTCTTTCTCTCTCTCTTTCAGCTGAAAAACAGATAGAATTTTGTTGTCATTTAGCCCGAGGAAATTTAGATCCAAATGAACCCATTACATATGAATATGTGAAATTTGTAGTGGAATTTAAATATTTTACTAATGGTAAGCCATTGTATTATCACTGTCCCTCTCCCCACTGCCCATATGCTCATAGAGTTGCCTTAAACCTGTTGAACCTCTAAAGTTTCTGGTGCTGACAGTATGTTAATCGGGATATTTTTTTTTAGTGCATGTGGGGGTCATCATTTCTTGCATTGTGGAATAAAGCCAGGGCATGGCATCACAGGGGACATCCAGTTATGGACCTCACAAAATCTTTCCCCTCTTTCCTTCTGTTTTCTACCAGATCATTTTAGGTCTTCCAAATTTTTTATTATTATTGAGCATTCATGATGGTTTGTGCTCATGATGATGGTATCAATACTGTTTGCACCTTTAGAGGTTTCCCAGTGGACCTACTGCTTCATTCCCAATCAGTTTATGCTTCATAGTTTCCTTCTGAAATCTTTTAACATTCTGTATCACTGATGTTCTCGTTTATTGCCCCCAACTTGTGTTGCACTGAATGAATGAACTTTATTACAGTCACAGACGAGGATAAAAAAACAACAACATATAAATAAAATAGCAGTTAGGATTTTTTTTTTAACTGTTAAATGTTGGAGCAAATAAGAACAAAGAAACAAGCACAGGATAAAACATCTGAATAAAATACAAGATTAAACACAGATAATGGATGGATAAAAACTGATAATTAAAACAGATAAGAACTAAAAACAAATAAAAACATGCAGTTAAAACAACTGTAAGAGCGTAAGAACTAAAAGACTCGCAGTTAAAACAACTGTAAGAGGCTGCAGAGTAGAAGCCTCTGAAATAGATGACACTCACAGCATTAGAAACTGATGTGCAAATATGGTTAAAACAGACAATTAAAACAATGTACAACAATAAACTATCCCAGGGGGTTGACTCAGAGTCACCCATGGAACCGAGTTTGGGGATTTCCATGCCGGACTATTTTGAGTTGGGCGATGGTCTGCGCCTACAGATTTGTACACAGAATCTGGCGACCATCCAGGTCTTCTTCTGATCTTTGCCTAACAGCAAAAGGTCAAATTTTTGCTTTTGTGGGAGGTTGTGTTGCACTGTGTAAGGCAATTATTCCAGACGGTAATAATTTTAATGGAGTAATTTTGGAAAAGCATTGCAAAACAACTAATAAAGCAGAATGATGTGTGGAGAATCCAAAGTAAATTAGCTACTAATGCTCTATGATTGCATCAGGGACATACAGCCCTTGCCCCTGCCCCAAAGAATCCAGTTGGGGTGGGGGGAGGTCCCTATTTTAGTACTGAATAGAGTTGTTTTCTTTTCCCTGTCCAAGGTCTTCGTGACCTTTTTGCAGCTCCGTTTCACAATCTTTTCCAGTATAACAATGCTACGCCAACATTTCTGAAATAATCTCTCAAATAAAAGAAGTTTTGTTATGCTGGATGTTCATAAAGTAGAAAGTTTAGCTGGCTTGGTTTTATTGGCACTGGGTGAATATTGAGGGGGATGACAACCAAAAGTAGACAGGAAAGTTTTGGAAATGCTGTCTTTACTTAAGAACCTAACAAGAGCCCCAGTGAATAACATCAAAGGTGCAAATAGTTGAGCGTTCTGTTCTCACAGGGGCCAACCAGATGTTTGGCACCCTTCTGTCTTGAGAGACAATGGAGTGTGCCTCCCAGGGTGAAGTCAAATGACTGCTTTAGCAGAATCAAAGTAGACCTCTCTGGGGCGCAAGCCTGGCCAGCAGTGTGCATGGAGGTCCTGGGCTGCCCAGACGACAAGACCCCCCTCTCAACCTCGCTGATGGAAAGCAGAGCAAGGTGTTTGGCACCAGCTGGGCTGCTGGAGTTGCTGGAAGGAGGCGTACAAGTTGTCGTCTTAGGGACTCCACTCTGGATTTGTGTAGGGTTTACTCCTTAGCCTTTTCTTCTCCCAAAGATGTCCCGCAAGGCAGCGAAGCTATAGGGTCATAGTTTTCCATGTCTTCTCCCTTCCCCATCTGCCCCACTGTAGTCTATGGGAAGCCCAACAGCACTCCCCTCAGCTCTGATTCCTAGCACCCCCTGTCTGACAGTGGAGGTGGAACATAGCAATCATGGCTAGCCTTACCCTCCATGAATTTGTCTCATCCAAACAACAATGAAAACTCAGCTTCTGAATGATCGTTTTGTGCTTTTGCTTTCAGTGCCTACATCTTCTTACAATGGCTTTGAGTCTGCCATTGCGCGAGCGTTCCGATCGGCCAACGAAGAGCAGATCTGCCTAGTAGCAACAGTTCGTCTCGTCACTCCACAGTTCTTGAAGGTACGCAGTCTCTCTGATTAGTGCAGTGTTGTCATAAACCAGGGTAGGGAACTGTTTTCAACCCCGGGGCTGGGGTGGGGGGCTGCATTTCTTTCCTGGGCCACTTAGTGGTGGGCAGGGCCAATGGGAAAAGTGGAGCAACAAATGTGAGTTATACCTTCGCATTTTTAGGCTGGTTTCTTCCCACAGTTGCACACTCCTCTCTGCCCTCCATGCAGGCAAAGCAATAGGCACTATTCCAGCCAGGCAAAGTCACTCAAGGTGTGAATCAGGGGAAGTGAGCAGCATAGCCAGGGGAGGCTTCTGAGGGCCTGACAGGGAGCCCCAGAGGGCCACATTGGCCTGCTGGAGCCTGAGGACCCCCACTACTGTCTTAAAGGGGCAGGCTCAGTGGGTGAGAGGGGCAGAAGAAGAGAGCTTCTAATGAGTTTCACAAGATCAGCATCTGTTTGTTAATTTTATTTAAGCTATTTGTATACTGCTTAATTACCAAGGCTCCTAACCCACTGTACATAAAAAAATTACTGAAACATCTCAAAAGTCATATGAGAAGCTGTGGAACTCTGCCGCTTCAGAATGCACATGCATTTTTCATATAACAACTGGCAAAAACCAAACCTCCCCTGATATCCTGGTTTTCCACATAAGCAGGAAGGTTTTGCTTTTGTTTTAGTATGGGGCAGTACTCCAGAAGTGGTACCATCCCAGAATGACTCTTACATATGACTTTTTATGAATGCATAGTCCAGTTATAAGCCCAAAGAAGGTACTTAACACTTGAAGCCAATTCTCACAAGCAGCAGATGAGCAAAACCATTAGCACTTCTGGACTTGCATGACTGAATGCTCATCTAAATAAACAGGCACACAAGCAAAATCCCCTGTACATAGAAAACATACATGCAAACGAGAAGAGCTCTATCCTAGCCATCTGCCTGATCTGCTAGTTTTCTTTGGGGGGGATTATTGAACCCCACTTCATATGAGCCACACCTGTAGCCTGAAGTGGAATAGTCCAGATACCAGTTTAATCACCTTATCTGCTGAAAGTTGGTTTTGACTGTAGAATCATGGGAACTTGACTGAATTTTCATACATCATGGATTCAATCCCCCAACTAGAAACTGGGGCTTAGTTATAAAAAATATAAAATTGCTCAGTGCAAGGCCTGCTATGTAACTGTAGCCCTTCTTCCCAGGAGTATCAGACATGCCCTTCTGTCTTCTGTCAGCTAGGGTTCACTCATAGGGCCATGCTATTCGCTTCCTTAGCTATATACAGCAGCCTGGTATTTAGGTTCAAGCCTGGTAGCAAGAGGTGAGAAGGAATTCCATGCAGGTAGGAGAGAGAGAGAGAGGGAGAGCATCCCTCCTAAATGGCCAGCACAGGAATACAGCAGACTGTTGCAGAACAGACATAGTTCTCCATCCCTTGCTCATCTGGCTAGGAAAGGTTTTGGCAGGCTAGTGGAATTTGTAGGCTTATTTGCAAGGCTGTAGGTAAGGGCTAACACATGGCTACACAGTGAATCTATATGTGGGATTTCCAATGCTGGTGCAGAAGCATCAGGTTGCATGTTGTTTGTGATAGAATAGCCATGTCCTTTGCCAAGTGAGCCTGCAAACCTTCTCCATTATCATGTCCACTTGAGATTTCTCATCCTTGTTGTTCAGCAGCTTTGGGCCAATAGGTTGTCATGCTCTCTCTGACACTGACTCATTTAACAACCTTGGCTAAGTTAATGCAGCCTTTTGGTCTGCATCCATAGAAAAATAAAATAAGCAAGGAACGTAGAGGAATGTAGTTGGGAGCAATTTTCATCAGGTTTTTTCAAAGTCCTGCAAACCCAGCAGCCTCATTCACCATATGGCCCATGTGTTTGTCAGAAAGACGTATTTGTTTTCCAAGAGCTGCATTTATAAAAGGGGGGGGGGAGGAAAGAGGAGGAAAAAACCTTGTCCTACCATCTGTTTCTGCAGGAACTTTGCAATGTGGAAGAACCATGTGAAGAATTCACATCGAGACACAGCCTGGAATGGAAATTTTTGTTTTTAGACCACAGGTGAGATGGATATGTTTGTTTTAAATTAATGCATTTTTAAGGGGAGGGGAGAAACCACCTCAAGGTGGAAGTGGGGGGGAAGAGTTGGAGAAGACAAACTCATCTTAATTCCTAACCAGGATTTGGATTCATAGTCGAATTAAGTAAATTTGAGAGCATTAAAATTGACACATTGGGTCAAATGTTTATTAGTTCAGCATTCTCTCCTTTCACAACATCTGCTATTGATTCCCCAAGTTATAATACTCAGATGTTAAGAGTTGGTTCCAAAGATTCCCTTTTTATAATAGAAGGGCTTCCGTAACCCAAGGAATGTATTTTTTTAATCTACCTTATTTTGTCGCAGAGTATGGAGGTTGCATTTGTGACTACCATTGCTCACAGCCTAGCAGACACAGAGCTATGCTTCATATGCTTATCTTAACATTTCAAAAACACTGTGTGAATGTGTGTATGACCTTTGCAGCATCTTGTGGCCATGAGTTCCATAGGTAAATTGCACGCTCGGTAAATAATTGCTCCCGTTTCTGTAAAGGAAACAATGACCAAGTTTGGCAGAAAGGTCTGAAGGTGGGGTGGGGCTTCTTGAACACATTTAACTAAACACACTTAGAAATTTCCATGCACCTGTGATCTCTGACTTTTCAGGATTTGTGCCTAATGCACAAAGGCCTGAGAGAAGCCCTGTGCATGCAGTAGAAATATGCCTCCTTGCTCCTCTACACATGTTTAACGCTTGTGTATTCTGTCAAAGCATTTGAAGACAACTCTGATTAAGGTTTCACCTTCTGGTTTATATGCACAACCTGTTGTTTGACTAATGAATGTGCCTTTGGGGTGAAGCCAGACCATTGGAGAGATACAGCACCTACTGTAGGCCAATATGGGAGAGACATGTTTTGTTGCAGCTGCGGCACATGAATTGCACAACCATCATTCTACAATATGTGGGAAAGCAAGGGTAGTTATCACTCGCGGCTGCACTTCACACCCACTAAACCATGGTTTAACGAGACATGTCGGAGCAGGAAAAGAGAAAATGAGAGTCTTGAGAGTGCATAGTTCTGCCTCCCACACAGCCAGAAGTAGAACATAGGTTTTGGCTTCTGTTTAAAACAAGCTGAAGAAACCATGTTTTGAAGTTAGCTTCTGTTGAAGCTGTCGAGGGTTTGTTACTAACTGCACCCCGTCTCTGTGCAAAACAAGCCAAGGGAAAATGAGAAAAACCTGCTAAAATCTTCCTCTTGACCACATGGGAGGAGGAGAGTGGAGAGGTTGACTTACTATACTTCAAATCAGATCCTTAGCTAATGAAATTGATGTGGTATGAAACTGGGCCAGAATTCTTTTATATTCTTATTAAAAAGATCTAGTTGATTTATAGACCTCTTAGTATGTTTTTCTATTAAAAGGTCTAATCTGCCAAGACAATACAAGCAAGTAATTTGCAATAAAGTAATAAACCATACACGGGCAGCCCTAAATAATTTACATGGAAAGGGGAGAATTACAAAGACAAGATATGGATTGTATACAGTTCTCTGGGGGGGGGGGAGTATTGTGGGAAACTGTTTTACTATTTTAAACAAAAAAAGTCACAGGAAGTCCTTCCTTGAGGCAGTGGTGTGAAACCACTCATATACAGTGGTACCTCAGGTTACATACACTTCAGGTTACAGACTCCGCTAACCCAGAAATATTACCTTGGGTTAAGAACTTTGCTTCAGGATGAGAACAGAAATTGTTCAGCGGTGGCACAGCGGTAGCAGGAGGCCCCATTAGCTAAAGTGGTGCTTCAGGTTAAGAACAGTTTCAGGTTAAGAACAGACCTCCAGAATGAATTAAGTTCTTAACCCGAGGTACCACTGTACTCAGCCTCTCCCAATTGGATGCATATTATTCATGCTGTCTAGGCATGGCTATCCTAGCTTTCAGAATCCACAGAAAAAAGTAGTGTATGTTTCAAAGTACAGTTGTACCTTGGAAGTCGAACAGAATCCATTCCAGAAGTCCGTTCAACTTCCAAAACATTCAGAAATAGGATTGCCATATTTCCAAAAAAATGAAAATCTAGACACAAAAGTTGTTGAGCTTTTTAAGGAAATTCGGCAAAATAATAGACTTCCTGGGCATTTCAGCGATTTCCATCACTGCTTCCAACTGCCATATTCCAGTTATGTCCAGGAAATTCCGGACATATAGCAAAACTGATCCTCCAGACTAGAAGATACTGACCAAGGGCTGTGGCTCTTTAAAGCTCGCTTTGAAGCCATAGTTTCCAGTTCATGTGCAATGGGAAGTTATGGTTCACTGTGGTTCCTGGTTTGTTTTGATAACTCATGTGGAAGAAGGAGCAAAGTGTCAGCAAAGGAACTGCATCCAGGCATATAGCCTGACTTATAAAGCTAGATTTGATCGGGTGAACATGGGTTTTGTGTGGGATGGGGCAGGTTAATACAGTGTCTTTACAGACTTGTGTATGTGTGTGCATGGATGTGCAATATCCTCCTTTTGCTGTTTTATTTGCATTACTTGTCCTTAAGCTCCATTTTCCCAATAGTACAATAGGACACTGCAATTTCTGTGTTACTTATTCTTGCATTTCGTACCATGCTGAGTCACCAGTTTCCTATTCGGAAATCCTAAGAAGAATGCCCAAATTCCAAGCAGCACAGGAAGTTACAAATATCCTAAGCAATGAATAACCTAAAAATGAGGGGGTATGCTTTTCAGCTTGTACTGCTAATACGCCAACTCATTAGCAGATCACAGCTAGGTAACTGTTAATACTTTTGTTATTACTTGAAGGATCTGTTCTCCTTCAACAGTACAGACAGTTCTGAAATCACTTTACGATCTCTCCACAGCATTTTCTGGCAATTCGTTAACAACATGGCCTTGTATTTATAAGTGCTGGACCAAAAAGAAAGTTTGACTTTTGCAGCGAATTAGGGGTTTTTTTGGGGGGGAAGATTTTTAGTGAGGTAAAAGAAATGCTACAAAATTTGGGAACCTGATAATATTACCTAAACAAAGTGTAATCAAAGACACTTGTAATTCGTGATCCTATGCATGCGTACTCAGAAGCCTCTTTGAGTTTTCTTAGGACTGCAGCCTTGATAAACTTCTCTATGGGAAATAATTGGCTTTGCATCAGAGCAACTTTCTGCAACCTGGTGCCTTCCTGGTTTTTTAGACTACAGCTATGTACACACCCCACCACTCAAAGCTTTATGACTGAGTGGGGGTTTGAGCCCACATCTCCCAGGTTTTAATCCAACACAAACCACTATAACATAGTGCCTCTTTATGCAAAGATGCATAGGATTGCATGGTTAGTGAGATAGTCCCTCAGGCAAATATGGAAGCACTCAGTAGTTTTGCTCTGGTGTTCCATAAACATCTATCGATATGCATTCCATTGCCAACATAAGAAGAGTCCTGCTAGATTAGTGAAGCCCAAAATCAGGATGGAGACAAGCAACTAATACTCATTGAGGTTGAGGTCATGCTGCCTCTCAACCTGAATATTCCATTTAGTCAACTTACGCATGTATTCCGGTAGTGAACTTATTGTCCCAAGAGTGGATCCTTTCTGTAGCCGAAACAGCACCATCCACGCACAAGGGAGCCCCAAGACGTTCAGAAGTACAAATAAAAAGTTTAAGGGCCCTAATGGAGGGAAATCTTAACATCAGCCCAGTGAGGACTGACCATGCTAAATAGCCATGGAATGTCTAGCTGAATGCTGAAGATGGGAAAGTAAGGCAGGTGGAATGGAACAACCTGGAAAAGGGCATGTTTGGCTGGAAACCTGAGCAGGAATAGTTTATACTGCAACGTTGTGTTCAGATTTTGCTTGTCAGTGTCTAGCAGCTACTGATAGACCTTTTTTTCCTGCATGAAGCTCTGCTTCACACATACAGTAGGATGGCTCACCTGTTGTGAGCCACAATTTCCATCATTCCTCACAATTGGCCACCCTGGGAAAATCTGGAGGGCCACAGGTTAGGCAGTCCTGTTATACAAAGACAACCCATTCAGCCAGTTGTAGGTCTCCAATGAGCATATCTGTGTGAAATCTTTGAAAATATTAGGCATAAACCTAAGAAACACACATAACATGCCTTCATATTTCTTGTACCATTTTTGCGGGGGAGGGAAGTATTCACTTTGGGTTGATTCCCGTTGCCCCAATATGTAGCACACTTTGCAACGCACTGCCCCCCCCAGCTGAATTAAATCTCGCTGGTTTTTATAACCCATTTGTAGGTTGCTTTGTGACACTTGCCTTTCCTCTTGCAAAAAGCATACTGAGAGTGACTAAAAGGAAGGAAGATGTTATTCTGTTATGCAATAAAAAGCCTCCAGCTTGTTCTTGTGAATGCCGTAATTTCTAAGAGCATTAACTGTTTCCTCAGTGCATACGCACACATCTCTACCCTGAATTGTTTGCTCAAAACTGTGCAGAATTTACTGTTAACTGTTCCTTCTGAGAGCCGACACAAGCTCTTTGTTGAAAGAGTGTTTGCAGTCCTGTGCATATTTTTACTTACCTGGGAGTGCAAAGCAAGACTCAGGTTTTAGTAAACAAGTTTCGGCTTGTGCTGAAAGGCAGGACTGAGGGCATGAATGTGTAGATTGCCAAATTATGCCTTATGTGGAAGGGAAGGATATGTTGTTCTGCTTGCAACTTATATATTGGCCTGTTCTTACGTGTAATCAGAACAATTATGCAGGAGTCATTGTATACATTTTGTCACACAGCTGTTTGAAGATTATTCCCTGACCATAGGAGACTTGGCTTAATGAAAAGCTTTCCCCAGTGGTGGTGGCTGTGCTCACAGACAAGTTTGCTGTGGTTTGTTGAGATTGGGGTTGGTGTGAGAAGTGGAGAAACGACTCAGCCTACTAGTCTAGTATGCCCTTAACAGCAGGTTGATTTGATAGGTGGCCATAGATGAAGCTTCTCCAGGCAGGGACAAATTCACAGCTAGAGCTCCACTAGCGCTGGTTTGATCCCCATATGGGCCAACTGCATATTCCTGCATATGCAGGGGGTTGGACTAGATGACCCTCAGGGTCCTTTCCAACTCTACAATTACAAGATACTATGAACAGCTGGGGTTTTGGGGAATTGTAGTCCAACAGCATTTGGAGGGCCATAGGACCCCTACTGCTGTGTTAAAAGGTGATTGTTAGCTTAATTGATGGAGGGAACCTCTATCAATGGCTGCCAGCCATGATGACTGTAAGGGACATTTAAATTCAGAAACAGTAATAATAATTAATTTAATTTATTAAAACGAAACTTAAAAATTAAAAGATGGTTAAAAACAAATATCACCTGTTATCATGATTTACCCTTACTTTGCATGGTTTCTTCCATATTATTATTATTATTATTATTATTATTATTATTATTATTATAAAACAACTTCACATAAATTGTTCCTTCTCTGCTTTTCATGGGGGACTGGCGGACGAGGAGCTAGGGAGGAAACGGAAGCCCCAGACTTCTGACCACAGCAAATCCCCTGGTTTTGGCCATGTGCTTTTAAGACTATGTGCTCATAATGGGTAGAAATATTCTTTGTTTAAACAAAAGGGTTGGGAGTCTTAGGAAGCAGCTTCTATAATCATGGCATGTACACACAGCACTAACCGTAGTGCACAAATTGTTTCGTTCCCCATCTGGGAACCCTGAGCGTCTGTCAACTTATAAAACCTCTCAGGCATTTGGTAATGAATGACTCACTTCCCTCTCCCCATTTGCTGCTTAAATCCCAAGAAGTGAGTAAACTCCTTAACGACATACGTAGGAAGCTGACTTAACATCGGCTCAGGCCATTGGCCCATTTAGACTAGTAGGGTGAGTTCTGATTGGCTCTCTCAAGGCTTAAGGCGGGTTTCTTTTAACAACAATAATTATTTACATTGCCATTCATCCTCTTAAGCAATCTCTCTTTAGCGCTAGCTAAGATATGGTGCAATCCTATGCTGTCTATCCAGGAGTAAGCTCCATTGAATTCAGTAGGACTTGTTTCCAAGCATATTGTAGATAAGATTGCAACCAACACATCTTTCTTGCAAGACATGATAAAATAATTTCAGGATAATGCTCCCCCCCCCCCCCCACTAAAGAGCTCTCAAAACGGCAAACTTTGTACTCACAGCTTTCCTCCCTTCTTGTTCCAGGGCCCCACCTATTATAGGTTATTTACCCTTTGAGGTGCTTGGGACTTCAGGTTATGACTATTACCATGCAGACGACCTGGAACTTCTTGCTCGGTGCCACGAACACTGTAAGTGTCTCTATTCACTATGTGCAATGGACTGTCAGATGTGTGTGTTTTAATTGCATTTCTCGTTCTCTCTCTCCACCCTCCACCCTAAGCTTAGGACACCTGTGCAAATCACTGCAGCCATACGAAAACCATTTGTGATGGAAAACTTAACTGTAAAATGATGTCAACCCAGAGACAAATTAGACTGGACATTAAACCTATATTTGCATTTAGCATGCAGGGTTGTTTGGCTGTTGCTGTTTTTTAAAATGCAGATTGTATTAGCTGGGAGTACTGATAATGAATGGAATTAGAACAGGCATAAAGGGAATTTACTCTGCCTTATTTGCCTTATTTGAAGTTAGTATCTTCACTGGGAGGAAATATCCCTCCCCTGCCGCCATTGGGTTTTTCTGGAATTGGGAGAAAAACTCTCACTGGCTCAAACACAAATAGCAGTTTCAAAGGACGGATGGAAATCCATATTATTATCAGCCTAAACCCCCAGATGGAGCTGCTATTATAATTGTAATGTGTTTATTTGTTTTAACATTGTCTATTCTGTTGTAATCTGCCCTGGGACCTTAAGGTGAGGGGTGTGTACGAAATTGTGAGAAGCAGGAAAGAAATCATGTAAAAAAAAAGAAAGAAAATGAAAACATACAAACAAATTAATAGTTGCATTTTTAAAAGTGTGCATGCTAAAAGCAAAGATGTATTTAACGTCAAATCTAGTTTGGGACTCAGCCTTCTTATGTTACCTCTGTACCACCTGTGTTTTTGAAGCTGTATGTTTGAAGAGACATAGCCTTTATTATTAATACCTTACTTTGCTCAGTGGTTTGCAAGGCACATGCATATATATATATATATATATATATATATATATATATATATATATATACTCTTCATACATAGGATGATTTCTCTTGGATCTTGTAACGATGGACCCAAAAAGCCCCGGCAGTATTTGGTTTCCACATGAAATCTCCAGCAGACCAATAGATGTATTTTTGCTGCAGGGACTGAAGGGAGAAAAATTAAACTGATCTCTGCTGCAGTGCTCACCCTAACTCCTGGCAGTGTCTGGATTGCATGACCTGTTACAGAGTGTGCTGGATGTTCTCGTTAACCAGATTAAGAGGCGTACTTAACTCCCTGCCAAGTTTTGTTGTTCGCTTCTCTTTTAGGTCTCCTCAGGCCTTCGCAGACCCTGGCTGTCTCTCTGTAACTGCAGAGGGTCTAGGCTGCTTGCTAATACTTTGGGGTGGAGTGGCTGATCCCCCCCCCATTAGTGCTGCTACTATGCCTCTAACGGCAGCCCAATGCATGTAAATTTAACACGTGGAACTAGATGCCACCCAAACCCCAGGATGCCAGACTTTTGTGTATGCCAAGCTGCTATTAACATAGAAGAGGAGAGCCTGTAGGAAAAAGGGGCAGCTCTCACTTTGGGGTTGAAGCTGGAGGAGATAGAAATATATGAACATCTTGCATTTTGTTACTTGTCATTGTTAGGAAGCTTTTTGATATGTTTGTTTGTTTGTTTGTTTTGATCAGGGTGTGGGGTAATTGCAGCATTTAGGAGCTTCAGATTTCAGCTGCTTTTCTCAGGGTTCTTCGCTTTGCCAGTGTATTGGGGAATTGTTTACTCAAGTGCAAATCCCTGCAGTGCTAACACAGGATTCTTTCTGATCAACTCTATGTAGAGTTGCCTGGTTGCAACACAAAGATTCGTGCTGAAGCTTTAGAATTACAGTGGTACCTCGGGTTACATACGCTTCAGGTTACATACACTTCAGGTTACAGACTCTGCTAACCCAGAAATAGTACCTCGGGTTAAGAACTTTGCTTCAGGATGAGAACAGAAATTGCGCGGCAGCAGTGGGAGGCCCCATTAGCTGAAGTGGTACCTCAGGTTAAGAACAGTTTCAGGTTAAGAACGGACCTCTAGAACGAATTAGGTTCTTAACCTGAGGTACCACTGTGCTAGTTAATTAGGACTGCTGGAGTGAGTTGGGCTCCCATCATTTCAAAGAAGCGGAACCTATGGCTCTCCATGTGTATTGGACTCCAACTCCCATCAGCGTTACCAATAAACACAGGTGATGGGACTTGGAATCCCCAACTCTGCCCAGCAGTAAAAGGGGGAAAAGAGTGTACAACACAGAGACAATAATAATGTTGCAGCTCTCAGGGAAGAAGCACCAAACAGCTATTTGTTTTTCAGGTTCTTGAGAAGTCCTACTACCCTTGTTTTTTCAAACAAACAAACAAACAAACAAACAAACAAGCAAGCAAGCATACCCCAGACTTGATTTTTCTTGAAACCTTGGAATTATTTGAGTTTGGTGGGTCACAAAATGTACAAGCCCCTTATGGATGGACAGAGCAACTTGCCAGTGTGCAGTCTAGCAACTGTGCTCTTGTCTTTCAGCTGATGTGGGAGGTGAGGGGGGCAGGCCTGTTTACAATTTTCGAAGTGCGAAAGCTGTGAACATTTTGAATTAGCAGCTATGCTTTTGCTTTTCAGATCAAATCTCTGCCTCTTTCCATTTTCCTGCTCTGAAAATAGACAGAGGTGTACTTAGATGGTTTGAAAAGGAGGCAGTGAATTTCTGACAGCAACAGCCCCCCCTCCCCCTGGCTGAAAAACAAGCTTAAAAGTCAGAGCAGAGTGCAAAAGCGGCTCCAGATATGGCAGGGCAGGAATAGAAGTGGAGCCAGGAGATATTTGAAGGTACTGAGGAGTCAGAATCCTACCTGACACGTTCAAACTTTTTTAGACAGGCCTTTTATTCACTCTATATGAATTTTGGCCCTTACAATGGGTGTTATTTTGGCATGCACAGGGATTATGCACAGCTTTTTATGCACACGTCTGGAAGAGCATTAATGTTTCTCCAGATCAAAGATTACAAAAAGCCTAATACGTTGGTGATGTTAACTAAGTGGTTGTTTTCATATGCAGTGATGCAGTTTGGAAAAGGCAAGTCCTGCTACTACAGGTTCTTAACCAAAGGCCAGCAATGGATATGGTTACAAACACAGTACTACGTCACTTATCATCAGTGGAACTCCAAGCCTGAGTTTATTGTGTGCACCCACACGGTTGTTAGGTAAGAAACGGCACACAATTTCTGCTGCCATTTATCTGCGTCTTCAGCTATGTCTGTTCAAATATTTGGCTATGTGTATTGGCTCGATAAGGCGCTCCGTTATATAAAATGATTAGGGTTGGGAAGTGGGGGAGAATGTCACTGTATTTTTATTACTCTTTTATTTTTGGCAGCCGAAAGAGAAGCCTAGAAACAGTATCAGCTGCCAATTTTACTCTGTTCTAGAGGGTCCCCTCTCCCAAGCAATTTAATGGGTAAATGAGAAAAACTGATAACAGGCAGCAGCACAATTAGCAACTTTTAAAGCAAATGGTTCTTTAGAATAAAATCATTTCTCCCTGTCTGTCATCGTATTATATATTAATGATGGCTGCATTCAAATGCAAAGGTAGAATGTGATTTAGTGCTGTGCTGCTTGAAGAGTTATAAATATAATAAGGAGTTATAAATGTAATAAACATTATGACAATGAGCAGCAGCAGCTCATATACTCTCCTCCTCATGAGTGAGGGGGAGAGCAGAAGCTTTTGCTTCCAGTTTAGGATAGTCACAATTTATTCTGATGCCTGAAGCCATGGAGACTGTGGTTAGGCTTAGCTGTGATAAGTGGCTTTGACCATAGTTTACAAAGCAGGCTCCCCTCCCTCCGCCCCGTAACCATTGTTAAGATTCACTATAGTTTAGGATTTAGACACAATCTATAATGGAAGTGGAAGCTTCTGATCTCTTCCTTGTGACTTCACCAGAATGGGAAACTGTGTAAGGCCAGTGCTTGCCACAGCACAAACTGGCTATGGTAAACCATGGTTTAGCGTTATGTGCAAATTGGGGCAACTATGATGTTGTTACAGCAGGCATTCAATGAGTTTTGGGCAGATTTTGCCTGATCTCCCTTTGCTCTTACATTTGTTTTTATAGCATTGGTTTTTCAGACATGTTTTATAATTGCAGATTGTTTTAAGCCACTCTGAGCACTGTTCTTACAGTGAATGGGTGGGATATATAAAAAAAGGGGGGGTCTCTTAAAGCCCTGTAAGTCACTCCAGTTAAAGATTTTAGATTACCTAAGAGAGCCGCTGCCAGTCAAACTGTTGGGCTTGATGGACCATCAATCTGACTTCTTATGAGACAGCTGTCACATAGTCCCATTGCTCTGATCCAAAGTCAGTGTTCGCCGTAGGAAAGTACTGTGCTAGTGGTGAAACTGGGTGGAATCATTAATGGCATACAAGCTTCTGCAAAAGGCTACTTTGCCTACCTCTTTGTCTGATCTTCTGCTGAAATGTATAGTCACTAAGGGTGATGGGTGAGTTTTGGTGAGAATCCTATATGACAAACTGAGTGTGCACTCTAGAACATCCTTTCCGAACCTGGTGCCCTCTAGATATTATGGACTACAGTTCTCATCATAGTTCCTTGCATCCCCAGTGGTCAGGGATAATGAGAATTGTAGCCAGCAACATCTGGAGTGCCATAGGTTCATGACAACCACTCCTGCTGTGTGGATCCATTCAGCCTTTATGACCAGATCTTGAGTGTGCCATTGCATTCCAAGATATGATTGGCATCACGCAAGAGGGCTGTCTCTGAGGTGGTGCCCCAACTGTGGAAACCCTAACCCAACTTCTCTATTCTTTTCCTTTCCTATACATATATATCACACACACACATATATAGTTATGCTGAGGTTCGAGCTGAAAGAAGAAGAGATCTTGGCCTTGAAGAGTCATCCATTGAACTAGCATCTTCGTCTTTGAAGGTATTGTGTGCTGGGATGAGCAAGTAAGAGCTGTTAGAAATGTGTTTTTGCTCCTGGTGGCAAGATGGCATTTTGGGGACATGAGAACCATCATCAGCATCAACATCATTAGTTCCTCCAGGTGTTACTGGACTCCATCGCTCCCACCCAGTCAAGGATGCTGGGAGTTGTAGAATAGCAACTTCTGGAGGGTGCCAGGCTTCCCATCTTGGCAGCAGCTCTTCCAGGTTTTGTTAGGATGCAATTAGTCTTTTTCTAAGCTTCCCCCTCCCCCTCCCCCAAAATATTTTGATATATGATGCCAGGGATTGAAGCAGGATAGGAATGGCCTAAAAAGTTACATCTGGAACCCTTTTTTGGGGGGGGGAACGACATTTGGGTGAGGGACTAAGGTGGGGAGAAAACTCTGGATTCCAAAGTTGGGTGAGCAGGGCTGGGCATTCATGTGCGCCGGGGTGTGTGTGTGTGTTACACATGGCAGTGGTTACAGGTAAAAGCTGGTCTATGGAGGAAGCCAGATTCCACTGATTTAAGTAGCTTCAAAAGGGAGGGGAGATTTGAAAGTCTACCTGACAGCTCCCAGAGTCTGTTACTGATAAAAGTTGGCAGTTACTTTCATAGGTTGAGCCTTTTTATCAGAGTCATTTGATAGTTAGAGCTCCTACTCACACAGCAGAGACTCAGTGGAGACTTGACCAGGTGCCATCATCTCCCGGAAGTCTGTTTAATACTATTTTTTAAAAAAACAGAAGAAGAAGGAAACTTTCTCCCCTCCCTCACCCACATGAATGTTGCTGATTTTCCTACTCCTACTGTTGAAAAGAAAGATTTGTCGAAGGTGGGACGGGGACCTTTGTGCCGGGAATGGCACAGGAAAAGCCCCTCTGGGTCAGATCCATGCCCCACCCAGCCTAGCATCCTGTTCTCTCGGTGGCCAGCCACATTCCTGGAGGAAACCCACAAACAGGACCTGTTTTCTGCCTCTGAGCTACGGATAGCATATAATGTGTACAGTTCCATGCTACCCATACATGGAATGAGATGACTGGAGGCCAGTTGGCAGCATTTCCAGAAGCTACATCTTTAGGACTTTTATGCTGAATCACCTGTTCTAGCCAGACAAAGATTGGAAGCGAAGGAATGATTTATTGATCTGTTTTCTCTCTGGATTGCTGCTGTGTTTTTAAAGGCTAGGCAGAATGCTGTCCAGAGGGTGGGCAGAGCTGTGGTCATGACAACAGTTTCCATTGCCTTTTTTTTTAAAAGAAAAGAAATCAATCGGGCATCGTCATAGCCTGCCCAGTTAATAGGGTCAACTCAGTTAACATTTTAAAAATAAACCTTGCCAGGGTTTTCATAATGAGATGCCGAAGCAGCACCAGAAATAAAATCCAGCGAAATGGATCCACGCATCCAACTACCAAGTTGTCAGGTGATGTGCTTGCCTGTTCGAATTGGCTCTGTGGCTGCCCCTTTGCCATATCATCACAGAGGCATACATTAGGGTAGGGGGCCCTTCACAGTCGTGGCAGTTCCTGCGCTGCGTCACACTAACATACAGCTGACCCACAGAATTCACACTGCCGGCTGGCACCATCACTGGTCTCTGTGTGATCAGGATCATTAATCTTTTATCCTGTTTTGTTCAGTGGTTAAACACGGACACCACCCACCCCAGTGTTCTCTACAGAACCCCTCAAAGTTGTACTTTTGTTGTGGAGAGCAGACTTAATGTTTTGTACTTGCGAGGTAATTGCATTTCCCCAAGGTAATGGAATCAATATTGTGTTTGCTACGTGGGAGGTTGTTGAATGTGATTGTACAGGCAACATGATGTTCGAATCCTATACATTAACTTAAACGGAGGGCTAACTAGAATTGGCCTAAATACAGCGAGGCCATTTTGCTGCTACGTCTGATGGGAGCTACCAATTAAGGGGCTAATGAAGCTCACGAAGGATATTGCCAGTAAACTGACTGATTCCTTTTTCACCTTCCATACTCATTCCACTCTCCGTAATATGAGTCCTCAGCAACCCTATTTTTCTAGTTGGCCTCCCTAATTTGGCCATTTATTCATTAATTCTGCATATACTGTTGAAAGCCTGTGACATGTTGAGAGAAAGTGGGCAGAAGGGAGCTAATTATAAAAGAGCATTTCTATTTTTATGCACGACTCTGTCGTCATACAGCAGTGATGGGTAAAAGCGATAGGGGAGCAGAAGGACAGAAAAGCCACAATGTCGTACCATGGAAAATGCACCTGGTGCTTGGCAACAGACAGCCTTTCCACCTATTTCCCATAGCAGTGATATGAACCAGTTCACCTGCAGGTAGCAGGTTTCTGTTCTTGCAGATATACTGCATTGCCATGGATTCACAGACAACTTTGTTGCTTTACCATTGGGATTATATTTCCGAGAGATGCCTATGTGTCAAGTAAAACATAAACCCAGGGCACTCCCCCCCCCCCGCCACAGCTGGAACTCACTGCAGCTCAGGTCCGGCAGCTCTCAGGTGCGCACCGTTGCCATTGTAAGAGAACAAGGGAGGCCTTCATAGTTCCGGCGCCTCTTTAATTTCCTAGAAAAATAGCACTTAGATAAACCTAAGACAGGAGTGAGGAACTTGTGGCCCTCCAGATGTTGTTAGATTCCCAACTCCCATCACCGCCACCCAGCATGGCAGAGGTCGAGAATGATGGGAGTTGTAGCCCGGAGACACACTTGGGAGAAGGTGGAAAGAGGAATTGAAAAATCATTTGCTCCAAAGAGGGCAATCTACCTCCATGTTGGAAGAGCAGTGCTTTGCTGCTTTTGCTGTTGTTTGTTAAGCATGTGCTGATCTCTGCTGCTAACGATACGATGCTTTCTTTCTCCTGGGCTTGCCTCTTTCCAGAGTCACGGTAGCTACATTGATATCCGGCAATGTGTAACCAACCAAGAAGCCAGCCGGGAAAGGGTGTCGGTGTCATCTCATAGCTCTCGCCGATCTTCTCACACAGCGCTCTCAGACTCTGCATGTAGGTATCACATGGGACAGCTGTGATACCAAAGGGTGGTTGTGGTTCTAATGCAGCTGAGCAGCATTGGAGTCAGCCCATCCTTCCCTGATTCAGTTTTCCTTTGCCACTCTCCATCCTCTATAACAGGACGGAGGCAGGCAGTTGGGTCTGGAGCAGATGGGTCAGGAGCCTTGGATTAATCCAGTTGTTTCTCCCAACCACTTCAGAGTATCCCTTGGCAGCATGAAAGCTTTGTGCCTTGGGCTCATTTGCACGTCCGCTCTCCCCCTGCTAGGTTGGGAGCAGAGACACTGGCAACAGCTCTCCCCCATGTTTCCCACCTACTCTGGATTGTGAGGCTAATTTCTTAGTTCCTCAGGAAGGGGTTTTCGGATGCTGCCTTGAAAGATGCTTCTTTTTTTCAGCCACGTCATCTGTACGGCACACGGATGCCAGCACCCCTACTAGGCAGTCTTTACCGATGGGCCAGTCGGACAAAGCACCTCTAAGACTTGCCTCAAGTAGCAGCACACAGGTAAGGAAGCAGCAGCAGCAGCGCTCCTGAGAAAGGAAGCCAGGGAGGGGATTCACCCAAAGAACAAGAGTGCACATCTTTAGAACACGAGGAGGAAAGCACCAATGTTTTCAAAACTTCTAATCTGAATTGGTACAGTGTATCTGAGGCTACAGTACCTATCCTGGCATTCAGGTAGTTAGTGGGCAGGTTACCTACAGGTTATCCAGAGAGTGAGGGGGAAATGACCTAGATCCCAGGAGTTGGGATTGCTCAATTAGTAGTACATGAGACTCTTAGGGTTGTAGGTTCGAGCCCCACTCTGGGCAAAATATTCCTGTATTGCAGGGGGTTGGACTAAATGACCCTCGTGGTCCCATCCAACTCTTCTGTTATTCTATTATTCTAGTCTGAATATGTGCCTTTAACAAGCAGCTTGATATTCAGAAATCAGCATCAGCATTTCTGACAAAGTTAAAGCAGGCATTATTGCCTGTAGAATAAGCTGCTGTTGAAAAGCACATGAGGGGAGAGAGAGAGGCTGGTAAGAAATAATAATAATAATAATAATAAGTATTGGCTACAGGGGTCTCTTTTTGACCTGGCCTAGTGGTCAGCTGACCTGCAGAAGTTTCTCACACAGGTAGGTTTTGGGAGTTTTAAGGGTTGTATAAAGGGACTGAAGGGGAGGGGATTCATAGGAACATTGGGGATTGCCTTATACTGAGTGAGTGAGTGAGTGAGTGAGTAAATAAAGATAAAATAAAAATTAGCATGAGTTGGTCAATCTATCTCTGACTGGCAGTAGTTCTCTTGGGGTTTCTTCAAGCTGTACCGCAAGATGCTGGACAGATGTCAAGCTTGGGACAGATGTTATACCACTAAGCTGCAGCCACCACAAGTTCTGTAATGAATACTGTCCTGGGCTGGGTGCAGAAGTTTAGTCAACACTTTTAACAGGTTAGGAAGGAGATGGGGCAGGGCAGATGCTGGGCATCTATTCTAAGGTCTTTTGCTTATCAGATGCCAAGTAAGAAGGGAATCTTTTGCTTAGTTCTCAACTAACATGGTGAAGCTGTGGACTGAACAATTGTCAACTGCAGGTTTCTGCTTCCATAACTGAATGCTGCTCCATAAAACAATTTCCCTGTGTATAGAAGCCTAGGATTGAAACTTCTTCCTGACATGCTGATTCTACTTTTGCATGGAGGACTGTCCAGTCACATGCATCTTAATTGCCTTAGTAAGAACTAGAGCTTTGATTAGCAAGGAAATATTGTGGCAAATGTTGTGGCTAGATAATCATATTCATCCTTGCACTGGGTGCATTATGATCCCCTATTTCCCCCCCCCCTCCTGCAGGGTATTATAACTCCTCAGACGCCCACTGAACATCTCGCTGAACATCTCTCACAGCACCATATGGCACAGACGACTGTCCCAGCCCAGCAAGCGGTTATGGTATGTTGGGATGGGGGAGAAACTCCGCAATTTGGTTCGCAATTTAATGCAAGCCTACCTAATTCACACTTTGCAGAACAATGTGCTAACTGAAACACAGCTATCCTTTGCAGTTCACATTTTCTCCAACCAATGTGTGCAAAAATAAGCTGGGTCTTTGGGAGGTCTTTGTAGGTGCTTCCAGTCAGCATCCCCTTTTAGATGAACTAGGTCTTCACCTGCCCCACACATAGTGTCACGTAGGAGGCCTTAAGTTCCCTTCAGAGTGTCAGTATTTTGTAAGAGGGATTCGAGCGCATACCGAAACTTCAGGTTTGCCCAACTGAAGTGGATTAAAGGGGGTCTGCTTGCCTAGTGTAACACATCCACTTTTTAATATACAATGGTACCTCGGGTTAAGTACCGTATTTTTTCCTCTATAAGACTCACTTTTTTCCTCCTTAAAAGTAAGGGGAAATGTGTGTGTGTGTTATGGAGCGAATGCAGGCTGTGCAGCTATCCCAGAAGCCAGAACAGCAAGAGGGATTGCTGCTTTCACTGCACAGCGATCCCTCTTGCTGTTCTGGCTTCTGAGATTCAGAATATTTTTTTTCTTGTTTTCCTCCTCCGAAAACTAGATGCGTCTTGTGGTCTGGTGCGTCTTATAGAGCGAAAAATACGGCACTTAATTCGTTCTGGAGGCCTGTTTTTAACCTGAAACTGTTCTTAACCTGAAGCACCACTTTAGCTAATAGAGCCTCCCGCTGCCGCCGCGCCGCTGGGACACGATTTCTGTTCTCATCCCGAAGCAAAGTTCTTAACCCGAGGTACTACTTCTGGGTTAGCGGAATTTGTAACCTGAAGCGTATGTAACCTGAAGCGTATGTAACCTGAGGTACCACTGTATATAAAAAGAAATGCACTGCAAAGCATAGCTTGGATGAATGATTGACAGGAAGGCATGTTACACCATACAAGTGATTCGGGATGAATGCTTGCTGTCATTTAACTTCCCCACAAGCAAATCCGAATGCATGCTCAACGTCTGCATGAGGCTTGTGCAAGTAAATGAAGATGAATGCTCAATAAATAGATGATCTGCAAGAGATCATGTTGTCCTTTCTGCATATGAATGTACAGCTTACTATCTGAAACAGTTCCCAAGCATTTCCCGCCGCCCCCCCGACATACGGCTGCATAGGTTGACATATATTCTTTAAACACCAATCAATTTGCATGTGTCTCCAGTCATCTCCTCCCTGCAGTCCCATTTTCCTTCTGATCTATAACTTGCTCTCATTATATCTTAGCTCCCTGCTGTTGTTAGGTTTGCATTGCTTAAAATAAAACAAAAATGCAATAAAAGTGTACCTAAGAAGAAACAAAACACCAACAACCCAGCAGTACCAGGTGAGCCCCATAGGCGACTGGAGGGCTGCAGTGATCATGGTGTCATAGAGATTGCTTAATCCTGCCTGTTGCAGACAGAAGATTCTGACCTTGACATGCTTTTGCATTTGATTTCGAACATTGCAACGATTAGTTTGGAGACCATTTTGGGGTTTTTTGTCTTTGGTATTATTTATAGCCCAGTAAAATGTTGGTTACTGGTTTGTTGTTCAACAGAACTGGAAAACAAATCCTTAAAGCAAAGTTTTAAAAACAATCACAATGAGCTCTATGAGTGGTCTGGGATCACCTGACACTGCAAAGTTGCTAAAGCTCAGCAGGTGATAGATCTGCAGTGTCTTATAGAGGAGACCACAGGTCCTTTGAGGAATGCCTGGAACAATAAGTTACGTTTTTAGCATGGAGAAGAGGAGGTTAAAGGGAGACAGGATAGTGGTCGTCTTAATATCTGAAGAGCTGTGGACACAGAAACGATGGAGCAGACTTCATTACTGCAGAAAGCAGGACCAGAACCCAGTGGGTTGAAAATTGCAGGAGAAGCAGATTTCGGCTGAATGTCGTTAGGTGTAAGAGCTGTTCGATGATGGAACAGACTGGTGGTTTCTTCTTCACTGGGCGTTATTTAGGCTGAGGCTGTCTGGGTTAGCGATGCTGTAGTTACCTGTTGCATTGCAGATTCTTAGGAACATAGGAATCTCCCTTTACACTACATCAGGTCATCGATCCGTATAGCCCAGTTTCTCTGAAGGCGGAAACAATTTGTTGTTGTTGTTTAGTTGTTTAGTCGTGTCCGACTCTTCGTGACCCCATGGACCAGAGCACGCCAGGCACTTCTGTCCTCCACTGCCTCCCGCAGTTTGATCAAACTCATGCTGGTAGCTTCAAGAACACCATCCAACCATCTCATCCTCTGTCGTCCCCTTCTCCTTGTGCCCTCCATCTTTCCCAACATCAGAGTCTTTTCCAGGGATTCTTCTCTTCTCATGAGGTGGCCAAAGTATTGGAGCCTCAGCTTCACGATCTGTCCTTCCAGTGAGCACTCAGGGCTGATTTCCTTAAGAATGGAGAGGTTTGATCTTCTTGCAGTCCATGGGACTCTCAAGAGTCTCCTCCAGCACCATAATTCAAAAGCATCAATTCTTCAGCGATCAGCCTTCTTTATGGTCCAGCTCTCACTTCCATACATCACTACTGGGAAAACCATAGCTTTTACTATACAGACCTTTGTTGGCAAGGTGATGTCTCTACTTTTTAAGATGCTGTCTAGGTTTGTCATTGCCTTTCTCCCAAGAAGCAGGCGTCTTTTAATTTCGTGACTGCTGTCACCATCTGCAGTGATCATGGAGCCCAAGAAAGTAAAATCTCTTACTGCCTCCATTTCTTCCCCTTCTATTTGCCAGGAGGTGATGGGACCAGTGGCCATGATCTTCGTTTTTTGATGTTGAGCTTCAGACCATATTTTGCGCTCTCCTCTTTCACCCTCAATAAAAGGTTCTTTAATTCCTCCTCACTTTCTGCCATCAAGGTTGTGTCATCTGCATATCCGAGGTTGTTGATATTTCTTCTGGCAATCTTAATTCCGGCTTCGGATTCATCCAGCCCAGCCTTTCGCATGATGAATTCTGCATATAAGTTAAATAAGCAGGGAGACAATATACAGCCTTGTCGTACTCCTTTCCCAATTTTGAACCAATCAGTTGTTCCATATCCAGTTCTAACTGTAGCTTCTTGTCCCACATAGAGATTTCTCAGGAGACAGATGAGGTGATCAGGCACTCCCATTTCTTTAAGAACTTGCCATAGTTTGCTGTGGTCGACACAGTCAAAGGCTTTTGCATAGTCAATGAAGCAGAAGTAGATGTCTTTCTGGAACTCTCTAGCTTTCTCCATAATCCAGCGCATGTTTGCAATTTGGTCTCTGGTTCCTCTGCCTCTTCTAAATTCAGCTTGCACTTCTGGGAGTTCTCGGTCCACATACTGCTTGAGCCTTCCTTGTAGAATTTTAAGCATAACCTTGCTAGCGTGTGAAATGAGTGCAATTGTGCGGTAGTTGGAGCATTCTTTGGCACTGCCCTTCTTTGGGATTGGGATGTAGACTGATCTTCACCAATCCTCTGGCCACTGCTGAGTTTTCCAAACTTGCTGGCATATTGAGTGTAGCACCTTAACAGCATCATCTTTTAAAATTTTAAATAGTTCAGCTGGAATACCATCACTTCCACTGGCCTTGTTATTTGCAGTGCTTTCTAAGGCCCATTTGACTTCACTCTCCAGGATGTCTGGCTCAAGGTCAGCAACCACACTACCTGGGGTGTACGAGACATCCATATCTTTCTGGTATAATTCCTCTGTGTATTCTTGCCACCTCTTCTTGATGTCTTCTGCTTCTGTTAGGTCCTTACCACTTTTGTCCTTTATTATGGTAATCTTTGTACGAAATGTTCCTTTCATATTTCTGATTTTCTTGAACAGATCTCTGGTTCTTCCCATTCTGTTGTTTTCCTCTATTTCTTTGCATTGCTCGTTTAAGAAGGCCTTCTTGTCTCTCCTTGCTATTCTTTGGAAATCTGCATTCAATTTCCTGTATCTTTCACTATCTCCCTCGCATTTTGGTTGCCTTCTCTCCCTCGCTATTTGTAAGGCCTCATTGGACAGCCACTTTGCTTTCTTGCATTTCTTTTTCATTGGGATGGTTTTAGTTGCTGCCTCCTGTATAATGTTGCGAGCCTCCACCCATAGTTCTTCAGGCACTCTGTCCAGCAAATCTAAATCCTTAAACCTGTTCCTCACTTCCACTGTGTATTCATAAGGGATTTGGTTTAGATTGTATCTTACCGGCCCAGTGGTTTTTCCTACTTTCTTCAGTTTAAGCTTGAATTTTGCTATAAGAAGCTGATGATCTGAGCCACAGTCAGCTCCAGGTCTTGTTTTTGCTGACTGTATAGAGCTTCTCCATCTTTGGCTGCAGAGAATATAATCAATCTGATTTCGATGTTGCCCATCTGGTGATGTCCATGTGTAGAGTCGTCTCTTGTGTTGTTGGAAAAGCGTGTTTGTGATGACCAGCTTGTTCTCTTGACAGAACTCTATTAGCCTTTGCCCTGCTTCATTTTGATCTCCAAGGCCAAACTTGCCAGTTGTTCCTTTTATCTCTTGATTCCCTACTTTAGCATTCCAGTCCCCTATAATGAAAAGAACATCCTTCTTTGGTGTCACTTCTATAAGGTCTTGTAAGTCTTCATAGAATTGGTCAATTTCAGTTTCTTCAGCACCAGTAGTTGGTGCATAAACTTGGATTACTGTGATGTTAAAAGGTCTGCCTTGGATTCGTATCGAGATCATTCTATCATTTTTGAGATTGCATCCCAGTACAGCTTTCGCCACTCTTTTGTTGACTATAAGGGCCACTCCATTTCTTTTACGGGTTTCTTGCCCGCAGTAGTAGATATGATAGTCATCCGAACTGAATTCGCCCATTCCCATCCATTTTAGTTCACTGATGCCCAGGATGTCAGTATTTATTCTTGCCATCTCATTTTTGACCACATCCAACTTACCCAGGTTCATGGTTCTTACATTCCAGGTTCCTATGCAGTATTTTTCTTTACTGCATTGGACTTTCCTTTCGCTTCCAGGCATATCCGCAACTGAGCGTCCATTCGGCTTTGGCCCAGCCGCTTCATCAGCTCTGAATCTACTTGTACTTGTCCTCCGCTCTTCCTCAGTAGCATGTTGGACACCTACCGACCTGAGGGGCTCATCTTCCAGCATCATAACTTTTATATGCCTGTTGTCTTTGTCCATGGAGTTTTCTTGGCAGGGATACTGGAGTGGCTTGCCGGTTCCTCCTCCAGGTGGATCACGTTTGGTCAAAACTCTCCACTATGACCTGTCCATCTTGGGTGCCCTGCTCGGCATAGCTCATAGCTTCTCTGAGTTATTCAAGCCCCTTCTCCACGACAAGGCAGTGATCCATGAAGGGGGCAGAAACAATAACTGCATGTAAAAGTTGCAGATTGGGTAATGCTCCTTTCTCTCTCTTTTTTAAAAAAATGATATTTATTAAAACTTCAAAAGAAAAAGATCACATTAATAAGAAATTTAACAATAAAAAGGAAAAATACAAAGTACAAAGTACAAAAAAGAAAAAACAGTTAAAAACAATTCCATCTTTTCATCACTTCTTTTACATTTACTTGTTTCCCGGACCTCCTCATACCTCCCTCTTTTGTATTCTAATTCAATTTGTTAGTCCAGCGATTCCTTTCCCTCCTTTTTAATCCTGATCTTTAATCTTGATATATTATAACATTAAATTTTTAGATATTAAAAACCAATTTTTCCATTCTTTTATACCATTTACCGCTAGAAACCGCTTAACTTCAATCCGTCATCATTCTAACATTCATTGATTTTGCAATATTTCTGTAACTAGTCTTTAAATTTCTTCCAATCTTCTTCCACCGACTCTTCTCCCTGGTCTCGGATTCCTCCAGTCATTTCCGCCAATTCCATATAGTCCATCATTTTCATCTGCCATTCCTCCAGTGTGGGTAGATCTTGTGTCTTCCAATGTTTTGCAATAAGTATTCTTGCTGCTGTTGTAGCATACATAAAGAAAGTTCTGTCCTTCTTTAACACTGATTGGCCGACTATGCCCAGGAGAAAGGCCTCTGGTTTCTTCAAGAAGGTATATTTAAATACCTTTTTAATTCATTATAAATCATCTCCCAGAAAACCTTAATCCTTGGGCACGTCCACCAAAGGTGAAAGAATGTACCTTCAGTTTCTTTACATTTCCAACATTTGTTATCGGGCAAATGGTAGATTTTTGCAAGCTTGACTGGGGTTATGTACCACCTGTATATCATTTTCATAATATTCTCTCTTAGGGCATTACATGCCGTAAACTTCATACCTGTGGTCCATAACTGTTCCCAGTCAGCCATCATTATGTTATGTCCAACATCTTGTGCCCATTTAATCATAGCAGATTTCACCGTTTCATCCTGAGTATTCCATTTCAACAGCAAGTTATACATCTTTGACAAAATCTTAGTTTTGGGTTCTAACAATTCTGTTTCTAATTTTGATTTTTCCACCTGGAAGCCAATTTTCTTGTCCAAATTGTATGCCTCCATTATCTGATAATAATGAAGCCAGTCTCGCACTTCGTTTTTTAATTTTTCAAAACTCTGCAGTTTCAATCTATCTCCATCTTGTTCCAAAATTTCCTGGTAATGCTCCTTTCTCATCTATGCTTCCAGCCAGTGTATCACTTCCCAACTCAGATAGGGATGATGCATCATTTGAAGGAACAGCTTGAGGAGAGAACGCGCATATTGCAGGCTGACATCAAGACGCAACAAGAGGAACTGCATGTGATCAAAGAGCAGCTTCAGCTGGTGCAGGACTCCAATTTGCAGGTATTTCCTATCTAGGGAACCTCAGGCGGGGGGGGGGGGGGGAATGTGGTTCACAGATATTTTGCAAGTCCATCTGTCCACATGTGTTCATGCCAGTCATTTATTGTAAAAATAAAAAAAGTGGTGGGGATATCAACTTTTATAAAGCTTCCCTGACTGCGGATAATTATTACTTGCTATAGGTGCAACTGTTGAATGGCCCACACTACAAACCTGAGTGTACTGAATAAACATGCTTAAATCACATAGAGTTGCACCCCTCTTTTATAAATAGCCAAGGGAGAGGGCCTTTTCCATGTTGGAATATAGAAAGCTGTCTTTTATTTCTTCATTAAAATATTTATGTACTGCTGCGTCACAACAATATATCACAGCGATATAAAAGTTTACAGTATAAAAACAATCAAACCAGACTGTAATATCATAAAAAAAGTTTTAAAGAATTTTAATAGAAAAGCAGCACTGTATACAAGTATTTTAAACAAGTAAATAAATATACTGGCAACACTCTGCAATCAGGTATGCCGGATCCCTCTTTGCTTCAGCAGGAGTCACTGTGCATACGTTTGTTGCATAAGGCTACGCAGCAATTCATTCACCTGACCTTGCAGTGATGCTAGTCTTTCTGCTTCCAAAGTAAGAAATTATGTGCAAAATAATCTCTGATTGCTCAAGTTATTTCTTCCCCAAAAGCCTTACATTTTCTATTCAGAAAATGTGTTGGTGTAGGGAAAACAATGACCTGCAGCCGTTTGGAAATTAGGGGCTATAAGAATAGAGTCCCATGACACCTTAAAGACTGATGAATTTAGTGTGGCATAAGCCTTCCTTGTTCATCATATGTAGTGTAGGAGCTACAGTTTGCTCTAGCCCTTTCATTTCAGCATGAGCAAGACTTGCTGTCTGTTAGACTGAAACTACCAGAGACCTTTTTCCCACCAGCCTCTGCTGATACAAGCAGGATCCTGCTTATATAGATGCCCAACTCCACATGAGCTTCGAGGAAAAGTGGTTATTGCTTGGCAAGTAGAGAAAAGGGAATTTCCTTAAAAGCAACATTTCTGGATGTGTTTTTAAAAGAAGTTTAAAAATGCATATTTGTGTTAAAATACAACCATTTTTCCCCCCTGGTGTGCCAACTCTCAGTTTTAATCACTGATGGGTTAACATGAGAATATATTTGATGCCTGGCTGACATCTAATGGCTGTTCTGGATGTTGCTGCACTTGGCGAATTCTTTTCACAGCACTGTGCTTGCTACAAGCTTAACAGCCCCTAAGGTGTTTTCTGCAACATAGACACAAAAATAGTGCAGTAGTGGTGGGTTTATTCTGCCAGAGGGGCAAGAGTTGGACAAAACCAAACCAAAACATTTGTTACAGGAATCCAGCTGGAAGTTACGGGATGTGCACTGCTTGGAAACCAAACAGTGTGACAGCCCCGAAACAACAGTATTGAAAGCAGAATTGAATGTGACTGCTGTAATAGCGTCAGGAGCACGAATCCTCGCAAGTGCACAATAAAAATGATGTCTGGTTGGCCAGCATCTACAGAGATTACTTTATCAACCTCTTTATTTTGTGCATGCCAAATTTCAAGCCACCATCTTTGTAGGCATTCCAAATGTGTGCATTGCTAGTGACAACCCCCAATGTCTCTTCCTACTCCCACTTTTCCGGTAGATGCTGATGCAACAGCCTATGCCCATGGTCTTCAGCGGGGTGCAACACCAGAACCCGAGGAGGCCTTCCCAGCAACAAGCAGCAGCAGTTGCGAGCAGACCAGCCACGTCAAAGAAATCCCAGCAGCAAGGCCTTATGGGATCAAAGCAGTTCTGCAGCACACACCTGGCATCGCCTCAGCAATTCCTCAGGGACCCTTGTGTCACATCATCCCAGGTGGTGGTTTTTGTTCAACGTCGTGCTAAATGCATCACCATTTTAAAGCTATATAACCTGGGGTGGATCTACACACTGGGGGAGTCGGAAATTAAATAGTTATAACAACAGAAAAAAATGCTATGGAAAACCGCTTAGAATTTTATTTATCTATCTTGCTCTCCAGCACCATCTGGTGTTGCATGTTTATAACACATTCAAAACACTGATTTTTTGACTAATATAGCTGAGTCCCTGGTTACTGCCTGCTCCCCTATAGACCTACTACCCTGAGAAGACTTGAAGGGTCTTCTCAGGGGCGATACTGCAGCTCTGGAATCCACCCCCATTGTGGTGATTCTTGTTCCTGTCTCTTAGATAAAAAGTTTAAAGTGGTTTTATTCTAGCAGCCTTTGTAATTAGGCTGTTTTGGCTATTATATTGATTGCTGTATTTGATGATTCTTTTGATTCTAACTGATTACAGGGTTTAGAGACTGATAGTTGAACTCAGTTCACAATTACCACATTTTTCACTCCATAAGACGCACCTGACCATAAGACGCATCTAGTTTTTAGAGGGGGAAAGCAAGAAAAAAAATATTCTGCACAGAGCATGTAAGCAGCTCTCGCTTTTCTTGCTTTAAAACAAGCAAAGTGAGAGCCGCTTACATGGCTTCTCTCCTGCTTTGCACAGCTCTCACTTTGCTTGCCCATCCCTCCACCTAAAATGTAAAGGGACCCCTGACCATTAGGTCCAGTCGTGGCCGACTCTGGGGTTGCGGCGCTCATCTCACTTTATTGGCCGAGGGAGCCGGCGTACAGCTTCCAGGTCATGTGGCCAGCATGACTAAGCCACTTCTGGTGAACCAGAGCAGCGCACGGAAACACCGTTTATCTTCCCGCCGGAGCAGTACCTATTTATCTACTTGCACTTTGATGTGCTGCTTTCGAACTGCTAGGTTGGCAGGAGCAGGGAGCGAGCAACGGGAGCTCACCCCGTCACGGGGATTCGAACTGCCGACCTTCTCATTGGCAAGTCCTAGGCTCTGTGGTTTAACCCACAGCACCACCCGCGTCCCTTCCCTCCTCCTGCCTTGCTGGGGACACCGGGACAGGTGCTCTTTAAAGGGAGCACTGAGCAGAGCCTGTGTGCGGCTCTTCCTGGCTTTTCCGGGAGGTGGGGAAGGGACGGAGGGCTGCCTGTCAGGGTGCCTGGGTGCGCCCCTGCATTGGAGATGGTATTTTGGCTTCATTAGGCTCAACACTCAAGAAAATGGTTTTCCTATTTGTATACAATTTGCATGGTTGCAAGCTACTCTGAGCCCTCTGTGTAGCGGAAGAGAAGGATGTGAACATACCAAACAAACAATGTGCTCATTCTGACAAAGGGGTGTGTGCATTTATGTATCAGGTACAGCAGCAGCAGCAGCAACAACAACAGCAGCAGCAACAACAACAGCAGCAGCAGCAGCAGCAGCAGCAAAAGCAGGCCATGAGAGGAAAGCAGGTCCAGCAGGCCTGCTTGCCAATGCAGATGAGCATTGCGATGCCGCTGTACAACAACCCAATGGTGTTCTCTCAAGCGCACCCTATCACTGCCTCTACTCCAATGTCAGCTGAAATTGGTGAAAGGCAACAGCAGTCCAATTACACCCAAGATCGGACTCTAAGGTATGGATGCAGGTATATGTATGCTGAGAAGTCCAAGTAGGAGACGTTACTGATGGTGGTATTATTGTTTTTGCTCTCTCCTGGCAACAAGCTGATTCCACTTCCCTTCGCAGTTCGTTCTGGCAGCCTTCCCCTACTGTGGCTCTCCACATGTTGCTTGACTACAACTCCCATCTTCCCTTGGCTGTGGTGTTGATGGGAGTTGACATCTAGAGGGCCACAGGTTGGAGAAGGCTCCATTGCTTTGCTTCTCCTGGGCTCATTTGTATGAGTGGTCCTTCCAATAGCCAACTTTCCAAGCCAGATTGTGAAGTGTTAGGTACGTCCTGCACTGTTTCCCTGCCCTCACCCAAGGCAAATAATATCAACAGTGAGGTGTGATTGTGGGGAAGGGGCAACCGTTTCTGCCCCTGCAGAAGCCCAGATGAAAATCCCTCCTGGAAGCTGGCATTTGCATTGGGAGGAAATCCCTTTTTGACACTGTGCAGCACCATTTTTTATTTTAGGAGAGATTTTACTCTTCAGCCTCAGCAGGGGAGGAAGGGTTTAATGCAAAACAACAGCAACAATAAGCACTTCGGTGCTGGTTTGGTCCCAGTGGAGGGCAAATGGGGCCCTGCCCCATCAACTTCAGCCTGTCCTGACCTAGCCCCAATTTGTCTGCCTTCTTACTTACAATTGGTCTGGTAGAGTGACTCTGGCTGCCAGCTCCCTCCTTCCCTGCCTCAGTGCTGCGCCCTTGAAGAACTTACAAGGGAGGAGGATGTTAAGTTGTGGGTGAACATATCAGATGACACAGTGATTCTTCAAACAGCTCTTGTTTATTCAGAGACCAGAACAGAACAGAACTGAACTGAAGGGTTCAGTCAGCCTGCTTATATAGAGCTCCAGTACACATAATTGTAACAACTTTCTAAAACTATCCAATCACTGAACGTCACTTTCGATCCCTTATTTGCATAACTATCTACAGTATCCCCCTGCTGGCCCAGGGTGAGAACTTCAGTACATAACAGAGGATGCAGGCAAAATTAGAGTGAGTTGGCTCTGCCTATCATTGGCTCTGGCGCCACCTGGTGTTGGTCTTCCTGTCTTCCTTCCTATCAATCCCAGTGTTCACCACCCACCAGTGTTTGGTCCCTGGTCTCTGAAGAGGCAAGCAACGGCTCTGAAACTGTGCTGGAAAGAGGCTATCGAACCTGCCCATTGCCACATTGTTAGGTCAGCCTGTGCAGCCTGCAACATCTGGTGCGCATGGGTGCAATAAGTCTTCACAGATCAATACTGGCAGACAGCAGGCAAAAAAAGCCTTCCTACAATTAAAACCAAACAATTTCAGGGTAAGAAGCCTCTATATTAGAGGCTGTCTAGTCCTTTCCCCTGCTCGGCACAGGAATCTTTTAAACTAGGATTCCCTGTGCACAGCATCTTCATAGCTCCTTCTACCAGCTCCCAAGATTGCTCTGCTCTGTTCCACTCTTGAACAAAACCAAAGCAAAGAGGGGATGTCATGGGAAGCATGTAGAGGACGCATAGGCTGGGCTCCCTTCCTGTCAGAAGTACAACACAAAAAGGCAGGCTAGTACCTCTAAATGGGCAAAGCTGACCCTGGTCTGCTATTTTCAACTTCCATAGTAGTTAAGATATGAATGCAGCCTGGGCTATGTGCCCTGCATGCTAAACAAAATATTATGCACCCACGCAACCTAAACTCTCTGCCATGAAAAGCTGGAGTCTGCCAGCAGCATACAGTGGTGCCTCGCAAGACGAAATTAATCCGTTCCGCGAGAGTCTTCGTCTAGCGGTTTTTTCGTCTTGCGAAGCAACCCTATTAGCGGCTTAACGGATTAGCGCTATTAGCGGTTTAGCGGCTATTAAAGGCTTAAAGGCTTAGAGGATTAGCTGCTAAAAGGCTATTAAAGGCTATTAAAGGCTTAGCAGATTAGATAAAGGGGGGGGGGAAGCGGAAAAAAAATCTCAAGACTCGCAAGACATTTTCGTCTTGCGAAGCAAGCCCATAGGGGAATTCGTCCTGCGAAGCAACTCCAAAACGGAAAACCCTTTCGTCTAGCGGTTTTTCCGTCTTGCGAGGCATTCGTCTTGCGGGGCACCACTGTACATTATGCAGGAGAGCTCCCATTTCTGACTTTGCCTAAAGTATTCTGCATTTTTAGAATAGTTATAGCTGATTTTATTCTGTGGTTTGGTGACTACAAAAAAAGGGGAAGGAAGAGCACTGAGCCTTTGCTTGCTAGCCACATTAAACCCTTGTCCTGCCATCACTCCTGCTTCCGAGGGTTCAGAGAGCATTGCCACATCTTTCAAGCAGATTGTCACACCAGTGGGAGCTGGAAAAGGTTGCATGAGGGGGTGGTTAACCAGTGGGCACCCAGATGTTGCCAGGCTCCTGGCTCCATCAGCACCAGATCTAGTTCAGGACATCTGGATGGGGCACCGGTCGGCCACCACTGCTGTGGAAAGGGTTGCGTTTTGAGGGAACCTCCGGTGGTATTTTATCTGTCACCTGCTACCTGTGTTGCAGATTTGCTCCGGAGCAGCAAGGGCTGCCTGCTGGAATACAGATGCAGCCAATCACATGCGCCGCCACTCCGTCACCCGTCTTCACCTCCTCTGTGATGATTCCACGCGCCAACATCGCCCCGCAGCAGAGCCACCCTCCTCCCAACACCCTCCACCAGTGGCAACCGCAGCCAGTTCAACAGCATCACCTCTACCTTCAGGTAACAAGCTGCTAGTTTCCAGTGAGATTGTGGAAGGCGTGATGACTGATAGGAATGCCAAGGTGGGAGGCAAGGTCTATAGCTTTAACTATGCGCTGTGTGAAAGATTGCTTCCTTTTGCTAGGTGATCCTGTCTTCCAGTATTACGAGAGGAGGGGTACATATGTGGGAGGGCTGGGCATTCCCAGTGCTAAGGCTGTTGCATTATCCCGCAGATGCAAGGTGCGGCTGAGCCGGGCCAGAACCAGCGCCTGTTCCAGCAACCTCATGTACCGCAGCAGAATGCCACCATGGGATATTTCCACCACCCGCAGCCGCAGAGCCAGCACCTGCAAGGCCAGCCTTGCAGTTTACAAGACCTGCCTGAAATGCAGCTGCCTTGAGGCCTTGGTGGTGGTGGCAGTCTTGGGCGTAGTGGCTGTGCTGAGCAGAAGTGAGTGGATGGAGGGGCAAAGCACAGAGGAGATGAAGGTCCTTCCTTCCTGGTACGCCTGGAGGGTGAGGAACATGCCAGAGGCCCTGGCTGGAGTGGAGAGCAGGTTGGGAGTTTCTTGCACTTACTTGGAAGGAAAACAAACAAAGGAACCACCCAGGAGCGACACTACTCCAGCAAAGTGGGATCAAAAGCCAAGCTTGGCATTTCTTAACTGCTTAAACTGTGTGCAGCTAGAGCATCTTGTCTGTACATCCTTTGGCTAGAGATGGGGGGGGGTGAGTGGAGCCCGGGGGCAAGGCTGATTTATTTTTGGATGCTTCTGTCTGCCAGGAAAGGTTCGCTGGCAGATAGGGTTCCTTGCTCACCTGCAATAATTAAAACAAAAATGAACTTAACTTGCCCGAGTGAGGGGGAAAGGATTATTTTTCAGGAGAGCAGCCGCCTTTGTGTGCTGCAAAGCCATATATATGAATATTAGTTATATTTATAAATATGGTAGATGGAATTCTAGCCTGCAGGTTGTTTTTTAAAAAAAATATTAGTAAAGTTTACACGCTGATGCGTTATGCGGCAGAAAACCACACACCTGTGCAGGAGGCAGCCAAGTCTTTATTTTTTCCTTTTTCTAAAATAATCGTTGCTGAAATTCACTGTGAATCACTGTGAACACAGTTGGAACTGTAAGCATCAACCCACGACCATATAACTTTTTTTTCTTTTGTGGATGTATTTGTGCATATACAGATTTCATTTTTGTGTAGTAGTTCATGTGTGGATTACTGAACATATTCCCCAGCACTCTATCCCATTACCCAACCATTTCCCTATATGTGAATCCCATAATTTCTTTGGATAATTGGGTAATGCTGCTGCTGTTTATGACACCACTCTTGCCTGAATTTCTTCTTTTTGCACCAGCCCCTTTCACTGTTAAAGACTTGTGAGAGTTATGGTGTGTCTAAGAGAGTTTCTCCTATTTTGTTGCAAAGTCCAGATATATAAACCTACCTATTTCTACTGCCCATTTAGCCAAATATATATATTTTTCAGGAGGTGCAAGAAAGAGATCCTTCCCTTTCTTTCTCTCTGTGTCTATCCAATGAACCTTTCTGTGGGGGAGGTATCTTGATGCCCAAAGACAAAAGCAAACTTTGTGGTTTTGCTACTTAGTAGGTAGAATTTGGCAAAGTGGAGTTTCTACCTAAACAAGGATACCTACGATGTTACAAGTCAGTAGCGTTAGCAATAAATTGTATTTTTTTAAATGGTCACTTTAAGTGTGTTTATATATTTATGAACGTTTTCTTTAAAAAAAAAGAATATATTCTTCAGTGGGTGTGTATACCAAAGTGTCCCCTACTGTTTTGTGTGTTTCCAAAGGAAAATTAATACTTAATTAATTGTTAGGGGCATTTTTTGTTTTGTTTTTGCAAATGTAAGTGTGCTCGACTTGTACATTTTTTATATGCTGGGTGCAAAAGGCAACTTTCACTAAAACTTCTTTAAAGAAAAGAAGAAATGAGGTTGCATTTAGGGATCTGGTTAACAACAACAACGACATCCACCTGTTGCTGGCTGTTAGGAAGAGGCTTTTTCTACCTGCAACATCAGAGTAGATCCATTTAGTAAAAAGTTCAGGGCCATAACTTCAATGAAAAACAAAGCTACAGTCGTTTGAAGCATAGTAGCTCTGTATTCTGAAGATTCTCAGGCAGCACTAGAGATCAATCACTGTGTACAAAGGGTCTTCTTTTCCCCTTTACTTACCAGTACAGTGGTACCTCTGGTTGCGAACAGGATCCGTTCTGGAGGCCCGTTCGCAACATGAAAAGCCCTCAACCTGAAGTGCCGTATCTGCGCAGGTGCGCAGCGCGATTTGGTGTTTCTGCGCATGCGTGAGCGTCGAAACCCGGAAGTAACCCTTTCCGGTACTTCCGGGTCGCCGCTGGACTCAACCTGAAAAAAAGTAACATGAAGCAAACGTAACATGAGGTAGCTCGGGTTACAGACGCTTCAGGTTACAGATGCTTCAGATTACAGACGCTTCAGGTTACAGACGCTTCAGGTTACAGACTCCGCTAAGCCAGAAATAGTATCTCGGGTTAAGAACTTTGCTTCAGGATGAGAACAGAAATCGCGCGGTGGCAGCACGGCAGCAGCGGGAGGCCCCATTAGCTAAAGTGGTGCCTCAGGTTAAGAACAGTTTCAGGTTAAGAATGGACCTCCGGAACGAATTAAGTTCTTAACCCGAGGAACCACTGTATTGTTAATTCTCAACTACTGATGTGCAAACACACACAACTAAAATTTCACAGGCCCTTCGAAAGTGTACAGGTGTACTTTGCTTGCTTTAATTGCAATACATAGTCCAAACCTGCAGAGAGTCTACGGGGGGAAGTGGCCTTCTCAGCTTGTCCCGTGTCTTTTAAGAGGAGAATGTAAGGCATGTAAGAGGAGCTTGGAACCATCTTGCTTTCAAGTGTAATGTACAATGTATTGCTTTGCATTAGGAAAAGATGGGTGGGTACATAAAGGAGAGCTTAGATCTCTCTCCAGTTCATTTCCCCCAGTCATTCTAAGGAAGGAAAGGCAGAGCAGTTGCCGGAGCTTCCTCTGGCTGGTACTTCCCAGTTTTTAGTGGCCCTCCCTTCTCCACCAAGTTGTATGTGTGAGAACAGAAAACACAATAAATCTGGAACCAGCTCCTCTATTTAGTCCTTGGCAGGCCCAGGGCACAGTAGAAACCTAGGCCAAAATGCCAGTTTAGAAAACAAACAAACAGCATTTCAAAGAATGTAGAATATGGTTTTCTTTATCCCCTTGCTAACTGCAGGAGAAAAGGCTGGAGCAACTCTAGGTATGTCATTATTTCACTGATAGCTGCTCCGCCACCCCAGCAAAATGTTGAGGCTTGCAACCAGCTACAGGGAGCCTGTTTCAAATGTTCGGATTTGTGACTTTTATTTTTTGAAATAATAAATGTATTAACCACATGCAAGAAAACTAAATGAGAACACACTAAGCACCAACAATGTCAGCTAGTCTGCCATTTCTTGGAAAAAAGGCGTAGGAAGGCATTATTAAACAACAGCAGCTGTCTGAAAAGGGTTTCACATGTGGGCGCTGTAATGTTGTGCCAACGAGCTCAGCACTGATGCTCATTTGTTACAACTACAGATGCAATGGAACTAAGGCATTATTAGGCCAGGGTTTGGAACACAGTGGCCCTCCAGCTGATGTCTGATTCCAGCTCTCATTAGCCCCAGCCAACGATCATGCATGAAGGGAGTTGCAGTTGGGAGTCAAAGGTTAGCCACCCATTATGTAAAGCTGTGTCTTGTTCTAAATGGGCACCACAGCCATTTCAAGTTGAGGGTTCTCTCCCCTCTCTAACCTGGAATAGGGTCACTTTGCTCCTGTAAGTAACCGGCTTTTGGTAGTGCTAGCTCTCCCTTCAGAAAATGCTACTGAAATCATCCTATGTAGGGGAGAAAGTTTCCAGTGCCAGGCACAAGGCAGTGGGCATCTGCTTGAATCACTGAATCATAGAGGTGGAAGTGACCTTGAGGGTCATCTAGGAATTTGCAGCTGGATCAAACCTGCAGCCTTAGCGTTATCAGCACCATGCTCTAACCAACTTAGTTATCCAGCTGAGACAGGAGACATCAGTAGGACCACTTTTAAGAGGGGAGGGGTGCACATCAGCTGGACACCCAGTTCTGCTGTGTACTTGTATCAGTAGTGATGTCAAGGCCACAGCAATCATCCAGTCCCCCAGCGGGATGAATCCACTCCCAAGAGTAGTGGTATCAACACTTTCGGTGCGAGTGAAGGAGCATCCTCTGTCACTCTTAGGTTCTTTGTTCCGTTGTCACTTTGAGCACAGGGATAGCAATCCTTTGGGAAACCCTGCAGAGGTTGTTGACTCTAACTCCCACCATCCCTAGTTAACACAGCCAATAGTTGGGGGTGCACAGCCTCTTTCATAGAAACATACCAATGTTACCTTTCTCCCCCTCCCATCCCCTATCTTCATGCACTTTAGAACACCTGGGGGGGGGCAACCTTAATAAGTTTTTGCAGCAAGTTGTCAACGTCACATCCTTCCCCACTTTCATTATTTTTTTTTAATGTGACGGACTCAGCAGAGGCTGTGGAGAGGAGGTCTGTATGCCGTCTCTGGCATCTACAGCTGGCTCTTTGTCTCTCTCGCAAGGCACTTTGGAATTTGAGGGACAAGAGGGAGCTCCTCATGCAAACCTAGTAAGTGGGAGAGCTTGACTTTCTTATTTTAGCTATCTGCACTCAAAACTTTAAATCCGGATTTTGTGGAGAAAACTGGGCATGTTGGTGAACAAAATTAGTTTTGGAAAACACCCCAGTCAAACAGAACCAACATGGTTTGGCATGTCTAAGGAGGGATAATTCATGGATCATCTTACAGTTTTGCAGGGCATTTGGATTTCCCCCCTCTTTTTGAGCCTGATTTATGCCCGTTTCCCCACAGCTATACAGACCTATATGAGACTAGTTTGTGGTGGGCTGTGCTTTAGAAATCAAGTATGGCAACCACATGCACTGGGGAAGAGATATTGTTTTACACTGGGGGAAAGGTAAAACCATGCACTTTATTAGTAAGGAACTTCTTCCTTCCTAAAACGTTGCACGAGGTGGGAAGGTCGCTGCCTGGTGTTGATTCATTGCATGCACTGTTCAGGGGAGGAAGAAACGGTATGCCAAAATGCATGTTCCATTTTATTGTGAAGTTTGAACCAGTTCTCCCCATCCCCTGACAAGAGAAAGAGGGGCCAAGATCTGGCACCTTCCCTTCAGTGTTTCTGCAGTGCCTTACTTAGGCAATTGCCTAGGTCAGCTCTGCATTGGGGACTTTAGAATTAGTTGCCACCCACCTTCAAGCTTGTTTTCTTTCTCCCCATCCCAAAACAGATATATTTTTAAAGAAACTGATGCTATCCAATGGTTTACCTCTGTGTTATGGGAGAGAAGAGTTTGGAATTGGATAGAGTTAATTAGCCTGGAGAATCCAAGGGGACAGTTCTACTGGTTAACAGTTCCATATTAGATATAATGGGCCCATGGACTCTTCGCTGGTGTTTATTTACAACTCTGGCTCAAGAGTTTCCCATGGCGCCTCGAAATACAAATGTGAGAAGGCTATAGCCTCATTTTGATGTATAAAGAGGATTTGTTAACGCAATTACAGGCTTCAGAAAACACAGGCACATTTCTGAAGCCTTGCACTTTTAAATGCATTTTGTACATAGATATAAATATATATAAGCTAACGGCTGGTTGATCTGGCCAGGTTTGGTTTGACAGATACAGATTCTTCTAACATACGTTGTCTATATCGTGGCATATTAACTATGTGTAAAAAAAAACCACACGAGAAGAAAGGACAGAAATGAAAAGATTTTTAAAAAGCAGCAAAAGCCTTAGAATTGAATATTTAGTTTATTTTATATGATGTCAAAGATAGATACATTTATAAATGTTCCTATTCATAAAAGTATTTTGTAAAATGGGCAGGGAGGGGGTGAGGAAGTGTCTTATGGGGGCATTTAAGAATTCTAGCCGGGAATACTCACGCTGTTGTGAAGGTCCATTGGCCAAGAATCAACATGTCTCCCATGTGCTTTAACAGATTTGTACATAGTATTTTGAAAGAAAAATAAAAATGTACTTTTATGAACTCTTACTGGGTGTCTACTCTTTTGTACTTGGTGAAATGCACAGAATTTCCCCCATTCATGAGAATAGAGCAAGCCAGCTGACCGCTGAACAGAAGTCAACAAAAAAGGCCAATTCAGGATTTCCAGCGTATTACTATAGACAATTATTTCTACCCCATTCTGCTTACATTCTCGTCAGTTTTCAGAGTTTGTTACTTGCGCTTAGCTCAGTGATGGTTGCCCTGATTACCTTTTTTGAGAGAGAGAGTTAAAAGCAGGTTTATTGGGGGACGGACATGGTCGAGGCTGCCACGTCCAGGCGGCACCTCTGTGGAGAAGAAGAGTTTGGATTGGATATCCTGCTTTATCACTACCCGAAGGAATCTGAAAGTGGCTAACATTCTCCTTTCCCTTCCTCCCCCACAACAAACACTCTGTGAGGTGAGTGGGGCTGAGAGACTTCAAAGAAGTGTGACTGGCCCAAGGTCACCCAGCAGCTGTATGTGGAGGAGCGGAGACGCGAACCCAGTTCACCAGGTTACGAGTCTACCGCTCTTAACCACTACACCACGCTGGCACAGACTGCTTCTCTGGCCTAGCGGTACTTGGAGGTCAGCACAATGCCGATGCAGCAGCTGTCGATGGAGACGCTGACACCCGGACCGTTGACGTCCATTGCCGCCAGGAGGTATTGGTTCGGCAGCCTGAGATTGATGGGGTCTGTAAGCAGGTTCTGGGCGGGCAGGGCGCTCAGAATGTCGCTTGCGATGTTGTTGTTGGGGCTGGCCGCGAACAGCCTGGGCACAGCATGGACGCCGATGTCAGCAGAATGGGACAGGATCTCAGCCCAAACGGGCTGCACGTGGCTCTGGTTGACTCCGCTCAGCGCCATCCTTGCAGTTCAACCTCTTTGGTGCTGTTGGAGTGTGGGCAGCCCTTTTATCACTGTCCACCCCAGCCTCCCCACCCCCCCAAGTGGCCTCTCAGTGGTGTCTCTCTCAGGATCTTCCTTCTGTCGTCACTGCTGCCTCTCCCGTGTCCCAGCCTCCCACGGCCTTGGCTGGGATCCGGGACCCCTGATTACCTTTACAGGGAGTAGTAAAGGGGGGGGGACAACCTTGCCTCTGCTTCTTGACCTCTCTGTGGCTTCCAGTACCATTGACCATATCCCTTTTCCAGGACCAGATCTGTGGAATGGGAACTGGAAGCGCTGTGCTGCAAGTCCAGAGCAGCATTTTCAGAGTTATTTCTGGACTCCAAATCCCATCAGCCCCAGCTAACATGGCCAGGAGTCAGGGATTATGGGAGTTGTAGCCCAGGAATCTCTGTAGGGCACTAGGTTTTTTAAAAAATAAAAAGGCTTGTGGGAGGGAAGGGGATGGGCCATCTCCCTTTTCTCTAACAACATCTGCCTCCTAACCACCACCCAGTTCTCTCACAGTCCCAGCACCTACTGATTTACAATGTGAAGAGGGTCTACTCTGAACATCTCCCCTCTGCCCCCTCCCCAAGAAAACACAGTGGAAAATCCTACCATCAACATTTTAACCATGGACAGTCAGAGGCATATTGTGAGTCAGGTTTCCACCTGCCCTGCTTCCATGAAATGATCATTTATTCATCTCCTCTCATTAAAGATACAGTGAATTTGCTGTGTACAGAACATGGTCATCAAAATACAAAAAGCCAGCACATAAACATATTTTATTTCCTTGGTAGCAAAAAGGATAAAATAATCCAGTTCCTCTGGAAAACATACCATATTCATCTTATTTAGAAATTTATTCTTAAAGACAATTACACGCGTACTTTTTTGTAAGCTTATTTCAATATTTCTCTCCATAAGTTGTTTGTTAGACAGCCATTAAGATGAGGAACTTTGAAGAAGGCAGATAAATACATCTTTTTGTTGTTGTTGTTCTCCCTAAGAAATTACAGCTGCATCTTTGGCAAACTGTATTATAAAAGTTACAACTTGTGAGGCAACAGCATGGCTACACACTACAGCAATGAACAATCATTGCAGTTGTTAGTGAAAATTTATCTCTGATCAGGTGACCTACAGTGAAGTCACCTGATACTACCCCCACGCTTTAGTGAAGTCCCTGTGCAATCAGATCTTACTAAAAAGGCTCTCTGCCCACCAGACTTTTCTACCTGCGCAACAGGTAGAATCCCCCCACCCCCGAAAACTGCTGGAGTTTGCAATAGTGTGAGAAGTCTTCACTTTGACAGGTATTTGCTCAGTAACCTGCTCTGAACAGTTAATGGCAGCTGATAATCTAACCCTCTATGCATCCCATCACCCCTAGTGTTATGTGCCAAATGACCTCATTATTTTGCAACTTAGCCACCATGGATCTAAAGCTTCATTGCTCTGTTCTACTGCTCCTCAGCTACAAATGTTCTATATTTCAGCTGCATAGAATGCCTAGAGCACCTGTGTGTGATCGAGAAAGAGAGAATGCATGCATGCTCTGGTAACTGCAGAGGCGACTCTCAGGAAGATATTCAGATATTTGGATTGCAGCAAGTACCACTGGAAAAAAACAACAACAGCATGGCACAAACATGAAACCCAGACCCAGTGGCGTTCCACCATCTAAGCACACTAAGAAATGGATAGTAGACTTCGATCAAAACTACTGCCAAGGAATTCAATCCCTAGAGTAGGTTTAAAAGAAAAGAAAAATGCTTTTCATGGAAGGTGTTGATCCCAACTTGCCCATTCAGAGCCCTTGCTTTAAAGTTCTGTCTTAATAAACTTCTTTTTATGTGGTGAAGGAGAGACTACAGCAATCCCATCCAACACAAAGCTAAAATACTTGTTTTTTTACCAGAGTAAAGGGACTGGAGTCCCTATGTTAGAAACATCCTCTCCAAGGCTAGGTGCATAAAACAGACTGTGGCAGTAGAAGAGACTTCCTCACTTAAGATGGCAACAGGGTGATATCATTTCTGCAAGTTCTCCCACTTTCTGTTTTTAGAGAAAAAAAAAGGAAAACCTGCAAGCAGAAAACTAATGCATCAGAGTGAAGCTTTTTAATTTTTTTCCCTGCTAAGCTTCACATTAATAAGGAGTCTTTCACAAGGAGAAGCATTCAAAAATGTCATTTCCCAGCTTGCATGCATAAAGCTGAAATAGATATGCATAGGTATAATACTGCCTGGTAAACAACAGCTGTGAGGTCCTGTTTAATTCCCAGGTCAGGACTTCTGTTGCTTCCTGGAAAACATCGACTGAAGGTTTCATTTCAGGCAGCCAAGAGGAAAACAACTGGATTTCGGTAAATAAGAGTTTCCTGTAGGAACTTAAAAATGGAGTATTTTGAAAGGGGTGTGGGGAGGAATCAGGCTGCACGGTTTAACATATTGCCCATATTGAACTGAGCAACTGTTTGGAAAAATAAATCCAGAATAATATTAAGAAAATGGATCTTTCTGTTTTGTCATGTGGAAGAGAACTCAAGATTCCATCCTTAAAGAATGGGAAAGAGATAAGGGGAAAAGACACGTAAGCGTGGAAAACAAGTTTGTAAAGAATCATCTGCTCCCAATATCCAAGCTGCATTTGTTGGCAAGGTGTGTGGGTTGCGATCTAAAGGCCCACCTCCCTGGGCAACAGAGACAAACAGAAATCAGTCCCTTTTAGAAGGCAACATACGCCTTCCACAGTGCTGGTTTATTTGCATATAATTTAGACCGAAGGTTCTTTTAGCGGAAAACTTTGGATCTGTTTCAAAATACTCATAATTAAGATTAAGCCTTGTCGGGGATGCAGATAGAAAGGTCCAAAGAGGCTAAGAGTAAGTGGACTGATTTCTCCTCCTCTGCCTTGCCAGTTGTTAAAGCTTTTTCCTTCAGAGCTGGAAAGCTCATTCTTCCTTGTCTTGAGCAAATATGCCCATTGCTAGCAAATATCTACTTTGCACATATCACCAGAGGCTGTTTGGTTAGATAAGAAGTCTGCACATTTCAAATGCTTTTTTAAAAAAAAGACCTGAGGGGAGACACAAACACACAGAGAGAAAGAACCCTAAACACAGTACCTCTGTCACTGGTACTCAAAATCTGATTAGTACATATAGTATGTATGCTGGTCATTCTGCATATAAAAGATTGTACCTACAAGGTTCTGGAAGATAATTTCCTTACAATTTGTAAACAGATCTATTGGATGACATGCTTTGAAAATCAAAAGAAATTGGTTCACCTGAGCCATGGAGAGTTATGGATTCGCCAGGCTTTCTCATCACTCAAACTGCACTATGAACATAGTTCTGAATTGGAACTGCCATTTCCTCTTCTAGCATCAGCTAGCTCCATTTGGCTGAGAAAGACCCTGCAGGGACACTGGAGATTATTTGGGAGGAAGGGGCTTGTTGAAATTTTAGTGCTTCCTATGACCATTATGACATCAGCAATGTCAACAAAAGAGAGACAAGTGAAGAAAGAGACCATAAGCCCCATGTGTGCGCACGCGCATGTGTGTTTCAATTAAACAGGTACTAGAAACTGGCTTAGTCCTAAAAGCCTACAGAGATATACAAGACACCAGCAGGGAACAGTTCTCCACAACAGTGTTCACCTTAACTTCACAATAATCCTTCAAGTATCATGCAATCTGTATTACAAAACTGCTTTATGCTGGCCTTATTTCTACCTCAAAAAGGAAGCAGATGATTTAAAGGAAGGCTGCAGCCCCAGGGACCTGATGCAACCTCCGTCCCAAGCAATGCACCCCCCCCCCACTCCCCACGCCAAGACCACACCAGTTTGGGCAGCGGCAGCAAAAAGAAATACACACTGCAGACATGTTAGCCAGGGTGGGCAGAGATGTTTAAACCCCTCCATACGGTCCAGCACCCTGATGTGGACGCAAATCACCCAATTCTTGGTCATGAGACACATCATTTGTTGAGTGGACAGTAACCCCCACCCCACCCTCAACTGATCAACATGAAGGAGAGGCTGTGTGTGTGAACATTTTAGACTGTGGGGTGCCTACACTTTGGGCTACGCAGTGGGATTTGGCCCCTGGAGCACTGTCCAAGGGTGAATGTGGCCCCTGAGTAAAAAGATAAACTAAAATGTTAAACGCCCCCGATCTAAAGCCAAATCCACAGGAGCAAGTCTCCTTCGTTCTTCCTGGGGGCACCTGAGTGAAGACACCAGGCTGCAGTTCATGTCTATTCTAGCGCCACCTTCACTAGATGATGCTGAAATGGAAAGAAGCCATGACATCTTCCCTTTACCAGAGTGGATTTGGGAAGGAAGCCGCCATCGCAATGTAGTCTCCATGCCGCTGTGAACTGGGCTAATCTAGGGTAAGCATGGTCAGGGAACCACAGGACCTCCCACAAGTAAAAGGGTCTAGGGCCAGAAATTAAAACAGTGGGGAGGTGAACTGGGTTTGGAAGCTCCCCGAGATTGTATCAACTAGCCACTTTTTAAAAAACAACAACAACAGTAATGATCAAAAGCAGCACTTGGTCCCATTCACAGAAACAACACAGCTCCCCCCCCCCCTTTTAAACAGCCACGCTCAACTGACCATCAAAAAATATCTCTCCCAAAGCAGGAAACAAATTCTACATTCAGAGCTTAAGAAGCAATTCTTTGGAAATCCAACCAACAGTTACAACAGAATAGGTAAAGGATAACACCACTCTGCAGCAAAAGTGGCAGACATTACATTCAGCGTGAGAACTATTAACACGAAACGGTGGTTTGGGAAAACAACAACCACGAACCACCCCCAGCTTTGCCCCTGACAGACCAGCTTTCTATTCCCTTCCAAGTTGGCTTGTGTTGGCTGATGTGGTTTAAGTCTCCCAGGTGTACTAAAAATGCAAAATTTAGGTGCAAATTGTCCTTCAAGCTATGCTTATTTTAACTTTGCAAAAACACAAACAACCCTGCCTATGGCGTAGAGGGGAATTGAGCTGAATCTTTAACCCCCCCCCCCCAACTCCTGACAAACTCAAGATGCTGAGCTCACAAACAGCCCTCCGTCCTTCCAAGTGCCTCTGTGCGGAGCGTCAGGCAGGTGCTATACTCTGGCCTTCGCTTTCAACTGAGAAACTTTAGCATTTTCCAACTTGGCTGAGACATCTACTGGCTTCTCGAAAAATCTCACCAAAGCAGGTTCATTTAGTAAAGACGCCAGCAGCTGCTCAAAGGCAAACGACCATTCGTCAGGTCTGCGTGGGCTCTGAGGTCCACCTCTTTCAATCTGTGGGGTAGGCTGAGCCTCTGGGGGCTTCCGGGCATCTTCTGCGCCCAAGTTGGAGGTGGAAGGGGCCATGCTCTTGGCTGGCAAAGTGGGGCTCTGGAGTCTTCGGCCAACCTCCTCCATCTTCAGCAAGAGGCTGGTGACGGTGGCAATGGCGCGATAGAGCAGCTCCTCTTCTGGGTCTCCGTGAAACAAGTTATACAAAGTCTTTGAAAACTGGATGAACTGGGACTGGGGTGGGTGGAGAAGGGAGAAATAAGAAGGCATATTTTACAACCTCCTGTTTCTTTTTCTAAAAGCCTCTTAACATATTTACAAAGAGTGCTTCTAAGTGGGACATGCTAGCACAATCTGACAGGTTGGCAGGTACCAGAGGTGTAGCCATATTCAGCTAAGTTTGGCTGCCAAACAAGGCCTTAAGGACCACATGCAGCCCTCGAGCCAAGTGTTGGACCACCCTGGTCTAGATGTTTCAAGCTGCTTTAAATTGCTGCTGGTTTTATATTTTACAGTTACTTTTTTCTTTTACCAGCTACTGATGCTTTTACTTGATTCGGAAGATTATGCTAATGCAGTTTTAGTTAACTGTGCGTCTCTGTGGGCGTTCGAGTGTCTCTATGTTTGTACATATTGCACAAACACTTAAACCATTTTTCATGTTTCTATTTTGCAAACTGCCTTGCAAAGATTTTTTTGCCATGACATAAAAAATACTTTTAAAATGGAGCTGTAAAATAAATAGAGTGCCAATAACTGAATGGCTTTCACAATGAGGACGTGTTTTCTCTCCTGATCTAGCGGACACATCGAGGGCTAAAGTTGCAGGTTAGTAGATTTCTGCAGAACATGAGGAGAGGCTTCCTGACAGTAGGGCAGTTTGACAATGAACTGATTACTTTAAAAGGGACAGTCATGCTTTGGTTGTCGAATGCCTTGCGACTCGAGTGTTTTGGCTACCAAACGCCACAAACCCGGAAGCGAGTGTTCCGGTTTGCAAATATTTTTTGGAAGCCAAACACCCGACCATAGCTGTCAACTTTTTCCTTTTTTTAAGGGAAATCCTATTCGGAATAAGGGAATTTCCCTTTTAAAAAAGGGAAACATTGACAGCTATGCGCCCAACGCGGCTTCCGCTTGAGTACAAGAAGCTCCTGCAGCCAATCAGAAGCCGTGCCTTGGTTTTCAAACGTTTTCAGAAGTCGAAGGGACTTCCAGAACGGATTCCGTTTGAGAACCAAGGTACAACTGTACAATAAAATAGGATGGATTAAAAGAAGCAATACAAGTACAATTAAAAATTGATACGGATATTTAAGGTGGACTGCATGAACAAAGCTCACAGACTACTAGTGGTCCATTTACCACAGGCTTGGAACGCCTTGACTAGGACAATATATGAAAATTAGGGTGTTTTTCCCTATTAAGAGGAAATACAGTGGTACCTCGGGTTACATACGCTTCAGGTTACACACACTTCAGGTTACAGACTCTGTTAACCCAGAAATATTACCTCAGGTTAAGAACTTTGCTTCAGGATGAGAACAGAAATCGTGCTCCGGCAGCAGCAGGAGGCCCCATTAGCTATAGTGGTGCTTCAGGTTAAGAACAGTTTCAGGTTAAGAACGGACCTTTGGAACGAATTAAGTACTTAACCCGAGGTACCACTGTACAGATATATGAAAACAGGGAAATGGCCAAGCAGCACAATCCACGTTTATCCAGAAATATGCCCCAATGAATTCCACTTCCCAGATGAGTAGAGAATCCACCCAATAATATTCCAAGGATTCATGCCAAAGCCCCACCTACACACGTATGTACAAGCACACACACAGATGGGCGTAGCCAAGGGGGGAGAAGTACAACTATACTGGGCTTTCCATGGCTGGACACCTTCGAGCAGTGGCTGGGCGCAGCCTTCTGCCAGAGATGCCTGAACTTTCTTGAGTCAAGAAAGGCATTAGACTAGATGCCCCCACCCCCAAACCACTTCCTACTCTATAATTCCTTCTTTCTTTTAATGACCTGTTACCCTGTTGGCATGTGTCAGGCTCAGGGGTCATTGTTTGCTCCCACCAACCAACCAAACCCCAGATAAGTTCTCCCGTAGGTGAGTTTTACCTGGTCCATGCGGGGCAAATCCTTAATGCTTTCTTCTTTTTTTAGCAATTCATCCTGCCACTGCTTCAAATAGGCCTGGATGTCAACCTTTCCTTTACCTAATTGGAAGGCAACAAGACACAAATGAATAGTGAAATCCTCACTCTGTCCACAGCAGTCTCCATGGAGTAGTTGCTCTTGCCGGATCACACTGGGGCTCTGCAGCAGGGATGAGGACTCCCAAAACCATCACCAGGGATGGTGGGAGCTGCAGTTCAAAGATATCTGGAGGACATCATGTTGGCATGGACATAGTTCTGTGGGTGCCATCGTTTACATAGCCAAAGCAGCACCACTCAGTTATCCAACAGCTTCGAGGGAGACCCAAGGTTTACAGAAGTGCAAAAATAAAAATGTTTAGGTTAAAAATACTGGGGTGGGGAAGAGACAGAAGTGTCCCAATGAAGACTGAGTATGGTCGGTGGCTATGAAATGCTGTTTTGCAACAGGCAAAAAGGTGAATAGGGGAATGGAACTCAATGGGACATAGGAACCTGCCTTATCAAAGTCAGATTACTGTCAGACAATACTGTCCACAAAGTCAGACAATACTGTCCACACCGACTGGTAGCCGGTCTCCAGGATTCAGGCAGGGGATGCTCTCAGCCCCACCTGGCAATAACAGGGATTGAACCTGGGACCCTCTGCATGCAGGTAAAATACCCTTCACCCCATGGAGTGCCTAGAATTCTCAGCATCTGGGTCCCCAGATGTTGCTGAACTACAACTCCCATCACCCTTAGCTAGCAAGGCCAGAGCTCAGGGATGATGGGAGTTGTAGTCCAACAACATCTGAGGATCCACAGGTTGAGAACCACTGCCTGATTGCTGCTACTGTACAGACTTTGGTCTTCCACATAGCAGTGGGATTTCTGTCTCCCCCCCCCCCCCGGGAGGAGCAGAACTTCCCCACCCTCGCTGCCTTTGCCACCTGGAGAACTTGACCTTTGGTGGGCAGCATATGGACTGCCCCCATCCTACATGCTACCCTGAGATCTCCAGAGGACAGGCAGGACTCAGAGGAAGAAGGCTAGTTAGATCAATAAAACAACCCAATTTCTCTGCTCTCACACGCTTTCTATATTGTCAGCTGCAACATCTGGAAGAGGAATTTGGTGGTTCAGGAGGGCATTCAAATTTCACAACAGCATGCTGGTTGGAGGGCAATGGAAGCTGAGTTTCCAAAAACTGGAGTGCAGCATGTTAGCTGCTCCCAAGATCAAGGGTCTGGAAACCAACTCTTATGAGGAACGGTTGAGAGAAGATTCTAACTCAACAGGAGGAAGAACGTTCTGTCAGTAAGAGCTGACAAAACTCCCTTGGAAGGTGGTTGTGGACTCTCCTTCCTTGGAGGTTTAAAGCAGAGGTTGAATTTCTAATGTGTGCTCTAGGTGAGATCCCTGCATTGCAGGGGGTTAGACTAGAGGATCCTTGGGACCCTTCCAACTTGAATATATATATTATCCTAACTTAAATATTACAGCACAGAGTAGAAAACAGCATCTTCCCTACATGATATGTATAGATTGACGCAAGTTCTCTGGATATTAATCAAGTTCACTAACCTTTTTCTGGGCTCCTGTTTAAAGCATCAGCACCTTCACGGTCCTCAGGAGAAGAAACTAGGATAGAAGAGGAAGATAAAAATGGACATAGGAAGCTGCCTCAAACCAGAGAGTTTATGGGTTGGTTTGGACAGAATGCTAAATCATACAAGAAAGAGCTGCAATGAACACTGGGCTCATAACTTTCCCACCCCTCCCTGCAACATGACCACTTTTGCTTCCATCTTTTAATTACAGTATTTTTTCATAAATATTTTATTTATTGTTATTCAATTTTTTCCTAACCTGATAATAAATCTCTTCTTAATTTTGACAATGGTTTGCTGAAAATATCAAACCAAAGTTTAAGAAGCTGGCTTGTTTCAACAAACCACAAGGTTAAGACAGAGGTTTTCAACCTTTTTGTGTCTACAGCTCCCTTGACCAAGTACATTCTTTCTGCGGCACCCTGTGGGGCTCAGGAGCCCAGTGATGTCACCCCTTGCCTGCAGAGCTTGCAGCCTCTCACCCTCCCTTGTGGAGGGTTCCCTCAGCCTCCTCTCCTCTCCCCTCTCCTTGGGAGTCCTCTGAGCAGCTGCTGCTGCCGCCCCTGGTCTCTGAGCTGCCCCCTCTGCCCCAAACAGAGGTGCCTCCTCACACTGCCCCACAGGGCCTAGGAAGCACCCCCTGGCCAGCCCCAGAGGCACCGTTCGCCTGGGGAGCTTGTAGCCAGGGCTGCTGCAACAAACAGTCGTGCAAGCCTTTGGGAGGCAGAGATGCGAGAGGGGATCAGAGGAGGGAGGGGAGGAAAGAGGGACAGAGGCCAGTGTTGCCCGAGGAACCCATGACCATCCCTCAAGGCACCCCAGGGTGCTAAAGCACACTGGTTGAAAACCACTGGCTTAAGATGAACTACAGTTTTGAGTTCAGATGTTACACTTAACTTAAATTGAAGTGGAAGCTTCCAAGCTCCTTCTCAAGCCATGGTTTAGTGTTATGTGTGAATAAGTTTTATTCATCCACCTAGCTCAGCACTGCCTGTGTTGACAGGGTTCTTCAAAGCCTCAGCCAGAGATATTTCACAGCAGGTGCTACTTAAATCTTTTTTAACAAGAGATGTCAGCATTTGAACCAGGGACCTACTGCGTGGAAAGCATACAGTCTGCCCAATGAACTTTGGCTGTAATGTCTGAATTTTTTACAACCTGAAATTTTTATAGAAAAGAGAAGCACTGGAAAACTACAGTGTCTGTCCCCCCCAGCTGTGATGCGTCAAATGCCTTTAAGTTCTGAAAGGCAGCTAAAGAAAAGGGGTCTCAGTTGCAGTCCACTCTATTTTTCTGGTGTCTGTTTCACATCCTCAGCTGTCTATTGCTTAGAAAGATATGAGCTGCACACTTTAAAAATTCTCATTTCCTCCCTCAATGGGACAGGCAAATGGTTGCAAATAGTTTAGCTATTACCAAATACAATTTGCTGCATTTTTTTTTTAAAGGTAAAGTTTATTAGTGGTTCTGAGCCACTTTTGCAAAAATGGAGCACCCTTGCCACTTTAAATTACCCCTTTCTCCCAATTCTGTTTAAAAGAACAGAGGGAGCGAGGAGAGAGAGAGAGAGAACAGGATATAACAAGTCCTGATAAAACAGAATAAATGGTATTGAAGCAGGATCGTATAAACCCACCCTGATACTGTCATGAACACAAATCATAATGAACGCGTGATTTTAAAAAAGGACACCTGGAGGGTCCCAAAGTCTAAACACGCTGTGAGCTTTGCACAAGTAAGGTAAAGGTAAAGGGACCCCTGACCATTAGGTCCAGTCGCAGACGACTCTGGGGTCGCGGTGCTCATCTCGCTTTAATGGCCGAGCGAGCCGGCGTACAGCTTCCGGGTGATGTGACCAGCATGACTAAGCCGCTTCTGGCAAACCAGAGCAGCGCACGGAAACGTCATTTACCTTCCCGCCGGAGCGGTACCTATTTATCTACTTGCACTTTGACTTGCTTTTGAACTGCTAGGTTGGCAGGAGCAGGGACCGAGCAACGGGAGCTCACCCCGTTGTGGGGATTCAAACCTTCTGATCGACAAGCCCTAGGCTCTGTGTTTAGACTACAGCGCCACCAGCGTCCCGCACAAGTAGTTCATGACAAATGTTTATCAGGCAGTCTGGTGGAGCTCTAACAGTCTCACTTCAGTCAATTCTGGTTTCGGTACCTTTAAATGGCAGGGTTCAATGTGGAGGCAGCTTCTATATGAAACTACAGACCTGAACATCCTGCTTCTTTTGCCTCTCAGAAGTTGGAACCTTAAATTCATTTCTTGGCACTTCAAGTTGGAGTTCTGCTGCCGGTCCTCTTCCCAGCGGAATGGGGGGGGGGGATTAATCTCCGCCTGGTTCTATAAACAGAGCATGCTTGAGGCTTACCATTTAATTGGCTAAAGTGGATCAACTCTTCTTTAGATAGCTGAGTCCCTTTGGAAGGGCTTAGGGATTCCACTTCAGTGAAAGCTGCAAAAAAGGAAACAGAATTTTGAGGATAGCAGAGAAGCACTGTTACTAGAACTTCGCATTTGTAAAGGACGTTCCACACACAAAACTTTTGTTTAGTTTATCCTTGCAGCCCATTATTCCCAGATGGAGAACTGCGTCTGAAAAAGATCGTTCCTGCCTCAGGCCACCCCACCATATAGTAAGCAGCAAAATTGTTATCCTGTTCTTCCTCGAAAAAGCTCAGGGATATATCTCCCCCACCGCCACTCTCATTTTCACAACAGCCCTGAGAGGTAATTTCTTAATGAAAGCAACCTACTTTTCTACACAAAATAGTCAAAGCAGCTAATAAGGTATAAACATAAAACAATAAAATAACTGAAATATTAAAACAGCATGGTAGCCAGTAGTGATAGGCTAGGACCTGGGGCGGGGGGGAGGGGACAGGACCCAGAATCAAATCCAGATTCAGCCATGAAGTTCACTAGCTGATCTTGGGCCTGTCACTGTCTCTCAGCCTACCTTGCAAGGTTGCTGAGCGGATAAAATGAGAGAGAAGGGGAACCACGTATGCCATTCTGAGCTCCTTGGAGGAAAGCAATGACGCTAATAAAATTGCATTTAATAAACACAGAAAATGCAAGCGAGATCTTTCACAATCCCAGGCAGGCAATGGAACAACTAATACATGATCTCCCAAAAGTGACTCACCTGGAGGTATGTGCAATTTGAAAAGCAGCTTCAGCTTTTGGGTAAAGCTCCCATGATACATTACATCTAACAAACAGAGAAGGATGGTGGGGTGGGGGAAAGAGAAAGATTATTCATATTCAGAAGTCTCAGGTGTACAGGGGAGCATCATCCCCAACTCTTGCTGCCTGGGTGTAATGAAACTGATGGTAAGCATCTGCTTTGCATGTAGAAGGTTCAATCCCCGCATCTCCAGGTAGCCCTGGGAACTGGCCACTGCCCGAGACCCCGAAGAGCTGCTGCCAGTCAGTGCAGACAGTACTGAGGTACATGGGCTTATGAGTCTGGCTCAGGATACAGCAGTTTCCCAGGTTCTTAAGTGGACAATAATGGGCATTATGGACAAATAGTATAGCCTGCTAAGATTATTAGCATATATAGAACCAGCTCTCTAAAAACGAACAGTGGGTCACAAATATTTGGTTCCAAATTGAATAGAAATAAATTCAAATCATTTTACAAAAATTATATACAAAGGAAAACTTGAACCTGCGGGGGTTCAAGCTGACAATACTTAGAAGCTAAAAGGTCAGAGAAAATTACAGATGAACAAAAACCGTCCTTAGTAGCACCAATAAAGCTGAAAGATATAACTAAAGCAATAAAGAAATTTAAGCCACATAAAGCGCCAGGCATGGATGGTATACCCAGATATTTCTATAAAAAATGATCTGAGATATTATTGCCCCATATGCAAAGATTGTTTAACAGCGTACTGGCTGGCAAGATAGTGCCTAAGTCATGGAAAGAGTCTACAACTGTTGTGATACTAAAACAAGGTAAAAATCCAGAATCATACAGGCCTATCTCATTTAAATGCAAAAAAAAATAAAAAAATCACTGGCATTTTAGTGGGTAGAATGGCAAAAATACTACCAAACATAACCAGCTGAGGCTGCTTCCACTGCCATTCTTGCAACCCCAAATGGACAGCGAGTCCATTGGCAAATATAATCAACCCAGCCCAAGACTGAGGAGCACATGACCCTATGGCATGCATTCAGTAGTGTACCCAGAGAAGAGGCAAATTCTTTGAAGTTTATAAGCCCATCTAGGTTCTCATCCAGCAACCGGAATGTCCACAGAGCGAGGGAGTCCCTGTTTGCACAATGCGCCCAAGGGCTCAGGAGATGGTAGAGGACGCGGAACTGCTGGCAGTCGATGCGATACTGGTCCAGGTAGGGGAGGCTGGGGTCATGGTGCTTCAGGGCCGGGCTGTCCATGCTCCAGTAGCAAGAGAGAAAATGCTCCTTCTGCAAAATATGCACAAAAGCCCACGTGTTAAATAAGAGCAATACCTGCGGGGGAGAAAGAACAAGGATAAGAACACATTGCTTCCGTGTTGTCGCTCAGAGGTAACATTTCCCATACCTACAACTTTTTGTTGATGTCTTTGCTGCATACAAAAACATGTAGCCATTCCCATCCCCCACCCCCCCAAAGCAGAGAGATGGAAAGAAGACACAGTCCCTACCAGAGAAGAATGGCAGATTGTACTGATTCTCGGTAGTGGCACCCGCCCTGTGGAACGCCCTCACACCAGATGTCAAAGAGAAAAACAACTACCAGATTTTTAGAAGACATCTGAAGGCAGCCCTGTTTAGGGAAGCTTTTAATGTTTACTAGACTATTGTATTTTAATATTCTGTTGGAAGCCTCCCAGAGTGGCTGGGGAAACCCAGCTAGATGGGTGGGGTATAAATAAATTATTATTATTATTATTATTATTATTATTAGGACTATGAAGAAATGGCAAAAAACGACCAGAAGAATTAAGAATCAGGAAGACCAAAATTTTAATAAGGAATGGGGAAAATATGTAATTTATATTGAAAATCGTTGTAAGCAATTAAAATTATTAGTAGGACTTGAACGTTGGACTGTGGTTGCAATGGAGATTTAATAGAACTGGATCAACAGAGAAGATGCAGGAGGGGGGAAAAGTTAACATAAGGACCCACAAAGGGGAGGAAGGAAGTTCATAGGAATTTATGGAATTCATTTTTATTTTTTTGGCTTGCTTGATGATTGTTTGGAAATTTGAAACTTAATTTTTTTTTTTTTTAAAGCAGAGAAAAAGAAAGAAAAGGAACACAGGAATGACTTTTTAAATTTATTTTTACAACTGCAAACCAGCATACAAAATTACAATCTTACTTCACGGAATAAAGGTAAAGGTACCCCTCCCCGTACGGGCCAGTCGTGTCCGACCCTAGGGTTGTGCACCCATCTCACTTAAGAGGCCGGGGGCCAGCGCTGTCCGGAGACACTTCCGGGTCACGTGGCCAGCGTGACGAAGCTGCTCTGGCGAGCCAGCACCAGCGCAGCACACAGAAACGCCGTTTACCTTCCCGCTATAAAGCGGTACCTATTTATCTACTTGCACTTAATTGTGCTTTTGAACTGCTAGGTGGGCAGGAGCTGGGACCCAACGACGGGAGCTCACCCCGCTGCGGGGATTCGAACCGCCGACAATACGATCGGCAAGTCCTAGGCGCTGAGGTTTTACCCACAGCGCCACCCGCGTCCCACGGAATATCTGGTGGTATTTATTAACCATAACGAAGAATGAGAAGCTTGGGGTATATGGGGGCATCCTGCCCTGTTAATATAGTCAAAGGAGAAAAACAAATATGCCCTGAAATTCTCAGACTGAGTCTCTCTCCAGCATCCGTCTGTGTTCAGGGGTCAAGCACCCTGGCAAACCGATGTTCCAGACATTTGTGAACCATGTTTAACACATTAAAGGATCAGAGATAGCACTGAAAACGTCTGAGGGTCAGTAGAAACACTTGCTGTGCATTCCACTAGTAGCATTCTGCCTGAAATTACAGGTCGTAGTTTGTGGGGAGTGCATCTTTAAAATGATATTGCACAAACAAACACAAAATATCATTTTAAAGATGCACTCCCCACAAACTCTGACCTGTGATTTCAGGTGGAATGCTACCAGCTGAATGCCTAGTGCCTAAACTGGGGGGGGGGGGGAGGAGAGAGAGTACACCGCCTCGAGATTATAAAAATATGAAGTGACTCGATAAATGCTTTAAAATAAGTAGCATTGCCTATTGCTCAGGGACTGCAGAAGCAAAAGGGGAGAAAGAACAAAAAGTTGCTGGTTGCTATTCAAGCAAACTGGAAATGAATGTGCATTTACAGCTCCTCACTTTGTTCCAGCCTTGAAGCGCTAATTCCACTTCTCTACTTCTTCTTGTGTCCCTTGTCTTTTCAGTTTCCAAGCCCTTGGCAGGCCTGTATCATCCGCTCTCAGTGTCTTTACACAGTGGTACCTTAGTTCTCAAATTTGATCAGTTCCGGGAGTCTGTTTGATGGTTCGAAAACCAAGGCGCAGCTTCTGATTGGCTGTAGGAGCTTCCTGCACTCAATCAGAAGCCGCGGAAGCCGTGTCGGACGTTCGGCTTCCGAAAAATGTTGGCAAACCGGAACACTCACTTCCAGGTTTGCGGCGTCCGGGAGCCGATTTGTTTGGGAGCCAATCCGTTCAACTACCAAGGTACCACTGTATTGATATCGGCCCCTTTGGGAAACTATGGTTTGTGGTTTGTATCCAACGTAGCACTACGCCACCAATCGGTCGATACAAGGATTTACACTTGCACAACTGGACTTCTGTTGCCTCTCCTCCCTTCTGCACACCCCCCAAACGTGTTCTAGGGTTTCCCAAACTGCCCAGAGATTTGGGGAGAACATGGGGTGCATGAGGGACGAGAAGAGTGTTTTTGTTTGGGGGGGGAAGTCCCTCTGTACAAGCATAAATCCTTACACTGACAGATTGGTTACTTAGCACTGTATTGGATATAAACTAATAACTGCTTCGGGGGAAATACAGTACAAATAAATAAATGATATTATTATTATTTTAAAAAGAAGATCAAGAAGAGCTAGCCAGTTTCTAGGAGTTAATCAATTCTCCTCTGTTCTGTTGGAGGTGTGTCACAGTAGGATACTCAAGGGGGAAACACAGAAATTTTGGGAAACAAGCGCATTAGGCGAAAACAGCTTCTCACCTTGAATAATTCATACAGCTCTTCCAGGTTGCTAGGACTTATTTTCACATCCTGGGAGATAACACGCAGCTACAGAGGACAGAATGAGAGCAACCAAGTTAGGAGGATGTAAATCTCATTTCCCCCTCAGTTCTTTGTGCTTTGACATTAGCTGATTTTCAGCTCGTAAAAGAAGAGGCTGATTTCATCAGGCACAGAAGCAAAAAGCTGAGAACCTCTTGTGCACTTGGGTCGAAACACTTTTAACTTAACTCTTCCATGTCCCCTTCAACCGCTGAATGCAACCGCCTCAAGTTTCTGAGCAAAGCCATTTTAGGGTGAAGACAAGGTGCATCTGTGTTCATTAGGAACCCCAAGTTCGCATGCCTGTCTGTCTGGCCCTGTATATCACCACACCTGTCTTCAGGCGATGTCCCTCGCAGACCCTGCTTCACACTCTCTCTAGAAAAGGAAAATTCTCCTTTGTGGCCTGTAGCCCTTGGGAATGTGCCCCTCAACATGAAAAAGGTTCCTTACTCCCTTAAGAACAGAAACAAACCAATAACCTTCCACCACACACAGTTTAAAAGGCAATAGCTGAATCAGCCAGAGGCCTGGGAGAAGAGGAACGTTTTTGCCCGGTGCCTAAAGGTGTATAATGAAGGCACCAGGTGAACCTCCCTGGGGAGAGCATTCCACAGACGGGGAGCCACTGCAGAGAAGGCCCCGTTCTTGTGTTGCCACCTTGTGGACCTCATGTGGAAGAGGCACATAAAGAAGGGCCTCAGATGATGATCTCAGGGTCTGGTTCAGTTCATATGGAGAGAGGCGGTCCTTGAGGTATTGCAGTCCTGAGTCATTTAAAGAAGTCAAACCACTTTAAATAGCCACCCCCAAAGAATAGGCTCCCCCAAAGAATCCTAGGGTGTTAAAGGTGCTGAGAGTTGTTAGAAGACCCCTGTTCCTCTCACAGAGCTGAAATTCCCAGAGTGGTTTCACAGTCAACCCCTCTTCCCAGGGAACCGTGGCTCTGTGAGGGAAACAGGGAGGTGTCCTAACAATTTTCTGCACCTTAACAAGCTACAGTTCCCAGCCTTCTTTGGAGGAGGCCATGACTGTTTAAACTGGTACGATACTGCTTTAAATGTATAGCGTGGATGAGATTTAAGTTTAAGCATGTGCAGCTGAAATAACCACATAGTTTCCCTTTGCTTCCTTTATTGGATTTCCGACTGTAAGCCCCTTGAGGCAGAGATCTATCCACTTGTACTCTTAAAATAAAAAAGCAAATTATTGTAGCAATAATGCACAGCCAGCAAATAAAATGACGACAACTACGACGAATACATTGTGAAGTTACCATACAATGAACAAGATGGATAATGTTCTTGTTCCACACAGCTCAAGGTATCTGAGCATGCAGTTCACTCACCACATTTTGCTTCGTAGTGACCTCCAGGGTCTGAATGACATACAGCCTGTTACGGCGCCGCATGCTTTCTACTTCCTCAAACCGGATGTCACCATATTTCTAGGAGAAGAGCAGGAATCTATCAGGCTGCTTCCAGGGGCAGAGCTAACTGGATTGGGATGCTGTAAGATTCTGGCTACCTGAACAGCAGGATGCAAGACCTGCAGTAGGACTGGTAAGCCTCTCCTACTAGGGAAGTATTGGAAGTGCAATAGCAGGGATCATTCTGTTTGGAACTAAAGGTTTAATTCTGTTATCTGTAAGAAGGCTAACCAGGGGGCGCGCGGGGGGGGGGGTGTTGCTTAGCAACCAGACAAAGTGCCTTGATGTTTACTCAGGTGGGTGCCCTGAATGGTTGTGCAGTTCTGCAGGAGCTTTTCCTCTGTATGTTTGGTTAAATGTCTCCCAGCTTTCTACACCGCCTAATGTCAGAAAGACAAAACCACTCTGTTCCTTTCCCCTCAAATTATGTACAGGTTTTGTTCAGTTTTCATCAGTAAAATGCTCTCAGAATTTCTTTTCTCTCTGGATTATGTCTGCATTATTTAAGCAACTGTACTATCAGGAAGCAGTTTCTAAGATGGGAGGGAACCCCCAGCTCTCATAAAGCCTGGTTTACTTTTGGGGCTAGAATGTCCAACTAGGACTTGAGAGGTAAAGGTAAAAGGACCCCTGACCATTAGGTCCAGTCGTGGCCGACTCTGGGGTTGCAGCGCTCATCTCGCTTTATTAGCCGAGGGAGCCGGCGTACAGCTTCCGGGTCAGGTGGCCAGAATGGTTCTGGCAAACCAGAGCAGCGCACGGAAACGCCGATCACCTTCCCACCGGAGCGGTACCTATTTATCTACTTGCACTTTGTCGTGCTTTCAAACTTCTAGGTTGGCAGGAGCAGGGACCGAGCAACAGGAGCTCACCCCGTCGTGGGGATTCAAACCGCCAACCTTCTGATCAGCAAGTTCTAGGCTCTGTGGTTTAACCCACAGCACCACCCGCGTCCCTAGGACTTGAGAGACCAGGGTTCAAATCCCTACTCAACTATGAAGCTCACTGGATCAGTCACTGCCTCTCAGCCTATCCTACCTCACAGGGTTGTTTTTTAATTGATTTATCATAAAACATATGTACAAACTGACACATAGCCATACAAACAATAACAGAGCCATATACATAGCATATTCGGCATAAAAAGCAAATTATTGAGATGCAGTTAAATATATTGCCAAGTTTTAAAGATGTGTCTATATAGCCCAACCATAACGAGGAGTCATGGGATGAGTACTTATTTGACTCTCCCTATTTATATAATCCAAAAATGGAGACCCTTTTGGCTTCACCCCAGACTACCCATCTACATCTGAAACAGCGGTTCTCAACCTGCGGGTCCCCTGATGTTGTTAGACTACAACTCCCATCATCCCTGAGCTCTGTCCTTGCTAGCTAGGGCTGATGGGAGTTGTACTCCAACAACATCTGGGGACCCACAGGTTGAGAAAGGCTGATCGGAACAGATATTCAGATAATGCAGATGTTCCATACATTGCTCCATCACAGGTTTCTTGTGGGGATTAAATAAGGGGCAGGACCATGTGTTCCACCCTGAGCTTCTTGGAGGAAAAGTTGGGATATAAATGCAGTAAAATAAAATAGTCCTGAGGTTCTGCCCCAGGAAGTAGAAGGGTCTTTCACTGGAGGTATTTAAGCAGAATCTGGAAGGCTACCCCATTAGGAATGCATCCTAGAGCCTGCGCTGAGCAGTGGGGCTAGATTACTACTACTACTACTACTACTACTACTAATAATAATAATAATAATAATAATTTATTTATACCCCGCCCATCTGGCTGAGTTTCCCCAGCCACTCTGGGCAGCTCCCAATCAAGTGTTAAATACAGTACAGCATTAAATATTAAAAACTTCCCTGAACAGGGCTGCCTTCAGATGTCTTTTAGAGATAGGATAGCTGCTTATTTCCTTCACATCTGAAGGGAGGGTGTTCCACAGGGTGGGCGCCACTACCGAGAAGGCCCTCTGTCTGGCTCCCTGTAGCCTCACTTCTCGCAATGAGGGAACCGCCAGAAGGCCCTCGGCGGTGGATCTCAGTGTCCGGGCTGAACGATGGGGGTGGAGACGCTCCTTCAGGTATACAGGGCCAAGGCCGTTTAGGGCTTTAAAGGTCAGCACCAACACTTTGAATTGTGCTCGGAAATGTACTGGGAGCCAATGAAGATCTCTAAGACCCCTTTCATTCTGTTATTAGATACCTTGAAGGAGAAAACAATTCTACCCACAAGAGGTGGCTTGTTGAACAGGCAATGCAGGAAACAGAAAAAAACAGCACCCACCCCTCTGAAGCCAAATGGCTTTACGAACCTCGTTTGACTCTAGAATCAAGTCCGTGATGTCCACTTTGGGGTGAGGGCTCTTGCCTTCATTCGCACCCGAGGCCTGTTGCACTGCTGGCGGCAGAGGACTGTCCTTGTTGGTAACACTGTCAAAAAACCTTCATTTGAAATAAAAAGGAGTGGGGGGGGGGGCATGTACAAAACATAGAGAATTAAAAGTGAGTAGAAATGAGTAATTAAAAAAAAAAAAAAAAGACCGCAAAGAAAAACCTTGTTGTGCATGAATAATAATAATAATAATATAAATGTGCCAACCTGCTATTTTATTTATTAGTGTTGAGTAGTGCAGCTGTGGATAGTTTATATTTTTTGTTGAGGAGGGGTTATCAGCACAGCGCCTGGGGGTGGGCAAGCCAATACTGCCTATAGCGCCCATGAAATTCCTCAGTAAGCACCTCCTCAAAAATGGATAGTGCCTGAAAGACGGTTTGCTCTTCCTTCCCACAGTTCATGTTTGCCCACTTTCCGCGGGACGCCAGGAGGGAAAACTCGCCCACGCTTTTGTTCAGAACAGAGGAGTAAAGAGTTTTTGCCCATGAGCGAGTGATTTTATGTCTTCATACTGCATTTTTATGTTGTGAACCACCCTGTGATCTTTGGATGAAGGGTGGTACACAAATTTTAACAAGCAGTTGGCTCCTTACGTCTCTCGCTCTGACCTAGCCACTGTGATCCATGCGACGGTCACCTCCAGACTTGATTATTGTAACTCACTCTACGTGGGGCTGCCCCTGAGACTGACCCAGAAACTCCAGCGGGTGCAGAATGCTGCAGCGAGACTCCTTACAGGATCCTCGCCGCAGGATCACATTCACCCAGTGCTATGCCAGCTGCACTGGCTCCCGGTGGAGTACAGGGTCAGGTTTAAGGTGCTGGTTTTGACCTTTAAAGCCCTATACGGCCTAGGACCCTCATACCTACAGGACCGCCTCTCCTGGTATGTCCCACGGAGGACCTTACGGTCTTCAAATAAAAACATCTTGGAGGTCCCGGGTCACAGGGAGGTTAGGCTGGCCTCAACCAGAGCCAGGGCTTTTTTGGCTGTGGCCCCAATCTGGTGTAACGCTCTGCCACAAGAGACTAGGGCCCTGCAGGACCTGACATCTTTCCGCAGGGCCTGCAAGACGGAGCTGTTCCACCAGGCCTTTGGCCAGGGCGCAGCCTGACTCCCTCCTTTGGCAATCTCCACAGATCTTTAGCTTAATGGTTGCCATTAATTTGATTTGAACTGATTTTATAATGAACTGATTTTATAATGTTGTATTATTTTACTGTTGTTAGCTGCTCTGAGCCTGTCTTCGGTTGGGGAGGGTGGGATATATTGTTGTTGTTGTTGTTGTTGTTGTTGTTGTTGTTGTTGTTGTTATAGGTGCCCTTCCCCCCCCCCCCAGGCCCACCATGAAGCACATTTTGTAGTCCAATCTCTCTTTCTGTTCTTTTTAGATATGGCAGCCATTTTGTGTTACACCACACACACACCCTCAAACACAACACAAAATGTGTCTCATGTCAGCCATTTTGTGACTGTCGCCCACAGCATTTTCTCAAAACTCCACTGCCTTGCTGCTGCTGGAGCTACATTTTTTTCACAATGTATTTCACCCTGTTTTTATTGTGTTTTGCTGCTTTCGACTGGAAGCTGCATTGTGCTGCTCATCAATTAAAACAGAAAGCAAAAGGTTATTATAAATTCTGGTGGTGGGGTATGGGTGGGGAACCTAAACAGAGGCCTAATCTGAAAAAGAGAAAAATATTCACATTGCTCCAGTTGTATTCAAGTTACAATCCTATATCACTGGATTCCATTGTGGTGTCGTTTCTAAGGTGGCAGTGAGTCACCCTGTGATCTTCAGATAAAGGGTGGTTTACGAATTTCAATAATAATAATAGCAATTGTTGTTGTTTTGGGGGTAAGAATGTTGGACTAGGACCTGGAAGTCAAGGGTTTGAATCCTCACTCAGCCACAAAGCTCACTGGATGACCTTGGGCCAGTCACCATCTCTCAGCCTAACTTAACCTCACAAGGATAAAATGGTGAGCAGGGAACCTCTATACTATCCTGAACTTTTTGGAAGGAAGGTGGACTATGAATGTAATCGTAAATAAATTCAGCCCAGACACTGAGGTCCAGCTCCGAGGGCCTTTTGGCGGTTCCCTCGCTGTGAGAAGCCAAGTTACAGGGAACCAGGCAGAGGGCCTTCTCGGTAGTGGCGCCCGCCCTGTGGAACACCCTCCCACCTGATGTCAAGGAAATAAACAGCTATCTGACTTTTAGAAGACATCTGAAGGCAGTCCTGTACAGTGGTACCTTGGTTCCCAAATGCCTTAGTTGACGAACAAATCGGCTCCCGAAAGCCACAAACCTGGAAGTAAGTGTTCCAGTTTGCAAACGTTTTTCGGAAGCTGAACGTCTGATGAGGCTTCTGTGGCTTCCACTGGAGTGCAGGAAGCGCCTGCAGCCAATTGGAAGCCGCGCCTTGGTTTTCTAACAGTTTCGGGATTCAAAAGGACTCCTGGAATGGATTAAGTTCGAGAACCAATGTACCATTGTATTGGGAAGTTTTTAATGTTTGATGTATTGTGTTTAATTTGTTGGAAGCTGCTCAGAGTGGCTTGGGTAACCCAGTCAGATGGGCAGCATATAAATAAATTATTATTATTGGTGGTAGTAGTAGTAGTAGCAGCAACAAGTTGAACCAAACAGCACTTATTTCTGAGTCAATATGAACAGAACTGCACTGACAGGTCAAGCACCTTAGGCTTTTTTTTTTTAAAAAAAGGCTCTATTACCTGTTGAGGACAGTCACAGCTTCTGCATCATCCTTACAAGTCAGCAGCCTGTCCATGTTGTAATCTAGCACAGCCAGGCCCAGCTGCAGAACGGCCTTGATCCCGTCGTAGAAGAAGCAGTCAACCACATTGACCGCGCTCTCAATGGGCAGCACGCTGATGAACAGAGTGAGGAACCAGGACAGGGAGACGGAGGAGAAGAACGTCATGTCTGTCATGTGCTCCGTCAGCTGCGGCAGATAGTTCCTGATCAGCTCCTCAAACACCGCTTGGTCTACCAAGGCACCTGCAAGATATGATAGAAAGGTAAATGGACCCCTGACCATTAGGTCCAGTCGCGGACGACTCTGGGGTTGTGGCGCTCATCTCGCTTTATTGGCCGAGGGAGCCGGCATACAGCTTCCGGGTCATGTGGCCAGCATGACTAAGCCGCTTCTGGCGAACCAGAGCAGCGCATGGAAACGCTGTTTACTTTCCCGCCAGAGCGGTACCTATTTATCTACTTGCACTTTTGATGTGCATTCGAACTGCTAGGTTGGCAGGAGTAGGGACCGAACAACAGGAGCTCACCCCGCCGTGGGGATTCGAACCACCAACCTTCTGATTGGCAAGCCCTAGGCTCTGTGGTTTAACCCACAGCGCCACCCGCGTCCCTGCAAGATATGGTAGCCACCTTCAAATATCTGAAGGGCTTCCACACAGAAGAGGGAACATGCTTGAGTTCTCCTGCTCTGGAAGAGCACCAATGGACAGAGGTGGATTTAGGGCAGCGTAACCGGTTACCCCGCTGTATGGGCAATCTATCCGGAAGATAAATTGTATTTCGAGAAGTTAGTAATCTGACATGGTTACCTTTCCTGCCTCTGTTCCTTCCCCCTCCCTGTCTCTTGTTAATTTCTGGCATGAAGAACAGCCTTTAATGTCCTAATCAGCTGGGAGGAAGTGATAGTGCTAGGTACCTTCTTTGATGTTGGACACTGTTTAGAGAAAGTGAGGCATTGGGAGGGAGTGGCTAATGAATGATCTGCATGTAGCCAGTCAGGCAAGCCACACAGGCTAGGTAAAGGTAAAGGTACCCCTGAACGTTAGGTCCAGTCGCGGACGACTCTGGGGTTGCGGTGCTCATCTCGCTTTATTGGCTGAGGGAGCCGGTGTACAGCTTCCGGGTCATGTGGCCAGCATGATTAAGCAACTTCTGGTGAACCAGAGCAGCGCACGGAAATGCCGTTTACCTTCCCACCGGAGCAGTCCCTATTTATCTACTTGCACTTTGACGTGCTTTTGAACTGCTAGGTTGGCAGGAGCTGGGACCGAGCAATGGGAGCTCACCCTGTCACGGGGGTTCGAACCACCAACCTTCTGATCGGCAAGCCCTAGGCTCTGTGGTTTTGCTAGCTAGCTATAAATCAGATGGTTGTGGGCAGAGTTTTGGAGAAGCTCGTGCATGGACTGATGGCCATGGGGCCGTGCAAACTGAGGCTACCTGGGGGAGTCACTTTGCCGCTTCTTGAGGGCTTCCAAGTGGCAGATTGAAGTGCTTGCTTGGTACGTATATATTGCTTGCTATTTGGAATAAAATCTTTAATCTTCTCACTCACTTGTGTTTTGTATGACTTCTGAATTTCATTTTAAAAGAACCACCTTGCACCGGGCAAGACACCTGCACAGGGCACTGAGACAAGAGGGGGCCTTCCTGCCTCCTTCCCAAAGCCTAGTAAGTGCTTAGTTCAGAAAAGAGGTCCTAGAGTTTTCCTGCCTCTTTGCCAAAGCCTAGTTAGCACTTGTCCGGCTTTAGGAAGAAGGCAGGACCCTGCCAGAGCCTCACACCTTCTTCCCAAAGCCCAGTGCCTCACTTAGCTGGCTTTGGGAAAGTGGTGTGAGGGTTGGGTGGGTGGGGCATCAAATTTTGGCCTTGCATAGGGCACCATATTACGAAATTCCTCCTCTGCAATGGATTCAAATTAGAAGGAAGGAGATTCTGACTAAACATCAGGAAGAACTTTCTGACAGTAAAAGCTGCTTGACAGCAAGTTCCTCAGAAGGTGGTGGACTCTCCTTCCTTGGAGGTTTTTAAGCAGAGGTTGGATGGCCATCTGTCATGGATGTTTTAGCTGAGATTCCTGCATTGCAGGGGGTTAGACTAGATGACTCACGGGGTCCCATCTAATTCTATGATTCTAAGAGAAGGGGAATGACTGGATTGTGTTCGGGAAAGTGACTGAAAGATCAACTTAATTTTTGGGGGGGAACGGCCTACAATAAAATGATAGCCCTGCAAGAGAAGAAAGCAGAATCGAAATCAGGGCCTGCTTCAGCTGATCTTTTCCCCTCACGCACACGGCCAACCTGCACAATCTTCCCTGTAAGAAGGAAGAAGCATGGGAGACAGGCAGGTAAACTCAACAACAGAACCAGCTCCGGTTTGAATGCCCTCTTCCCCATCAAAACACAGGACCAACTGTACATTTTATTTATTTGTGAACTGCCTGGGGTGCCTTTGAATTAAGGCATCACTATAAATGGAAGGAAAGAAGGGAGGGAGAAAGGAAGAAAGGGAGGGTAGGAAGGACTGGGACTGTCCAAATGCCCAGAGAGTCACTGCTACTCTATGGAAGCAGCATTTATCTGGATAGGCCAGTGGCCTCAGCTCAATATAGGGCAGATTCCTATAACCCAAACATGAAGTTCTGGCTCCAGATGTTGAGAGGCCCCTTGGACAAGGAGCGCTCAATGGGTCCCCTTCCCTAAGCAGGCACCCTGCTATCTCTGCGACCTGTTCCATATGAACTGCCTGAAGCACCGCCCGTTCCAAGAGGAAGGCTCTATTGCCATTGGGACTTATGCACTGGGAATCAAATGCTGGCATCTACTCTTACTGCACAGCAGGTTCTCCTGCCTATTCCTTTCATGTGCGAAAGCGACCATTAAAGTGAAGCAGTACCAATAATTCGGCGGTTGAAATAATCGGGCAGCATCCTTTCGCACACAGCAACCAGGAGCCAGAAAGCTTCTTCCTCCTTGGCGTAAAGGAGCAGCACTGATGTCAGAATGTTCATTGCCTATCGAGCACAGTAAGCAGTGTTAGGAGGGAGAGACAGGTACGTCATTTCGTAAAAAGGACATCGAGGACTCGTTCTACTCCTTGCAAAGCCTGCTTAGCCCTGAGTGTGGCACTTCCCGAATGCACAACAACCACCTGATTCTTGAGCGTTTGGGAAGCACTGTAAAGGTAGGTAAAGGGAAAGGGACCTCTGGACGGTTAAGTCCAGTCAAAGGCGACTCTGGGGTTGTGGCGCTCATCTTGCTTTCAGGCCGAGGGAGCCAGCGTTTGTCCACAGACAGCTTTCCAAGTCATGTGGCCAGCAGGACTAAGCCGCTTCTGGCACAACGGGACAGTGTGACAAGTGCCAGAGTGCATGGAAACGCCGTTTACCTTCCCACCGCAGCGGTACCTATTTATCTACTTGTGTTGGTATTCTTTTGAACTGCTAGGTAAGCAGGAGCTGGAACAGAGCAGTCGCAGAGATTCAAACTGCTGACCTTATGATCTGCAAGCCCAAGAGGCTCAGTGGTTTAGACCACAGTGCCAACTGCCTCCCACTGTGCGCAGGGATGAGCAGGTTATCTCCCAACAACCCACCACTGGCCAACTATGACAGGTGTCTACATTCCGACATCACTGCGATGTCAGGTGATTGACAGGTATGTGTAAAAAAATCATTTTCCTTACGTGGCCAAAAGTAGCAAGAACCTAAGCACAATCCCTAACAGTATTAGGGGAACTCTAAGGTTTGCAAAAAATAAAAATAAAAATAAAAAAATGCTTTGTACCCCAAACAGCTTGGTGGGGACTGAGCATGCTTTTTTGGCACAGAATGCTAAGTAACTGGTTAAAAGAGGAGAACAGAAAACGAGGGGGAAGGAGGATGAAATGGAAAGGGGCATAGCATCCCTGGACAGGTGCAACCAGTGTGAAACTGGTACCATTACAAGCGCCACAAAATACTCCTTCTGCACTTGCAAGAGATTGACCTTTCCTTTGTGCGGTGGTGCCCACACTCTGGAACTCCCTGCCGATTGATACCAGGCAGGTGCATTCTCTGTAGTCTTTTCTGCACCTACTTGAAACATTTTTGTTCAGGCAAGTCTACCCAGACATATAGAAGTTACATGTGTTTTATTTTTTAAGCTGATTTTAATAATCTTTAGAATGCTTCAAATACACCTTTCTACTGTTTCTCCACTCCCCACCACAGAATTTTAATGCTCTGTTTTATATTTTTGCAACCCCCTTAGAACGTTTTTTTAAAACCCCACAGTCAAATAGTATATACTTATTTTGTTAAACAAAACAAAACCTCTGCTGCCAGCCTTTTTTCTCCAGGTCCCACTTGTACATAGACTATGAACAAACAAAACAATTTAAAAAGAAGAAGAAGAGAAAGAAAAGTTAGCAGTTTGGAGACTATACAAGGATGGCCGGGGCCACAGGCAGGTCTCACCTGGCAATATCCAATCTTGGGGTTCCTGTAGGCGTACGCCGTGAGAACCCTCCTCAGGGCAGAAATGCCCGTGTCGCTCTGGAAAGCTGGATGCTCAGGCAAGGAGCGGCGCAGATCACGTTCGATTTCATCCGTTGCCAAAGTGCAGGTGCCAAAAGACCTCTCCACCATGTCAGTGTAATAGCCAGGGTTGGTAGCCATGTCATTTACAGCGCCTGCCAAGGTGTTTAGGTCACACTGTTACAGAACAACCAGGAAGAGGACATTTGCATTTCCCCTGCAACAAGCTGCGAGTGTGCTTATTCCTGCCACCATGTCTGAATAAGGGCTCACGGCTTTGCCTACCTGGTGCCTTCCAGGCGTTCCAAACTACAACTCCCATTAGCTCCCAGCCAGCACAGGCCAACACTAGGTTGGCAAAAGCTCACCAGCAGGGATCATTTTAAGCAGCCTTCTAGGAATAAACCACCCAGGCCAGTGCTACTCAAACTGGGATCCTGACATGCAGTGCTCCTGCGTGGGTCACACAATTCCCCCCCCCCATCATTCCAACCCTCCTCTTTAACTGGGCTAGCACCAAACTATTAACTGCTCTGCAGCCCCTTGGGGGCTATACCCAGGGGGGGACCAGGGGGGGAAGCATCCCTCCAAAACAAGGGGCTCGTCCTCTATTTGCCCCGCCCCTCAATTCCTGGATTCCTGTCATCAGCATATGCTGATATTTTTATTTCTCGCTCACCTAAACATATACTTTGCCCATTCTGTGCCCCCACCTCGATCCCCTGCACTGCCTTTAGGAGATCTCCCATGCCAAGCTTAAATTCTGTCTAAATACGTATTGCCTATATATATACACACATACACCTTAATGTTTAGTATGTTACATGGTTTTTATTGGACAGTTTTACAGACAATTGTTGCAAACTGCAACTGGACAATTTTTATTTTTTTTTATTTTTTTTGACTGTGTCAGACCAAAACAGCTACCTACCTGAATCTCGCTGCATTGTGGGGTTGTTTTTTTTAATGAATACTGTATGTAGATAAACATAACATAACTGAAAACCTTCCGAAAAGCAAGAAAAATACAGTAGTACCTTGGAAGTCGAACAGAATCTGTTCTGGATGTCCGTTCGACTTCCAAAACGTTCAGAAACCAAAGCGTGGCTTCCAATTGGCTGCAGGAAGCTCCTGCAGCCAATCGGAAGCCTTGGAAGTCCCGTCGGATGTTTGGGTTCCAAAGAACGTTGCAAACCAGAACACTCACTTCCGGGTTTGTGGCATTTGGAAGCCAAAGCGTTCGAGTACCAAGGGATCCAAGGTACAACTGTATTAAGAACGCTTGATTCCTTAACTTTGGAGGCAACCTTGTATATTGTATTTTCAATACTATTTTGTTTGTAAGCTGCCCAGGAAATATTTATTCATATCAATGTAGGTTCCCCGTTTGTGGGATGCCCTCCCTGGCAAGGCAAGCCTGTCTCCCTCACTACTGGCTTTTGGGGGAAACTTAAAGGCATTCCCATACACCCCAACCTTTTGATGGGCCCATAGATGGCAACCTTGAAATTAGGGTACGGGGTTGCTTTTAAAAGGTTTTAGATGGTTTTAATTGCCTTGTTTTGTTTTTAATTGTATTGTTTTAACATTTTGATGTCTGCCGTCCTGGGCTCCTTTGGGAGGAAGGGTGGAATACGACCTGAATAAATAAAATAACACTGCAATATAATAACAACAACAGTGCACTGCCATGAGAACACAACCGCTAGTACCTGAGAAAAGAAGCCAGAGGTCTCCTCGTAACACCTCGGGTATCCCTTTGACAAGCAGGTCCCTCGTCCTCCTCGTCCGAAACATACTTACACCACGCCCACATTCTACGAAAAGGATGTTCCAGGACTGCTCCTTCATTTTTTCTTTCAACTAGAAAAGCAAGGTATCATGTACTAGCAGTACATGTGAAAAAGATCTAGGGATCTTAGTGGACCACAAGGTTAACATTGAGTCAACAGTGTGATGCAGCAGCAAAAAAAGCAAATGCTATTCTAGGCTGCATCAACAGAAGTATAGCATCCAGATCAAGGGAAGTAATAGTCCCACTTTATTCTGCCTTAGTCAGACCACACTTGGAATACTGTGTCGAATTCTGGGCACCACAATTTAAGAAGGATGTTGACAAACTGGAATGTGTGCAGAGGAAGGCAACCAAGATGGTCAAGGGTCCGGAAACTAAGCCTTATGAGGAGCGCTTGAAGGAGCTGGTTATGTTTAGCCTGGAAAAGAGGAGACTGAGAGGAAATATGAGAGCTATCTTCAAATATATTAAAGGCTGTCACATGAAGGAGGGAGAATGCTTGTTTTCTCCTGCTTTGGACCAATGGCTTCAAGTCGCAGGAAAGGAGATTCTGACTAAACATTCAGAAAAACTTTCTGACAGTCAGAGCTGTTTGGCAGTGGAACAGACTCCCACGAGAGGTGGTGGACTCTCCTTCTATGGAGGTTTTTAAACAGAGGTTTGATGGCCATCGGTCCTAGAGCACGTTCTGTCATGAGCACATTCAGGGGGAACAGAACAGCTTGGGTGGAGAAAGGGATGCGAAACTTGGTGGGATGGAATGGAGTGTCCTAGAAGATGTTGCCTGGCTGCCTCCCTGAACAGGAACACACCACAACTGCAACATTTTGTTGCAGATCCCATTTTGGGGGAGGGGGTGGAATGTGCACAAGAACGATGAACTCTAGGTGCATAAAACAAAACCAAATGCGAAGTAAGCAAAGATGACAAGTTGGGGTGCGGGGGGATAGAATAGATGTATTTCCAACAACGGGAGCTGCTTTTCCTTCTTACCATTTTAGCGTCCAGATTCTCCGCATCCTGAGGGTGAAAGACGGTCATGAGGGCTTCGGTACTAACCATCTTGCTGTTGTCTTTGTGGCTTGCCATCGGCTGCCCCTCAAAATAGTCCGCGAGAGGCTCAGCGTTCGAGCCAGCAGCAACCTGCAAAAAACGCATTTACGACAGGAGCTGTGTTTTAAGAGATGTAAAAAAAGCAGGCGCACTTCCGAGTGACCTCCTAAACCTTCTGAAAAGTCCCCCTGTTCTGGCGTTAGGTGGTATATGAACTAACCACAAGCTCTTTCAGTTTGCAAACATGTGCCTGGTCCCCAAAAGTTTGCTAAAGGTAAAGGGACCCCGACTGTTAGGTCCAGTCGTGACCGACTCTGGGGTTGCGGCGCTCATCTCGCTTTATTGGCCGAGGGAGCCAGCGTACAGCTTCCGGGTCATGTGGCCAGCATGACTAAGCTGCTTCTGGCGAACCACAGCAGCGCACGGAAACGCCGTTTATCTTCCTGCCGGAGTGGTACCTATTTATCTACTTGCACTTTGATGTGCTTTCGAACTGCTAGGTTGGCAGGAGCAGGGACCAAGCAACAGGAGCTCACCCCGTCGCAGGGATTCGAACCGCCGACCTTCTGATCTCCCCTGACTCAAAGGAACATAAGGAGAACTCTGTTGGATCAGCTCAATGACCCAACTAGCCCAGAGTCTTCTTCTCACAGTGGCCAACCCAGGTGCCCATTTTTGGGAGGCCCACAAGCAAGGCCTGAGAAACTCTCCTCCCCTTCATTTTCCAGCAACTGGAGTTCAAAAGCATAGTGTCTCCAATGAACACAGTCATCATAAAAGACCGCCCTCCCCACCCCAGAGTCCTGCAATGAATTAGACAAACAGAGCCTTTACCTCTGTGCTCATGCTATGCTGTTGGCTTGCTGTGGTATCACATTTCCTCTTCAGCGTCGCCACCAGTTGTTCAAAATCCCGAACTTCGGAAAAACGGAAGGCTCTCTTCCCTCTGGTAGCGATGCTGACAGCTTTGCTACCAGGATCAGACACCTCGACTGATACAACCTGCAAGTGTTTGCATGCACAAAGATGGCAGTAAGATTCCACTCTTACAAGGCTCGTTCTCACTAAATTTAGTCAAGAGGTTAAGGCTTCAAAAGTCTGATTCACTCTGAGGACAGCTAGGGCTTACACTACAGCTGAGGCCAGGAGGTTCGCCCTCTTTTAATTTTGCTTTCAAAGCAGAATCATACCGCTTTAAACAACCATGGCTTCCCCCAATGAATCCTGGGAGATGTAGTTTGCTAAGTTGCTGTAGCTCTCTCTCTGTGGGGTGAACTACACTTCCCAGGAGTCTTTGCCAGGGGCGAGATATGCTTTAAATGTATAGAGTCTAAACCCACAACTCACAAGCACATTTGACTTATGCACATTCAGTTTTACGTGCTTGGCAAAAATATTAAAATAAAATAAATAGGGAGCAGAAAGGAGACGGGAAAAAAGACTTTGGCAATCCCACCCGCCATTGAATCCAATGTTTTGATAATATGTGGATTTGGCTTTAGACACGATCCCCGGAACATAACCCTCATGTAAGTTGCTGGCTTGCTGCCTGAACATAGCTCAGTCAGTAGAGCATGAGACTCTTAATCCCAAGGTTGTGGGTTCAAGCCCCACGTTGGGCAAAAGAGTCCTGCACTGTAAGGGGTTAGACTAGATGGCTCTTGTAGTCCCTTACAATTCTACTATTATTTTGTCTTTTGGAGGGGCACCAGGATGGGGCCATCTGGCACCCAGAGCCAGAAAGTACCAGTCTGATTTACTGAGTGCGTCTCCACCCTGCCCTGCCAACGATTTCAAAAGGGCTGCAAAAGTGTTGTTAAGATCCTAGCATTAAAATAATAATAATATCACAACTTCTGGTAAAACAATAAGATGAAAAAAAGCAGTTAAACCCAGTAACAAGCCCCTCGACTTGGATGTTCGCTAGACTGCAGTTGCTTTGACTCTAGAAGGGGAGGCAGACTTAACGACAGAGTGGCAGGTGGCGGCGGCTTAGCCTTGGCTCCCACCTGACTCACCTCTCTCAGAGGGATGATTACGCAGCACAGGCAACCATCCTGGCTGGCAAAGCAGACGTAGTTCTCCGAGATGCACATTTTCCCCAGAGTATTGTAGTGGCTGAAAGGCACCCATAAGAAACACTCGTGCACTTCCCGCAGACACTCCTCCTTCGGCAGCCTGAAGAAGGCATTAAACTGCTCACTGTGGGCTCTGCTTTCAAGCCCTCTGGGGAGGGGAAAAAACAAGGGGGCGGGGTAAAGAAAGAAGTAGGGTGGGTTAATTATGTTTGTCTTGCAAAACAGAGGCAGGAAGAAAACATGGTTCTTTCCAAGTTACCTGTGTTTATTTTGCTTTCGTTTAGCAAGATTTAAGCACCGTTCAATCAAAAATATAAACAAACTTATAAGTGGTTTGCATTTAAAAATGCTGTAAAATATTCATTTTTTTTTAAAAAAACACACCACCAAAAAGAGGCTTTACAAAAACAGTAGGCCTAATAAAATGATCAAAAAACAAGGGCAGGGGGCCAGGTTTTTAAAAACGAACGTCCCTACATAATAAAATTACACATAGGTGGGGAGGCTAAGTGGCCTAAACAAAGCCCCACTGAGCCTCTGGACTCTTCGGGCCTTCCTTCGCCCTCAATGAAGTCCTCTTCTGAGCTCCAGGGAGGGTCTCCTCGTGAGCCACAAGGGCTCTCTAGCTCTCCTGCCATACCCTGGTATGATTCCATTTATTACCCCACTACACATATATGTGGTTGCACTCGAATAGAAGTCACGTCAGTGTGTGTGTGTGTGTGTGTGTGTGTGTGTGTGGAATGCCTGTAAATCTCTAGGTCGTGTACAAAAATAATATAAAATCACCATCATAGGAAGATCACAGGATGCTGTTTTATACAGTGTCAGACAGCTCAGTATTTCCCAAACTTGGGTCTGTTTTTTGGACTACAATTCCCACCATCCTTGACCACTGGTGCTGTTAGATAGGGATGATGGGAGGTGTAGTCCAAAAACAGCTGGAGACCCAAGTTTGGGAAGCACTGATCTAGCTGATATGGTCTACACAGGCTGGCAGTGTAGGGTTTCAGGCAGGGCGTCTATCCCAGACCTACCTGAAGATGCTGGGGATTGAACCCAACACCTTCTGCTCGCGAAGCAGATGCTCTGCCAATGAGTTGCAGCCCCTTACTCGAATATCATCCCCAGCTCAGCTTTAGAAGCGAGCAGAAGCAGAAGGTCTTGTTCATTATTATAATACACACACACACACACACACACACACACACACACACATTACCTCTTAGTGATTTGCAGGGGATCATGGAGGACGGGGTCATTATTGAACGTCTCCTTGTCAAAGAGTCTTCGAACAGCATACAGAGCCAGCTGCTCCATGAGAAGGAACGTTTCAGTGATGTGCAGGAACATGGAAAAATAGTGATCCTCCCCCCGGGAGCAGACGTGGATGCTCTCTGTCAGGATGACGTTGGACGACTTTTCGAGCACTGAGATTTCATCCCAGGATATGACAAGTTTTACTGCAGGTGGGAACAAAAGAAATATGCTCATGCCTTTCGGCTTCACGGTGGCCAGCTATTTTCCTTCGACCCTAAAGGGAGCATCCCATGAAATACTTTGCGTTTCCGCAGAAAGATACCACCGCTTCACATTAGCCTTAAAACATAACAGCATTAAATTTCCTTTTTTAAGCTCTACACGTCCAGCTTTAACAACCTGGTGTTTCTGGCCACATTCAGATCATACATTTGAAGGATGATGATGCCCCTTCGAACGGTCATAGTTTCTCCCAAAGAATTCTGGGAGCTGTAGTTTCTCAAGGGTGCTGAGAGTTGTCAGGAGACCCTCCATTCCCTTCCCAGAGCTACAATTCACAGATCAATCCCTCTTCCTCAACAATGTTCATTCGGCATTCCAGTCTCCCTGAAAATGCCCAATCCTCATTGGGCTGTTTTTAGGAGTTTGGGGTTGGACATACTGATTTCTCCAATCCAATTTTGATTTCTTCATTGTTTTCTATGGGCAGCATTCACTCTCATCGTTGATGAGATTTTAAAATAGTTTCTAAGGTAAAGGTAAAGGGACCTCTGACCATTAGGTCCAGTCATGGCCGACCCTGGGGTTGCGGTGTTCATCTCACTTTATTGGCCGAGGGAGCCGGCGTACAGCTTCTGGGTCATGTGGCCAGCATGACTAAGCCACTTCTGGCGTACCAGAGCAGCACACGGAAACACCGTTTACCTTCCCGCTGGAGTGGTACCTATTTATCTACTTGCACTTTGACGTGCTTTCGAACTGCTAGGTTGGCAGGAGCAGGGACCGAGCAACGGGAGCTCACCCCGCCGGGGGATTCGAACCGCCGACCTTCTGATTGGCAAGTCCTAGGCTCTGTGGTTTAACCTACAGCTTCTAGAAAACAGATTTAAGGACAGCACAAATATCCAGGATGTAGATTCAGCAGCTGGAGAAGGTTGTCAGAACAAATATGTCTCTATAGAAACTATAAGGAGTGGGGTACCTGTTGTATCTCAACAGGGAGGCTGTCCCACAAGACGGGGCAACCACAATGAAAAGCTCTGCTCCAAATGCAGAGACCTAATGGGCATATGGAAACAGATTTGACTGGTTGGCTAACCCAGATGAGGTATCCAATGGGCCTCAAACCCTCGGCGAGTTACAATAGTGGGTCCAATGGTCAAGAAGGCGGTTTCTGCATGTGCTCAGATGCTAATGCAGAGGGGATCTTGGTACAGATTAGAATTCTAAAATGGAATATGCTCATTCTTTTTGACAGTTTATGGTGTAATTATACTGATCTGTTTTGTGGTACAAGGTTTACAAGCTGCGCTTCTGCTTAAGAAAGCAGTTACAGTGGTAACTCGGTTTTCAAACAGCTTAGTTCCCGAACAACTCAGAACCCGAATGCTGCAAATCCAGAAGTAGGTGTTCCGGTTTTCGAACTTTGCCCTGGAAGCCAAACGTGCTCCTCAGCTTCCGTTTTGACTGTTGCACAGCAAATTTGAGTCCCCCGCATTGTAATTAAGGCTTTTTTTTACTCCCATTTTACCCTTAAGCAGCAAATTTAAATCCCACCCCCCAAAGTAATTAAAGCATTCCATTTCTGATTGCAGTATTCTGAGGTGATATTTGGTGCTTTTCTTTTTGCTATTTTTTGCGTCTTTGTTTGTGTGGCTTTTTCATTTTTGTGTCTGTGGCTTGTTCTTCATTTTATGATTGATTGTGTGACTGTGGAAATAGATAAAAGCCCCCCATCCAAACAATGACTATAATCAGTGCAGGTAAGAAAAAAAATAATTTTAATTTTTATCATCTACAATGCTGTCTTATTTATTTTATAGTACAGAACATTTATTATTGCTTTCATTTTATGGATCAATGGTCTCGTTAGATAGTAAAATTCATGTTAAATAGCTGTTTTAGGGGTTGTTTTTAAAAGCCTGGAACACATTAATCCATTTTGCATTACTTTCCATGGGAAAGTGTGCCTTGGTTTTGGAACGCTTTGGTTTTGGAACTGACTTCCGGAACGGATTAAGTTCGAGAACCAAGATACCACTGTACTTCCCTTTATCTTTATTTTATGTTTTTTGATAGACTATTGTATTTTAAATATATATATTAATTAATCCACTTGTAGCTTCAGACATAAAGCTCATTTTGAAACCCATCACCGTGCAAGGGAATCACGGCGAACGGCAGGACTCCACTTACTTTCAGCTCCCAGTAGGAAGGAGTAAAAGCTCAGAAAGTTAGTGCTCAGATACAGCCATCCTTGACAGGGCACCCGGCCTCTCCAGTAGCTGCATGAGTAGTACGTCACCAGCTTCTCTTGTTCAGGTAGCCCGAAACACTTCCCGAACTTCAGGTGAGCCTCACGGAACTTCTCGGGATCCTCCTCTCTTATTAAGGACCCTTTTCCTTCTTCGGCAATCAAACCCTAGGAAAAAAAGGTGAATGAGGTGCTGAACGCCAGGTAATCTACCCAAGTCACTCCCCTGAAGCCAAGAGCCTCAGGCCACTGCTTTGGGGTGGGGCCAGAGGCAACAGCAGGCAGAGCAACAAGTATGGGCAGTAGGCTTATTTCAGAACCCCCCTTGTATAGCTGCTCTATCCTCTACCCAGAAGTGTTGTCAGAGCAGAAAAGCAGCAAGCCCTAGAGGTCCAGATTCAGTCCCAGAGCCTTTCAACACCCTCCCCTCTGCAACATTTCTGCATTCCACCATGGCCCCTGGATGCTGGGTAGAGCTGGGCGACATCTGGTTTTCAACATCTTGATATATCACCAACAAAACATAGTGATGTACCGATATATTACAATGTCTGGAATAAGGAGGGAGCTATGTAGAGGCACTGTTTGGCTTCACTGTCCCCCGCTCCCATACTGTGATTTTTGCTGGTGCCACTGCCCCCTCCATGAGGCAGGGGAGAGCTAAGCCAGTAGAGTTAACAGGTGTTGCAGGAATCAAGAGAAGCATTGGCTGGCTTCATGGTTTTCCCCACACTGTGATTTTTGCATAGCACACAAACACGCACATCATGATTTGAAATATATTGCCCGGTCAAAAATTATGAAACTGTTATCACGATGTGGATTTTAAAGTCGTTTTGGATGATATATCGCCCAGCCCTAATACTGGGTACAAGAGTCCCAAAGTTGCTTCTAACGTACTCTGATCTTCCCATGCACAAAGCTGGTGATGTCCTCACTGGAATCGAACACAGAGAGAGTCGTCATCACATTCTGCTCTAGCCAGTCCCAGTGCGCTGTTATTTCTTCTCTGCTGGCTCCTGATAGGAAACATTAACTAGTATTAAATAAACTTCACTGGGTACACTAGAAGCTCCTACACCAGCTGGGTAAACAAGAGTTTCCCCTTTCTTTTCCCCAGCGACCGTCTCCTATCTTGTTGCAAAGTCAGAAAAAAGAGCACTGAGTATTCTGCTGATATTATTCTCTGTTAGCCCTTCTGTCTTTTTTAGTGCAGTTGCCCCAAGAAAAGGGACTTGGGGGAGAATCAGAAGTATTTGAAATTGAGTTGAAAATAGGCTTATGATCACAGGGGGCTGCCTTACAGCAAATCAAATATTTTGTTTGTCTTGCTGAGTATCATCGAGGGCCCCATCTGTACTATGCATTTAAAGCAGTATCATGTAACTTTCAGCAGTCATGGATTCCCTAAATTAATTCTGGGAGCTATAGTTTCCTAAGGGTCCTGAGAGTTGTTAGGAGACCACCTATACCCCTCACAGAGCGACAATTCCCAAAGTGGTTTCACAGTCATTCCCTCTTCCCAAGGAACTCTGGGGATTGGAACTCTGAGAGAAGAATTTGAGGTGGTGTGAGTCGCTTAACACCTCTCAGCACTACAGTTCCCATAATTCTTCAGCAGAAGCCATGACTGCTAAAACTGGTATGATGCTGCTTTAAATGTATAGTGCAAGCGGGCCTTACATCAGGGATGGAGAACCTATTAAGAGGACTTGAGGATGAGCTTCAGAAAACAATTTCTCATTGGCTTTAGGGTGACACGTCCTTTGGTAAACAGCTCCCCGGTAGTGCGGGAAGACAAACATGATCCTTGACGTGCTTCTGAACAAAAAAACAATAAGAAGGATTTATCACTCTCTCTCCTTTGTCTTGGAGTCACTGAACAATTATCTACATGAGGTTGCAGAGCACACAAGATTCAAGTGTTAGCAAGGCAAGCATTGCACTTAATATAATAGCACCTGGTTTTCTCATGGAGGGGATACCGGGGGGGGGGGGGCATGGATGGCTTGGAGGACCCAATCCCTAGCTTCACACTGAATCCAAGAGAAGCACATGCAAACAGTTGTAAAGGGAACATAGGAAGCTGCCTTTAGCCTCATTTGCGCTACAGATTTAAAGCACCATGCTACCGCTTCGAACGGTCATGGGTTCCACAAACAATCCATGCAGATGTAGTTGGTCCAGGGTGCTAAGAGATCCCCTATTCCCCTCACAGCATAGCTGTCAACTTTTCCCTTTTTTAAAGGGAAATTCCCTTATTCTGAATAGGATTCCTCGCAAGAAAAGGGAAACGTTGACAGCTATGCCTCACAGAGCTACAATTCCCAGAGCGGTTTAACAGCCAAGCCTTCTTCCCTGGGAACTGTAGCTCTGTGAGGGGAATTGGGCGGGGGTGTCTCCTCACAACTCTCAGCCTACCTTAGCAAATTACAATTCCCAGAATTCTTTGGGGGGAAACTATGACTGTTTAAAAAGTGGTATTGTGGTGCTTTAAACATAATAGCACAAATAGAGCCTTAGATTATTTGGTCCATCTAGCTCCATACTGCCTGTTCTGGCTGGCAGTAGCTCTCCACAGTCTCAGGAAGAGGCCTTTCCACATCATTTGCCTCCTGACCCTTTTAACTGGTGAGGCCAGGGACTGATCCTGGGTCTTTCTGCATGCAAAGCATGTTCTCTACCACTGAAAAACCCTCCTTCCCAAAGAACCGGGGGGAAGTGATGGGAACCCTGATCTGACCCAAAGGTTTGATGTCCCCCTACCTCCCCCCACCTCCCGCATGCTAAACTAAGTGAAGTCTTGGTTCTGTATCGGGCAGCATTTCTTCCCCACAATGACAAGGCACCCCAAGTTATCACTGCCATCGTCCTGAGCTCGGCTCAGTTCTGAATTGTATGTACTCACCACATGCAATAGACCAGTAGACTTGAGAATCTGGTGTCTGGTGCAGGATGCGAAAAGGGGCAACTTTTGATGTAGAGTCCAAAACTGCATCCAGGGTCCCCACCAGGATGCCTGTGGGATATAGGACAAAGCTTGAGAGCACAATATATACAGTCGTACCTCATGTTACGTTTGCTTCATGTTACGTTTTTTCAGGTTGTGTCCCGCAACGACCCGGAAGTACCGGAAAGGGTTACTTCCGGGTTTTGCCACTCGGGCATGCGCACAAGTGCCAAATCGCACCGCACACCTGCGCAGATACGGCACTTCAGGTTGCGGGCTTTTCATGTTGCGAACGGGCCTCCGGAACAGATCCCGTTCGCAACCAGAGGTACCACTGTACAAGGTATGGTTTGCAGCGTCTGTTAGAGGCCGGGTTTTGCCTTCCATATGGTCCAGAGAAGGCTGTATACTCTTGAGCAAGGAAGATGGCAGCTGAGTGGTGCATAGGGCCAGCTTTGGGACTGGGCTAGGGAACAACGGTACTGGAAGAAGGTTAAACAGCAAGGTAGGTATTATCTATAGATACATATACAGCTATAGCTATAGCTATAGCTATAGCTAGGGAGGGTGGGAATCACGGGTGTCCTGGCTGTATTTGCATTCCCTGGCTTTCAAGGACTGGAGTATAGAGTAGAACAGGGTTTCCACAACTTGGATCTCCAGCTGTTTGGGGACTACAATCCCCATCATCCTTGACCACTGGGTCCTGCTAGCTAGGGATGATGGGAGTTGTAGTCCCAAAACAGCTGGAGACCCAAGTTTGGGAAACACTGGACTAGACTGTTCTCTCCAAATTGAAGAAGGTGAAAACTTTTTTTTTAACCAGAGGGGAAGGGAGAATAAGTTGCAAGTGGGCATTTCTAGTGAAAAAAAAGTGTGCTGAATCCCAAAACATTGGGCTGCATCTTTTGTTCTTATTATCTTGATGGCTAAGTTGGAACATAGCCACCAATTTTGGTTACTGTGTGCAATCACACCTATCTGCCATAGGTTGTCATATCACCTTTTGTAGCCACCTTCACAAAAATTCCTGAATAGTTTACATTTTAAAAATGGGTCCATAAACAAAAAAGTTAATGGCATTTTGCCCCCCATGTTGCCATTTTTCCAACTTGTGAAATTCACGAAAACCCACCTGCAACCAACTCTCCCAAAATGCATTCAAGTTTTTTAAGAGGCCTTTTCAGGATGGGCAACATTGCATTGCATTGCATGATTCCATGTGTGTATTACCAATGGTGCTTTGTACACCTCCTTCCGGCAACTCTTCCAGCCAAACACCTTGCTCTGCTTTCCTTTGGAACACATCAGTGAGACCAAAAGGGGGGGTCTTGTTGTCTGGGCAGCCCAGGATGTCCACACACACTGCCCAGGCTTGCGTCCCAGAGAGGTCATTTCGGTGCTGCAAATGCAGCAATTTGAATTCACCCCTCAGAGGCGAACTCCATTGTCTCTCTGGATACCAAGAGCCGTGTTGAATTACCACTGGCAGCTGGGGCCCATTAGGACTTCTAGAGACCGACCATAGGTACAGCCAGAGCTAATGCTGGGCAGAGCCACCCCCTTACTGGTTGGATGTAAGAAGGCAGGCAAGTGAGTCTGGCTGAGAGCAGGCTGAGATTGGTGGGGCAGTACCCTATTAATGGACCAGCTTCCATGGTGTGTTACACAAGAGGAAATCCTAAAACCCCAAGTGTTCAACTTGACGACACCATGAGTCTGCTGAAATGCAAATCAGGAACTGACTGTTGCTTAACCAGCCAGCATGGATTGTTCCCTACATTTCGTTGCCACATAGTTGGCCTTCAAATTATAGATCACAGGAACAAGAAAAAACCGTCCTCCTGCGCTGGATCAGTGGTCTATTCAGTCCATGGTTCCTGTCCAACAGCTCCCAACCAGGTGCCTCTAGGAAGGCTATAAGCAACCAGCTTCTTGTACTCAGTTCTAGCCATCTGGTAAACAGAAGTTCACTGTCCGTCTCTGAAAAGGGAGGTTGCATGTAGTCAACATGACTAACAGATCTGGAGTGACCTGCCCTTGTGGCATTGAATTCTGCAGAATTCTGTGAAAGGAGCACTAACATTTTGCCTACCCTGAACTAACCAATGACCAGGTACACTGGATGAGCCCGAACTCGTAGTGCGAGGGGGTTATGGGTGAGAGCATCTTTTCTCAACCGATTCTCCCCCACCACTTCCTGCTGCTCATGCCAAGATACATGCAGCACACAATGAAGCCCAAAACTGGCTTGATAAGAGGAGGGAGCTGCAAAATGAACTCCCCACCCCCTCACCCCACAACGATGCACAGGAACCACAGATCAATTGCTTAACATTTTAGAATAGCCATTAGTTGCTAAAACGAATCTGCGGTTCTCTTAAACGTTTGATAAGGGATGAAACACCCACACAGAGGGATCAATAAGTTGAGTCAAGCAGACAGACCTCATCTGGGACGGCGTCAGAACTTAGTATCGTTGGACGGGGTTGCCAGGGCTCCAGCCAGCTGATCTCCAAATGACCTGACATAGCATCACCCCAGGGGATTGTGGGGAAATTCATCCCAGCACTGCTCAGAATGCTAGGTATTCATCAGCAGTAGGTGGTGGAGGAGCCATTGGAGGTTGCCCAGCAAAGCCAGGTGCCAACTCTGGCTCCAATGAAATCTACTAGCTTGGCTTGTTGCATTGCTCAAATCTGTCAGTGCCAGATAAACCTGTGGGGGCCCAGCAGCAGGTGAGGAGGCCTAGCATCAGAGGAACGCGCTCCTCAAACACAGAACCAGATTTGAATTTCATTTCAGGGAGGGAGAGAGATAACGCTTGCAGTCCGGAAACTAGAACTATTGCTTTTCCTGCATGTGTAATCTAATCTTCCCCTCCACTTCAGAGCCCTTAACCGCGACATTACGGATTACATCTAGATTCATTGGAAGAACGCTTCCTTGCTGAATTATTCATCTCGCCAGGCGCGTTTTGCAGCTGCCTCCATCTTCGCAGAGACTTCTTTTATCAGAACACCTTCTAATCTATTCCCGTTGCCCAGTTCCCATAATGATCATACTATAGGGCAATGGTACTAGTCCATGTTTCCCAGAATGCAGAACTCCCAAAGGCAGCTTCTTACGGCAACGTCTCTGGAAAAGGAAGTGTTCTTGAAACACCAAAACATGCTCCGTATCAAATCAAGAGGGGCGACATTTCGTCAGCATGAAAAGGCGGCTTGCAAATTACCTCGCAAACTTACGCACTGCCTCTTTCCCTCACACATGCCTGCTTCAGCAAGGGGAGGAAAACCAATTAAAGTTGACAGAAACTTTCCTGTTTGCCTGGGCAACGAATGATTGAAAATGGCATGGTGGTGGGTTTGCCAGGCAAGCTGTTCATTGAGCAATCTATCCTGATTTGCTGGCGCAGAGGTTAGACTTGTCGACATCAATCAATAGTTTATCCTGTACTCTTTAGTTTATCCCAGAGGCTCCCAAACTTATTTGGTCTACCGCCCCTTTTTCAGAAATAAAGAAAGAAATTACTCAGTGCCCTCCTGGAAATCTACCTTCTTTAAGTAAACAAAAAGAAAGATGCAGAGTTCTTTTTATGTACCGATATTTCTACCTATGTCCTAGTAGAGAAATATGTTGTAAATACGACACCTTGAAACTTGAAATTATACATTTTTTAAAAAATTAAAATCTAATCATAGTAACATTTGCATTGCACACAGCAAATTAAGGTAATGAAGGATAATATTAAAATAAAAATCCCCGCGACGGGGTGAGCTCCCGTTGCTCGGTCCCTGGCTCCTGCCAACCTAGCAGTTCGAAAGCACATCAAAGTGCAAGTAGATAAATAGGTACCACTTTGGCGGGAAGGTAAACAGCGTTTCCGTGCGCTGCTCTGGTTCGCCAGAAGCAGCTTAGTCATGCTGGCCACATGACCCGGAAGCTGTACGCTGGCTCCCTCGGCCAGTAAAGCGAGATGAGCGCCGCAACCCCAGAGTCGGTCACGACTGGACCTAATGGTCAGGGGTCCCTTTACCTTTTAAAATTTCTGGAATCTGACTGAATCCCTCTCAGAAAATTATTCATGGAGGAGAATGGTTACCAGTCACAATGTCTCTGTTCTGCCTCCACTGTCAGAGGTATAGACGTTTCTGAACACCAACTGCTTGGAAGTGGCAGGAGGGGAAAGTGCTCTTGGGCTCGTGTCCTGCTCGCTGGCCTCCCACAGCAATCTGGAGGCTGTCCAAACGGCTACATGCCCATTATAGTAAGTTCTAAGTGGCAGTCTATGTTTGCTTTTAACCTATGGTTTGTAAGAGTAATCATCAGGTTGTCCTCTAAGATGTTGTTGGGACTACAACTCCCATCCTTCCTGACCACTTGCCATCAGAAGACAGTACATTCTGCTAGCTCATCGCTTTGTGTGTGTGGGCAAGTCAACTAATCATAAGACTTTCACTCAACCAACCAATAGTTTGATTAAAACTGCATGTGAGGGGGAAAAGGGGTGGGGGGGTGGGGAAAGCATATTTTGCACACATGCGACTGCAGAAGCCATAATTTTGGGGAAAGGTAATTCTATTTCCCCTCACATCTTCCTTTAAAAAACTTTTAATAGATTAGATCTGATTTGGGGAACCTTTTAAAAATCAATTGCAGAATGTTTTCAATAGATCAATCCATTGAGTACGTAGAGGATATAACCCTAAGTCAGTGTTTCTCAAATTTGGGTCGCTAGCGGTTGTTGGGACTACAACGCCCATCACCCCAATGACCTGCCCTCCTTCACTGCCCTAAGTGAAATTGAAATAACTTCTGTGGGTGCCAAATGAAGACTACTCAACTTTTGCCTGAATCAGAGGTGGGGGGAAATGTGAGCCTCCAGATTTTGGATCCCAACTCCCATCAGCCCCCAGACAGCAAGCTCAGGAATAATGGGATTCCAACGGTATCCCCCCACAACCTCAGGCCTATACACTGACTCTGTCTCACACAACATACTTATCAATGAAAAAATTGTGCAGAGGAAATAATTAAAAGATGTGATGTTATTTTCTTTAAGTCCCAGAACTGAAGATCCTATATTAATATAGAGGGTATGAATTTTGGCAGAAAGCATTTGCACTGATTACCGGATTACCGCCTTTCACCAGATAAAAACACAGTTTCTAACTGCAATATTAGTCATAAAGCAAGGTGGGGGGGGTGGAATCTCCGTGACTCAAAGCTAGCTACAGTGCTTCCAGCTAAATTATTCTTTCTACATCCCCTTTGGCACTATTCAATATAAAACAAACTGCAAACTCCAAGATCCTGGCCTCACACCAACAGGCAAGCTCATTAAAGTTTCAAAAGCGCGGAGTAAAATATCATAGCTAGGTATCCCCCAAAGCCAAAAAGCGACGCTAGCAAGTGTGTCTGTACGTGTGCATATGTATGTGTATAATGCATTTGTGATCATTATGTTACCTGAGATAAAGAGTTGCTTTATTAAGGTTCATGCTCTGGGTGAGTCTCATCAGCCTTGCAAATGCCCACTTGCCTGGCAGCCTGTGGTGGGTACCAATCGCTTCCAGGCATAGAAGAGAGTTTGTCCATTAGAAAAGGACAGGTTCCTACCCCTCCCCAACCCACGCCCTATTACAGGCCATCAATCTGCTACAAATGACTAACGCAAGCGTAGGTGGCTGTGCCGATGGGCTGGTGACGCCTTTGGATGGATCCGCATAGCAGGCATAACCCTATGCACGTGGCGATTGCAAGGACAAAAACGGGGCAACACTCTCCACTGCTTATAGGAAGCACAGCACACAAGCAAGATGCATGTGGCCCAGTTCAACAGCCTCCTGGGGGTTGCATCAGCAGCAGAAGCAAGCCATTTTTTTCTGACAAAGCATGCTGCTGCTGCTGCCTCACTCAAACAACCACCTGCTTTGAGAGCAGGTGTTGCGCAGTGGATTAAGGTTGAAAGCCAGGAAGAACTGGGCCATTAGTTGCAAACTCTGTGACAGCTTCAGGGTGCACCCCCCCCCAACAAACAGAGAAGGCAATATTGGCTTACTGGAAACTGCCTCAGACCAGGTAAGGCTCTTTGTGCAGGTAGCTCAGGTTGTACCCCGAGATTGGCAGTAGCTCTCCAGGACTGCAGGCAGAGGGCGGTTTTCCACATCACCTGCAACCTGATCTTTTCTTTTAAAACAACAAGTTGATTTTTTTTTTTTTTTGAGATGTACAGATAAAGGTAAAGGTAAAGAGACCCCTGACCATTAGGTCCACTCGTAGCTGACTCTGGGGTTGCAGCGCTCATCTCGCTTTACTGGCCGAGGGAGCCGACGTACAGCTTCCGGGTCATGTGGCCAGCATGACTAAGCCGCTTCTGGCGAACCAGAGCAGCGCGCGGAAACACCCTTTACCTTCCTGCCGGAGCGGTACCTATTTATCTACTTGCACTTTGACGTGCTTTCGAACTGCTAGGTTGGCAGGAGCAGGGACCGAGCAACGGGAGCTCAACCCGTCGCGGGGATTCAAACCACCGACCTTCTGAACGGCAAGCCCAAGGCTCAGTGGTTTAGACTACAGCGCCACCCGTGTCCAATGTACAGATAGTTAGCCCTAATATAGAGCAGCTTTCTCTTTAACCTATGACTAATGGTTCTTTGGGTTTGAACCAGAAGCTGTAGCTGGGGAAGAACAATGGCGACTGGAACAATTGGTCATAAGCATGTTGCTTAAAACATTGCACAGGCTGCCAATTTGCTAACATGCCAAGTTCCAATACTGTTGAAGGTAAACGAATTCCCGTAACAACCTTGGACCACATTGTCTGGGGGAATCCCTTTCCCCAGTATAGATGTTCGGTTCACTACAATTGTTAGATCAGGCCTTCTAACTGACCTGCAGCCTGTGCAGATCCATCTGGAGACAACTAGGAGAAAGGTCCCCCCCCCCCATGTTGGCACCCACCTTTTGGAATAAAGTCCCAAGGCGACCTTGCTTGGGCTTCGACTCAGGATGGGGAACATGTGCCTCTCCAGACTCCAAGTCCCATCATTCCCAACTACTGGCCAGGCAGGCTGGGACTGATGGGAGTTGGAGTTCAGCAGCATCCAGAGTAGTGCAGGTTCCCCATCTGTGGTTTAGATGCTTGTTCAATACTTATTTACTCAAGTATTTGATGCCACTGTTCATCTGCTGTGGATAATTTGCATTTTCTGGTTTTACTGTACTGGCCTTAAGGAGATAAGTTTGAACGCTTGCCTGGGATGTAAGGCAGTGGTATAAAAATGAATTATGAATAAACAAGCAAACAAACAAACAAACCTTTGCAATGTACTGAATGGGGCTGGCGTTTCTTCTGAACAAGCATGTTTAGCAAGTGTGTGCTGGGGTGTGTGCAATGTAACTTACTTTTAGCACCACAGTCAGGCCATCCTGATTCTACATGCTGCTTTTGCTTCTCAACATGCTGTTTCTGTTGCGGATGCAATCCCTAGGAGGCAACTGAACCGGGGCACAGGTATTTAGGTAGTTATCTCACCTGCAGGCTTTCCAGTGGGGAGGGCTATACCCCAAACATAGGTAACATACTGCCTTATGCTGAGTAAGACCATTGGGCCAACCTAGCTGAGCATCACCTACACTGACCGGCAGCTGATCTCCAGGGTCTCAGGAGGGAGTCTCTCTCAGCCTTACCTGCAAACTGAACCTGGGATCTTCTGCATGCTGAGCTTGAGCTACAGCTCAGCACAGAAGCAGAGGCATTTCCGCAGAGGAAGCTCCAAGTTCATTCTCCTCCACGCGTGATGAGCCACTGCAGCTGCTGACCCTACTGGTCCATGCAACAAAACTAATGGGTGGCAGGCAAGCAGCCAAGCAGACTGACAAAAGAAACACATTTCCCCCACACACAATGCATAATCAGCTCATGGAATTTCACCAGCACCAACTTAGATGGCCAGTAACTCTTTTGTGTGTGCTTTTTTTAAGTGTTCATCAAACTGAAGGGGGGGCGGGGATTCAATTATTAAAGGCTCTTTGCTTTGTTAGCTTAATTGAACCTTCACATTCAGTGGCCATGTATCTCTGAACTCACCAGGTGCTGGGGAAGAACATGGACAGTCATCAACATCATGTCCAGAACACGGGAACAGAACACTGAATTAGATGCGGGCGGTTTTTTTTTAATCAGGGCAGGGAATGTGAAGCCTGGGGGCTGGTGGAGGCTCTCCATCCATCTCCATTTGTATCCTTAGATCAATCTCAAGACCCTGACTGGTCTTGCTTCACACCACAAGTGCTTTTTTGCCTGGCTGGAATCACAGAATTGAAGAGTGGGAAGGGACCACGAGAGTCATCGAATCCAACCCCGTGCAATGCAGGAAAAACTTTTACCAACGTGGGGCTAAGATTAAGAGTCTCAGCTTCTTGCTTCCCAGGATGGATGATGTAGTGCGTGAAAAAACTAGCCTACCATGCAAAGTTAAAATGCACTCAACTTCTCCACACCTGCATGTGGCCCTTGAAGGATGTTGCAGAAGGGTATGAGGCCTGCAGGCTTGACAAGGATTCTCTGCCCTTGGTTTTTGTTATTCTTCAGTCCCTGTTCCACACTGTAACTAATCCTCAGTACACACAATTGAAAAAAAGATGCAACTGGAAAATTGCTTTCCCTGCCTCCAATTGGCTCTCCTTTCTCTGTGGTTTGTCCTACAGCAAACGTTCAGATTGTAAATGCCTTGGGGCAGGGGCCTGCCCTCTTGTGCTTTGTGAAACTGCCATGCAGATTGAAGACACACTTATGAGTAGTTATAACAGGAGTTTTAAATGTTGCCTTGAGCTCATTTGGAAAAGCGAGGAAAGCGTAATGACAGGAACAGCAACAATCAAACTGAACGAACAACAATTAAGTAGAATTTCGCCTGACCAAGAGAAGCAATTTATTCTACATAGCTGTTATGAAAAATTGTCTCATCCCTTATATACTCAATCAACGGCCATGTTCTGTAGGTGAGGGCCTCCTGCAGACACCAGGTCTTATCAGGGGATTCATTCCACAAAATGTAGGAGCAGGGTCTTTAGTGTGGTGGCTCCTGCTTAGTCGGTAGAGCAGAAGACTCTTAATTTCATGGACATGGGTTCGAGCCCCATGTTGGGTGAAAGATTCCTGAATTGCAGGGGGATGAACTAGATGACCCTTACGGTCCCTTTCAACTCAATAATTCTATTAATTTTCTTCCCTTGACTATTCAGCAGACACTGTCTTTTTGGCACCTGCTGAAGACCTTCCTCTTCCAAAAAGCCTTTTAATAGCAGAGTTCCCTCCCCTGACTGCATCTGTATTGGAACGGCTTTTAGATGTTTCTATTGTTTTATTGCTTGTTTGTTTACCACCCTGGGCTCCTTGGGGAGAAAGAGCGGGGTATACATTTAATAAATGAATGAATAAAAGCATAGGAACCCTTGTCCTCACTTAGAATCAGGGGTTACCAGGTATTCTTTTATTTTGTTCATTTGTTTGCTTTGCTTCCTAGGTGTTTTAAGAGCTGCCATGCTATGGAAAACGCCAGCAACAGAATCTATTCTTGACCCGGAGATGCAGAAATGGGGGGAAACTTCGGCTGCCCACTGCGATCTTTCACACATCTCTGCAAGAAACCAGTTGCCTGCCCATTATTATTATTATTACTATTATTAAGAAGGTGGCGACACCCCGTGGTCATCTTAGCAAGCTAGAACTTTTAAGCACACCAGAACACAGCCAGTTAAAAATGACGGCAGCAGCAACACCATACCAAGCTGAGAACTAGAAAGTGTTTTCTTTTGCAAAGGTTTGCTAATCTGCTCCCTCCTGTGCTCTTAAATGCACCTGCTTCTCGAGACATTAGCAGGTAAGCAAGCTTTTATCCCACAGTCCAAAAGCTTCACCTGCTGGTCTCTTCACTTCAAGGGCAAAAAGGCGGTACCAGGCTCAGAGTGGACAAGAGGCAGAATAAAACACTGCTTCACACCAAGCTAGTTAAAACCTATGGAACTGACTGCCACAAAACACTGCAAATAGCCAATAAATTATACTGTTCCCCCCACATTTTTTTTAAGAAAGTAGATTAATTCAGAGGTGGTCCCATGGAGCCTCCAACTTCGGCAGCAGTATACCTCTTGAACAGCAAGTGCTTGAGACATACTATATAGAAAACCATTAGCCACAACAGTTGCATAGAGCTTCCCTGTTCAGGAGTAGTCAGTAAACCCTCGCAACTACCAGATGATGGCTTTGAACCCTGCTTCTGGGCTTTTCCTAAAAATATCTGAATGGCTACTGCTGGAAACAATATGCAGGGCATAAGGAGGTGTTGCATTAGGCCATGTGTAGGGGAACCTTTGGTCTTCCAGATGTCGATGAACTACAGCTCCCACCATTCCTGGCTGCTGCCCTTATTTGCTGGGGCTGGTGTAAGTTGAAGTTCAGCAACATCTGGAAGATGAAAGAACCCCCCACTCCACCCCGCATATGGACTAGACAGGTCCTTTGGGCAGATTCATAGGTGGGACTGTTTTTGCCTTCCTGGACAGCTGACCACCTCGTCTGCACTCAGAACCCCACCACAGCCAGGGTGCAAAAAGAACTGGTGTGGAGAAGCGGACTAGGGCACCTCGGGGCCAAGAAGGGGGACACGGATTCGAATCCCCCCTGCATGTCCAAGGTGCTTGTTGGAATCAAATCAGCATTAATCTACCTGCCTCTCCAAGGTGCTTGTTGGAATCAAATCAGGTGTGGAGGGAAAGACCCATACCCGGATCTCACCCTAGAGCTCACCTGGTGTGCGGCCTTAGCTCTCAGCCTAACCTACCTCTCAGGGCTGTTGTGAGGACACAGAGCGCGTGGGGAGGGGGAAGGGGAAAGGGAGGGAGAAGACCCGAGTTGAAATCCCAGCTTGCCCTTGCAGGCGCAAAGCAATAACTCTCAGTCTAGCCCGGGCTCCCTCGCAGGGTTGTAGTGAGAATGCAAGGGAGGAATCTAACCGGGAGGGGCGGAAAAGAGGGAGAGGGAGGGAGCCGCTACCTTACCGGTGAGCCCTCCTCCGCCTTCCTCCCCACAGCCTCTCCTCCTCTGCAGGACGAAGTACCGGTTGGAGCGCTCCAAGACCCACAGCTTCAGCGCGTTCTTTAGCAGCACCTCCTCGGGAGTCAGCCACATTATTGCTGCTTGCAGAGGCAGCTCCGCTCAGCCTTCCATGCCCGCCTCCCGCGCTGCGCGCTGCTCCTCCCGGGCTCCCACGTACGCAGACAGCCGGCCAGAGGCTCCCCGGGAGAGGCAGAGGGAGGGGGCGGGCAGGCGCGCGCGAGCTGCCCGCTGGGGACTGTAGTTCCAAAGGCTGCTCCTCTCCACGCCGTGCGCCTCTGTGGCGCACTACAAGCCCCGGCAAGCCTTGCGCAGCCAGCTTCCCCCCCTCCCAGGGCTGCTGCCTCTCCTCTAAGGGGCTGGCCGCCTTTGCCTTGACAGCTGGAGAGTTGGGGAGGGAAGGTTCCCCCCGCCACCGCACCCCAGCTCCCTCCCTGCTGCTTCTGTTTGTTTTCAAAAAGTGGCCGACTTCTGCGGTTTGTTTCTTGGCTGAAGCCTTCCGGGGAGTGTTGGCCAACTCCGATGAGGTGGTTAAGTTTGCCCCCCACCATGCACGTCCCACGACATTGGCAGGGCTGGATCGTGTGCAGAGGAGGGCGCCCAAGATGGTCAAGGGTGTGCATACCAAGCCTGATGAGGAATGGTTGAAGGAGCTGGGTGTGTTTAGCCTGGATAAGAGGAGACTGAGAGGAGATAATGATAGCCACCTTGAAATATATTAAGGGCTGTCACATGGAGGAGGGAGCATGCTTGTTTTCTCCTGTTCTGGAGGGTAGGACTCGAACAAATGGCTTCAGGCTGCAAGAAAGGAGATTCCGACGAATAGGAATAACTTTCTGACAGTCAGAGCTGTTCCGCAGTGGAACAGACTCCCATGACAGGGGGTGGGCTCTCCTTCCTTGGAGGTTTTTAAACAGAGGTTAGATGGTCATCTGTTTTGTTCTCTTTTTTGTTATTACAGTGGTGCCCCGCAAGACGAATGCCTCGCAAGACGGAAAACCTGCTAGACGAAAGGGTTTTCCGTTTTCAATGTGCTTCGCAGGACGAATTTCCCTATGGGCTTGCTTCGCAAGACGAAAATGTCTTGCGAGTCTTGAGATTTTTTTTCGCTCCCCCCCCCTTTTTCTAAGCCGCTAAGCCTTTAATAGCCTTTTAGCAGCTAAGCCGCTAAGCCTTTAATAGCCGCTAAACCGCTAATAGCGCTAATCTGCTAATAGGGTTGCTTCGCAAGACGAAAAAACCACTAGACGAAGAGACTCGCGGAACGGATTAATTTCGTCTTGCGAGGCACCACTGTACTTGTAAGATGTGGTATTGTTCACTTGCAAAAACCCAATAATTATACAGTGGGACCTCTGGATGCGAACGGGATCCGTTCCGGAGCCCCATTCACATCCTGAAGCGAACGTAAGATGTGACTATGCATCTGCGCGTGCGCGGGTCGCATTCTGCCACTTCTGCGCACGCGCGTGACGTCATTTTGAGTGTCTGCGCATGTGCGAGCGGCGAAACCCAGAAGTTACACGTTCCGTTACTTCTGGGTCGCCGTGGAGCGCAACCCGAAAATATTTAAGCTGAAGCGTATTCATCCCAAGGTATGACTGTATTAAAAATTAGCCCACACTTTTATGTCTTTATTATTATTATTGCCTTTATATGCCACCTTTACTCCAAGGAGCTCAAGGTGACATATTTCCCCCCCCCCCCCCCATTTTGTCCCTCACAACCAGGGGTGCATGCACACAATTTGAATGGCAATGCCCATCAACTTTCGGGGGGGGGGCAGCTGAAGACCCCTTGGCCCCTAGGAGCTGGCTCCTATGTTCACAACAGCATGTAAGGTAGGCCACACATTCTAGTCATAAGGAATCTAGTCCAACCCACACCATTGAAGGATGTCTGCTGCCAGTGATAATAACCCTGCTGACTTAAGAGCAAAGGCCACCTCATTTAGCATTCTCCCCCCCCCCCAACAGTCCTTTCCCTGCTTGTGGCTGTCCTCCATGATATTTCATTGAAGGGCCATATTTTCTCACGTATAATCTTCTGAGGGGGCCACACAGCAATGATGGGCAGTGCCAGCAAATGCAGCCTCTGCCCACTGGTCTTCAAACTGGTGATTCCAGATCTGCTATTCAGTATTCCAGATTGCCATTCAATATACAGTAAAATATCAATAAATTGGTTCCCAAGTGCATGTCTGAAAGCGGGTACAGTGGTACCTCAGGTTACATATGCTTCAGGTTACAGACTCAGCTAACCCAGAAATATTACCTCAGGTTAAGAACTTTGATTCAGGATGAGAACAGAAATCGCGCAGCAGCGGCACGGTGGCAGCGGGAGGCCCCATTAGCTAAAGTGGTGCTTCAGGTTAAGAACAGTTTCAGGTTAAGAACGGACCTCTGGAACGAATTAAGTACTTAACCCGAGGTACCACTGTACTGGGTCTGAGAAGATTGAAGATACCTGCATTTAGACTACCCTCCAGCCATGCAGGCATGCAAGCCACCAGGTTTAGCCACAGCACTTGAGAGCATGGAGCATGCCCACTGACGGTTGCATCCTGGGGAGAGTCTCAAGGGCTAGAGAGGCCCATGTTAGTGGGGCAGGAGAGCTGAAAATAATGCCAATATTTTTCACTTCTGGCAACCAATGTGCCCCCTTTGGTTTCAGATAGTATGTGGTAAGCAGAGTCTAAAAAGCCCGGGACACAAATTTTCACGGCCCTCTAGTGGCTTTGGTGGCTCATTTACCAGAATTAATGTATTTAGTGTTAATTCTGGAAGTATATACAGTGGTACCTTGGGTTAAGTACTTAATTCGTTCCGGAGGTCCGTTCTTAACCTGAAACTGTTCTTAACCTGAAGCACCACTTTAGCTAATGGGGCCTCCTGCTGCTGCCGCGCCGCTGCACGATTTCTGTTCTCATCCTGAAGCAAAGTTCTTAACCCGAGGTACTATTTCTGGGTTAGCGGAGTCTGTAACCTGAAGTGTATGTAACCCGAGGTACTACTGTACTCAATTCTGACCAAACTAAGCCTCCTAGAGCAAAAATACATTGGGGGGTAGGGGCTTAGTTTGGTCCAAATCAAGTATACACACTAAATACAGTGGTACCTCGGGTTACATACGCTTCACGTTACATACGCTTCAGGTTACAGACTCCGCTAACCCAGAAATAGTACCTCGGGTTAAGAACTTTGCTTCAGGATGAGAACAGAAATCGTGCTCCGGTGGTGCACCACTTCTGGTAAATGAGCCACCATAGCCACTAGAGAGCAGTGAAAATTTGTGTCTCAGCTTTTTAGACCCCTCTACCCATGCACTATCTGAAACCAAAAGGGCACATTGGTTGCCAGGTGTGAATTGTTCTTTCCAGCTATCCTACCCCAGTATATCGCCATATTTGGCTCCCAGGTGTGATGTTCCCCCACCCCTAGGCTAGAACTCTGGATTAGGCCTAGGAGACCAGAGTTCAAGTCCTGACTCAGAAAAAAATGCTCACTGCATGATGTTGGGGCCAGTCGCTGTTCCACAGCTTAACCTACCTAGATGAGGGTGGAGAGAACCATGTACAACTCCTTGTCGTAAAAGTGGGATACGAATGTATTAGTAAGTAAATAATCCCTTTTAAACATCATCTAAGGAGGCATCAGCCATGTGTGGCAACAAATTCCATAGCCTTTGTGTGCGTGCGAAGGCCTCCCTTCTGTCCTGAAGCTTCTTGCTTAGATATTTTAAGGCAGAGGCATCCTGCCAGAAAACAACTTGGGCACCTTATTTCCTTTGGGGGAAGAAAAGGCCATAGCACATTGGGAAAGTGTGGACAGAGGAGTTCAAAACCTTGTTCAACCACCCAAAGGCTCAGTGGGGTTTACCATCAGGCCTTGGCCATGTCGCTCTCTCTCAACTTAACCCACCTCAGAGGAAATCTTTCTAGGACAGAGTTTATTCCACTTTATCCCGAGCCTAATGGAAGAAGGGTATTAGAAAAGCAGCTAAGTGTTCCTGCAAGGCTAAGGGGAGAGGTTTTGTTTTTAGAATAGCTAATTGCCCATAGTTGTAAGGGAGAACTAATGCAGAAAAGCCAGAACCTAGATACAGGTAGAATTGAAACCTGCACAATATATATACTGACATATATAATGGTACCTCGGTTTTCGAGTGTCTCAGAAGCCAAACGTTTCAGTTTTCGAACACCGAAAACCCAGAATGGCTTCCGTTTTTGAACACGCCTCGGAAGTCGAACGGCTTCTGTTGAGTGTTTTTCAGTTTTTCCAATTGAACTTGCAGCCAGCCCTTTGCGCCTCGGTTGTCAAACGTTTTGGAAATTGAACTGTCTTCCAGAACGGATTATGTTTGAGAACCGAGGTACCACTGTACACGCTTAATCATATTAAATATTGATGCAGTGCAAAATTCTGTACTTTAAAAAATGAAACCTAAGAGCTTGTGAGTTGTCTAAATACTTTCAGGGTCACTGGCAGAAACACTGGAAGGTAGAACAGCTTACCTAGGCAACTAAGAACAACATACATTTTCCTCCCCTCACACCCCAAAGGAAGTCTTTTAAAATAAGAACAGTGAAAACTTAACATGCAAGGTAAAAGTCCTGGGATATATCTGACCATTAAAACAGCACCACCACACCCACCAAAACAAGAAACCACCAACACCACTGCCTCAAAACAAGTTTTTGCATCAAGGTGCTGCTGAGCAGGTCTCTAAACCTTGGCATGGTTTATTTGGAAGGTAATTTAATACCTGCTTTCACAATCTACTGGGAAGTCCCATTTCACTAATCCTTCTTTTGAAACATACCAGCTACTTCCTCTTTCATCCATGCTTGTGGCATCCTAAGTGCAATAGGAGGAGCCCAGTGGTTGTTTTTTTTAAAGCGAAAGCAGTATCAGTGATCTTATGGCAACAGCAAGCCAGACATGCCCTCCTTTTGCAAGTGAAGCTAGCAATTTTGCAACAAGCTGCTTCTCCCCCCCCCCCCCGCCCCAAGCAACCATTTAGCAACTCTCTTTACTAGCAGAGTTAGATTTCTCCAACCTTTTAAACTAATGGACCATTAGGCCTGGATGTTGCTGTGGATTTCCTCACGTGAACCGTTATGTTAGCTAAACTTTGTTCTTGACACTGTATAGTGTTTCAAGGCCCAGTAAGTACAGAGAAAGTTAATCAGTTTGCAGCAACATGATTTACAAAAAGAGCAATTCCAATTCAAGCACCAAAATTAGTAATTTGTTAGACTTACAGCCTACACCATCCTAAAGATGCATAACACAGGGATATAATCTCCAGCAAAACAAGTTAATGTCCATCATATGAAGTAATCTCTTTACATCTGTCTTTGGACTGATTTTCAGGGGCTACTACATAAGGGGATGCATCTCCCAGGTGGATTTTCCTGAATAACTCTCGCATGTTAGCATGGGGTACAGACATTTCTGTCCCAAAGGGGCCAGAGGTGGTGGACCAGAACTGGAAAAAGGCACTGCTGGCCACAAAGCCTACCCAGGCCAGCAATGGGTGTTGAATCTAGGGGTATCTCAAGCTGCCAAGCTGCTCCTTCCAAGGGAACGCAACCCTGTCCAAAAGAGGCTATCTCCTGGATGCAGCAACTCAGGTCCATAACAGCTGTCCCTTCAGGATCAAGTACAAGTGGTTAGGCAACTGAGCCTTCTCCCATCCAATATCATTAAAATATATATATTCACCCTTAATATAGTCCTCATAACAGTAGCATCTTGCTATCTGTTATCTCCCTGTTGCAGCTGTGCCAGTTAGTCTCTCTCCATTGCTGAAGGCACACAAGTCTTATATACTTGAGATTATTACACATTAAGTTAACAAGATGGAGGTTATTTAACACTCTTAACCTTCTGAGGTTCCCCATGACGATGATGATGATGGTGGTGATGCTGATGTCATTCAAAGAGAGTTAGACTCTGAGACAAACCTGCTTATAACACAACTGCTTTTATTTATCAAAAATAAGGGAACATCCTAAATGGGCATTAGAACAGCGTCATTTACATTTTGTATCCAACGCGGTGTTCTTGTTTTTAATAGAAATCAAATATTTACAGCTTTATTCAACATGATGCAAAAATGAGGAGGGGAAATGTACTGTTTTCTCCTGTTAAAAATCAAAACGTTAAAAAAACACAAACGAGAAAAAACACACAAAAAAGGCCACTTCTGCTAGTGCTAGCCATTAGAAACAGAACCACAGGAGATGCAAAATAAACAATAAAGTGCATTATTCACTTTAGCAGATGAGTGGATGAAGTTCCACGCTCCATCCTAAGGCACCCTGAGTACCCCCCCACTTAGCTTCATATCCAAATTGCTGTCTCACAAATCAGAAAAAAATAATAACAAAAAGTTCACCCATTCAGTAATTGCCATCTTAGCCATGTTCTCACCCGACCAACACCATTTGGGAACATTCATTTAACTGTTCCTTCAGAACAATGGCAACAAAAATTCCCTCTGAGTTAGAAATCTTCAGCCTTCATAAAGGCTAAAAGCAGCAATATCCAAAGTGGACAGATTTCTGGGCTACGCCCGTGTGTTTGCACCAGTTAATTGTAGTCCACAGTAACCTTTGGTGAAGTGTACGACTGTATGTAGCTATTTTTTTTTCCTGTATAACGTGCAGATTAAAGGCATCTTAACTTTTTAGTCAAGGACAGCTCAAGCATTTTTGCAAATTTTAACCCTCAAATCCCATAGAGTAGGTGCAGAAAATTCCTGATATATTTTAAAGGTACATCTGACTGGTCCCAGTAATTTAATAAATCAAGAGATGCTGCACTGACTATAAGGCCACTCTTGTGGTTTTATATATAAAAAAATACTTAACCTAGGCTCATTAAAATGAAAAGAACACGCCCTACTAGTTAACTAAAAACATACGTTCATAAGAAAGCTAACTATGAGACTTAAAACAAGCTAATTCAAAACCAAAATGAAACAAATGAAATTATACTGTATCAAAAGTAGCTGAGCTCAAATGGCTTTGTGTTAAGATTCTGTCTTCCTTGTTTGCACTAAAAAAAAACTTCCTCACAAATCTGTACTCGAGAGTACTAAAACTAATCCCACAAGAAAATAAGTAAATGGTCAGGTCACTCAATTTAATTGCAACCTTAAAAATTTATCTCAATATCAAAGCAAAATTGCTGCTACAACAGTCTTATCGGTTCTGTCGTTGTTTGATGCTGGTTATGTCAAGTAGATAGCAGATGCTGCAAGAGCTGCTTAGGCTTTCTCTTCACGTACTTCTCCTTCGTCAGCCTCAAAACCTGGATTGTCCAGGTGTGGAAGGACATCTACAGGTGGAGGTTCAGTTGTGTTGTTCACAAGTTGCAGGTTATCACCTTTTACAAAGAAAGGGAGGGGGAAATAAGTTTGGGGAAAAAATCCCACTCAATCACAACTTACCAAGTTTATATTTTTGAGACATTTCTATGCCTTTGGAAAGTCGGTTCCAAGAAGTTATGCTAAATTGGCTCTTTTCTGAAGCTTTCAATTTGGGCTCTGTTTTGGCAACATGTCACTTTTCCACCCCACAAGTTGCAAGCCCGCTAGTAGAGCATAAGTGTCACAGAGAAGGAGCAGCAAGCACTATTGAAATTTCACCAGAGGGGCCTGAGGCAAGCCAATTAACAACGGATATACAGTGGTACCTTGGGTTATATACGCTTCAGGTTACAGACTCCGCTAACCCAGAAATAGTGCTTCAGGTTAAGAACTTTGCTTCAGGATGAGAACAGAAATCATGTTCCGGCGGCGCAGCGGCAGCAGGAGGCCCCATTAGCTAAAGTGGTTCTTCAGGTTAAGAACAGTTTCAGGTTAAGAACAGACCTTCCTGCTACTCTCCGACCCGGGTTGGAGGCTGGCAGGGGGGAAAGCAGCGCTTCCCCCATCGCCAGCCCCAGAGGATGGGGGGCAGCGGAAAGGCGTGTGACGCCTTCCCGCTACTCTCCAACCCTCCTGCGGGCTTTTGTGGGAGATGGGGGAATTCCCCCACCTCCTACAAAAGCAGGCAAAAGCCGCACACTCTTTAAAGGGGCTCCGCGGCTTCTGCTGGCTTTTCTAGGAGGTGGGGGAATTCCCCCACCTCGAAGAAAAGCCCGTAGGAGCCGCACAGCCTTTAAAGAGCGCGCCGCTCTTGGGGGCTTTTCCCCGAGGAGGGAGAAGGGACTGACTGGCCATTTCAGTCTCTTTTCCCTCCTGGTCGAAAAGCCCATAGGAGTCGCGCACGGCTCCTGTGGGCTTTTGCGGGAGGTGGGGGAATTCCCAGAGCTGCGGGGGGGGGGGGGGGAAATCATATTTTTTCCCTTGATTTCCCCCCCTGAAAACTAGGTGCGTCCTATGGGCCAGTGCGTCCAATAGGGCGAAAAATACGGTAAGTACTTAACCTGAGGTACCACTGTATCGAGTACAAGTTTTTGTTTTTTTTAAAAAAGAATACTTAGCTATGTGAAGCTTTAAAGCAATACAAAACTAAATTGAAGCCAATATTAGAATTGTTGCCTCTAGAGACAATGGAATGTGCCCCTGGGGGTGAAGTCAAACTGCAGCACCAAAGTGATCTCTCCGGGGTGCAAGTCTGGGCAGTATGTCTGGAGGTCCTGGGCTGCCCAGCCAACAATACCCCTGTCTTGGCCTCGCTGATGTGGTCCAAAGGAAAGCACAGCAATATGTTCGGCACCAGCTTGGAAACCCTATGAGATATTTCACATGTAGCATCTGTGTCCATTGAGTCCATGAGTATGACAAAGTTAACTAACAATAGAAGAAACTTGACCCCTGACTGTTTTTATGTACAGTGGTACCTCGCGTTACAAACACTTCGAGTTACAGACTCCGCTAACCCGGAAGTAGTACCTCAGGTTAAGAACTTTGCTTCAGGATGAGAACAGAAATCATGCGCTGGTGGTGCAGTGGCAGTGGGAGGCCCCATTAGCTAAAATGATACCTCAGGTTAAGAACGGTTTCAGGTTAAGAACGGACCTCCGGAACGAATTAAGTTCGTAACCAGAGGTACCACTGTACTTGCGATGTAGAATCAGTATTTAATCATTTTCCCAGGTGCGTATATAACCAGGCAACTTTTTGAGTAGTACCACCATTAGCTGTAACCCTGCCACCTTAATGCAGTATTTTTGTCAGCAATGAAGTATTTTAAGTGGGCACAATCTGCTAAAAAAGGGAAGAGCTCCAAGGCTCATGTTGGAGGACTGAAGAGAATACACTGGAGTTTACTGGATGTGAACCTCCAGAAGGTGGCAGCAAACACTAGTATTTCTTCATCATTTTTAACGCATGCCTGCAAAAGCTTAGGGTTCACACTCCAGTGCAGATAATTTAAAAATAAATAAATCATGTCCTTTATGATTGGAACAGTGAAGTATGCAATTACTAGTGATATGAAGTGCACAATTGCTCTGCATTGCATTGTACTTTGTACTGTTGTTTAATGTTACCATAAAAACATAAGACTCAGAAGTGCTACTGTACAGCCATTAAAATACTTACTTTCTGAAGGGGCCACTTCCTCTTGAACCGGCTCGTCATTCCCCTGGACAGAAGCATATCCAGATGATCCTGTCTCACTAGGATTCTCCTCATCGGTGTGCAAAGGCATGTTAGAGGGTTCGTTGGAGACAGTGGCTGGGAGAGACTCCGCTCTCTCCTCTTCATCCACCTGCATCACACAGACTTAATGTCAGGGAGCCACTACTGTAAAGATGCCACTATTTCTAACTGCCAGCTATCCTCCCACCCTTTTCATGTATCGCTGCTGTTAAGCGCTTTGCAAAAGTTGGGATGTTTTAATGCCCCACAATGTAGCTGCAAATGTATTAATTATATATAGATTTTATGGCTGTAAATGACTTAGAAACTGTTTTGGGCAGTATATAAAGAAATAACGCAAAGTTGCTCAGTGCTGACAAGCCAGCCTGGAACACAATGAGGAGATGCATATGAAATATGCATATTTTGTTTAGTAAATTGGTGGTGGAGGAATTTGTCTCACTGCACCTTTCATTGGGCCCAAATGCCTTCACAAACTTACTACAGCAGCCAAATGTTCAGTTAAGCTGCCGCCTCCTGTCTAGAAGCAGCAGCAAGCCACATGATTCTTAAGCAGGAACTGCAGAGGTACCTCAATTCCCAGTGCCTTGAGTATGTCACATTTACACATGGGGCATGTCCTGTGCTCCAGCAGCCAAGGATCAATGCACATCTTGTGGAAGAGATGACTGAAAAGGAAAACAAATATTTGTAATGTGACTCAGCAGGTTACAGTAAAACAGTGCTTGCTGAAAAAGAAGAAGTTTGAAGCGAATGACATTGTTCAGGAGTGGCCCAGAACCTCAGGTAAATACCCTAAGCCACACAAACACTAAACCATGAAGCGTTTGCCTTTTAGTGATACAGCAGCATCTTATTGGGAGAAAAGAAACTGCACAAGCTTTGTGGAATTTTGGGGAAGTGGGGAAACATGCGTAGCTAGGATGCAAACTTGTTGATACAGAACCTTGATGGGAAACTTTGGCTCCGAGTAGGGAAAGGGCTCTGTGTGCTCACATGGAGGGTGTGCTCACAGGAGGGTGTTTTGAGTGTCTGCATGTCTGTATGACAAGACCTAGAACAAGTATAAGGGACCTCTGACCCTCCAAATGATGCTGAACTTCAACTCCCATTCTCCCTGGCCACGCACCATGCTTGCTATGGCTGATGGGAGCTGTAGTTCAGCAGCACTTGGGAGAGCCACTCCTCACCCAGAGACAGCAGAGACAAAGATGTAGGGCAGCCCACCACTAGGGAACTACAGAGGACTACTTCTACATTCTACTTCCCTATTCAGCTTCCCACCCTTGTAGACTCTCAGCTGATACCACAGAGCTACAGAATGCCACTGCAGGCTCCTCTTCTCTGGTTCCTCTTTATGGCATTCCGTGCGCCTGAAGAAAATGGTTTTGCTTTTGAAAATTAGCCCTGTGTGCGCGCGCAGGAGTGTTCATGAGTTTGCCGGTTTCCATTTCAGTTTTGATATTAATCTGTCTGCCGTTTAAGGTGGTTAATCTGTCTTTAGTCCCCACTTTCGGAGCAGGACTAAAATAGCACATGCAGAATGCTAGGAGAAAATGGACTTCAGTAATATGCAAACGGGCTGACTTGCATCAGAGCATCTTAACAATTTCTCCACCCGTCAGAGGCTTCCACCGAGCTATCCACATGTTGTCAAGATGTGAAGCCATGGTCATTTTCTAAGCACTGAAAAAGTGTAATGCAGCCTTAATGTATAGCTACTTTTTTTTACAAATACTACGCATGAACTGCTAATCCGTTAAAAACATTGTCTCTTTCAGATTTCGTTTATGTGCATGCACCTGATTAAAGGGAGTGCAGAAGTCATTCAAGACATGTGCAACAAGTCATACACTTTGCCACAGGGTATGGTTTTGCTGACATGGTTCGTCTCAGTGAGTAACATGGTACTCCTGAACTTTTGATAGCAGAGGCACACTAACACCCAAAAACTTTTACTTGTGGAATGTGCAAGAGAAAGAACAAGTTCAGTCGTTCTGTGTCTGCATTACTCATTTTCTAGGCATGCCTCCTTCTCATGGTGGGCAATACTGCCACATCACTGCACAGGGAGTGACAGAATGATTGAGTGGCATCCAATGCAGACACACAGTAGAACTACCTTAGCTGACTGGAAGGAAGAGAATGCTACAACACTCTTGTGGCAGGCTAGTGTGCTCAACAGAGTGTGGAAGTTACTGAGTTGGCCAGTAGCTACAGGGGCAGGTTTACAAATTCTAGGAAACAAATAATATCTGTCACTATTTAAAAGCTCTCTTTTCTACATATGGTAATTTTGTTAGTGAAAATTTTACTTAATTAAAAATTACCAAACAATTGAAGCAAGTTTTCTTTTATGAATTTGCAGCTAAAATATTTACCATTCTTGAGTGCGCTCAAGGTTTTTTGATTCTTGTTTTGGTATAACCACCAATCTGCTGCCTTAATTCTCACCCCCATCAATGTCACATCTGCCAGTTCTTTTAAACATACTCAGCCAAGGCCTTGTGCCCTATCGCTGCATCAAATTGTTGCTGCGATACACCAGAGATGCAACATCATTGCTCAAAGCCAACTGCTCATATAATCCTTGGTTCCTTTTAAAAGCTTAAAGCCTTAATCCTTTGAAAACATTCAAGGTCTTGGAATTAAAGCATGATAGTAAATCAGGCAGCTGTAAACCAAGTAGCTAGAGCAAAGCTAGCAGGTAAATTGTCAAGTTAGCTAAATCAGGTTCCATCTGTAAAGTGCAGTAAAAGTTGTTGTGTTTGTTGTTTATTCAGTTTATATACCACCCTTTATCTGAAGATCCCAGGTAATAATTTACATAGCGTAATAATAATTTTTTAAAATCATAGAAAAAATTTTAACAGTCCCTTTTAAAAGACCATAGATTGTTTAACAGCCGAAGGCCTGGGTAAAGGGCAATGTTTTCATCTGGTGTCTAAAGTTATGAAGTCATCACCACCACCATCATACTTTTCCTTCCCTACTCACAAACTGCCAGCAGCAAATGGGAAAAAGAAGATTAACAGGGGTTCAGGTGAACTTTTACTACTTTTTCCACAATGCGCATCCCTGAGTCAGCAACCCTGTGCTACTCATAAAATGAAGGTATGCCTTGAGCTACAGACAAGCTGCTATGTAGTATAAATGCCTCTGGCAGCAAAGCTATCTGGCTTGCCTGAAAGATTATTTGGGCTGGAAATTTTCATCATTGTGTTTTAGAAGCTAGGTTTCAACAGGAGATACAATAAAGGAAGTTCCTGAACTGCCATAAACATCACACCTATAAGAATCCTCCTTTGGGAAGACGCCCAATGATGCCAGCAAATAACTGGACTCCTGTGCAAACCCAACTTGAGAGCTGTAGAAATACAGTATGAAATACAGTATGAAATAAGCCCTCACAATCCTACCTTTTTGCATTTACTTCCTGGCTCTCCTGGCAGAAGAACATGATTGAGAGCAGGGGAGGCCCATGCGATGCTTTCCAGATGTTGTGGGTTCTAACTATGTTCACTGAAGAGTAAGAGTTGTAGTCCACAACATCTAGAGAACAACATGTTGGCAGCACCCACTGATCTACAGCTTTGGAAAGTTAACACTAACCCTGCTCATCTGAAGAGTGGAATAAAATAAATAAAAGCCTTTACAACTTCAGTGTATATAAAGAGGGATGAAGACAGACATGACAAAATGGTCAGAATGTTTTAGCATGAGAATGTAACTGGGGGGTGGGGAATTAACCTACTTGCACGTTAAAATTCGCACAACATCATTTGGCTTGTACACTTCAATGCACACAGCACAGGTATCAGCATCAGCACCGGTTTCCTAAAGAAATGGAAAAAAAAACATCCTTGTTAGAGACCTTTGTTTTAAACAAGCATGATAGCATTTAGCAAGTGTGGTAGTCACAAAACAGGGAGTGGAACACTAGACTTGCAGTATTCCAAAATACTATTCTACAGTTGTGGTGAGTTTTAAGAATACATTTTTGCTTTTTATCTCCAGAGCGTTAAGGGTAACAATATCTACAAGACAATCTACAAGACAACAATATCTACAATATCTTTAGCAAAAAAGAAGACCAAAATATATGTAATGGAATCTATTCCATCAAAGCTATTTTACTTTTGCAGTCTTGTAGAATTCAGTCTAATATAAAAATACTGCAAAAAGCCAAAGTTGAAGCATAGCCTTTCAGTGTTCCTCCTCCAAACAAACTATAAATGTTGTCTATCATTTCCACCCAACCTTTAAGTAAGGACTATTCAACGGCGTTTAAAAATGTGCAAAGCAGTTTTAACAGGCTCTTATCCTTTTATACCTATTTGGGAAATTCATGGCTACAAAAACATCTCTTTGCTGCGGATAAAGAGGGGTCACAAACTGACCTAGTGTGATATTAATCTTTCTGTATTATAAAACAAACAATTTCTGCATGATTATATTAGGAATGTCATTAGGATTAACAAAATATTTTAAGACCAAGGGGAGTTCTAAGTAAGCAGTTTTATACCTATGGGGCACTCAGAGGAGCTTCACAGAATAAGAAAAGTAGAACAAAAATTATTTTTTTAAAAATCCCAAGAGATTTAAAATGTTACCATAACTAAAAAGCAGCAACCTAAAATGCAAACGTGGCAACAGGAGAATATTAAACACTAGCTACTTGCTGAAGTTTCCAAATTACTGTGAAGGTAGGTCAGAGAATGTGCACGGATTTTCAGCAGGATATTCTAGAGCATGTTCAGGCTTGAGTCTCCAGATGTTGAACTACAACTCCCAACATCCCCAGTCAGTTTAGCCAATGGGTGAGTGATGATTAGTTTTAGCCCAGCAACATCTGGCTATCCTAGGTTGAAGAGCACTGTGGCATCACCACTGACAGTTTTTGTCTTTCATGTTCTCCCAACAGACATCCCAATATGATGGGACAGGGAGAAAGAAACTCAAAGTTGATCTTAAGATCTGGTATGTGGGGAACCTTTGGCTCTTCAGATGTTGCTGAATATAGCTCCCATTATCTCTAGCCATTAACAATGCTTGCTGGGGCTGATGGGAGGAATTGTAGTGCAGTAACATTTGGAGGGACCAAAGGTTCCCTACACCTTGCCTAGCAAGTCTGCATGGGAACAGAGGGTCCTTAAGATAGCTAGGCCCTAATAAGATAGGAGTGCCTGGCGTGCTCTGGTCCATGGGGTCACGAAGAGTCGGACACGACTAAACGACTAAACAACAACAACAATAAGACAATTTAGGGGCTTTAAAGGCCAAGACAAGCACTTTAAATTGAGCTCAGAAACAGGAAACCTTCAAACAATATGGGACTGGAACTATATAATCCAATTGATGGTGCCAGACACAACTCACTTCTTTGTATGTGGACTGAAGATTAAGGTATAATTTTGATAGAGGGCTATATACATATAATTTTGTGTATTATTATTATTATTATTATTATTATTATTATTACTACTACTACTATCATTACTGGTGTTGTCTATGTTTCTTATCTCTCTGTTCTGTCCGCCCCACCTTTTCTTTTTCTGTTCTCTTTCTCCTTTCTTTCTTGTCTTTTTGATTCTATTTGTTCCAGATACAGTGAACGCTCGGGTTGCAAACGTGATCTGTGCAGGAAGCACGTTCGCAACCCACAGCACCGTGTCTGCGCATGTGCAGGTTGCAATTCAGCGCTTCTGCGCATGAGCAAAACGCTTCTGCGCATGCGCTGAAACCAGGAAGTAACCTGTTCCAGTACTTCCAGGTTCGGCACGGTGCGCAACCCAAAATCGCACAACCTGAAGCGTCTGTAAACCGAGGTATGACTGTACTATTTTATTGTATTGTGAAAACTTTAATAAAAATCTTGGTGGGGCGGGGAGAGAGACACAAGTCTGGCTGCTATATTTTGGAGTAGCTGAAGGTTGGGCTGTTTTTAAAGGTTGCCTTATGGGGAAAGCATTGAAGTTGTCTGTTCTGGAAGAAACTAAAGTGTGGTTAATGGAGGTAAGTTAGTCTTTGGAGAGGCCAAAGGAGGTAAGTTAGTCTTTGGAGAGGCCAAAAGCAGAATAGTAGTACAGAGTTGGTAGAAGGGTCTACAGGCCACTGCCAACAGCCGAGCACTCAAAGAAGGTGACAGGCCTGAGAACCTGCCAAATTGTTCCATCAGTAGAAGCGCAACCCCATCCAGAGCACCATGAACCACTTTCTCTCAGTTACATTACCTTGTCTCCCTGCTTCAGTGTACGTAACTGAAGCTGTCCAATGGCTTTTTTGGCATCTGCTTTCAGCCGTCTCTGTAACAGACAAGCACTAGGTCAACACGAAACCTGCTCTCCCATAAAAATCTATAAACACCAACTGCTACACAATTCATTAACGTTGAATGAGGTGTTTCCATAGGCAGATGGATAACTCTTGCCTAACAGTGGCAACCGGAAGATAATTATGAGCCAAGATATGCATGGATGTTTAACTGAAGTGTTTATTTAGCATTCCTAAAGAACATTGGAGTTTATTTAGCAGGCAATGCTTGCTTGCCTCTAAAGACTAAAGGACATCAAAGTTCTCAAACACAATTCCAATGTTTTCAGAAAGTACTTCTCATTAAAGTATTAAAAAGTCCTGTGGAGACTGAACACCCCCCCACACACACTTGTTTCAGAATCTCTAATATTCCTTGCATTGACCTCTTGTTGGCTATACACAAAACAGATGCAAACAGGATCTTTTTGTTCCAGTCATTCGCTTGCAATCACACTCTTGCAAGTCTCTACTGTGTGTTGAACTAAGCCTGTATATCAGTTAAACAAAGTCACCCACCGCCCTTAGCTTGTTTGAAGCAATTTCTAATTGGAAAGGGGAAACGTGTGCATTTGATCTAATCTGGAAAGCTGCAAGCTTTTCTATTCTCTTAATGACAGGAATACTCAAGTATCATGGAGTCTGGTTTGAAATGCACAAATGCATCCTAGCCACCAATCAACTGGAATATTGTGACTCTCTTCCATTTAGCTGATAAGGAAATTGTTACTAAATTTATCGCCCCACCCTTCACCAGCAGGTACAGTAGTAGGGTGTTTACAACAATGTAAAAATTTAAAACAGTTAAAGCACATTACACTCAGAGGAATAGGCTGGGTCACAGTTGCCACAATGTCAGAAATGAAACTGGATAGGTGGCATTCTCCTCCTCAGCCAACAGAGACTGGCAGATGAGCACAGGCAAGCTAATCAAGTAACTCCTATTGTCCTCAATTTCTGTTTCAGTAGGCCAGCTCCAATCAAAGCTCTGCTTAATTGCCAGGAATGCTACAGCCTTACAGCCTAACTCACCAGTCTTTTATCAAAGCTGACACAAACCACTCCCAGATCTGCTCTGATCGGACACAAGCCATAGAACAGGAAAAGATGCTAAAAGAACAAGGAAGTTGTTCTCAAGCCTCATTAATCTGATGCTCAAAAAGCTTCAAGGAAATAGTAAGCAATATTTGAAAGAGCATCATATTAGGAGCTTTTGGAAGCCTACAAGATCTGCTGGCAACAGGTTTCCAAAACATGCAGGCGCTGAGGTGTTCAGGATATTTGCAAAATAAATTCCTATATGCATGCTGATGCAGTCTTCCCTGCAAGTTGCTTCTTGGTTTCTAGCACCTCTCCTAAAACCAAAAGCCAACAAGCAAACACAAAGGCAACCAATCACCTATGGGTTCACTGCTTAAATTTGCCACTAACATTAACTGAATATACAAGATGAGGTCCTTCCCTGATACAAGAAGAGTCTTTCAGTGGCATGTGGCAGAATGGAAATTGTCTCTCATTTACTTAGAGATTAATTGTCATAATGAGCCCTAAAGATTCACATCCTTTTAGGAGGCTATAAATACTGATGAGCCACAATGAATACATTTTTGCACAAATACGACTCATTTATCATCACAACTCGTTATTTCAGCTAGGTTGGTAAGAAGCAAGGGAAAGGCTGTAATTAGGCACTAGAAGAACCTGAATGGTAGATGCCTGCAGTCGGTCACACTGCTGTCTCTCAAAGAGGAGCCCAACCCATTTAGGATGGGGAGGGCACTACAAATTGGACACTTGGCCTTGGCTCCTATCATTGGAAAGATGTGGTACCAGGAACAGCTGCTCTTACTCCTGCAGTAACTGAAAAGATACTGTTTGAGCATTTCCTGGCAAAAACACATCAAAGAACGCCAGGCATTCATTAACAGCCCTTGAAGAGTAGGTGACTGCTCGATACCTACATATATAAAAAAAGAACATAAGTTAGAAGGTAATTGATTTTCAAGAGAGGAGCTTATTACAACGAGGTTATTTTCAGCCAGACCAAACTGATCAGTTAAAAAAAATTATCACAAGGCAAATACCCTTCTCTGTCTAAAAATCAGGAAGCCTGAACAGTGTAAATTTCATCTGCCAAGCAAGAACTCTAGTCCCTGTTGTGGTTTCTATTTCCCACATTAGATATTGCATGAATAGAATGCTTGAGAGGGGAACTTAATTACCAACACAGAATATGCAGACTAGCTAGGAAATACTAAAGAAACACAAAATAAGTGGGAATATTTTATCCCTTTCAGCCTCTCATCATGATAATGCTAGGCATACAAAAGAAACTGTTATGCAGTTGTAGCAGTGAAATCTACCATAAGCATTCAGATTTCAGTAGAATAGAGGTGTGGAGATGCAGAAAGAAAAGCCAAATGAAACCACTAGTACATTTCCTATACTGGTGCCTTTATAGGCAAAGGAGTCCAAAAATTAGTAGGAGGTAGTCTAAGTACTTCACATCCCTATCACCTCTCAGTGATCAAGCTAACCTCCCTTGTCCAAGATAAACGACTGGGCTTGTCAACTTTTGGGGGCCTGTGGGTACCTCTGGATTAGGATTGATGTCCTAATCAATTTTCCTTCCCCTATCTTCCCTGGAACTTTTTGCATATAAATTAAAGTATATTGCAATAATTGCTAGTCTTTATTGATGCCCCCAAATAAACTTTCCATATGTTCCCATGCCCAGTGGCAGTCCTTACTTGCTATCGTCAAGTAGCTATAAAACTACAATAGGCATTCCCGGTTGTCACATCCTACCCCTTGTAGCGGGATGCGGGTGGTGATGTGGTCTAAACCACTGAGCCTAGGGCTTGCCAATCAGAAGGTTGGCGGTTCGAATCCCCGCGATGGGGTGAGCTCCCGTTGTTTGGTCCCAGCTCCTGTCAACCTACCAGTTTGAAAGCACGTCAAAGTGCAAGTAGATAAATAGGTACCGCTCCAGCGGGAAGGCAAACCGTGTTTCCTTGCGCTGCTCTGGTTTGCCAGAAGCCACTTAGTCACGCTGGCCACACGACCCGAAAGCTGTAGGCCGGCTCCCTCGGCCAGTAAAGCGAGATGAGCGCTGCAACCCCAGAGTCGTCCGCGACTGGACTTAACTGTCAGGGGTCCCTTTACCCTTTACCTTTACCCCTTGGAGCACCCAGAATCACATTATATGAAGAATTCACTTTCCATATAAGGAACTTCAATCAAGTATTTAAACCATCTATTTATTAGAAGCACAGCTGATTGGGAAACTGGGAGGCAGCTTATATATTGTATCCACATTGCTTACTGGGCTTTGCATGGGTGATAAAGAGCTCTAGAGAGACTACTAGACTAATTAGCAATTCCCTGCATAGACTTTGAAAATCCAAGACAACACTCTCAATGTGTAAACATCACAGAACAGAGCTAACTTGTTTAGTTAATGAGATTCAAGCCTCCTTCTTAAGTTGCATATAAAGAGGTGAATCCACCATTTAAGGCTCATGGAACCATGATTAATCTTAGCATAGATTTTATGTAGCATGCTGGCAGAAGTGAGTTGTGATAAACAGCAGCAACTGACCCCCTGAACCCAGCGTTTTCTACACACCTGAGAAAAGTAAGCTTTAGCAAATGTCTTCACATGTCTTGAGGAGTAGGGGGGTACATTTCGCCATAAACATGAGGCTGTGAGAGAACCAGTGTCTACTAACAAGCAGAGGCAAGTGAGAGCAAAAATACTGGGACAATAAAGCCCAGAAAATGCCCTGTTGGGTCAAACGAAAGGCCCATCTAGTCTAGCATGCTGTTCTCAGTATTGAACCAAAGGCCGATGACATGTGTGCATCAGAGATTCCCAGCAAGTGGAATTCAGAGGCATCCTTCTGCCATCCTGCGAGGGACTATTACTGAGACATCCATAAGTCCAGAACATTGCCTGTAGGGCCTCAGCTGCTAAAGCAAGATCAACTATAGCATGCTGGAGCACTTAGCATATGTTATGTCAGTGTTACATCAGAAGGCCAGTGTTGATTTTGCTATGTAAATTGGCACATCCAGACTCTCCAGTGAAGAATGCATATGAGAAACTCACCTGTCTCCTGTTCTGGGCCCTTGCAAGTCTAAGCCTCCTTGCAGAATAGAATATAAAGTACCCGACAGTGGCTGCTGTGACGATGAAGAAAGACACAGAAACAAAGAAGATGGAGTAGTTATTCATCCATGATCCGTGTTTTTTCCCCACTTCAATAACCATGGTCACTTGGTAGCCTTGTTCCAGCCTACGGAGGATTTCAATGCCTTTTGAATGGCTAATCATAATGGCCACAGTGTTTCCCGTACCTGTGAGAAAAAGACAGAGGTCTGAGAGTTAGATTTCCCTACCAAAGTTGAGTATTAACCTATAAAAGCCCATTTAGTATTCTATATCTTGTTCTCCTTTAATTTTAGGCAATATATGTAAGTCAGGACAGTTGCCTTGAATGAACAACTATGGCAGGCATGTCCAACTTTCAAGAGACTGCAATCTACTAAAAAAACTGGCAGTGGTATATCCATTAAATTGACCAAAGTTTTTAAGGTTTTTTTGGGGTGGGTGGCAGGTCCCACAACTGACCACGATCAACCCCAGACCCCCCCAATCAGATTGTGATTGACCTATTGGACACCCCTGAACTATACCCTCCTGGGTATAGTTTTTATGGGATCTGCTCCTGGATTTGTTGGAGGGCGCACATGGTTTTTTGGGGGGGTGGGGGGGTTGGTTGTCAAAAGCCAAGGTGGCATGTTACTGACTCTTGGCATATTTTTGCACTGAGGCTATTGATTGGAGGGCCAGGATGTCTGATAGTTTAGTCCAGGGTAGAAAAACCTTCCTTCTGTAAAGTACACCACAACACTCAACATCTATTTTTGTGCAAGGTTGCTCACATTGGAAAAGAACATGGCAAAGCAGCAGTTCAAAACAATGGCCAACCAACAGTATCTGTTGGGGACCTTGGGGAGCTGCAGCCATGGATCTCTCTAAACAGAAGACAGTCTTGTCTACTCAACTGAGAAAAAGTGTGCTCTTTCTAATATATCACTATTTAGTCTGTGCACAATCAAGGTACATGCTGATGCCTTTTATTTATTTACTCTGCCATGTCGGCGTGGGATTACTTCTTATACAGTGCTGAGTACTGTTTTACTTAAGAACATTATTACAATTGGAAAGGTCAGCTATTGTTATGAAAGTCAAGCCACAGACCTGAGGATGTAATGAAAGAGCGAGATGACTTTAAAAAAATAAAATCCCACTGTGGATCAACAGAAGCACAGACTGTCTGAAATAGTGACTGAATTGCAACGTATCTCTGGCTGCTTAGAACTAAGCTTAAACTCAACAGAATACAGAAAGGGGCTCTTCTCTAATACATACAGAGAAAATATACAACAGCAACATCTAACAAGGACAAACACTTCATGGGAGCATAATTTGCCGCACAATTATGACAGCAAGTAAACCCAGCAGTGTCAGAATAGAACCACAAAACATTACAGTTCCTCTTACGACAGTCAAAGTCAAAGGCGTCAAAAGGGTTTCAATACAGTGGTACCTCGGGTTAAGTACTTAGTTCGTTCCGGAGGTCTGTACTTAACCGGAAACTGTTCTTAACCTGAAGCACCACTTTAGCTAATGGGGCCTCCTGCTGCCGCCGCACCGCCGGAGCACGATTTCTGTTCTCATCCTGAAGCAAAGTTCTTAACCCAAGGTACTATTTCTGGGTTAGCGGAGTCTGTAACCTGAAGGGTATGTTACCCGAGGTACCACTGTATATCTCTTTTCATATTGCTGCATATTTGTTAATAGAGACTGAATATGTATTACCAATTTGTGATCATTGAACCACCATTTTAAGTTCAAAGAAGTTCTTTAAAAGTGCAGCTGTGTTAATATAATCTTTGACCAATATTGTTTTATTAGATTATCAAGAGACTAGACTAAGCAGCTCAATTTTATCTGCAAGTATAGAACAGCTATTCAGAATTAAACAAAAGAAAAGCCCCACAAAAGCAGCTAAAGTAACCGCTTCCATGAGAATGTAGGAAAGAAGGTTAGCCCGACATGACAATTTGATAAAACATTTCCTTGTATACCCCATTTAAACTCTATACACTAATCACCGATTAAATTATACAGCATGAGGGCTAAACTATGAGTTTTGGTATATGTTTTGAACAGAAACGCAATAAATTTGATTTAAGCATTGGTCAGCTGGGGACTGAAAAAAAGGACATTTAACATTTCCTGGGACTGCAAAGCTGTAGGGAAGCAAACTAAGGAACCACGCGGAGATCCACTCTTGCCTCCCAGTAATAAATGTCATTGCAAGGGGAAGACCTGCCGGGCCTCACCCAGAAGCAGCAGCAGCTGACTGGCACTGGCTTCCCCTGTCTTTGCCCACAAGAATACTTGGCTCCCAAATGTTGCTTGCACTGAGATACAGAGCGCAACAGAAGCTTACTCTACCACTATCAGCCAAAGAACAAAAAGCTATCATGAGGGGCTGCACATCGCTTCTCCCAGGAAGAACGCTCTGTCACAAGAGACTAGGGCCCTGCGGGACTTGACATCTTTCCGCAGGGCCTGCAAGACAGAGCTGTTCCACCCGGCCTTTGGTCAGGGCGCAGCCTGACTCCCTCCTCTGGCAATCTCCACAGAACTTTAGCTTAATGGTTGCCATCAATTTGATTTTAATTAATTTTTATAATGAAATGTTTTCAGAATGTTGTACTATTTTATTGTTGTTAGCCGCCCTGAGCCCGGCTTCGGCTGGGGAGGGCAGGATATAAATAAAATTTATTATTAAAATTTATTATTAACATAGTAGCATGTTAAAAGACCAGACAAGTTCAACGTTTGGGACGAACAATGTTTGGGACAAACTTTCTGTGCTTTTTTTCTTTCTTCCATCCTAAAAATGTCAGGCCCTTTAAAAGTATTATTTCAGGAATATTATTAAGTATAATTCAGAATACAGCAAAGGTGCCTGCTTAAAACATTTTTGTTCAGGCAAGTCTATCCAGACATGTAGAAGCACCTACATGTATTTTCTCTCTTTTTAGCTACTGGTTGACTTTAAAAATCTTTTGACTGTTTTAAAATATCAATTTCTAACCGTTTTTCACTGATAATTTATATGTAAACTTAAGAGCTTTTCTTATGGCTATAAGAAAGCAATATAGTGGTACCTCGTGTTACATACGCTTCAGGTTACAGACTCCACTAACCCAGAAATATTACCTCGGGTTAAGAACTTTGCTTCAGGATGAGAACAGAAATTGTGCTCCGGCGGCGCGGCGGCAGCGGGAGGACCCATTAGCTAAAGTGGTGCTTCAGATTAAGAACAGTTTCAGGTTAAGTACGGACCTCCAGAACGAATTATGTACTTAACCCGAGGTACCACTGTATATACATTTTGTAAATGAAATAAACACTATTGTCTCAGATTGAGAGGGACAGCAGGCAACAGCCTACCGGGAAGCTCTCTTCCCTCTGTTGATTACCACCACCAGTTGAGCTGAGCTGCCCTGCACTGTCTACCTATCAACATTTTCTTGTTTCAAACTGGAGTACCAGTTCCTTCATGCACAAAGTCCAAGCCTCAACCTGCCTCCAACCTCTAATGAGAACTGCAATTATGGCAGCAAAGAATGGCTGGGAGGGACTGCTGATGCGCTGCAACCAAGTTAAGGCTATGTGAAAGGACATTATCTCCCACACAAACTTGCCTGGGCTCTGACATCTTTGGGAGAGGCCCTTCTCTCAATCCCACCCGCCTCACAGGCACACTCAGTGGGGATGAAGGAGAGGGCCTTTTTGGTGGCTGCTCCCATACTCTGGAACTCCCTCCCTAGAGAAGCTAGACTTCTTCCGTCAGGTTCTCTTTCTGCCAGCAGGTGAAGACCTTGTTATTCCAACAAATCTTTAGGAACTGACTGTCCCTAAAGAAAGGGATGGTGCTGTGATGTTTTTATTGTTGGGATAGCTCAGTCAATAAAGCAACCTGAGGGTTGAAGATTTGGTCCTTACTATGGGGCAAAGGATTCCTGCATTTCAGAGGGTTGGACTAAATGATCAAGTCCCTTCCGACCATATAACTCCACGATTCTATGTATTTTTAATGGCTCTGTTTTTATATTGTTTTAATCCTTTTAGGTTTGGGCTTTTCCATTTTATCTGTGTCTTCTATTTTTGTTTGTAAGCAAGTCCTGGTTCAGGAGAAAGGCAGGATATTAAATAAATCAATTAATCAATCTGCAATCAGCGTTCTACTCATGCAAAAGAACATTCAAATGAAATATTAAATGGTATGTTTGATACAGAACTTTGAGACTGCTGGATATTCCCGAACACCCGTTCAACCACAAAACAAAAACAACCCTAGGAATATCAATTAAATATTGGACTATAAGAATGCACAAGTATTGCCCCCACTGATGCTTGAACACTTCTACCAACAAGAAATATATAACCTTGAATCTCATTCTCCAACTCTCAACGAGAAAATGTGGCCAGACTGGCAGGCATACAGCCTACCTGGATAAAAACAAAGCAATCTCTCGAAGCGTATGTGAGACAGCACCTGTAATTATGTACAACAGCATCCGCTTTTGTATTCAGCCCAGATATAGAACAAAGGGCAGAGGCAGCAAAGCAGGGCCATGTAGTCTTTTGCCTGTAATAATCAGTGTGGAGGAGGAATCAGGAAAGCCGGCTACATTATCGCTACCTTCCCACAGCACTAGCCATAACATGCCATCTTGCAGAGCACGTTATCTCTCCAGCAGATGTGCACCGGGTCAAATCCTAACTAATTGGGGTATACAATAAATCATGACTCAATAGCAAAAGTGAGCCTCCCTGGCAACTGTCCATCTCATAAAAGGCAGAACAGCCTCAAACTCCTACCTTTAGGGCATCCTCCTGTGGGAGGTTTGCCTGGCACCTGCACTGGTATCTTTCAGGCACTAGGAAATTGGTTTTTTTATTTTAGTTTTTTTTTAATCTTAGGCATTTTACTTAGTAATTACATTTATATCTTTCCTTCCTTCCTAAGGAGGAAAGTCCTTTTAATGTTATCATGATTCATGAATATGAATCTGTACCTAGCTTTCTGCAAAATCAACACAGTGCACAAAATCAACACGGTACAAAATAAAAAATACAACTGGAATGGAATTTATGGTTGTTGTTGAGCAGTTGCAGTTATTTTGCTCTTATTGTAATTACAACTGCACTGTTTAGAATGCATTGTTGTAATTCTATAGTATGCCACCCTGAGAAACAGAATATAAAATTGTAAAGGCTTGGCTTTCTGACTTCCTTCTTCATGGAGAAATCTAGATGAATTGTTCTATAAAGATATTATGTTAATCAAAGAGGCACCGTCATGTGCTATAGGACAGTGCAGCTACAGGCAATTTTCAGCAATGGATGATCTAAACAATACACCAGCAAAGTAGTTTGTTCAATCCCACAAGTGCACAGAAACTACTTGGCTGACTCAGGTTTCCCATTACTTTCCAGGATCAGATCAAATTACAAACCAATGCATTTACAAATGACCCAGAGTCCAATTGAGGCCCAATAGTCAACATATTGTGTGTGTGCACACATGCCACAGTAAACTCATGCCAATAGGAGGCTCTGGTACCCTCAAGCTGGCAATATGAACTCATAGGTGCATTTCTAGACACGGACTCTCTTTTTAAAAGGAAAAAGAAGCATTACTGTACACTTTTGGAAACATTGCTCTAGGACAGTTTTATGTTCTAAGGCCTTTAACACTCAAGTGCAAAGCAAGCAGCCAGGAAGCTGCCAATACTTTCAAACAAGGTGTTACTGTTCTCAAGTATTACTTTTTCCTGCTTTGACTACCACCATCTCTTTTGTGAGATTATATATTCATCTTTGTCAGGCATGCTTCCCTTAAGCATTGCCATGGCTACGAACATTTAATTCTGACATAAAAGTCTGCCCCAATCTCTTCGGCAAGCAGAATTGTCTGTAACATCACCTCTGATCAGTTTCTTATTAAGGAAAAGAGTTGTTTCTTATTAAAGAAAAAAAAGGGCTTTTTTGAATTATTCTTTCAAATCCAGTTTTGTAGTGTTAGCATATATTAAACCTCAAACATCTGCTGCTGTATTTTTCTAAGGAAAAATATGATTTATAAAAATGCATTGTTTCATAAAAAACTAGTAACAGAGTGAATACCAGTCAAATATGCAAGTTTTAACCTTTTCTTTCCACATGGAAGTCTACAAGCATGGTATAATTTACTACACAATATAAATGCATATTTTCTGGGGAAAGCTAAGCTTAATATATTAAAATTCAGCATTTTTCCCTCTCTAATTTTAACAATGTAAGACATATGCTACTGAAAGTTGAGTTGCTGTGTTTTAAAATACTTACTAACCCAGTAAAACTTTGCATTTGTTTAAACGTAACATTTAAACCGCATCAAGAATGGTGGCCTTTGCTTATAAGCAATAAAGTCTGCCTGGCTTGATTTTTATCTTAAAACCTTATAGCTAGTTTTTTGGGGGTGGGGTGGGGGTTGGCTATTGGGGGGAAAACCCAGAATAAATGTAAAATAGGTTGGGGAGGGTTAGTTTTGTTTACTGAACTTAATCAAATCCCAATCATTTAAGGTATCAGATAACTTTCTGTAATTCCTAGAATTGTAGCTTTGGGAGAAGTCTAATAATGTTTGGCTGACATCTGAAGGGTGGATATGCCCAGGCTTTACTGACGGTGAATATTTTAGAGCACTTCATACATTAGAAGATAATATACGAAAGATAGCTCAAGAAGGGGCACAAAATCTAGACTCACCCTTATTTCCAGTTCCAATGCTAAGTACGCTATATTGGATGATGCTCAATAGTAGTCATACTTTGAGCAGACGCATTGAAAGCAATGGACCTACCGTATTTTTCGCTCTATAAGACGCACCTTTCCCCTCCTAAAAAGTAAGAGGAAATGTGTTGGCGTCTTATGGAGCGAATGCAGGCAGGAGGCTCTGCTCAGCGCTCTCTTTAAAGAGCAGCCCTTCTCCATCCTCGGGGAAAAGCCCCACACACGCTCCACGCGGCTCTTTAAAGGGAGTGCGGCTCTTGGGGAAGCCTTAGCCGCGCGCAGACTCTCCCAGGCAGGGGAAGAATTCATGCCACTGCCCGAGAGACGCTGCGCACGGCTATCCCAGAAGCCAGGACAGCAAGCAGGATCGTGGAGCTGCGATCCCGCTTGCTGTCCTGGCTTCTGGGATTCAGAATATTTTTTTCTTGTTTTCCTCCTCCAAAAACTAGATGCGTCTTATGGTCTGGTGCGTCTTGTAGAGCAAAAAATAAGGTGCTCCAAGTTGTACTTAGACAATCACCTATTATTCAGTTAACAATTTGCACAAGGTGAACAAACCTGGAGGCATCAAGTCTACTCTAATAGGAAGTTCTTTGGGGGGAAACTTGCCACTTAGGGTTCCTGAACACTTCACAGCAGAACGTAGCTGGGAAGCAATTCCAGAAACTCATTTTCTCACTGAACAGCTGTAAAGCAGTAGGGAGGAAATAATTTGCAGCAGAAGAGCAACCATTCCCCCTTGCAAGCCCCTTCTTTTAGCCATTTCCAACTCTTTGCAGCAAAAATGTTTGAAATTGGCAGCAGGGGAGAGGTACACAGAAAGAGTCAGGATAAGCACCCTTTCCCACCCAGGCACTTCAGCGCTCTAGGGCAGGGGTCAGCAAACCTTTTCAGCAGGGGGCCAGTCCACTGTCCCTCAGACCTTTGGGGGGACAGACTATATTTTTGGGAGGGGGAAATGATGCAAGAGCACCACAAGCCCCGGTGGCTGCTTACCTGTGTCTTGCGAGCATCAGGGGCTGGCTGGCGGCGGAGGGACGATGAGCAGAGCACGAAAGGGCTCCAGAGAGGGGCTGCTTAAAATGGCGGCCGCTCAAGCACTTGCTGCTGCTGGCACCAACAAAGCCCAGCCCCCTCCATCGTCTATGCAGGGCAGGGAGAAGCCAGGAGGATGAAGGGAGGAGGTGCCGCCGCCACCATGTGAGGGAGAGGGAAAGAACGCATGCACTGGCGATCCACACAGTGATTCCCGGACCATCTGCGGGCTGGATCCAGAAGGTAATTGGGCCTGATCTGGCCCGTGGGCCTTAGTTTGCCTACCCATGCTCTAGTCCAGGGGGGCATACAAGACTGCCAATCAACACTTGCTCAACCAAGAAATTCAGTAAAATTTCAAGGCAAGCTCCTAGACTCATCTCCATATCTTTCAGCCCATAGATTCAAGAGCCAACACCAAGAAGTTCAAGAGTCTTGCTTGAGACTTTCCTCCTTTTGAACCTTTGCCCCCCTGACACAAGCTCTGTACTGTGTTGTGGCAAGTAAGCAGCTACACCAGCACAGTTCTTAAACAATGTTGAGAGGCATCATGCAAAGACACCTTTGTAAAATGCCCTGTTATCCTTGGATGAATAGTGGTACTGTATAGAATTTTTTTAAGTAAAATAAAATATAATATATATATGATGCCTTACCTAGGTGTACTCACTTAATTTTTAGAAGGGGCCATGCTACCACTACAAAATGTGCGTTTCACACTTATAACCTCCTAAACTTCCAAGTAAATACTAATTTTCGTAGCACTGCATTGTACTTCCAGCTTAAATGGTATCGTTATTATCTGATGTAAATACAGTCATACGTTGGAAGTCGAATGGAATCCATTCCGGAAGTCCGTTTGACTTCCAAAAAGTTTGCAAACCAACGAGCGGCTTCTGATTGGCTGCAGGTTTTTGATTGTTCGGGAGCTGAAATGTGTGAGTTCCAAGGCGTTCAGCAACCAAGGTACGACTTTATTGCATTCAGTATACCTAAGAAGAGCTTGGGACTAAAAGTGATACCTTGCACAACTCACTTTGGATTCAACGAGTCTGCATTGCTATGAAAGTGTCTTAAAACTATCCAGCTGAACCACAAATTATTCCTTTAACCCCGTGATTTTCAACCAGTGTTTCCTGGCACACTGGGGTAGCTTGAATAATGATCAGGGGTGCCATGGGCAACACTGGCCTCTGTCCCTCTTTCCTTCCTTCTCTCCCTCCTCTGATGCCCTCTCGCATCTCTGCCTCCCAAAGGCTTGTGTGGATGTTGCAGCAGCCCTGACTACAAACTCCCCAGGCTGGCCAAGGGGAGCAAGCAAGCAGGTAAGGGAACCCAGCCAGCCAGTCCTTGCTGTTGGGAATGGACAGACAAGTCCCAGGCCCTTGTGGGGCAGTGTGAGGAGGCACTTCTCTTTGGGGTGGGGTGAGAGCAGGAAGCTCAGAGATTGGGGCAGCAGCGGCGGCTGCCCGGAGGACTCCCAAGGAGAGGGGAGAGGAGGCTGGGGGAACTCTACAAGGGAGGGTGAGAGGCTGCCAGTTCTGCAAGCAAGGGGTGACATAACTGGGCTCTTGAGCCCCACAGGGGTGCCACAGAAAAAATGTAGTTGGTCAAGGGGGGCGTGGACTCAAAAAGGTTGAAAACCTCAGCTTTAACCACCTTGAAGTAAAAACTGAAAGGTTGTTCCATATGCACAACGATATAGTTGGCTCCCATCACCATCACATATTTATTGAACTACCAGCAGCTCTGACTTCACAGGTCGCTATTTTAACAGCACTCAGTGCCTCTTCTTAGACATTGTTGAAACTAGATTAAACAGCTGATCATTAAACCTAAATATTCCTAGTAATTAAGCCATTGAACAGTTTTTTCATAGCCTTAGCAAACATTTGTCACCCATCACTCAAAACCAATCACCCACCCCATATCACATACCACAGAATAATCTAACCTAACCTCTCTGGTAAATTCTCTCAAGAAGTTAGAGGAGAATCAACCCTCATCATTTTTTATTACAGCTACTGTACATATTTGAAAAACGTAGAGTAGCCAGTCTCTGCTGAATACTGCAGAGGTAAACTTTAGGCTTTGCTACTTCAGATGGCAGATGGCACACTATTGCACATATAAAGCCCGATGTCATGCAAATGAGCCTGCTCCAAAATGTTAGCTTTCTAATTGAAGGTTTTTGGGGTGTTTTTTAAACCAAGGAGCATTCAGACATGCAAACCCCCAGCAGCAGTGTGAAGTTGTTCAACAGATATCTGGCCAAAACCAAATTATAAAAATGGTTCATTTAACCATTAAGTAAACAAACGGTGTTTCCGTGCGCTGCTCCAGTTTGCCAGAAGCAGCTTAGTCATGCTGGCCACATGACCCAGAAGCTGTCTGCGGACAAATGCCGGCTCCCTCAGCCTATAGAGCGAGATGAGCGCCGCAACCCCAGAGTCGTCCGCGACTAGACCTAACGGTCAGCGGTACCTTTACCTTTTACGCCTAATGCCAGTTGCCCTATCAATGTAGTAGCACAAACATGCTATCACGGCTGCTTCGAAGTTAAGAAAAAAGAGGTGGTGTCATGTCTGCTTTGGCCCTGATCATAAGACCTAAGTGGCAACTCTACTCTTGGTTTTTATAGGTCGGATGAAGATGAGCAGGATGCATCGGCTCCAGCGCGAAAGAAGCGCAAGAGAAGTATGTGTCTTATTCCTTGAAACCTATCTGAGTGCCAGCCTTTTATATTAAAATAAGCAGCACCGGAAGCCTTAGCAAACTTAATATGCCTTCCTAATCTTTTACAGTAACGTTATATGTTGTTTAGTTAGTAAAATTCTAGCTAAAGTGTTGTTTTTTAATCCTGGCTTAGTTCCCTAATGCCAAACGGAGATGATGGAGGAGAGATAACCTTGCTGCTTCAACCAAACCTTTCATTTTAATTTCAGTGAATCTTCCTTCCGGAGGGCCCATATGCTACAAGTTCTTATGTTACAAGGTCTTACCCTGTTATTGTGAATAGCAAGGTGATTTCAGTTACCGTAGCTAAATTGCATACGTGAATTATCTAGCTTGGATCTTCTACATTTCCTGCTGGCCACTGCAGCTGCCCCATTATGGAACCCTAGATTTTAATTCTAGAGTACAAGGCAGCTGCTTTTAAAAAACAACAACCCAGTGCCTGCCAGAAAGAAGAAGGAAGATTAATTTCTAGAGCTCTGCTGAGCAATAGCAATTTTAATCAAGTAACTGATGTTTACCACATCGTTGCTAAGCTGAAACAACTATTTTGGTTTTCTGATTTTAAAGGTAAACTTTTGCCTCCTAATTCAAAATTAAGTGAATTAGAGTAAAGGGCCAATCCCGGAAGTTTATCAGAAATAAATCTTGCTTTAATGGGGCCCTTGCTTGGGGTGAACAGTGGTTTAGAAATGTATCTATAAATAATTTAATGTCAAATACAGAACATAATTGTATTGATTTATTTGGATTTTTAGCCTAATCTTGGTGAGCCCCAGTATACATAAAAATATAACAGGAATAGTTACATAGCATAGATGTCGGCTGTCAGGATAATAGCACCACTCAAATTAAAATCCTGGTTTCTTAGCTCTAGTATTGAAATCAGATTATCACAGAGGAATATCTAAACTGTTAGTCTGGACACTCATAAGCTCTGTAACAAAGTTGAACATTAGAATTATCACTTAGTAAAGGTAAAGGTACCCCTGCCAGTACGGGCCAGTTGTGTCCGACTCTAGGGTTGTGTGCCCATCTCACTTAAGAGGCCGGGGGCCAGCGCTGTCCGGAGACACTTCCGGGTCACGTGGCCAGCGTGACGAAGCTGCTCTGGCGAGCCAGCACCAGAGCAGCACACGGAAACGCTGTTATCTTCCCGCTATAAAGCGGTACCTATTTATCTACTTGCACTTAATTGTGCTTTTGAACTGCTAGGTGGGCAGGAGCTGGGACCGAAGACGGGAGCTCACCCTGCCGCGGGGATTCAAACCGCCGACCATACGATTGGCAGGTCCTAGGCACTGAGGTTTTACCCACAGCACCACCCGCGTCCCAGAATTATCACATATGGGCAAGCTAAAAATCCATTTATCCCAGTCTCCAGCTGTAGTCAGCCATCTGCTTTGTGGATACTCATGCAAAGGAAAGTTAAAACACTTGAAAGTCAACTGGGCTTTCAGAGCATCCTTTGATAGTGAATTTGGTTTATCCTGAACTCACAAGGAAAATTTTCTGGTACACTGAAAATGCATATTCTGTGCTGTATTTCAGTATGGAAGGAACATAGGAAGCAGACTTATTCCAGGTTAGACTTCATGCCCATAGTGTCCACTTTCGTAGCAGCTTTCCAGGGTCTCTGGAAAAAATTTTCCTGCCTCACCACTACAATGAGTCCTCACAACCATTTATTTAATTGCTAAAAAGCTATAAGTTTCCGGAAATACTCAACTCTTAAAGGTAGACAGGCTTTCTTTGAAGAGAAGACAAGAACAGAGAGCAATTAGGCATGATGGGGGGGGGGAATGTTCACCTCATAATTTTGTAGCTCAAAGTAATTTTGGTTATACCCATTTCAACTGTGCCACCACTATTATCCCCCTTCTCCTCATCTTAATTTATTACCGCCCTTCACCCTAAGATCCCAGGATGGGTTACAACAATTTCAAAATACAACTTGAAGCATATCCTACTGCATTGTGGGCAATATGAGCAAGCAAGGGATCAACTGATCAAACTCTTACTGGCAAATTTGCCCGGAAAATCCGAAACCTCCCATATTAAATATCTTTTGGAAGACAGGTCAAATGGTATTACAATGGCCGTGGCAAAGTTTCTTTCTGAGGTTATAAGAAACAAAGATCATTATGCCCTAGATAAAACAAAATGACTGCCTTGGTTTCTTCCATCTGTCTGTCTGGTCGTTTTAACTGTATCTAGTTTTGAAATTGTTTTGTGGGTCTTTGGACCGCAATAAAGATTTGAATTTGAATATAACTTCAAAAACAGTTTTAAAACCAATTATACATCGTTAGGCAAAGTAGATGCAATGTCGGGAATATGAGTGGACTACCTGTGGCCTGCATGCTTGACCCCCATCCCCTTCTTTCCCCAATCCAAGTCTAGAAAGAAACTGCTCTCAAGCAAAGTTTTAGAGCAATGTGGGAAATTTGCACACAGCTTTTTGCAAACCACCCAATTTGTTCTCTCTCACACCAATATGGCATCACTTCCGGGGTTAAAATGAGTAATCATTTACTGCTCATTATAATCAAAATGCTCAAGTCTTGTACAATAATCCATATTTGAGGAACGCAATATAGCTAATGGGGAAAGTGCCTTAGAAAAAAACACACTTTGTTCTGTGGGACTGTTTTTAATCCTTACCAATACAACAGCTTGCTTCTGAAGGTCAATACAGATTACACAAGAAGGGCAATTATCATAGTTATATACTTGGAGACCTGCCGTAGAAAGGTACCATCTTCCCTCAGTAAGCAGGTGATAAGATTCTGCCCTTACAAGTTCACAAAGCAAATATTTATTCTGAATTTGTTAAATCCTGGGCATCTTGCCCTGAAAAAAAATGTATTATCATTATCAGCCAACATTTAATAGCATTTTTTTTTTTTTTATGTTAGAGATTTTAAGTATCAGGCTGGACAAGTTATGCTGCTTCCAGACACTCTACTCGAAACAAACTGTAGTGATCATCTAACTATTGTAGTAGGCTAGCAAGCCAAGTTACATTATTATGACTTCATTTGGCCTGAAATGAGCAACATTCCTTCTGAAATGGGTGCTGCATGTAGCTATATCCACTTACCAACTTTCTTGGGGTGAGGGCCCCTGCTGAGCATGACACAAGAAATCTCCCAGAACTCTAGAGATACTGACCTGGGCTTTGAAGCAGGAAGAAGCATTGAGAAAGATTCATGCTTTTTCTGCTTGCTCCAAAACCCCATTGTAGCAAAGCTCTCTTTGGCATATAAAGAAGGGTTTGGAAGAAGGAAAAAAGGAAATGCTAAATTACAGCAGGCTGCTGATGCTCCACTATAAACAAATTTATGTATTATAAACCCCTCAATTTACTGGCACAATTTGACCCATATATGGTTGATATTGCACAACTCAAATCCCAAACAATGCAGAGAACTTAAAAGTTCTTTTTCTTCTGGGTTCACTTGGGTTTAGCTCTTTAGCTCTGGAAGGCTTAGGGTTGCTATGTCTCCCTCCCCGCACCCACTCCCTAGCTATGGGGTGGCTCCAAGGGTTTGAATATATGTTATTTTCATGTATATATGGAACCCTTAGAACAGTGTTAGAAACTCAGATATATAATCCAGGCGCCAAATGGCTCCTTAAACCAAGGGTTACAGTTGCCAAAACGGAATGTCTAGTTGCCGTTTTTGGCTCTAAAGTCTTATTTATCAAATGATGAATTGGCTATGATTGATTATCAGTTAAACATCTGACTAGTTCATATGACAACCCAGAGCTAGGTTAAGAACTTTGAGAACTTAAAGAAAAGTCACTTGATCCAGTGACAGTCCACATATATACCGTATTTTTCGTTCTATAAGACGCACTTTTTCCCCTCCAAAAATGAAGGGGAAAAGTGTGTGCGTCCTATGGGCGAATGCAGGCTTTCGCTGAAGCCTGGAGAGCGAGGGTCGGTGCGCACCGACCCCCCTCGCTCTCCAGGCTTCAGGAAGCTATCCGCTAGCCATGGGAGACCCAGCTCTCCCACGGCTAGCGGAGACCTTGCCAGCACCCAGAAGCTTGGGGCGTGCTGAGCTCTGCACGCCCCAAGCTTCGGGCTTAGCACAGCGCACCTGGGGGGGAAATAAAAATTTTTTTCCTTTATTTCCCCCCCAAAAAACTAGGTGCGTCCTATGGGCCGGTACGTCCTATGGGGCGAAAAATACGGTACTGGCTTTTTCTGACCTCCTTTTCTTAAAAGTGACTGTTCCTGCTGCACAGAAAAAGCATTTTGGTTCCAGAAATTCATTCTAATTGTGCAGATAAACTATAACTGATAGAATTCTACAGAATGGGGTACTAGTGTGTGAAAACAGTCCATATCCAATGATCACCAGGCATGCACCTCCCGATGATGGAGGTGTGAGGCACCATCCTGGCGCTCAGGCATTTTCACCTGGTCCAAAGTGGTCAAAAAAGCCACCTGACTAATTTTGAACACTGCCTTAGAACAAAACTGCTGTGTAAGGTGAGGGACTACTGTCCTTCAATTTAGAAGATGGTGATTTTCTAACTGTGGACTGATAGTCTATTCCAGGGGTCTGCAACCTTTAAGACAAAAAGAGCCACTTGGATCTGTTTCCGAAGAAGAAAAAACTGGGAGCCGCAAAACCATTGCGACATTTAAAACAAATATATCTCCGGAGCCGCGATCTGACAGCGGACGGGAAGGTGACGACGGGATGGTGCATGACTAACGCACACACCGCCCCCATGCGCCGTCACAGCCAGTACAGCGCCCGCCACAGTGGGGAGTGTCGGGGCACACAATGCGCCTCCTCCCCTCGCTAGTATCCACCCCAGAGCCGTGGCAAAGGTGTAAAAGAGCCACATGCGGCTCCAGAGCCGCAGGTTGCAGACCCCTGGTCTATTCTGTGAATAGATTGTTGCTTCAAATGTCAACACCTCCTGATATCAAAACCATAATAAATACAGTGGTACCTCGGGTTAAGATCTTAATTCATTCTGGAGGTCCGTTCTTAACCTGAAACTGTTCTTAACCTGACGTACCACTTTAGCTAATGGGGCCTCCCGCTGCAGCCGCCGTGCGATTTCTGTTCTCATCCTGAAGCAAAGTTCTTAACCTGAGGTACTATTTCTGGGTTAGCAGAGTCTAACCTGAAGTGTCTGTAACCCGAGGAACCACTGTATTATCCAACTGATTAAGTGAGGGGTGGGGAACCTAATTAGGCCAACCAGTCCTCCCCATTTGCCCCATGAGACCATTTTGATCAGGCCACACCCACCTGATCTAAATCAGACATCATGTACGACATCAGATGTAGGGAAGGTAACTGCAGGGCTTGTTTAAAACAGTGTTTGCAGCTGATCAATAGTGTTTGCAAATCATAGGGCAATATATCACTTTGAGGGGAGCTTGATCCTCAGAAGTCCAGTTCAAAGTGATGCAGAAAGGTAGTCCGGTGTCATTATAATGTCAGGTGACTGACAAGTGAGCAGCTCCACCCATCATACATGGCCCATCAGGGTAGGGGAAGAGAAAAGCCTAGCCTACCAGGCTACTAAGGAAATGCCGTGTTCCCTCTTCCGCATCTTACCTTGACAAATTCACCCATTGCTCCCCAAAGCAATAAGAAGCTAGTTAGTTTCCTTCCCTGGCCCTGAAAAATAAAAGTTAATGGAACTTGGACAAAAATGAATTTTTGTATTCCTAAAGGAAAGCAGTTGCTTTGGTTTCTACCTTACCTTCTAAGAATATCCAGTTATTCACCATTTAGCCCAGTAGCAAGTGCTGCAAACAGTTGCTCTTGAGAGTCGCACAGGATTTTATAAACTCTATAAACTCTGCCTTGTGCTTTGACAACAACCTGCTTAACACAAATCCCAGACTCAAAAGAGGTTTATAGCGTAGCTGCCACCTTAAAGGGGGACCCGATCGTCAAGTTTCTGTTGACACAGCAAGACTATGTACATTAGCTGAGAAACAAGTTCCGCCCCCACATGAGAATGCCTTTAGGCTATCCATACACTAGCCTCCTGATCTTTGAGCCACCAACAGCTGGCTCAGCCAGTGCTAGCCTCTTCCTCCACCCCCAATGCAAATAGGAACCTGTGTAATTTTCCCACAGTCATTAGACATCTGACGTGCAATGAAAACACAGTTGCCCACCAGGCACCAGCAACACTGGCATATAAGCTTGCTGAAAAGTCTGCAGAATTCAAAGGTTCACATTGTGACCTAGGCAAATGAAACACATTTCTCCTTAATTTCATTTTCGTATTATGGTTGATTTTGTTAGCTCAATGTGGTTTATAAATTGAGAGGCACTAGAAGTTACCTGCTGAGTTTTGCAGCACAAGCAACTCCTCTCCTGACATGGGAGGAGTGGCAGTATGCAACACCTCCCGGGCAGCAGTATGCAACACCATTAACAAGGAGTCTGCATGTTACCTCTCTATCTGGAACCTACCGTATTTTTCGATCCATAGGGCGCACCTGACCATAGGGTGCACCTAGTTTTCAGAGGGGGAAATCAAGGAAAAAAATATGACCCCCCCCCCATCTCTGGGAGCAGCGGACAGGCTACGCGCAGCCTGTGCACTCCTCCCAGAACTTTTCCCTGCTTTTGCGGGAGGTGGGGGAATTCCCCCATCTCCCACAAAAGCCCACAGGAGCCACGCACCCTTTAAGGAGTGCACGGCTCCTGCGAGCTTTTCGACCAGGAGGGAGAAGGGACTGACATGGCCCGCTGCACTCCAAAGGCTTGAGGCTTCCAGGACAGCTTTTGTAGTCTCCGGAGGGCAGCGGGGTGGAGGCACCCCGCTGCCCTGCGGAGGCTTTGCGCAGCCATCCCCAAGCTAGAACAGCAAGACGGAGCGCTCCGTCTCGCTGTTCTGGCTTTGGGGACAGCCTTTCTAGCCTCTGCAGGGCAGCGGGATGAAGGCCTGCAGAGGCTTTGCGCCTCTGCCATGCAGAGGCTTTGCACAGCTAACCCCAAGCTAGAAGAGCGAGATGGAGCGTTCCGCAGCGCTCCGTCTCCCTGTTCTGGCTTTGGGCTTAGCCGCGCAGCCTGCATTTGCTCTATAGGACGCACACCACATTTCCCCTTAATTTTTGGAGGGGGAAAAGTGCGTCCTATAGAGCGAAAAATACGGTAGTTTGGTTTTGCCTCTACAATGCTATGATCTGGCAGGGTTTGTGGGACCCTGCTCTGGTCCTTCTTTTCTTCAGCTCAATAACTACAAACAATCTCTCAACACTGCTTTTCAGGCTCCTGCTTCCTTGGCCCCATTCCTTTACTCACTTGCCCCTTGACCAGGTTTCTTAGCACTCCTTTGCCCCTCCTCCCCATAATAGCATACAGCCATTCCTGACCTTAAGAATGATGCAGTTTCTTCAGAGATTCCCTGCTGCTTCACTTTTCGATACAATACGATATCTTTATTGTCACTGTCCCATGCAGGACAATGAAATTGAAAAACTGCATAAAACTACATAAAAATGACATAAAGCATTCAAAAACCCCTAAAAACCCCATGCCTCCATCATTAGCCTCAATTCTTCCCTTCTGGCTATCCCCCCTTAGTTCATTGACTATCCACTGGCCTTTCCCAATGTTCAAGATTCCATTTCAACAGTGTAGCATCGTTTTATAGGAGAGGATGCAAATGTTTCCTCAGAATTGTTATGATGGTACCACACTCAGAGTCATTCTAAATAGCCCAAGTCCTGCATGCTTCAGAAACAGTATTTTTCTGTGCATGCTCAATCTCTTTAGCATTAGGAGAAGGCTTGCTATGGTCCCTTCAATTCAGGAGACGCAGGAGAGTTCTCTGCCATAGTCCCCACTCCTCCTCATCAACTCTAAGATACAGTGGATTGATATTTGATGCTTATCTTGGTTTAATTGCATGTCAAAGTACATTTGATAAGATAAGAAAAAAGCATTTGGCTTTGCCCTGGAGTGGCCCTTTCAAGGAAGGCTGCCTGCCACTTCTGATCTTTTCAGGGAGAAATGCTTCAAATGAACCCCATAAACCTCCAGAACTCAATCTGAAATCTCAGTGGCTTTATAGATCAATTCTATGTATGTTTTATTCAGAAGTGCCCCTGTTGTATTCAGTGGAGCTTACTCCCACAAGTGGATAGGGTTGGGGCCTGCACCCACACACATGGATCAGAGTCTAGGATAGATGAAAGCAGTTTAAGTACCGTAGCATTAACACACAATACAATCAATTACGTTCTCCTTTCAAGGCAATTTAAGTGTTCTGCCCTACGATGACTTTTTGTCTCAGCCAAAGCCAATCAATTTATTTGGCATCTGTACAGCCAATCAATTTCTTGTACTATGCAGGCCCTCTAAATGATATCAAGGGAAACTGATTTTCTGACTAGCTATTCATTAGCTGAAGCACTTGTACTACATTAGGGGATCTGGTTTATTCAGTTCGCAAGGAGCAGGCGGCAGCGGGGGGTGCAGAGACGTCAAAGGCATGCAGCAGCAAACGCAAAAGATTTTTTTTTTAGTCCACTAAAAGCCACATCAATTACCCACATTTGTAAGCTCCACCCACATTCGAGGTTCATGTTAACTAGAGTACAATAATCCCATGGCACATATGTTTTAATGCCCCTCCACAATGATAACATGGAAACACTAAATAAATAAATAAATCAGTGCATGTTTAATAACTCCCAGAAGATAATAGGCATCTTTTCAGTATTGTTTCATAGCCGTGAGGGACATGCTACAGAGGGAAGTGAGGCCAAGTGTGTTGCTTTCTTTTCTCAAAGGAAAACATTACTACGCAAGACTATTGGTGTCCCTGGAATTCTTAAGTGGAAATTGTTCGTATATTGCTTTTATGCATATCCCCGTCACTGCAACAAATAGCAGCACAGTAAGCATGTAACTAAGACAACTAACTTATTCACAGAAAAACGTGAGGCAACAGCATGGCATTAGCACACTAGCTTAGCAAACTCAGAAGGAAGGATGGTCAGAATGTTCATACTTCTGTGATTCCTAATCATTCCTACCAATATACAAGGCAATCCAAAGAACTAGAAAATTAGAATTATTTTCCTTGTTCAAACAAGTGATGAAATCCTTCCAGAGCTTGTCAGTGAAAATCTATGAAGAGCGCTGCATATAATTAAAATGCACTGCATAAATGCAAATTATTGTAATCCATATTTGCAATGTTAGCATACAAATGAGATAAGCCATTGCAACTTGATTAAAACAGAGTACTAAAGGTTGAGTTGCCTTGTAGACGTGGTGCAGGTGATACCAGGGTCATGCCCAAGTTACTACCATCTCTCACACGCTTCACATGCAAACATGGGCTAGAATCATGATTTACTACAACATTAATATTGCATATGACACATGAGCAACAAGGGTTACCACATATTTTCTGGAAGGGCTCCTATGCTTTAAGTAGAAGCACATTGTGTAGAATTTCAATCACAGCCAATGTGAACCTATTTTACTTACAAGAACTCTCACCTTGCACTGAATGCCCTTGAACATGTGCAGAGCACCTTTCAGGCTTTAAATTTTCTTCATCTGGCAAACAGTTAAGATACTAAGACAGGATCATTAGTGGCCAGTACAATCATCAGAATGTACAGTGGTGTCCAAACTTTTTTCAAAGAGGGCCAGATTTGATGAAGTGAAGGGCCGTGAGGGCCAACCAAAGAACCAAAGGGCCGACCAAACTTGTTAACCTTTTTTTTAGAATTGAAGATGTTGAGCTTTTTTTTATTATTTTATCAAAGTTGTTGAGATTTTTTTAGGATTGAAGTTGTTGAGGGGATTTTTTAGGATTTAACTCCAGGAAATAAACTGCCACAGGGGCCGGATTAAACCGACTGTCAGGCCGGATTAGGCCCCCAAAACAGACTTTACACATGCCTGGTTTCAGAGGATATCTTATCCAATTTTTATCTGTGCAGCTCCAAAATGACGATTTAAATTTCTACTATCTTTTTTGTATCTGTTAATATATTTTTAGGATATCACAAACTATTTGCAGATTTCACTAACATATGATGCAGTATATAAATTGCCTAAACAAATAAATGATACAGAAGCTTCTTAGATAGCTTTTACTCACTGCAAGCAATAAAGCAAGGAATTGTTTGCTGCCCTTTTGCAACTGCTTTGGAGTACTTTCAACTTGTATATAGTGGCAAGACAATTGCTTTATTCAGGATGGTGAGTTGAGTTCAGTAGGAACCAAAACTTGGGAGAGTATCTCCAGAGTTAAGATACCTGCATTTTGGATCTATATGCTATGCAGAATATAATTTTGTGCTAGCTGAAGTGAAGTAGTGTGGACAATGGAGGAACAGCATTAGTACTTTTGAAGATAGCGTGTGCTCTAGGTTTTTTCCAGGAATTATAACCTCAGGAGCTGCCCAAATTGTTCTTGGGATCTTCTGCCTACTAGAAGTACCAAAGAACATAAGAGTCTGCTAGATCAGGCCACTAGTCCACCAAGTCCATCACCCTATTCTCACAATGGCCCACCTCTTTTAAAGCCATTCAAGTTGGAAGCCATCACTACTTTTTGAGGGAGCGAGTTCCAGGATTAAAAGGATTTCCTTTTGTCCGCCCTGAATCTTCCAACATTTAATTAGTTACTTGCAAAGTGTACTGTGGTACCTCGGGTTACATACGCTTCAGGTTACACACTCCACAAACCCAGAAATAGTGCTTCAGGTTAAGAACTTTGCTTCAGGATAAGAACAGAAATCGGGCTCTGGCGGCGCGGCAGCAGCAGGAGGCCCCATTAGCTAAAGTGGTGCTTCAGGTTAAGAACAGTTTCAGGTTAAGAACGGACCTCCGGAACGAATTAAGTACTTAACCCGAGGTACCACTGTATTTATGACTAGAGTCTAAACCTAGATGCTAGGTGGTGTGCTCCACGCAACTTACTGGGACACTTCTATGTATGCATGTGATCACAGTGAGAACCTGGTGGTGCTTCCCCCACCAGGTGGAGGAAGGAGTTAAGTGGAGTGATTCACAAGAGTAATATAGCAACAGCCATGGTCAAGAAGCCTTTGCAGTAGACAGTCTGATCCTGTGGACTAGCATCTTTAATAGTCAAGCAACTCCTGGAGCTGTTTTACAGCAACTTCTGCCTCTGGAGGAGAAAGCCTAGAAACTATCCACTTCTTAAGATAGCACATCCATTGCACACTTAAAACCCACAACTTTGCCCAAAGAGTCCTGGGAACTGCAGCTTCTTACGGGTGCTAGGAATGTATTAGGGGGAAGCTACAGTTCCCTGGATTCTTTGGGGAAAGTCATGTGGTTCAAGTGTGTGGTGTACGTCTGCCCTCAATTTTCAATAGCCAAGGACAAAAGTCTCTGCAGCCGAATTGGAGAAATACTTCTGTGGGTTGCCATCTTCAACATCAGTGGTCCCTTTAACCCTCTTGCTGCACCTTTCTCTAGAGACTTGGACTATGATGTCACCAACTGCCATGGTCCACAAGAATACAATACCCCCTTCTCTGCCTTTTCCCTCATATCACACCTTCCAACAGATTTTAACTAAAAGCAGCCCTGAGAGCTAATCTCGGCTAAAAAGCAAGATATAAATTTCATATAGGACAGCAGAAAGGTATTGAGGAGGCAATTGTATGTATCCTAAGATGGAAACAATACATTAAGGACCCACAGATATATGCAAGGCCCAAATAAGACACACTTTACAAAGCAACCACGCATCAGACAAGGGCATGTACACCAAGCGCAAAAATGAGCAATTTTCTTATCTGATTATGGCAAGTGAAAACAGCCAACACCACAAAGAGGTTGTAGAATACCTAAGCAAAAAGAAGAGAAACTAGGAAATGCTTCTTTCTACTTGGGTGTTCAAACACAGAAAAAGAAGATGGATCATATCTTCTGAGTCAAGCAGAGCAGGAGACTCTTCATATGAAAGATTCCTGCACTGCAAGGGGTTAGGCTAGATGACCCTCGGTGTCCCTTCTGACACCCTCTGAAGCTCACTCTGGGCCAGTTCCCATCTCTTAGTCTACCTCCCAGGGTTGTCATTAAGGATGAAACGGGGAGGAGGAGAGCCATGTTCCCCCCCCACCTCCCCCGACCCTCTCTCGGAATATAAAGGTGTTATATAAATGCATTAAACAAGCTGCATATCTACACAAACACGCAATCGTATCTATATCTCCCAGGGTAGCTCTGTTGGTTAGAGCGCGGTGCTGACGAACGCCAAGGTGGCATTTTCCACCCCCTAATGGGGGCAGCAGGCTTATTCTTGCGGGCTGGACTAGATGACCCTCGGGGGATCCCTCTCCCCAAACTCCACCAATTCTGTGCTATACAATACAATGCATTTTATTTTTTTTAAAGCCAGGTTTTCAATCTCGACTCAGAGGGACCCGATGCCCAAGTGAGGGGCACGTCCCAGAAACTGTCCGGCTCCCTCCCTCCCTCCCTCCGACACCCACCCCCAGGGAGCCCCCCACCCACCTCCCCCGACATATAAAGGTGTTATATAAACGCGTTAAACAAGCTGCATATCTACACACAAACACGCAGTCATATCTCTATCTCTCAGGGTAGTTCTGTTGGTTAGAGGGCGGTGCTGACGGACGCCAAGGTGGCACTTTCCATCCCCTTATGGGGGCAGCGGGCTTATTCTTGCGGGCTGGACTAGATGACCCTCGGGGTTCCCTCTCCCGCAACTCTGTGCAATACAATACAATGCATTAAAAAAAAAAAACAACAACCAGGTTTTCAATCTCGACTCAGAGGGACTCAGAGATGCCCAAGCGAGGGGCGCATCCCGGAAACTGTCCGGCTCCCTCCCTCCGCCCCCCCCCCACCTACCCACCCCCCGTTTTCCTCACCCGGGTGGGTCATGGGGTGGACGTCGTTCCCGGAGCCACCAGCGTAGTTGTAGATGACGGCGGCGGAGGCCTCCCTGGCGGCGGCCACGGCAATCTTCTCGGCGAAGGTGCAGCCGCCGCGCTGGATGAGCGCGACCCACGGGGTGGGCGGCGGCGGGCTGCTGAAGTTGGTGAGCAGGCTGCAGGCGTTGGCCGCCCCGGGCCCTTCGGGGGCCACCACCAGCCCGGCCGCCCGGCGCAGGGGGGAGTCCTGCCCGTAGATGCCGCTCTCGCCCACGTTCCAGTAGCTCTCGTTGCTGCCGGGCATCCTCCACGACACGTTCAGCCACGCCGTCCACACCGACTGGGCAGAAGCCCCGTGGCGGAGGCTGCCGGGGCCGCCGCCGCCGCCACCGGCCAGGAGCAGCGCGAAGAAGGCCCACGAGGAATGCCGCCACATCGCCTCAGAGGAGACCCGCCGCACCACGGAGAAAGAGACGACGCGGGGGGGACAACAACGCTGCTGCTGCTGCTGCTGCTGCTGCTGCTGCTGCTGCTGCTGCCGCCGCCGTTTGCCTCAGGCGAGCGACTGGCCGGACTGCCGCGCTCTTTACCTGAGCCCATTCCCCGCCCATTTCTGGAGGGCGGGGATTCGAGGGGAGGGGCGGGGCACGTGGACGGGAGGGGGGAGAGACAGACACGCCCCTCCACACTCCTCCTCCTCCTCTTCCGCGGCCGGCCAGGGAGGCCCACGTGCGCGCAGGCGCGGCGCCGGGTTCGAGCGCTGGCGCCGCCGCCGCCTTCCGAACCTTTGTCCTGGGATCGAAGCGCGTGGTTGGGATCAGTAGAACTCAATAAAAATGCCTCAGTAACTGAGGTTCCGCACACACCCACACCCCCCAACAAAAGATTAGTAGTCTCATTCTGTAAGGACTGCTCTATTCAAGAAGTTAGCTTGCAGGAGCCTACTAATAAAAGCTGTCACAGTGTCCGTTCCAAAACCAAAGCGTTCCAAAACCAAGGTGCGCTTTCCCGTAGAAAGTAATGCAAAACGGATTAGTGCATTCCAGACTTTTAAAAACAACCCCTAAAACAGCAATTTTAACATGAATTTTACTATCTAATAAGAGGGTTGATCCATAAAATGAAAGCAATAAAAATTGTACAGTGGTACCTCAGGTACCTCAGGAGATGGGGTCCCGAAGAGTCGGACATGACTAAACGACTAAACAACAACAACCTCAGGTTAAGTACTTAATTCGTTCCGGAGGTCTGTTCTTAACCTGAAGCACCACTTTAGGTAATGGGGCCTCCCGCTGCTGCTGCCTGTTTCTCATCTTGTTCTCATCCTGAAGCAAAGTTCTTAACCTAAAGCACTATTTCTGGGTTAGCGGAGTCTGTAACCTGAAGCGTATGTAACCTGAAGCGTATGTAACCCGAGGTACCACTGTACAAGGTTAAAAATGAACAATTAAGGAATTTACAATAACACAAAATATTAGAATAAGCTGTGTGCTCTTAAGATTGTCATCTGTTGTTCCAATGGCGAGTCGGGGGGGGGGGGACGACGACGACGACATGCTTCAGCATGAGGGTGTGGGTCATAGCTGTCAACTTTTCCCTTTTATTGCGAGGAATCCTATTTGGAATAAGGGAATGTCCCTTTAAAAAAGGTTAAGGTTGACAGCTATGGTGGGGGTGGGGGCTAGGATTGCAGTCCTAGCAGCCCAGGTTTTAGCAATTTACTCAAGAGTAAGCCCCATTGATTTATGTTAGATGTAGGTTGCCTTGCAGTGCTTTGCTCACCTAGTTTGGGAGTTAGTTCCACTTACCCATGTAAGGGGGAGGGGAATAGAATTGCATTGTCACTGTTTCATGTTATTGCTTTGTTTGTTTGTTTATTCATTTGTCTGGCCAAAGCCATTACAAAATTGTGTGTGTGTGTGTAAAATAAAAACAAAACAAAATACACCACACAGTTAAAATAAGGCATTTTGTCATATACAGTGGTGCCCCGCAAGACGAATGCCTCGCAAGACGGAAAACCCGCTAGACGAAAGGGTTTTCCGTTTTTGAGTTGCTTCGCAGGACGAATTTCCCTATGGGCTTGCTTCGCAAGACGAAAATGTCTTGCAAGTCTTGAGATTTTTTTTTCGCTTTGCGCCCTTTATCTAATCTGCTAAGCCTTTAATAGCCTTTAATAGCCTTTTAGCAGCTAATCCGCTAAGCCTTTAAGCCTTTAATAGCCGCTAAACCGCTAATAGCGCTAATCCGTTAAGCCGCTAATAGGGTTGCTTCGCAAGACGAAAAAACTGCTAGACGAAGACTCTCGCGGAACGGATTAATTTCGTCTTGCGAGGCACCACTGTACAGTCATATCTCGGGTTGAATGTGCTTCGGGATGAGCGTGTTCGAGTTGTGCTCCACGGCAGTGTTACTTCCGGGTTTTGCTGCTTGTGCATGCGCAGACGCTCAAAATAACGTCGCGCATATGCACAGAAGTGCCGAAACGTGACCCACGCATGCACAGCCACGCGGACACGGGTTACGTTTGCTTCTAGATGTGAACGGGGCTCCGGAACGGATCCTGTTTGCATCTAGAGGTACCACTGTAATAGTTTGCTACCCTGAAGAATTTAACCTATCGTCCCCACAAACGTTCCTCCTTAAAATTGCCACTCTCAAATTGCTAAACAGGCCACTTTTTCAGAAGTATAGGGGGACCTGTCGCCTAATGAAAAATTAATTAGATACCCAATCAATCTCCCAACTGGAGATTTACACCTGTGAACAAAGCTGCTCTTAAGTTCTTGTAAATAGTGGAGTAAGTATGGGGGTTAGTCCTACTTACTCGCAGGTAAGGGGAAAAATACATAGAACTGCACTGTAGCTATGCCAACATCTCAGAAGGAATCTCCAATGATTTACTAATCTTGAATGCACCTACTTGTTCTGTGAAATCAGCTGGTGAAACTAATCATAGCTTTAGTTCCACTTATTTTTAAGGGAATGAAAGTGCAACTAACTTCCTTATTACTGAGGCTTTTTGCAGCTGATTAGTGTGTATCATCTGAGAGATTTCCTTCCCCGCCCCCTTATCAAATGATTGACTTGGGAAGGGACAATTTGTATCCCCATCAGCTATAAACCTCTCTGTCTGCTCCAGTGCTGTGTCTACCTTGAATGCATTTTGGTTTTGCTACCACTGCCAAAATCAGTGAATTCTTTTTCGTGAGGAGGGAAGAGAAGAAAAAAATTGCTTGAGAGGCCACACCAGGCTCCTTGGGCTAGGGGTTGACCACATCTCATCTAGATCAGCTTCCCCAAACTTGGGTCTCCAGCTGTTTTGAGGCTACAGTTTCCATCACCCCATCATCTATGACGACTTGTCCTGCCAGCTAGGGATGATGGGATTTGTAATCAAAAAAAAAAAGATGGCTAACAAGTTTGGGGAAACCCTGATCTAGATATTTTATTGAAGAATTTCTGTACAGGTTTAGCCCAGCAAACATTTGTGAGGGGGAAAAACAAACAAACGGCTGTACGCTGATGGTTTACACAAAACAGCACACCTAGCATCCTGTTATTGTCTCAGGCCACAAGCACTGAGACAATTCATGAAAGCAAGTGTGGTGTAGTGATTCAGCAGCCTTTCTCAAACTTGGGTCGCCAGATGTTGTTGGACTACAATGACCATCATCCCTGTCCACTGGTCTTGCTAACTAGGGATGATGGTAGTTGTAGTCCAACAACATCCAGGGACCCAAATTTGAGAAATGCTGGATTAGAGTGTCCTGGGCGTGTCAGTGCCTCTCAGCCTAACCTTCTTCAAGGGTTGTAGGCATTAAATGAAGAGGATGAGAACCATGTATACTACACTGAGCTCCTTAGAGAGGTGGGCTGTAAATGCAAGATGTACATTACTGGCTGAAGCTGGTGCAAAGTTACCATACAACTGTCTACTCTGTGCCCAGATGATGTGGCTCACTATTGCACCACACATGGCACAGAGTCAGTTTATTCATGCATGGGCATCATTTGCTCACCAATCATTTTGGACCCAAGTGCACACTTCTAAACTGGAGAAAGTGTTGTTGCAGTAGCAGCATGCACTACAGCCTGATCTGCTATGATGGCTCGCTCACACGTGTGCCAGTCACTTCTCGATGCTCTGGTCCTTGAAATATGATGATACTTATATGATCCAGTCAATGCTAAGCTGGCAAAGAGCTCAAGAAATATGGCAGCTGCTCACTTGTGCTCACTGTCAGTGCAGTAGCAGACTTCACGATGCATTAAAACGTTTGTTCTCCTACATCTTTCTCAGTCTCATTGACTTTAGGAAATGTGCTCCAAGGTAAATGGGTTGTAGATTATATTTTGAGAGAACCACAGTGGCGTGGCTGTCTATTTAAAATGAAGCACTGTTGAAAGTTCAACAGAAAACAAAATATGTGCATAACATTAAAAAATAATAATTTCTAGTAGGGTAGTTGCGTTTGTATGCCTGTTGTCTTTGCCCATGGAGTTTTCTTGGCAGGGATACTGGAGTGGCTTGCCGGTTCCTGCTCCAGGTGGATCACATTTGGTCAAAACTCTCCACTATGACCTGTCCATCTTGGGTGGCCCTGCACGGCATAGCTCATAGCTTCTCTGAGTTATTCAAGCCCCTTCGCCACAGCAAGGCAGTGATCCATGAAAGGGAACAAAGGACTATATAGTTAAAGCTATGGTTTTCCCAGTAGTGATGTATGGAAGTGAGAGCTGGACCATAAAGAAGGCTGATCACCGAAGAATTGATGCTTTTGAATTATGGTGCTGGAGGAGACTCTTGAGAGTCCCATGAATTGCAAGAAGATCAAACCTATCCATTCTGAAGGAAATCAGCCCTGAGTGCTCACTGGAAGGACAGATCCTGAAGCTGAGGCTCCAGTACTTTGGCCCCCTCATGAGAAGAGAAGACTCCCTGGAAAAGACCCTGATGTTGGGAAAGATGGAGGGCACAAGGAGAAGGAGACGACAGAGGACGAGATGGCTGGACAGTGTTCTCAAAGCTACCACCATGAGTTTGACCAAATTGCGGGAGGCAGTGGAAGACAGGAGAGCCTGGTGTGCTCTGGTCCATGGGGTCACAAAGAATTGGACATGACTAAACGACTAAACAACAACAACAACAACAACAACAGTTGTGTTGCAGGAAAACCAACAAAGAGTCATCTGGTAGCTTAAAGACTAATATGTATGTAGTTTGGGATAGGCGTTTGTGGACTATGCTACACTTCATAGTCATCCTATCCATGTTTTGGTGACATCTAGAATTGACTGATGCCATGTATATGTCAAAGACTGCTCAGAAACTGCAGTTAGTTCAAAGTACAGCTGCTAGGCTATTGACTGGCGCCAATTAGTGGGACGTATATTATGGATATTGAATGACCTTCACTGCCTTCCAGTCCATTTCTGAGCACAATTCCAAGTGCTTAGGAGGACTCAAGAACCTAGGGGAATATCTGCTACCATACCAACCTCACAGAATGTTAATATAATATTTGGAGGCTCTCCTCCAGGATAGTGACGAGAGAGAGAGAGAGAGCCTTCTCAATGGTGGTTCCCTCTTTGTGGAATTCCTGCCCCAAGGAGGCTTGCTTGG